TATGCAAGAAACATCCAGTTCTGCAGATAAAGGAGGGGAGGGGAAGAAAGGAAGGACTCTCTATAATAGACTCAGCCGGGGGGGGAAAGGGCTATAGTGGACACGAATAAAAAAGAGAAGATAGAAAGAAGAAAAGGAACAAAGATACGTATGACCTTACACATCCTCAAACTCCTCGTCGTCCTCGTCCTCGTCGGACTCCTCCTTTTTGATGTCGGGCTCGACCTTGACTTTCTTTGCGGCGGGACCATCACCGCCGTCATCCGTGGCCGGCGAGGCGACGGATGTCTGGGTGGCGCTGGCGAAGCTCGAATCCGTGTCGAGCTCGCGTTTGAATCCTGTTGTGGTGGTGGTGGAAGACTTGGGCGCGCTGGTGGGGCCAGCCCCAGCAACGGCGGGGGAGGCGGCGCTGGTGGTCTCGCTGGCGGAGACGCCGCCGACGTCTTCGAACTCCTCGTCGAATTCGTCGTCCTCGTCGTCATCGTCTTCCTCGCTGCTGGCGTCCTGCTGGGCCTGCAGGGCCTTCTCGCGCTCCATCTCGGCGTAGTACGCGGCGACCTTATCGTCCAGGCCGTCGACGTCGGGCTTGCGGTCCTCGTCCTCGTCCTTGATGATGGGTTTGATGTCGCCATCCTCGTTCTCGGCCTTGACGAGCGGCAGGTTACCGGCGGCGGTGGAGACGGTGGAGTGGGTGTGCCAGACGGGGAGGGCGTTCTGCTTCTCGACGGCGGCCTTGCGGGCGGCCTCGGCGGCCTGCTCGGCGGCGCTCTTCTCCTCGCTGGAGGTCAGCGAGATCTCGAGGGCGGTGGCGTCGGTCTTGGTGTTGCCGCGGACGGACTCCGGGTGGTTCTTGGAGGGGACGACCACCGAGGCCCGCGTGGGGTTGGTCTGCTGGTTGCGCACGACGTCGACCTTGTGGTCCCAGGCGGTGTCGAAGTCGTTGGGCGGCACCTCGACCGAGTCGATCTGCTTCAGCAGCTTCAGCATCGGGTCCAGCTGGTTCATCAGCTTGCTGTTCTTCTCGTGGCCCGTCCGGTCGATCCCCTCCGTCCCCTTCACGTCCTCCGTCCGCTCCAGGATCGCCCCGCAGTTCTGGCACTCGAACCCGTCCTCCGAGTACAGGCTCAGCACGTCCAGCTCCGTCCACTCCGCCCCGCACCGCAGGCACACGTACTCCTTGCGCTCCTCGCTGGGTGTGTACTGCGCCTTGATCGTCGACGTGAGCTTGGACACCTTGTACTTGATCGCGTCCACCACCGGGTGCAGCGGGATGTAGTAGTATTCCCGGTTGACGGGGCGGGTTGAGCCGTCGCGGATTTCGGCGCGCGTGCTCCTGCATGGTTTTGATGAGGATTAGTGTGTGCGGGTCCCAACAGGTGAAAGTAGGAGAAGAATGTGTGTATGCGCTATGTAGGTGGTAAGACGTACACCGAAATCAGCCGGTCCTCGCGCAACTTGGCGCATAACTTGCGGAGGTCTTTCTGTTGCATGCCAAGCAGGAAGGCGAGGTCTTCTGCATGGAGACTTTTTTTTCCCTCAAAAATTCGCAATCAGTCCTTGTTAAGTTTGGCAGGATAGTAAGCTTGATGCAGCATACACTGAGTGGATGAAGAGCGCATCAACCACGAGGATGTGGCGGGTCTCGTAGAAGGCGCGGACCACGCTTCGGATGAGCGTGTTGGCGAGATCCATCGTGTGAGCGTTTGGCGTGACGGAGGGAGGTCCTATTCAGATGGATTTGCAGGAATGGAAGGCCGTCGATCGAGTGTTGGGATGTGGTGGGGATTGGCGCAAAGTGCTGACTGACTGAGGGAGGGGATCCGGGCTTAGGCGCGGCTTCGAAGGGTGAGTTGGAGCGAGATGGACATGCTTCTCTTTTTGTCGGAGAGGTGTAGACTCGAGGATTGGAGGATGGAGAGTGAAGAAGAATGAACCCCAAAGCAGTAGATACACCACCAAAGGAAGGAAAGAGAAGACAGTGGGTGGTGAGTTGGAATGGAGTCAAAGAAAGCGGATGAAGGAAGAATGAGCAGATAATGGTTGATCGGACTTGACACCTGAGGCACCAACTTGGCTAGCCTTCCTCCGGATAAGACTGGCTGGGCCCGAGAAATCCCCCTCCGGAGCGCAAGAAAAGCCCGCCATGATAATTTCCTCTCCATCTCCAATGCAACAACTACTCCTCCACCACCTCCGCCCCCGCCATTATACACTCGGGCTTCCCAAGTCTCCGAGTCTTTGCTCTTCTTGTCCTCGCTCCCCCGCCGCGCTTGAACGCTTCATTCCCATCCCCAAGCCCCCCAGCAGCCAGCAACAAGTCCGCTTCGAGAGTCGCAGATATCGCAATCACGTCCAAGAGTTCCAACAATGGACAATCACGAAGGAAGATCTACACAGGGATCCGGTGACGCTCGCGAAAATCGTAAAAAAAGGAATCTGGGCCGTTCGGAGTGGAGGTATGTTTATTTTTTTTCCTTGCTCGGAGAAAACCTTGTGGGGGAGGGGGATCGCGGCCGCGAAACTTTTGTCGAACTGACAATTTCATCCACCCAAGCCAGTCGGCAAACGATAGATAAACGCGCTCGCAACGAAGAGGAGCAGGAGGTCAAGCGCCAGAAACTTGAGAATGGCGAGGAGGTGCAGGCGCCCGTCTACGCGACGCAATTCTCCCAGGAGGATATCGAGAATGAGCAACGGCGGCCGAAGAAGAAGGTTGCGGTGTTGATGGGATATTCCGGCACGGGGTACAAGGGCATGCAACTGTAAGGATTTACGCCATGGAATCGGAAGGAAATCTCTTGAAGGGGAGGAACTACCAGCTAATGCGTTTCGTCGCCAAAGGAGCACCACCGAAAAGACCATTGAGGGCGAACTGTTCACGGCCCTGGTCGCCGCGGGCGCCATCTCCAAGGCCAACGCCACGGATCCGAAGAAGTCGTCGCTGGTGCGCTGCGCGCGCACCGACAAGGGCGTGCACGCCGCCGGCAACATCGTGTCGCTGAAGCTGATCGTTGAGGACCCGGACATCATCCAGAAGATCAACGAGAAGTTGAGCCCGCAGATCCGCGTCTGGGACATCCTCGTCACCAACAAGTCGTTCAGCAGCTACCAGCTGTGCGACTCGCGCATCTACGAGTACCTGATCCCCACGCACTGCTTCCTGCCGCCCCACCCGGGCACCTTCCTGGGCAAACAGCTGGTCGAGTTCGCCGAGCAAGAGAACGACATGGAGGGCTACCGCGCGCGCCAGGAGGAAGTCGCCGGGTTCTGGGAGGAAACCGACGAGAAGATCATCCGGCCCATCCTCGAGAACACGCCCGAGGAGATCCGCAAGCTCGTCGAGCAAGCCCTGCACATGAACGATGACCAAGACCCGGAACAACAGCCCACCGAACCCTCGGGCGAAGCCACCCCAACAACAACCGAAGACGACGCCCGCCGCCAACAGATCATCAGCACGGTGAAAACCATCAAACAAGCCTACCTGAAAGCCAAGCGGGCGTACCGGATCTCGCCCACTCGACTAGCACGCGTCCAGGCGGCGCTGTCCCAGTACGTCGGCACGAATAACTTCTGGAACTACACGATCCAAAAGACGCACAAGGACCCGTCCTCGAAGCGGCACATCAAATCCTTCAACGTCTCAGCCTCGTCCCCGCTCCTCATCAACGGCACCGAGTGGCTCAGCCTCAAGGTCCACGGCCAGAGCTTCATGATGCACCAGATCCGCAAGATGGTTGCCCTGGCCGCCATGGCCGTGCGCGCCGGCGCCGACCCCGCTCACCTCATCCCGGCCTCCTACGGTCCCACCAAGATCGCCATCCCCAAGGCCCCCGGGCTGGGCCTGCTCCTCGAGCGGCCCGTCTTCGACGTCTACAACAAGAAGGCCGTCGAGACCAGCAAGCAGCCCATCAACTTCGACAACTACAAGGCCACCATCGACGAGTTCAAGCAGCGCGAGATCTACGACCGCATCTTCCGCGAGGAGGAGGAGACCAATGCGTATGTTTCCTTGCCCTACCTTGCCTTAAACCTCCCCCCGAAAGAAAAGTGGGAACTCCAAAGCTAACCTGCAACAAAACAGATTCTCTGCCTTCTTCGGCCACCTCGATCACTACTCCTCCAAGGAATTCCTCTACGTCACCTCCGGCGGGATCCCCGCCGCGAAGATCACGCCCGTCCCCGGCGTCGTGGAAGAGGGAACTGCCCCGGATGCGAACGCGCAGAAGCAAATGCAGAAGGACGCGTTGGCGCAGATTGAGGATGAGTCGGAGGATGAGGAGGGGGCGACTAAGGCGAATATCGATCAGAGTGGTTGATTTGGGTGCCTGGCTCCCAAGGAGCTTGCTTGGGGCTTAAAGGGTCTGGGGAGTGGGCGTAGATGCTTGCCCCCAAAAATAAAGAATGAATGAAACATTAGATTCAAATATATGTTTTGTGTGTGTGCTTGTTGACTTGGGTTCCGGAGTTGGTGATACAGAACGTGAGTGTCATGCGGAGCCCATCGTACAGTACTATCACAGAGCGCAGAACTACATATAATAAACACGTTGGATCGGCGCATCGGGAATACCACCCGGGCATGAGCAACTACTTCTCTACGAGTTTTATGCAGGAACATAAACCACAACAACCACACTCAAGAGAACAATATATTACCGCATTATGATACATGAAAAGATCAAGATCCATGATGAACTTGTGAAGGAAAGACGCTATGTATCAAGTACGGCACCGTAACAACAAAAGAAACAAAAACTACAACGCTGAATGCACAAGGAGATTTTCAAAGGGGCAAAGGCTATTCAACAAGAAGCAGAAAATGCAGCAGCAGCGCAGGCTTTGGACTCCGACACCAGGACGAGAGAAATAAGAGGAACGGCAATGAATAAACAAGCAGATTTGAATGGGACAGATCGCGAGAATACACAACAAAATGCAGAACGTACAAGCTGAGCCGCGCAACTGCCACTGCTCCGACCACTCACTCACGCACGCGTCTAGAACATCAAGGACCGGGTCTTCTGTCGTCGAGCATCCGCACCGCGAACGTCCGGCTGAGATTGGGTGTGCTTGTGTCGAGGTTTGGAGGCCGAGGTCGGCGCCGGCGCCGTCGGCATCGGAATGGACGAGGTGGGTTTGGCAGGAGGCGGGGGAGGAATTTGGCTGAGGCGATGTTCGACAGCAGAAGGAACAGGAGGAGCAGGAGCAGGAGCAGTGGGCACGGCAGGAGCGGAAGCACCAGGGGCAGCAGCGGTGGATTCCCGTTTCACTTTCATACTCCGCTCCCGCTTGAGGACCATCTCGGTCCAGAGCTTGGCTTGGCTGCTTCCTGAAGATCCTTTGCCCACCGCATCGGCCAGGACCTTCATCCATCCGTCCTTGTCGACCGCGCTGTCAGCGTAGAAATCAATCACTTCGCCGTTGCCGAAGCGAATACGGAACCCTTCCTCCACGAACATGTAGCCTTCCTCTTCCTCAGCAAACGCAGACTTGCGACGGCCACCACCCCGGGTGGTGGTCTCTTTCTGCATCAGCGAAGATCGGTCATCGATCAACTTGACTGCCTTCGAAAGGTTGATCGTGGCACGGGGTTGACGGGTGGTCTCGTGGTAGGCGGTCAATTTGGATCCCTGAAGCTTGAAGAAGCGACGGCGCCAGTACTATACATCCCATCAACATCAGCAAATGCCATAACGGGTGAGTGTCAACAGGGAACCTACCGGGCAGTCGCCACCCTGCTGTGACAAAAATCCCTCGTAACTACGAGCAGAGACGCTCTCCGCCTCACGCATTTCCCGAATGCAGGCGTTCATGCTCTTGGGCATATCCTCCTCCTTGGCACCCTTAGGCTTGGGGACAAACAACAGCTGGAGCTCCAGCTTGCCAATTTTGTAAGGAGGTCTTCGCTGAGAAGTCGTACTCGTCGTACTCTTCTTGCTCTTGACACTGCTCGGCTGCTCTTCGACTGCCCATTCATTGAAGCACGCGATATCAACATTGTAAGGCCGACCATACGCGTGTTTCTCATGATCACTAAGAGAGACATATGCGCGCGCAAAACTGCCATCTCTGGCGACCAAAGTCCTCAATCGTTCCCACACAGGGGCGTTGATATCTTTGGCTTTGCTTTGCTGGGTGGCAAGTTGCTGCTTCATCTCAAGTTCCTTGCGCTTGCGCGGAGAAGCAAACACACGGCTAAACGTGGAAGTCTTGGTGCGACTAGGCGAGGCAGTAGGGGCAGGCTCCTGCACTCGGAATTTCTCCTCGTCCACCTTCATTTGCAAGGTCAGCTGGAACTCAAGGTCCTGTTGGACAATGAGCTCGAACTCCTGGCCGATGGGCGCTGTCTTGCCTAGTTCCAACCAAGAGGTGGTGACGCAATGCAGGCCGTTGTCCAAAGTAAGAGCAAAGTACGATCTCTCACCTATAGTCTGGTTAGCGGCGAATGGACCACAGAACTGATCGCAGTTTCAAGCACTTACCTCGTGGCAGAGGCAGATCGAGGTATTTCATGCCAATAACCTTGACAAAAAGACGGCCCCGCTCTTCACCCTCCTCAAGAGCGCCATTGAGAGCAGGCTCCGCCTCCTCGATCGTGGTTGACGGCTCCTGGACGCTGCTTTGCTGGCCTGGGAGCGGTGGTACCGGGCCAGACGCAGTCTTCTTTCGAACTACTCCACTGGCCGTTCTCATACTCGCCCGGCGAGTCTGACCGTTCCAGGGTACGGTGGTCCAAGTCTGCTGGCTGGCCTTACGCGGCGTGGGAGCAGCGCGTGTAGCTCGAGATTCAGCTGGATCTTCTCCTGGAGTCGGCAAAGTGTCATCTTCGGTGCTGCTGCTCGCAATGATAACCTTGGTATTGTGCCGCATAAGATAACCTCTCTGTTTGGGGCGATTGTTATTAGTCCACTGTCTCAAACTCAAGAACTGGGGGGCTGGTCCATGCTTGGGTGCTTCCTGGCCGTGGAGACGCAGTTGGGAGAGGGAATGTTCAAACGCCACCTTTTGAGATTCAATGACCCTGTCGAATTCTTTGTCCAATCCAAATCCAAGACTCTCTTCTTCCTGGATGCTGAACGGAATGTCCAGCTTCACAAGACTACTCTGTCGTTGATTCTCCTGTACGGGTGGAGGTAGGGATGGCACAGCATCGCCGGGTGCTGATTCCTGGGATTCGTTGGATTCCTGTTTGGTAAGATATGGCATCGGCGGTGGCACCTGTCCGCTTACTTTCCGGCGAGTGGCTGCCATCTGTTCCATATCGGCTGGGGTCAGTGAGGGACGCGTCTTGAGGCGAGTTCCTGGTGCTTTGACGGTTGCAATCGGATCCGGTACACTCTCGTCTGGCGAGACCTCGCGATCGCTCTGCTCGTCAGCCACAGGGTGTCGAACAACAGAATCAGGGGTAGAGGGCTCCGATAATTGATTCTGGCTATCCGGTGTCGATGGGCGCTGGAGTGACTCCCGCATGGCGGCCATCTTATCAGCAGACCTTTCACTGATGGAAGATAATTGAGACTCATCGAGTGATTCGTCAACTAGCTCATCATTCAGCTCATTAACCGGCTCATCAGCTGGAGCGTCGACAGCAACATTGACCGGCGTCTCTTGCGTCTGCACGGTAGCAAGTGGGGTGGATTGCCTGTCCTCAAAGTCTTGCGTGTCATCCTCCTCCAGCACGGACACCTCTTCGGGAGGTTGGCTGGAGTAACGACTTTCGTCATCATCCACCTTATCCTTCAAGCTTTGCGAAGAGGATTGCTCCGAATTTACGTTTTCATAGTATTCTGGAATGTCGTAAAGAGAATCATCATGCTCTTCAGGCTTGATGATCACACTGCTGGTCTCATCGTCATCATCATCGTCATAGTCGTGGCTATCATCATGGTCGTGCTCCATAGAAGGAATCGGGACGTCCGGGTCATAATCGAAATAATGGTTGGGACTCGACTCCGCCTGAGAAGCATCCTCAAAGGAGTCATCCAGGAAGCTTTCGCTCTTACGCAGATCTCGGAGAATCGAATCCCTCGAGATGCGCGGAGGGGTGTAAACATCTGCGTCCTCCTCCGCTGCAGTATCTGTTTCCTGGGTGGGTGGGGCATCCGTGACCGCAATCTGCTCCTGTGGCTCTTCAGGAAGAGCCTTGGGTGTCTCCGGACCATCCAGTTCGATTTCCTCAGTGATCGGCTCCTTCTTCTCGATCATCATCAGACGTAGCCTCTCTTCCAGGGACATATGGCCGTGGTTCCGTTCCGTGATGTCAGATTTGCTATACGATGCGGGTGCTGGTGGAGAAGGAAGAACGCGCTGATTTCCACTTCCAAGCTCAAAAGCGGCCGTCATCTTCCCCGGCGATCCACGCTGGGGGAATTGAGGCCGGTTAGAAGGAGGGAGAGGCGGAAGGGGACGGCGATCAACATTTGAATCCATTGACTCGACCCGGGCAGGCTGCACGGGATGCTCTTGCTGGGAGGACGGGCGGGGGATGGGGCTATGGTCTTCGTCATCCTCGATGAACTGACCCTCTTCCTCTTCGACCATTTCGTCATTCGCAGTTTCGGGGCTCATATAGCGCCAGTCCTCCGGCAGAACCACTGGTGTTTTCTCGAGGTCTTCCAGGGATGCGTCGAAGCTGTCGTCGCGTTCGAGTGAGGATTCCCGATCGAAGCTGATATCGTTCTCATTTTCCTCGGAGTCATAGCTGCCTTCACGAGAGTCGGAGGCGACTGAGGATGGATCCGGGGTTGTCATTTCATATTCATTCACTTGAGGAGGAGCCGCATCGAATTTTACGCTCTTAGCATGTCGACTACCGTCGATGTCCGACCAAATCTCGCTCTCGGGGTCGAAAGCAGCGTCCTTAACACCGAATCGACTAGCCCGGGACAGCGACGATTTTGCCGGGGCCACCTGATCCTTGCTCGGGGAAGGGGGGCGTGGGCCGATCGGGTTGGAGTCCTGGGGGTCGGGCTGCTGTGCTGATGGTGCGTTCTGCGCTTGCCTCTGGGATGACCGGTTGAGGGCCAAAGGTCTCTGCGGAACATAGACTTGCGTGGGGTCATATTCTGCATTGTGGTCGCGGAACATGTTGTTATTCTTGACCCTCGAGGCGCGCTTCAGGTTTTCCAAAGATGGGCGCTTCGAGGGAGTATACGTTGAGACATCAGGATCATAGAGGTTCTGGTTCTCTGAGCTTCTATGGAAGGGGGATCCTGATTCCCGGCCTTGCCAGAAAAGACGCGGTGAAGCTGGAGCCTCATAGGGCGACGCATCTTGTGTTTTCATCATCTGCAGTTGCTCGATCAGCCCAGCCCGCCTATCACCAGCTCGTGGGAGTGACGCACCTTAGTGGTTTGGTTCCAGCTGGGGGAGTTTCTTCGTTGAGCCACTGGGCTCACTTCAGATAGCGGACTTTGCCCGGGATTGCTGGTCATCTTGGTGGGAACCCACAATCAGAGGCGTAAGGATGGAATGCAGCAGGAACGAGGCGTCGGGAGGGAAAAACAACGCTGGCAGCTGAATCAGCAACTGTCGATGCAACAGCACATCGCAATGCAAGGTCGCTGCAACGAGGTTTCATCCCTTGCGGGGTGAAGAACGCGCTCAGAGCTGGAGCGGCCTACGATTGGGGACGGGGAAAACACACACACGGAGAGAGAGAAAGAGACGCGCTGATAAGCCGAACACAAGAAGAAACGGCCAGTCAATCCAGGAATGAAGGAGAACGATGGCGTCGCGATTACTTCGAAAAGGCGTTTGCACAACACATGGGGAAATGGGGGTAATGAAGAAAAAGAGGAATGAATAAGGTTGCGTCACCCAATGCAGCCGATTCGTCAAGTGTCTGTCTTGTCGCGATGCGCGATCGAACGAAGGAAGTAATAAGAAAGAAGTATACTGTAGAAATGTAACCTGTAACCTGTACTGTACCTTAACATTCAACAAGCCAAGGCTGATGTGATGCGATAAGAGAAAGAGAAACACAGGCCAATCCACCAACGAGCCAACGAGAGGAAGACCGAAAGAAAGGCAGTGAATACTTGGTTGCTTGCTCGCTGGATGAAAGTAGAAGCAAGAAGAAAGAAGAAGAGGAGAAAATCAAAACACAATAATTTCAATCAGTAGAAGAAGAAGAGGAGGAGGAGGAGGAGGAGGAGGAGGAACGTGTTTTGCCCGATAAATAAGTAGGCACGGGGCAGCAGTTGAGATCCCGATCGATTTGATTGATTGACAGGGTGATCAGTACTCAAATGATAACCTGGAAAGTTGGACGGGCAAAGAGTGGAAAAGCGGATTGCAATGACTGCAGGGAGGGATGTTGACGTCTGGTACGTCTGGTTCGTCTGGTTCGTCTGGTTCGTCAGGCTTAGTGACGGCAGTTTCTATGGCAACTCCACAGTAAAGCCGTGAGCCTTGGTTTGCCTTGAGAAAGAGTGGGTTTCAGTTTCAGCTGAGGGACTCGAGGGACTCGAGGGACTCGACCAGGCAAAAAAGCAACTACGTAGTTAGACACCTCGCAGCCTGACGGCCTGGGGCATCACCTGTCACGATCGCGCTAGTCCCAATCCAGCCGTAGCGCTCGGATCATTGACCTGGTCCAAGCGCCTGCCCGATTCGGCCGGAGCCTGCTGAATCTTCTCCGCCACTCACTCGGACTGCCGCAGAGCATCGACTCGTCTTGCAGCTTCGGGAGAATTCAACCTTTCCTCTCCTCCCTCCCTCCCTCCCTCCCTCCCTCCCTCCTGCGTCTCCTCATTTCCCTCCGCCCCCTCAAGATGAATCGTCTTGGCCGTTCATCTCTGCCACTCCGGCCCAGAGTATGTCTGCTCTGTCAAACCCGAACGACCGTCCCCTCCATTACCTCCACCCTCTCGCCCTCAACCGGATGGCAGGCCATCCGCGGCATCGGACACAGATCGGAACGACGCGGAAAAAAGAGTCGCCATGCCCTGTCCTCAGACGTGTCTCGAACCTCGCTAGCTCCTCGCCCGTCGCGGGAGAGAAAGGGACCCTGGGGCGGCACGAACATCACCAGGGTGCCCGAGGAGCTGTCGTCTCGGTCGCGGACGAGGGACAGCCGGGGGCCCAGCCGGGGGGACAGCCGGGGGGACAGAGACCCCAGGAAGGATGGCGGTAAGGACAAGGGCAGCAAACCTGAGAGCCCTCTATACAAGGCCTTGAAGATGCAGACCGCATTGGCGCCCGTGTCCTACTCCCAGCGCACCAAGATCAAGGACAGAATCGCCGAAATCACCAGCTTCGATCATTTCCCGCTCATGTCGGTCGTCCACCACTCGATCTCCTCCCAGGCGCTCCCCGGGCTGACAGATCTCATGCCCACCCCGATCCAGCGCGTCGCGATCCCGGAACTCCTCAAGGACCCGCTCCCGCCACTGGGCGCGCCGCCGAGCAGCGACCCCAAATACGAACAGTACCTCCTGGCCGCGGAGACCGGGTCCGGCAAGACCCTGGCATATCTGATTCCGCTACTGGACAACCTCAAGCGCCTGGAGGCGGCGGAGGCGGCCCACGAGAAGAAGGAGGAGGAAGCCAAGCAGCGCGAACAGGCGCGGGAGCTGAAGACGAAGAACCGGGCGTTCGACATCGCGCCCGAGGAGCCGCCGCTCTCGAACGCGGCGCGGCCGCGCATGGTGATCCTGGTGCCGACCTCCGAGTTGGCGTTCCAGGTGGGCGACAAGCTCAAGGCCTTCGCGCACACGGTCAAGTTCCGGTCCGCGGTGCTGGCGTCGAACCTGACGCCGCGGCGGATCAAGAACGGCCTCTTCAACGAGAAGGGGGTCGACATCATCGTGACAACGCCGCACCTGCTCGCCTCGATCGCGCAGAAGGAGCCGTACGTGCTAGGCCGCGTCAACTACATGGTGCTCGACGAGGCCGACAGTCTGATGGACAAGTCCTTCTCGCCCATCCTCAACGAAATCATCAGCAAGGCCACCCCCTCCCTCCACAAGCTCGTCCTCTGCTCCGCCACCATCCCGCGCGGCATGGACGCCACCCTGCGCAAGCGCTGGCCCGACATCCAGCGCCTGACCACCCCGAGCCTGCACGCCATCCCGCGCCGCGTCCAGCTCGGCGTGATCGACGTCCAGAAACCCCCCTACAACGGCAACCGCTCGCTCGCCTGCGCCGACATCATCTGGTCCATTGGGAAGGCCGGCGACTCCGGCGGCGACGACCTGGGCCCGGGCCAGGCCCGCTCGCAGGACAAGCGCATCCTGGTGTTCGTCAACCGCCGCGAGGACGCCACCGAGGTGGCGGAGTTCCTGAAGAGCAAGGGAATCAGCGCCAAGGCCTTCACCCGCGACGTCACCGACCGCAAGGAGCGCGAGATCCTGGCCCCCTTCACCGATTCCGCGCCGCCCATGACCGCCGCCCAGGTTCTGGAGGCCATGGAGGCCGAGAAGAAGCGCCGCCGCGAGGACCGCTCCATCCCCTTCGTCAACGCCGGCGGCGACCCGCACGCCGCCGCGCCGCCCGAGAAGCGCCTCGAGAACGTCCAGGTCCTGGTCTCGACGGACATCGCCTCGCGCGGCGTCGACACCCTCGCCGTCAAGACTGTGGTGTTGTACGACGTGCCCCGCACCACTATCGACTTCATCCACCGACTCGGTCGTCTCGGCCGCATGGGCAAGCGCGGCCGCGCCGTCGTGCTGGTCGGCAAGAACGATCGCAAGGACGTCGTCAAGGAGGTCCGCGAGGCCATGTTCCGGGGCCAGGCCTTGATTTAAGCTACCCCCATCTCCGGAACTGTTTTCTTAACTGTATAATCTCTTCGTTTACTCCTGGGCCTTATGACTACTCCGGCGTTTCTGTTTATTGAAAGGTAAAAAGCAAAAATGGGACGCAGGCAAATAATCTCTCTCGGCATGGAAACGTTTCATTGACATCATACACTACTACTACTATTACTAGATCTGGACTTTTTTTTTTGTTTTGTGCAAACGGGGGATCGGGGATTAGGATATGTATTATAACCCTGTATGTATAGTTTCTCATAGATTTCTACTCAACACTGTCCTCTGTACTCATGTCTTCTCAACCCATAAAACCTCTTTCACTCACTTTACTTATCTACTCACCCACCACAAAGAAACACACCTTACCCCCCCGAACCCCCAAGAAAACCCAAATCCCTAAACAGGAACCCTCCCCGCGACCTCCCTCCAAAACGCACACCGTCTCGGCAACTCGACCAATCGCACATTCTCAAACCCATCTGCCGCCACCACAAACTCCTGGCCCGTGGCGCGGAGCAGCGGGACGCCCGGCTGCGCGGCATTCGTCAATTTATGGGCATTGGGGTTGCCGGTCTGGAAGAAGCTGGCGAAGGCGCCGGCGTAGCCGTCGTAGATGAGGGGGTCGGATTGCTGGACGGCGTTGACTTGGTTCCACTAGCCCCCCCCCAAAATCAATAATCTAGGTTTGGGTGGGAGGGGGGAAAGGAAACAAAGAAACGGGAAGGCAAACTCACCCACTCGGTGTCACTGCCGTGTTTGGCGGGCGAGATGGTATACTCGCCGAGGTACCCGTGGGTCCCGGCGGCGGAGGCGACCCAGTAGGCCGGGCAGGCGAGGACCAGGTCCCGGTAGATCAGGCCGGCGCGGACGAGGGTCGTGTTGTAGGCGTCGATGGTCTCGGTGGTGCCTGCCGGCGGGTAGTACTGGGATTCGAGGAGGCGGATCTCGCGGGAGGTGAGGCCGGGCACGAAGCCCGAGACCCAGGCCTCGAAGCTGGCGAGCGAGGCGTTGAAGCCCGTGGATGTCGTGGTGGTCGAGCCCAGACCGGCGGGGACGAAGTTCTCGCCCTCGTGCGAGTTGTACATGCCCCAGATGAAGTCCGTGGGGAGGGCGCCGCGCGCGGTGGCCTCGGTGAGGGTGTCGGTCAGGAACGCGCCGTCGATGACGGGGGCCCAGGTGTACGAGCTGGTGGTGTAGGTGTGGCTGGCGTCGATGACCAGGCTGGCGTCGCGGATGGTCTGCACGTCGACGGTCTTGAGGCAGCGCAGGGAGTCTTGCACCGTGGCATTGCCGCAGCCAGTGAGGTTCACTAGCTGCGAGTAGATGGCTTCGGCTTGCGGGGCGTTGTAGGCGTAGGTCTTGGGCCAGAAGGGCGAGCTGGCGAGGGCTTTGCTGAAGAGCTTGGGCTGCTTGCCGCGGCCGTTGGCCAGGACCTGCGCGACGACGGACCCCGCGCCGGCCGACTGGCCCCAGATCGTCACGTTGTTGGGGTTCCCGCCGAAGTGGTGGATGTTCTTCTGCACCCATTTGAGGGCATACTGTTGGTCCAGCAGGCCCGCGTTGAGGTCGGAGGTGGACGAGTCTTTGATCGCTTGGCCCGGGAGAAACCCAAAGGCGTTGGTGCGGTAGTTGGGATAGATCACGATGTAGTCGTTGAGAGTGCTGACGTTGAGGGTTGGATAGGCGCTCGGGGGCAAGGTAAAGGACGCGCTACCTTGGATGAAGGCGCCACCGTAGAAGACAACCAGCACCGGTCGATTCGCAGAGGAGACCTCCCAAGGCCGAGAGTAGAGTCCGAGGTACAGACAGTCCTCAGAGCCATTGACAGTGCGCTGGGGGCACATATCGAAGGCCTGATTACTGTCATAGGTGCCATTTGTAATGGTCAGTGGAGGTTGGGGAGCTCGAAACCGATTTTCGCCCGTGGGGGGTGCTGCAAATGGGATTTTCCGGAAATAGGACAGGTTATAGGTCGCGTCATAACTGCCTTGGAAGAGTCCATAGTCGAGAGTCACCAGAGGCGCCTCGTAGGCGCTTATCGCAGACACGAACAGAGCTAGGAGGCACAAGACCCCGCGGGATATTGATCGCGTAATCATGTTGACATGCTTTTGTCATAAGGTCGTACAGCGGCCATCTTAGCAGTCGGGGATAGAGGAGGCTTTAAGTACATCTTGGCCATGATGGGGAATCGTTGGTCGGGTAGAAAGAGGCCGAAGTTGTATTGACCTGCATATGCGGTGAAGGAGCAATTTAAGAAATCCTTCGTCGGGTGTCATGAAAAACTGGGGAAGCGTGGCACTTCTTGTCTACCATTGGTGCGATTGAATTCTCCCTCACGATGCAGTCATGGCGAAAATGCGGAGTTGCAGGAGTTTGGCGGGGAAGCAAGGAGGAGGAAACAAACCCGCATGATTATGAAGACGCCCCGGGGAAATATCCGGCGAAGTGCAGAAAAAGATCATCGATTCCAATCCAAGAAGGCCGTGGGGTTGCGATAGGCCTTGTAAGCATACAACTGAGAAGATCAGAAGCGGAACGCTGACCAGAACTGTACAGTGAAGCCCCTCTGATCCAGAGGTATAGGAAGAAATCCAGGAGAAAGAGAATCAATCAGATGTATCGAGTATGTCCATAGATAATAGCCGCCAAAAGCTGTCAAAGGTGTCAAAGGTGTCAAACCGCTCATGCTCGTCATCATCCAACGCCTGGGTTCCACTGGGAATGGCTCCAGTTGTTCTCAAACGCCGTGCCCAAAAATCGCCCAAACCCATTATTATTCAAACATCGCCATCGTTAGTAGGTCATCCGCATTGCTCGGGTCCGCTGCCTGCTGGCTCGCGTGCTGCGACGCTCATCGCACGCCTCGCTTTCGTCCGTCTCCGTGCGTGGCTCCGACAATTCCGGAGTCGGAGTTACCCCAAAGCTGATACCGCGATCCTTGCGGGAGACACGGGCTTCTTCTTCGGGGGAAAGGAATCGATGGATGACCCGATGATCCATGATCCGTTCTTCGTCGTCATTGGGTCCCTCCTTGTCAGTTTTGGGCCACTGGAAGCCATATAGCATAGAATGCCGCTCGCATCGACGACATTCACGTCTGGTCAGGTATGAATCTTGCTGGACGAACCAAGCAGTACAAGTGCGGCAGTCCACCCACCGATCGTAAACCTGTGCGAGCAACTTGGGGGTCTTGGTATAGTCGCCGGGGACTCGAGCCCGTGGTGACTCGACCTCGACCGAGGGAACGACACCTCGCTTCCGCGACTTGTTCAGTTTCTCGACCACAGTGCCAAGCTTCTCGTCTAGCTCCAAGGACTCGGATAAATCCGATAGGGCATCACGTTCACGAGACGCGAGATGCCTTTCTCCGTCGGGTTGACTTGCACCGGGGGTGGCAAGCTCATCCTTGCCAATCAGTACCGTATCTCGAACCGAAGCCTCGGTGGTCTCCTCGATTTTGATCTGGACGGAAATTTCACCAACGGATGTTGCAACTGTGGACGTGGAGGAGTGGTGGGATTCGTCCCCTGCGAGCGAACTAGGCGACGTGCAGTCCGTGGCGTTGGGGCTCTGGATGCAGACCTCATCAACGGCCTCGCTTCTGAGTTCAGTTTTCCGATTCCTGGTATTAAGTGCTGAGAGACCGGCGTTCGTAGACGACAGACCAGTCGCGGACTCGGGGGATGCGGGGGCGTCGGAGAGCAACAGCTCCGATCGCAGCTTCGAACTCTGCCGGGTGAATTTCGTGCGTTTGCGAGGGGTGCAGGATGGTGAGTGTTCGGAGTCGGTATCGGGGGCATATTTGCGTTTCTGAGGGGTGAGAAGGCCAGTGTCCGCACAGGCAGGCTCGTCACTTGGCTCGGAAGGCGCCCACCCATTCCGCACGGCACGTTCACACGTCAAACACAGACACTCGCAGTTGTCAATGCCAAAGTAGTCCTCGCCGTACGAGACCGTGATCTCCTCGCCGATATAAATGTCCCGGATCGCCACGACCTGCATGCCCTCCATGCCCCTCGTCACCAACCGCCCATTAGCATTACAGTCGTGATTGGCGAAGCGCGCCGGGCCCAGAAAGAACGACGGGGTCTTCCTCCTGCTCGACATCACGATGCTGAAATCCTTCCTCTTCAGATCCAAGTCCTGCTCCTCCTCCCGGGTCATGGGCACCAGGGTGCCGCTGAGGTACTTGATCTCCTCACCTTGCTTGATGAACTTACGGGCGCAGATGGCCGCCTCGTGCTCGGTGATCAGGTAGCGATTCGTGGTGGTGACCTCGAAGGGCGAATCCGGCAGATACATCTGGATATATTTGCGTAAGTGGCGGGTAAACCACTCCTTTTCGCGGTCGTTTGGCAACTTCGCCAGGAATCGCTTTAGTCCGTCCATGGCCAGAAATTTCCGCTCGGCGGTTGGCACATCCTTCTTCACGATCACGTCGTGGAGCAGGATGTTCGCAATCTCATCATCCTTGACCCGCCGTAGAGGAATGTATTTCGTCCGATTCTTGCGAGTGTTCGTCCAAAAGTGGGCCTAGGAGCGTACTTCAGTCAACAAGCAGTGCAGGAGCAGCCATCCCCGGTCAGTAGACGTACACGGTCAACGAGCGCATCGGTTGCGACATCATCATAACTTGCCAGCCTTGCCAAAGTCAGACGGTCGCGACGCTCAGCAGAAGGACTCGATCTCGCCTTCGAAGACGGCATGATGTTCCGCGAGGGAGGGCAAATCCCATGTAAGAAAAAATTTTTGGTGTTTCGAGTCAAGGAAGGGGAGCTCGAAGGTGGAATCCAAAAGAGGAGCGTCAATGCGTCAAGGGGAAGCGGCGGAAAGTCGGAGAAGGATCACTGGAAATGGATTCGGTACGAGGAAGCGCCAATTGGATGAGAAGGATAATTGTTAAGGGGGGTGGAAACTAAAGAGTGAAGGACAGGAAATCCGAAAGAATTGACATGATGAACAAAGGAAACAAGCTGGGCTAGAGTAAAGGTTAGCGCGCATGTAAGAGGGTGATTGTGATTGTGGTGGTGGAGTGGAAAGGTTTGTGATGGTGAGTGAATTGGGGGGGAGAAACACACAGATCCAAGCGCTGGTTGCCCATGCGATGAGCGGATGTCGAATTTACTTAGTCTGTATGACTAGTAAGGCTATGGCTATGGGTAAAGTATGGCTAAGTATGGCTAGTCAAGTAACTTAACTAAGTCTAACAGCAGGCACAAGTAACTTACAGTAAGTAATGAAAGAGTCTAGTCCGGGGTCGGTCATCGGCGAAACCTGCCGGCCCGGGACTTTGCTGCTGCTGCGGCTGCTGCTGGGAAATCTTTCGGGCAGTCCAGCCATATCCGATTGACCACCCCCATCGAACTACTGTTCTCCCCCCCCAGTTCAGGGCACCACAGTCACCATGATTCAACTAAAGGTGTGTGGGCAGAATTACTGCGCAAATTTGGATCTTGAGATCGGGTTGCTGACGCGGGTGAGCAGACGATGCTGAACTGCATCGACAACTCGGGCGCCGCCGTGGTCGAGTGTGTCCAGGTCTTGAAGAAGAAGCGCCCCGCCACTGTTGGTATGTTTCTACGACCTACGACTCCCTGTCGTTGTTTCGCTAACGAGGTCTTCTTCCGAATTAGGCGACCGCATCGTAGTGGTCGTTCAGAAGCAGCGTAACTTCGGCTCCGACTCGACAGGAAATTCCGGTATCGCCAACAAGGTCCGTCGTGGTGATATTCGTCACGCCGTCGTCGTCCGCGCCAGAAAGGAAATGCAGCGCCCCGATGGTTCGATCGTCCGCTTCGATGACAATGCATGTGTCTTGATCAACAAGGCTGGCGAGCCCATCGGAACCAGAATGAACGGTCAGTCCGGCCCCGTCAACAACCCTCTCAAACAACACGGCACTAATACAATCTACAGGCGTCGTGGCTACGGAATTACGAGGAAGACAGTGGTCGAAGATTTTGTCATTGGCGCCCATGCATGTATAAATTATACCTCCCGAAAGCGAATTGTTCTTTTTCACTTTGAATAGCTTGTACCAATAAACGGTTTGCATCTCTCTTTATTAAGATCTTCGCAACTTTTTCCCAGGCATCGCCATAACTCCACAACAAATAGCAAGAAAAGAGACCAACATCGGGTATCAGGTCGTCAAAAATAGACACAAACTCCAAGGTTACATGAAGACATTGCCGCACGCGCAGCACACATAGTAAAGTTTCTGAGGAAAGGAAGAAAAAGAAAGTCCACGTCAGCAGCAGGTTCGAGATGGGGAGATTGCAGGCAGAAGGCCTCACCATTCCGGTTTCCGCAGATCGCTGTTGCGACTGGAAGAAGACTGCTTCGGCTTCACCGCAGCTCGGGCAGAGCTTGTTGGACCGGGGAAGCTAATATGAAAAAAAAGGTGAGGGTTAGCCACAGGATCCCAAGGTTATGTGAAGGTAGCCCATGAGCGGGAACCAAGTCCGGTCTCAGTTCATCATGAAGTCATCATAGTCCTCTTCCGACCATGACTCCTCCGACCATGACTCGCAGACAAAGCAGGTAATCTCTTCCCCGCAGCGATCACAGAAACCCGGGAGACAAACCGTAGGATCAGATCCCACATCTGTGGTGACACCCGCAGTGTCGCCGACTTGGGTGTTGAGTTTGTTTTGGTAGACGCAGTAGGAGGTGGCGGGCTCGCCGACATGGCAGGTTCGACATGTGAACATCAGGCGGTTGTTGACGCGGTCTTCCTTGGGGTACAGCAAGTTGGAGCTAGACATTCTCGTCAGTGTCAAGTCAAATGGAGTAGATGGAAGGAGATGCGCGTACCATTCGCGACAGAAGCGAAAGTGAATCTGGTCGGCGCTCTTGGTTTCGCCGCCAGCGGAGGAGGCTGGGCTTGCAGACATTTTCGGCGTATGGATAGGACGGTGAGTGACGGTGTGGTTTGGAGAAAGATAGGAGTGATACGTTCTCGTGGTCTTTGACGGAAGTGCGAGTACAGCGCTGTGAGCGAAAGAATGAAGCGGTGGCTGAATAGACGGATGAGGGCTGAGGTATGGAAAGATAAGAGACGACTGGGAGATGGAAGTAGAAGTCAGAAGAAAGAGGCGGAGCGGAAGCAACAACAGCGTGGCCAGCCATGTGGAGAAGGTCTGTTGCAGTGTTTGTGTGGTTTGTATGGTTTGCACCGTTTGCTTGTGGCCCCCTCGGTCTCTTGCTCTCTTCCCCCGCAGTTTGTCCCGCAGTCGGACCTGCAGAAAGAACAAAGCTATACACAAGATCCCTTCCCCTCCCCGCTTTTCTTCTCAGCCTCTTTTTGTCATCATCAGACATCATAGAGAACTATAAACCTCTCTTAGAGACACAACACACACCAAACTTCACTACATTCACAATGGTATTGACACTGTCCATGCTCCTCTCAACTCATCTATACGCTCTGCAGTCATTGTTTCCCAAGCTTACTGCTAACGCCCAGCTTCCACTACAGGTAGAAACCGGTCTTCCAGCAGGGTGGGAGGTTCGCCACTCCAACTCCAAGAACCTCCCTTACTACTTCAACCCGAGCACCAAGGAGTCCCGCTGGGAACCCCCCGCCGACACGAACACCGAGAAGCTCAAGCTGTACATGGCCGACTACCACAGCGGGCCTGCAGGACACGGGATTGGCCAGGGTGAGGGAAAGATCCGCTGCAGCCACCTCCTAGTGAAGCACCGGGATAGCCGACGGCCCAGCAGCTGGCGGGAGGCCGAGATCACTCGGTCGAAAGAGGAGGCTATTGAGATCCTCCGCGGCCATGAGCAGCGCATCCAATCGGGCGAAGCTACCTTGGGCGACATCGCCATGTCAGAGTCGGACTGCAGCAGTGCCCGCAAGCGGGGTGATCTGTATGTGAACTTCTTGAAATGTGCGGCCTCGGGACTAATGTGTTTGCAGTGGATTCTTTGGACGCGGGGAGATGCAGAAGGAGTTCGAGGACGCAGCCTTCGCGCTGCAGCCGGGACAGGTCAGCGGTATTGTTGAGACCGCGTCTGGCGTTCATCTGATCGAACGGTATGTATGGAGTTTATATGGTAGATGGTTGGGTACTAACGATGTGTCTAGTGTTCAGTAAAGGCTTGGAGTTTTAGCTCTCATAGTTGGAAGAATATATACCTCGCTTATAACATCAGACGCGCTTGAGATTTCTTGTGACGAATGCATTAAGTATTGATTCTAGTCAGTAACACAATGTCCGGGGTAAGTTGATAGAGGTCATGGAGGTGGTACGGTTTGAGAAAGATATAGGGCTTGTGCTGCCTGGGGCAGGGTTGCTGCTCTCCATCACACCAGTAACACCAGTACACTTGTGAATAATTCACTTGAACTCGAATGGGCCATGATGCTCAACACATTTCCAGGATTGGCCTCTCTCTTCCTCTCCACTCTTTATTCTCTACATCCATCACACTTCAACTCATCTTCTTCATCTATCCTCACTCTCATCCTTACCATCTCCACCCATCCACCTCACCTCACCTCACCTCATCCAGAAACCAACCATCAACATCAACCCGATCTTCACCCCCAGAACCAAACAACATACACACACACATCACAACCACCAACCCAAAACAAAATGTCCTACCTCTCCACACGCACGCTGAACCCACCGCCCGGCCGCATAAGCTGGGACCACCGCACCCTGCACCCCCCGCACTGGGTGTTGACCATCATGCCTCCGACCACCCGCAAACTCATCGACCGCTGCTACATACTCGCCTTCAACAGCCTGCGCGCCCAACAGTACGTCGAACTCCACTTCGCCGCTCGCTACAAAGCCCTGTGCCCGGATGCCATCACCAGCCCCAGCACCAGCACCGATCCCTCCACCAACCCCACCACACTAGCAGAACCAGCAGCCGAACCAAATCCAGAACCAACACCAACTCAAACCTCAGCTACATCTACAGCTACATCTACATCAACTACAGCAACAGCAACAGCACCACCGCCACCACCACCCCACCAAAAACCCCACCCCGCTCCCCAAATAACGCACGTGCAATCCATTGACCGAATCTTCGCCTGGCGCACAGACTACATCCCCGGCGATCCCACCCTCGCCCCCTCAGCCAAGATCCCACGGTCCGCGGTGCGGTTCCACGTCGACCGGGCGGCGTTCGCAGCGTACACGGCGCGGTACACGGCGCTGCTGGACACGTACCTGACGACGTACTATCGGCGGTACCGGGAGGCGGTGGGGGCGGTGGAGCGGTCCCTGGTTCTCCTCCGGGGCGGTGCATCCACTAATGAAGCTGGGCAAGGGGACGGGTATGAGGATAAGGACAAGGACGGCGACAAGGCGCGCGAGATGCGGGAGCTGGACTGTCGGCAGCTCGAGTGGTGGTGGGGAACGGTGTTTCTGCGGGAGATGATGCGGTGGGAGAGTCGGATTCCGTTGCTGCGGATGCCAGGCTTTGAGGTCGTTGTGGGGGAGGTGTATGAGGCTGTGAGGCGGGCGGTCGAGGAGGAGGAGGTTGTTGTTTGGGAGGGATGTGATTTGGATTGTGAGCAGTAGAAAGGGTTAAGGGTTGGTGGGTTGAGATTATTGGGATTAAGAAGGTGAGAAGAGGTGCAGGACTAGCTGGGTGTTAGTTACTGAAGCTGAGATTGAACAGAAGAAGCATTGTGGTCGAGTTCATGGGTACAGAGAACAAGACAAGGGAAAGAGCACGGAAACATACAGAGGGACACAAGAACCTTCACATGACCACAACCACCTCAACCTCAAGCAATAACCAAATATTGCAAACTCTATACTAATACTCAATACCAACATTCTTTCCTACCTCAAACCTAGTCCAAATCACCACCACCGACCCTAAAACCCCGGACCACCCCCAAACTTCTCACGTGAACCTCCAACCCTAACTAACTACATAAAGCAACCGGGGAATCTCAGCAACCTGATAGTTCAACCCCCAAGCCCAACCCCAAATTTCAACCCATGTAACAGCCCTTAAACAAAGAACAACCCCATACAAACCCCCATAAAAATGACACCTCCTACAAAGAGCTCCAAACAAAACAAACCCCATTGTCCATCTCCCAATCCCATCCCATCCCATCCGACCCAGCCTTCCTCCCGGCGTAAACAATATAAAACCACCCCCAACTACCACACCAGCCCACCTACCAACCACCCAAGCAGTCACATCATCACCCCTTCTCCTGACTAGGTACAGTACTAGCTACTATACTACTACTACTACTACTACTACTACTACTACTACTACTACTACTACTACTACTACCACACATCCCCCAAACCCCAAAGTTTTCCGAGGTAAAGACAGAAAAATGTGCACCTCGACAATCCGCACGTACAAATGCGGCTGCGTCTACGACGAGTGCACAACGCGATGCCCCGAGTCCCACACCAACCCTGCCAGCACCACGGACCAAGAGTCCTGTCCCGGGGTGGTCGTGGAGCGGATCGGCGTGGTGGACGGATCGTGCGAGGAGTGCGCGCGGCTGGAGGAGGAGCCCGTGGAGGTATACTCGGACGGGGCGGTGTCCGAGTCAGATGCTGCCGACGTCACCTACGAGCATCTGAACAGTCCGGCGGCAGGCCCCAACACCGTGCCTTATGCCTCCGGGATGTGGGAGCGGGAGCGCCTGGTTATGTATGACTTTAAGGACTGGGTAAAGTCGAGGACGGGCCGGGAAGGTCACGGTAAGATGCAGCAGCAGCAGCAGGGCGGGAATGCGGGCCGCGGGAATAGTCCCCCCCAGCCGCCGCCGCCACCGCCTTCGGATGATGGGCTTGATGATGATGATGATAAACAGTGACCGTGGACAGCAATAACAGTCCTGAACCACGATTATTGGGTAGGTCTGGGATCTGCTACGTTTTCTGCGCCTTATAGTGAACAAATTGAAATATCTTTTTGTGAAATTGAATATCTTTTTGTCGGATAGAAAAGTCCTCGCGTATCAGGAAGAGGTATAGAACGACGATAATGTCTCCAAGTTTTCATTTAAGCATTAATACCGCAGATCAGATAGTGGTGTTGAGTCGTTCCAACCGGGACGTGATCGAGTCGATGATTGCAGACCTGCCAGCGGATTAGTATGTCATCGGCAAAAACCCTAACTAGAACTCACTCTCGTTCCACCATTCTCATCGCTTCCCCAACCTTCGTCCGTTGAAGTCGGTATGGGATCGTCGGTTGCGCTGAAGCTGGGCTGCTGGCGTCGACAGCGGGAAGCCTAGCTGCAACCGACTTCGCTTCGGCAAGCATATCGCGTGCGAGTTCCTTGGCCTGCACATCATTATATTAGCTCAGGATCGACCCGATAATTGGAGAGAGCACTTACCGTTTCGAGGCGTTGTGCGATGGCTTGACGACTTGGCTGGCCCAATTGCGAGTCCTCCGTCGATTCGCCGAACGAATCACCGAGTCTCTTCACCTCCTGGAACCATGCCTTCTCTTTGTCGCTCAAAGGTCTGCCGCCAGATTTCATGAGCTTACTCCGAAGAGCCTCGTATCGCTGCACAAGCTGGGTCTGTCTGTCCTTCGCGGCCTGGAGTCTCTTATCGAGGGCCTCTCCGGTCCGAGATCCTTCGATCCGCTTGCCGTCCTCACCAAGCTCACTGGAGACACCCCGGACCCTATCCGCAACGTCAGCCAATTGTTTCAGTTGGTCACGCATCTCCCCCTGCAAGCGTTCACATCGGCGGAACAGATCCGAAGCAGCTCTCTCCAGCGCGTTCGTGTGCGCGGACAGAATCCGATGGGCGGCAGCAACTAGATCAAGGGTCGCAGGCGACAAGCGAACTTGCTCCTTGAGGGCCTGGCGCTGGCGATGCGGAACATGCTTCTCCACAAAAGTATTCAAGGGTGATTCCGAGTAGAAGATGGGTGGCACTTGATAGGGAGGGCGGCGAGGCGGGAGTACAGGCGAACGAGGTCCTTCTTGCGAGTCGAAGATCTGCAACTCGCCAATCGAAGGCAAGGAGACCTCCGGGGCGTCCAGGATCGCAGCATAAGGAACAGAGCCGCGGGATGTTAGAAGCAGGTACCCCAGGTCGTAGTCGTAGTAAACCAAAGAGGCTGGCAAATGAGCGGAGTGGTCCTTGTCCTCCCCAACGTTATCATCCACTTCGATGAGCTGCTCTCGCAGAGACGCGGTGCCTTCACACAGGACTTGCAGGCGGAACCCACTTCCACTTGTGTCTTCCGACTGCAGTTCGGCTTCCAATCTCTGCACCCAGGAACCAAGGGAAAAGAAAGTCACATTGGTCGCTGTAGTGACGAAGAAGTTGTAGCGGGAATAGACATCCTTGGTAAATGTCGGCCAGTGGTCCGCCTGTGCCTTCACGGTGTCCAATGATTCCACCAACAGTAGGTCGCATGGATCGGATACTGGCGTGCGGAAAACATTTTGCCGGCTCTTGGGGAGCCACTGCCCTTCAACGCCATCAAGCTCCAGGCAGACATAGATCCTGCCACTTCCACTTGACAAGCAGATCACGGTAGCCGACAATTTGTCCTCCCCGTCGTCTTCCAGCGCCAGGTCAACCTCCTCACCCGTCATGAGAGCGTCGATGTCAGCCCTAGCAGCAACGATAAGGATATCGCATAGGTCAAGGTCGTCAATCTCGTCACCGGTGTCCAGACGGAAGGGACCCTGCAGTCTCGGGATAGCGCTGGGGGTTGCAGGGCGTGTACGGACTTCGTAGTCAGACTCAACATCAGTGAGCAGCGGCTCCTGGGTGTCAATTTCAGTGAGCCAGTCATACTGTTGACGGCAAGCCGCGAGCTCATCTTCAAACTCCGCAGGATCCTCTTGCAAACTCGCGAGCTTTGGAAGGATAGCTGTAGTAAGTGCCGGGACAGTCGTCAAAGGCGCTCTCCACTTGGTGGGGAGCAAAGGACACAAAGCGTACAAATCGCCCGGCCGCATCGCAACCCAAAGGGTCATAGGAGCCCAGGCATCCTCCTTGGCAACACCGGTGCCACCAAAGGCAGCGGAGGCTACTTCCATATCGATGTAGTCCGCCGAAAAACCCTTGTTCCTTCCGAAACCCGAGGGCGCGAAATCCTCATCGCATGACGTTCCATCGATCAACTTCCGCAGGTCCACCGCCAGCGTCGGTCGATCAAAAGACCAATGGTTATTGCGATCAATTTCCCACACCCGGACGGCAGCATCCGCGGTGACTGTTACCAGACAGCCTGCCAGGTTGCTGTGTACCCCTAATGGATGCCATAGTGCGGAAACAACAGGAGACTCGGGGATAACGTGCGTGGTTGGTCCAAGCTGGTAGGTCTTCACGCGAATTGGAAGGGTGTCAGTGCCAGCCAAATGCGACGGGTCTGGAAGGACTGCGATGAACACGGTGTGGTCGGCTACGATAGCCAGGAAAGCGCCATTGGGAGACGGAACAAGTTGACGGATATTCTCGTGAACCGGGGTTAACAAGACCTGCATGCTATAAGCTATCGCCCATTTTGCACTCGTCGAGTCGTATTACCTTGTAATGCACACTCTTCTCATTCTCAGGTCGTGTTTCCGTACTTCCGTTCTTCAGTCGTCTCTGATGCTGCCATTCGTCCTTGACCCTAGTGAGATCGGACCAGCGGATCTGGTTGTTTACCACAGTAAACAGCTCATTCCCTCTCTTGGCCTGGATGCGCTTGGGCCCCGCATACTGCTGAGCTTGAGCTGGCTGAAGGTTTTCGGGGTGTTTGGTGCCTGCGCTGGAGAAAATCGAAGCACCTGGCGAAGGGCGCGAAAGCCAGGGCGGAGTGTAGCTGATGACTTTGGGCATGATCTGGAAATATTTTCGATCACACAATGAAGATGCAGATTATAGACCCATGCCGCAGGGAGCAGTGATAGTGAGAGAAGAGAGGGGAAATGACAAAAAGACGGGGAAGAGGAAGGAAAGGTAGGATTCGAGGTTGCGGGACAAAGTGTAGGGCGGGAGGAGCAGCAACAAAGTAGTAACTGAACAGCTCCAGCAGCGGCCGGGCAAAAATCCACCGCAGACGCGCGCCAAGAGTTTCCCATTCCATCACTTGAGCTCGGCTTCCACCTCACTGTCCCCAAACTTCCCCTTCTCCGTCTTCCTTTCCCCTCGTCCACGTACTATTTCATCTCTCACTCTCTCTCACTACAACCAGGACTTTCTTGGGTATCTCAGTGGGCGCATTCCGACACAATGAGCACGGTACCGCACAATACCGTGGAGAGACTGGACCGTCCCAGTGCCTACTATGTGGGAAAGGTATAGCTTCACCCAACCATTTAACAGTTCAAGGCAATGGACAGGATCATTAACCCTTCCGCAACTCGCATAGAACAAGAGACGCAAGTACAGCCACGACGAACCCGAGAAGCAGGAAGAGCCCGCCGACAATCTGAAGAATGCCACGACCCTTTATGTCGGCAACCTGTACGTGCTTCCAAGCTGGACTACACCTCCACAGACCCGCCATTAATTCGTACTGACTGCTACAGTTCTTTCTACACAACTGAAGAACAGATCCATGAGCTTTTCGCAAAGTCAGCCTCGCCCTCTCCCCTGCCGACCACGGACCACAAATTGACCAAGCTTTAGGTGCGGAGAGATCAAACGTCTTGTTATGGGGCTCGATCGATTCAACAAGACCCCTTGCGGATTCTGTTTCGTCGAATACTACACGCACCAGGATGCTTTGGACTGCTTGAAGTATATTGGAGGCACCAAGCTCGATGAGAGAATCATCCGCACGGATTTGGATCCCGGTTTTGAGGAGGGCCGACAATACGGGTATGATCATGGGTTCAATCATCAAATCCTCTTGCATGGCACTGACATTTGGGCAGTCGCGGAAAGTCCGGTGGTCAGGTTCGCGATGAATACCGCGAAGAGTACGACCCCGGTCGCGGTGGCTATGGTCGGGCATACGCCGACGACCAACGACGGCGCGAGGAAGAAGAGTACGGTAAAGGTAGGTAGAAAGCAACAATGGTTCCATCCGGTTGGCGCAAATACGGCGTTTATGTACAATCTATTTTCTATCGCTATTGCTTGGTGTAAAGAGAGGCATGTCCAAAGAAGTTTTCGTACCCAATACCCCATGCGGCGGCAAGAATGATGCTCAATGGCATTTTCATTCATGCAAAGCATCCTCTCAGTGCTCTTCGTTTCTCTTACGGACCGACTCCTCGACCTGGCGCAACCACCACAGGTGGATTCTGGCATCTGCCGTCAACTCCGGGTGGAAACTGGTCCCGAAAACATTGCCTTGCTTGACAGCAATGATGTCACCCGTCTCCTTCTCGGGGTCAGACTCGCAGGCTATCTTGGCGGCTGTCCCAGGCAGAGTGGCCAGCACCTGCACATGGTCCTCCATGGCGGCCAGGGCTGCCTCGCTCTCCGCGTGTCGAGAAGGTGCCACGACGGTGTCATCTAGCTTGGCCTCACCCACTTGGATACCCTCTTGGTGTGGGAGAAGCTTCTCAACAACCGGGGCGCGAATAAAGACGGCTGGGAACGCGGGCTCATCGGAACCCAAGAAGGGCAACTCCAGTGGCGCCTGGAAGCTTTCTGTTTGCCGGCCGAAATGGTTTCTGTTCACGCGCACATCAAGACCTCCGATCAATTCCTGGCCGCCTTTCTTCGTTCGGTTCGCCGACTCCGCGAGGAGGATCAGGCCGGCGCATGTTCCCCAAGTTGGTTTCCGGTGGACTCTGCCGTGGAGAAAGGGAGGCAAATGTTAGTCGAGGGCCAAAATGAGTCAGTTCTAGTAACGTACTTGACGAAGTCCCTCAGGGGCTCCAGGAGATTGGACCGTGCCGCGACGAGGGACATTGTGGTGCTCTCGCCCCCGGGCAGAACGAGCGCATCGCACCGGGCCAATTCCTGCGGGGTGCGGACTTCGATGAACTCCCATTGTGCCTTGGAAACATTGTCATTGGCGGATGCAGTGGTCGCGGCCTGCTTCAGCAATTGCACATGTTCGTAGAATGCGCCTTGCAAAGCAAGGACTCCGACGGTGATGTTGCTCATTGTGGGAGTGTGTTGTAGAATTTGGTAGTATGTAGAAAGTCGGAGCGCCACTTTGAGTCAATCAATCGACCGATCGCCGCGGGAAACCCCATGTCTTCCGCCCGTTGGAGGCGGATCAACCCTCGGACCGTGCTTATCACCACGTGACACTCCCCGCAGGCAGATATACCCCATCAGGCAGGTGAGGATTGAATTGATTGAGCTGAGCTGACACAATCCTTTTTTCGTATAATCCAGGTTTCTTAACCCTGGCAAGCTCTGAATAGAAGTCAGCACTCAGACCCTTCTCGAGGACTTCCAACCACCTCCGTGAATCCCTCGCGCGCGACAATCCGTCAGCCCAACTCCACTCGCAACTCTGTTTACTCCTGTCATCCACCCCGCAGCGCACCTATACGTACCCCGACACATATACAACCACAAACACCAGCAATAACCACCACCACCACCCAGTCCCAAAACACCACCCCAGACATCAAAATGACCACCACCACAACAACAACAACAAATACACCCCCAAAACCCCCAACCCTAACAAGATGGTACATCGACACCCGCCCCCTAACCGCAACCGCAAACCCCGCCAACCTCCCCCTAATCACGACCCTGCAACCCGACGACCAAACCTCCATCCGGCGCTTCCACCACCTCAAAGACAAGCACATGTCGCTCGCCTCCAACCTCCTCAAGTATCTCTTCATCCACCGCAGCTGCCGCATCCCATGGGACCGCATCACGCTCTCGCGGACACCGGCCCCGCACCGCCGGCCATGCTTCATCCCCAGCGCCGCCCTCCTCACCGAGCAAACCACCGCCCACAAAGCAATACCGAGTATTGAATTCAACGTCAGCCACCAGGCCTCCCTCGTCGCGCTAGCAGGCACCATCATCCCCACGGACGGACAGTCCACAGAGGGAATCCCGCAGGTCGGGATCGACATCACCTGCACGAACGAGCGCCAGCCCTCCAGTAGTAAAAGCAATGCGCCAACCGCACCCCGCGCAACCTTCACCAACTACGTCGACATCTTCGCCGAGGTGTTCTCGGCCGAGGAGATCCGGCTGATCAAGACGCTCCAGCCCCCAACCACACATGACACGCCCCAAGAATCCTCCAGCGACGGGCTCGAGTACAGCTACCGCGTGTTCTACGCATACTGGGCGCTGAAGGAAGCCTACATCAAGATGACGGGCGAGGCGCTGCTGGCGCCCTGGTTACGGGAACTGGAGTTCGCGGGGGTCGTGGCGCCGGAGCCGGGTTCCCCTCCCACAAAAGTGGGGGAGCCGTATACCGGGGTGCGGACGACGTTGCACAAACAGCCGGTGGAGGCGGTGCGGGTGGAGATTGTCGCCTTTGAGCAGGATTATCTGATTGCGACGGCGGCCAGGGGGCCGGGGATTGGGGCGCGGAGGGGTGGTGGTGCGGATACTGCACAGCAGGACACGTGGGAAGCGCTGCGGGAGATTGATATTGAGCGGGATGTTAGGCCTTGTGCTGAGGGGAGGTGTCGGTGTTTGGAGTAGTGGATGTCCAGTATTTGCGTTGTATGGTGATATCTAAGGAGAAGGAAGATTGGTTTGTTCCAACCACCCCAGAGTGCAGCTGAGCGCGATGGTCACGTTACGATTTTGTCCGGAAAGTCCCAAGTAGCAATAGTGCTGGTATATACACTCTAGAAGGAAATGGTCTCAGTCTATGAATACAAAGCTTCTTGAATACCACTCGGATCTAGGGATCGTCTACCCCATGGACGAGCAGATCCTCGTCCGCTGTCTCTGCCAGCCAATCCTCCAGTCTTCTTCCCCTTATCCTCCCAAAGTTGGCTCCTGCAAGGCCTAACCAGAAAAGCGATTGCGGCATTGCTCCGATAAAAGAAAGTAGGTAAGCGGAGAGAAAGAACAAGGTAATATCGACGCGGGAGATGGCTGGAGGACACAGGGTGCCAGACCAGAGAAAATCTCTCGCCGTAGGATCCACCCTCTCCCAAAGCATCTGATTAAGTACGGTGAGTGGCTGCATGGTATGATCGGTTGAGGACGTGGAATCGTAAAAGATGAATAATAATAGGGAAGGCACGAGCACGGGATATCAGTAGAGTTTACAAATGCTCGAATGCAGGGCGCTTCTCGGTCGTGAATGAGTCGATCATGATATCACGTAAACTGTATCGTCATGACACGAGATCTAGATCTCGACGGCAGTGGAGGTGCCATTGGCGACAGCGGAGCCAATCTCCGTCTTGTCCTTCTCCGACAGTTCAAGAAGAGTCTTGAGCATCGACGCTTGCGTCGACTTGGTGAGACTGTCGACGTCGGCGGGGGTCAGACCCTCGGTGCTGATCGGCGGAAGGACTATACTTGTGTTAGTCACCAAGATATAATCGAAAGACACATCCCGGACCCAAAAACGCACCCTTGATCTTGATAGTCCCCGCATTGAATCTCATATTGCGGGGAGACAGGACGTGGGAGTAGTTCTCCGTGACGACGGGGACGATCGGCACACCAGCCTTCACAGCCAGGTGGAAAGCACCCTTCTTGAAAGGCAGCAGCTCCGGGTTGTCGGAGTAGCTCCGGGTGCCCTCAGGGAAGATAAAGACGCTCTGGCGATGCTGACGCATCTCCGCGGCGGCGCTGTCGAACGCCTTGACGGCCGTCTCACGGTTGGCACGGTCAATGAAGACGGTCCGGGACAGGGCCATGAACCAGCCGAGGAAGGGCACATATTTGAGCGACTTCTTGGCCGTGACGCTGCAGTAGGGCGGGAAGATGGCGCCCAGCATGAGCACGTCCAGCTCCGACTGGTGGTTGGAGATGAACACCGCCGGGCGAGTCGACAGGTGCTCGACCCCCTCCACAATATCGAACTGCACACCGGTCGTATACCGCATCACCCACTTGAAACTGCGCGCCGTGGCCCACTGCGACACCCGGCCGTAGCCGGCCAGGCGCAGGACGATCGAGGCCACAACGCCATAGGTGGCGCACAGGAGGAGCGACCCATAGGCTGCGAGGCAGCGAGCAACGAACGCGGCGCGAGGAACCTTCTGGCCGAGGGCGAATAGAGAGAGCGTGACCACGACGAACGAGCTGATGCCCGAGGCAACGTAGGAGAAGAAGGACATGACGAGACGCGACAAGGAAAAGGGCTGGTCGGAATTGAGACTATGGGGCTGCATTAGAAAGATTCGAGTCAGATCAGGGTCCTAGGGCGTATAAATGAGGGAGGGAAAGATGAGAGGCTGTAAATGAGAATAGAGGGAGGGGCACATCTTTCTCATTCGTAGAAAGAGATTGGGGGGGGAAATGGGAGATTCAACGAACCGAAACAAACCGCTGGGGGAAGGAGAGATGGGAAGGAACTGCTGGGGTGGTTGGATGATGAGGTCAGGCGAGTGGTTCTCTGAGAGAGAGAAGAACTACAACATCACCCGAGGAGGGAGGGTAGCAGGATCAGGGGTGACAATGGGCAACAATGCGAATGACTTTTAAGAAGAAGAGTTGAGTCAATCCAGGAACAGGGACTAAATGTGGGGAATTGACCAGGGGAGGCGAACAACTCAACAATCAATTCAATTCATTCAAGTCAATTCATCCCAACTGGTTTTTTGACTTTTGGGCCGATTCCTCCGCCGCCTCTCACCGCCTTCACCCTGCTTTTTCCCCGCCTGGAGAAGCCGAGGCTCATTTGAACCATGAACTATAGTACCGTAGTGAGTATACTCCTAAGTTCAGCACTGATTCTCATTGCTTTGCTACTAACGATAGACTGCATAAGGCACCATAAGAATATCTCTCCATTATGTGCATGGACCCGATCGTTCTGGCGTCCTTATCTCGGGTCTCGCAGTCAACCCACTCACCCTCCATCCATCCATCCATCCATCCTCCCCTACGCTAAGATACAATATCCAGGAGCCTCAACACCCCGTTGAGAGCCCAATGCAGGAAGATGCCCTCTAACCAACCCACCGGCAAACGCCCTTATAATGCTGATGCTTGCACGAATCTGATCCAGGAAGAAAAAGAAAAACACAAACGCCGATCCTCGCCCAATGATGATCCCACGCCGCAGATTGGGTTCGGAAAAACAACCGCAGGCTGAAGGACAAGACTAACAAGGTACAATAATGGAAATGAGAGTATTGGAGGGATAATTCAGGAGACCACGGGGGCAATGGTACAATCATGCAATATCCTCGTCGTCGTCATCGTCGTCATCCAAGGATTCCATAGCGTCCTTGATATACTGTGCCGCCTAGTGCACGAGATTAGTATTGCTTCGGACCAGCAGGAGCAAAGAGGTGACTTACCTTGGGATCCAAATTCAAGGCGGTGGTGAAATGTTTGATTGCATTGGCTTTTTCGTGTAACATCTTGTAGAGTTTGCCTAGAAGATAGTGAACGTTGGCTTCGTCGGGAGCCATGTCTTTGAGGATCTTCAATTCGGCGAGCGCTAATTTCAGCTCCTGGAGCTTCATCAACACGCGAGCCTTGCGGAAGCGAGCAAGAACTGAATGGGGAGCGAGAGAGCAAGCACGGCCGTACTGAATGAGAGCCGCCTTGGGATTGTTCATTTTCTCCAGGACCAGGCCAATACAGCATATAAGCACAGCGTTGGTCGGGTTGATCGTGGCCGCGTTGCGGAAGTGTTGTTCGGCGAAGTCAAGCTTGCCCATCTTATCGTATACCGTGCCCAATCCGTACCAGGCATTGTAATGCCGACTGTCGGCGCTGATTCCATGTCGGTACGCATCCAGGGCTTTGTCGTATTCCTCATTCGCCACGTATTCGTGTCCCTGGAGGGTGAACCCGTAGGCAAAATGAGGATCCAGTTGCGTCGCACGCTTGAAGCACTTCAAAGCTTGATCGTGGTCACGTTGATGAGAGAAGGAGTTGCCCACAGCACACCAGGCCTGCGGGGAGAGACGATCAATCTCCATCAGCTCATGGGCCAGATATGCCAGTTCCACGTCGCTCTTTAGGTGCCACAAGACCGTCGAATAGATCTCCATATCCTCTAATCGTGAAGGAGCCATGGTCTTGACCCGGATGAAGTACTTCTCCGCTTCGGAATACATGGCTTGCTCGTAATATGCCCGCCCGATCTGCGAAAGAACCCAGGGGGTCTCCCGCTGGCCTTGGGAGAGGGCTGTGTAGATCTGAATAGCTTCGGGACACTTGTACCGGCAAAGGGCGAAATAGCCAGAGGCCAACTTCGAAAAGAGCTCCAGCAGCCAGTTCAGCGCCTCCATCGCCTTTGACCTCTCCAATAACGTCCCCTTGGCGGGAGGATGATGTACCCCATTGGGCGCCGAAATGCCTGAGCGATGCTCCCTTGGTTCACCATCATGAATTTCGTTCAACTGTTTTCGCGAGCCGCTCACAACACGGTTTAGACTCGCGCCTGTTGCAGTGCGGCTCTTCGTACTAGTGGCCTTGACCTTCTTGAGCTCCCTACCATCCTTGGCTCCGAGCGTCGTATTGGACAATTTGCTAGTGGTCGGTTTGATCTGATTGAAGAGTCGGACGCTCCGCCGTTGCGGTGCCCCTGGCTCGGAAGGCGGTTGCGCTGAAGGGTGAGCCACTTGGCCTGAGACAGTTCGTTTACGATCTCCCACCCGAGAACCGTTGATGGCGTCTTTCTCTGGATGTAACGCGTTTTGCTCTTCTGTCTCGATGCGGGTCCTCGTCCGTGGTCTGATCCCCGTTGGTTTCATCTTTGGCGGTGAATCCATGGTATGGTCCACTCCGATGGCTTGGATTGTCCGGTTCTTCCGAGCTGGTGCTAAGGGCGGCTCCCACGTACCTTCGCCGCTACCGGTCCGGTTGAGGCCACGAATCTCATCGGATTCGCTGCTCTGACCTCCGGGTGTCTCAGTGCCTTCCCGAACTGCTGGGGCCGTGCCTGTCCCTGTTGACGCCACGCTGACTGTGCTCCCATTCAGCTTTTCCCATAGAGCCGAGCTACCGTGAGAGGCTGTCGTCTCGCTTCGAGACGCCAATGACGTAAATGGATCCATGCTCGAATTCGCTTTAGCCTGTGGTTGCAAAGGGCCACCATTGTGTGTCGTCTTGTCGGAGGGGATGTCCAGGTCCTCTTGCGAGGAGGATGATACTAGAGCATGGAACTCGGGGTTCATCTTGAAGATGTTCGGAACTCGAATATTGACACCTTCGAAATTACTTTTAGCAAAGCTTTCGCAACCGATGTTGAACTGCAAGCGACTCACCCGTCTCGCAAAGACCCAGAAACGCGTCCCACATGAACGGATTCAACTTGAGCGACTCAACATAGCATTCTACCGCCTTATTGTGTTGATTGTGAGCGTGCCACAGCTTACCCAGTAAGCACAACACTGCTGCCGCATCCGGGAGATGTTGTCTGCGCGTCTCGCTGTGCTTGTCTAGAAGTAAACAAGGAAAACAGAGGTCAGCCCCAAGCCGCATTACAAAAAAAGAAATAGGTGTCGCGAATGACCGCATCATGCCGCCGAAAACTCAAGCAGACTCACTCCAATGGTTTTTAGAAGCCCAAAGGCTTTTACTCCGTTCCAGCGCCGTGATGCCGTCGATATATTTCCCCAGGTCCAGACAAGCTTGCGCGAACACATATGCGCAACCAAGATGCGTGCCGCGGGATCCAAAGTTCTTGCTATAGTCATATGCTGCTTTTACCTGGCCATTTTGGAGATGGCATAAGGCGAGCAGGTACGATGCTTCCGATGCGCGCGGCTCATAGGCGTGCAAGCGGCCGGCAAGGAAAAGCGCGTTACGGACCAGGTTGTTATCGAGGTGATAATAAATCAACTGCCGCAGCTGGCTCGATATGTGAGCGGTAGATGGCGACATGGTTTCTTTGCGGTTTCATTCAAGGAGTCGAGGATGGAGGTATTGCGTGAATCGGAAGGATAGGAGGGAGTGTCTGTGCAAGGGAGGTCGAAACAAGAAAAAAAGAATGAAACTCCTTCTCAATACCGATAAGTCATTAGGTGAGTAAGTAAGCAAGTGGTATTTTCTTAACACTAGAGTCGTGGGAAAGGCGCGGCGAGAACAAAGGCGAGGTGACGAGGTCGCGGTGCCGGCTCTCACTGCATGGATGAAATGCTTGTCAACAGCCACCGTAATCCCGGACCGAAAGGCGCAAAGCGTTGTCGCAGGGCCAGTCCCTGCCTAATAACTGGGACGGAGTCCTCCTCCTTCCCTTTTTCCGAAGATTATCGAGAGTCGAGAGAGGGTGAGAGTGAGGTCGGAATAAACCCAGTGGATGACGTCTCGCGAGAGGGACAGACTCGTGACGACGATTGGGAGAGGGAGGGGCGAGTCTAGAGGGATGCTAGGAGGAGATCAAATTGCATATCGCAGCGATGACAGAAGGGTGGAGCATGAACAGTGCCTGGAACTAGCCCCAAGCTGGCGGGAGAGAGTTTCGATGCGGTGAAGTCAAGTTAAGTTAGGGACCGTGTCGTCACGACGCTCTCTTTTCGGCCATGCGATGTTTTGGGGGGGGGGGGGGGGGTGGGGGCAAAGCAAGCAATTCCGAGCGTGGCTGGTGGAGAGCGAGGCGCGGGCGCTTGTCCGGTTGTGGTGGTTGTGGTGGTTGTGGTGGTTGTGGTGGGCAACGCTATTCTGCCATTCCCTCTTCCGTCTGCAATTGAGTTACTCCGTAACCACCGCCGATTGCAGCTCCGTCAGGAAGAAGTGACCCCTGGGTGATCATGCCGCATTGCTACTGAGAGTGTTGAAGGCTATTACCATTCTGTTATCGCATATCACAAAAGAAAAATCCCACATCCCAAATATCCATTGAAAGTATCCGCATCTACCGCCTGCCCAGCCGTTCCCCACCACGCGACCTCAGGCACATCATCCGACATACACATACTCGTTAAGACCAGATCACCTCCCACCTACAACCACCCACTACTACCACCACACACAAACATGGCTCAGGTTCTACCCCCCAACTCTACCCCACATCCAGACCCCTACTAACCACCGCCCCCCAAAAAAAAACAGAAAGCAGCCAAAACCCTCGCGGCGCGCAACACGGCCCTCCTCCAGCGCACCCACCTGATCAGTCTCGGCCTACACGCCCTCTACCTCGCCCTGCACTGGACATTCAACCGCCCGCGCGTCCTAAAGCCCTACATCTTCCTTGCGGTTCCGACGCTCCTCATTGAATTCTACCTGGACCGGCTCGGCCGGCCGCGCCACAACCCGGCGGACGGCTCGCTGCGCTCCCCCGGGGAGGACCTCGGCGCCGCCGGGCTGACGGAGTACATGTGGGACGTGCTGTACTGGACGTGGGGCTGCATTGGGGCCGTGTGCCTGTTCGGCGACCGCGCCTGGTGGCTGTGGGTGGTCATCCCGCTATACTCGGGCTGGTTGGCCTACTCCACGTTCATGGGAATGCGGAGCGGGCTGGCGGGGATGGGTGGTGCTGGCGATAATGGCGGTGGTGCTGCTGGGGCTGGGGCTCCGGAGAGTAAGAGGCAGAAGAAGTTGGAGAAGCGGGGTGGGCAGAGGGTGCAGTATCGGTGAGGTGAGGGGGTAGGACGTGTGGGGAATTTGAGTTGTTGCGGTTTCCATTTCATGGTTATTTGAAATGGATTCATGGTATTTTGAAACTGTATGTGGGATGAGCATGGTCTCTGGAATGACTGGGTTGCTATGGACTCCCATGTACGCTTTTGTTGTATAGATGAAAAGTGGTTTACGTATAATCGGATCATCGAGATGCACAGACCTCAACTTCGAGTATGCCGGTAGTGGGTGGGACAAGGAAGTTAATTACGGTATGGTTTATCCCAGTGCAAGTGCCTGTCATGAAGATAGCTTGGGGAAGCGGTCTAATAAAATAGCCAGGTGTTGTACAATAGGAATCGATATATTGGTCGTGACGTACAATCGTAGGAACTATGTGGGGAATATTCAAGCTCACGATCGACAAGATGTGAAAGTCAGGAATAGAGAAGAGAGACACATAAGGATATCAAGCACAGAGGAAAAGCAAAATAAAAGGAAAAAAGAGAAAGCAAGAAACAGAAAGCCAAATACTGTCAAGCCACGGTAAAGATCGTGCGGGACATGGTCTTTATGATTCAGCCTCAACGTCGTCTTCCATGCTTTCGGTCTGTTCATCAGAGTCATCCACACCAGTCTCAACTGCGACGGGTTGGAAGTCACTCGCACGGGAGGTCAGGCTGACATATTGTGACTCCGCACTCTCCATGGCTGCTTCGACGTCCTCCGGGTCCTCGGGGGATTCTTGCTGTTCATGCGCTGGGTTTGGCACGTCGGTTGCGGCATGCGCAACAGTCCGTTCGGAAGCAATTTCCTCGGCCACCACAGAGGCAAGAGGAGTAGTCTCGTCGACTGGAGTAGCTGCTGGCGTTGTCAAAGCATCGTCAATGACGCTGACTGGTGTCGAAGGTGCCGCCAAGCTCGATGCCGAGGATGATACCGAGGATGACGCTCCGGATGGCCTCGGTGTCTTGTAGATGGCGCGGAGTTGTTTCATGACATCTTCGGCGAACTCAACATCTTTGCCGACAAGCAGCCCCGAAATGAGTTTCTCGATAGCCTCCTGCTCCTCGGAGCCCAGGTGACCTTCCTTGGCTTTGGGGGAAGAGAGAACTGCTGCGGCCACGCCCCATGCTGCCTGGTCGGATGCATCGAGGTTGCTGGTGCCGGCGACGTCGGCCGGGATATCCAGTTGCTCGGCGGTGAACTCCGCGGAAGCACCATGGTTCTCGAAAGTCTCGGGGCTTGTCTGGGATGTCTCGTCCAGACTGATTTCATCAGCAGTGTCTTCTTCGGAAGTGGCGGGCTCTGGAAGTGATGGCGGGGGTTCAGATCTCGTATCAAAGTTGTCGCTCGCTTCCCGCGCCGAAATCTTCCATTTGCCGACTTCCCTCAATCTCGCAAGCTCCTTCGCAGCATCCTCAGCCACAACCATTCCTCGTGACACTGTTTCCTCGGCAGCTGAAACTGCTTCTTCGACCTTAGCATGTTTGATTCCAAAGGCGATAAATTGATCTTTCCAATCCTCCATTTCTGCTTTGAGTGCGTGGTATCTGGCCCAGTCTTTGTAGGTAACACCATCCATCGACGCCCAGCGGATGCCCACCTCTTGAAACCCGAGATCACGAACATTATCGAGAACTTCGAGAGTACTGTTGACTGCGGCATGAACGCGACGCATGAGCTCATTCTCGAACGAGTTGCGCCATTCCCGGAGAGCATGAGCACGGCCTCGGATGGAGATTGCGGATTCTTTGAGGTTCCTCAACAGCTCCTCTTGGGCAGCCTTTTCAGCTTTGGGGAGTTCTTCGTAGGGCAGAGATTCAGCCAGGGTGTTGATATGATGCTTGAGAGCGATGATCTCATTTCCCACAACCGCCTCCAGCCCGGTGACCAATTCCTCGCCATGGTCTACATTTTCCCTGGAGAGGTAATCAGAGACGACCTCTTGCAGAAGCTCCTCAAGGCTTTCAAGGCCATTCTTAGAAGCGACGGCGAACTTTTCTTGCCAAGCGTGTAGGTCGCTCTCGACTCTCTCGCGTCTTTGGGCTTTCTGTTCCTCGGCCGAAAGTGTGGGCTGCGGCGGGGATACCACGGTGGTGGATGACGTGGTAGCAGTCTCGTATTGGGTAGTTCTCAGAGATGAGGTGCCTGGGACTGAAGAAGCAAGAACCGACTGATCCGGGAAACTCCTGCTGGAATGTGAGTAAATGGCCACGAACCTGCGTTTCCGACATGGGCACTCACGCATTGGCTTCATCCACAACATTTCGAGGCCCCTTTCCCTCGCGGTAACTGGCCAGCCTCTCGCCAATCTTGACGAGTTGGGGTTCTACATTCTCCCAGTAGAGACTGGCGATCCTGGGCCATAGAGTTCCCTTGATGAAGTGGATAGTAATAGACCATGAGTTCTGAGCATTAGGCAGAATCGTGGTAGTAAGGATATCCTGCCCCGATGTGAATGTCTTTCCGATGTATGGCTGGTACTTGGCGCCAAAGGGTAGAAGATAATCGACGAAGACAGATCTGACCGCGCCACTAGCCTTCCTATACGGCGGCAAGGCGAGTTCCTCGGCACGCTGCACATATGGGTAGATTTCCGACAGGTACAGCGTTTTCATCTTGTCCTTGACCGCATTCAAGTGTGGGGCCACTCGCGCCTCCCATTGATCCTGGCCATATAATTGCGCCTTGTTTAATGCGGGCACACCATAAGTTTCGTAGCCGCGTCTAACGACGCGAGACGTGGGCGTATAAACTTTTTCGTTGACGATATGCACGTACGGACGGGCCATTTCAACATAGGGCGCACCGTACGCATTATAATACGGGGTTATATGGGGCTCGAGGTGCGATTGAGCGATTAGGTACGGTTTGCAAACTCGGGGCGACGCCCCATCCAGTTCGGAGAGCTGGGACGGGCAGCGAAGGAACGGCGTTAACAGCGCATACCATATACAGAGTCTGACATGAAAGAAATGGGGGAAGCCCGTCAGGTCAGCGAATGTGCGACAACAATCTAGGTCCAATCAACAGAGTGAAACTCACCGGACCACCAGCCCTATCGTCCACCTAATAGTGTTCCTTTTCCGTTGCCTGAGTCTGCTGTCGACCGTCACAACAGGACGACTAGGTCCTTCCACCACAAAGCCGTTCTTCGTGGTGGCCATCGTCTCGTCTCCCATTTGCAAGGAGTGCTTGGGTTCGCAAATTTCTTTTCGTGTCGTATTGCGCGTTCAGGTTGAGCGAGTTGGTAGGCAGTGATGTTGGAGCAGAGAAGCCTAAATCATCACGCGAGAGTAATGGGAGTCCTCGTCGAGATAGGGATTCTGCCCCTAGTTGATGTATGACGAATGGGCAATGGTAGCTCTTTTCGGAATCGGCAGTTGAGAGACCCTGTAGAAATCCGCACGCGCAATGGAGTCGAGAGTCTTGGCACATGGCCTATGCACGCCGGATGGTGGGTATCACAGAGTGTAAATCTTTCCGGCTGCGTAGGAGGCGTAGGTGCTGCACACGAACGGAAAAAATGAATGACGATCAACGGCAATTAACACGTAGTGTCGTAGGATTTTGAGGGAATAGTATCAGTAGGAGATTAAGCGAGCCCTTGGCCGTGATAATGCAAGAGCAATGATGTTTTGCTTAAAGATATCCCTCGGCGCAGTGAGGTCATTGCTCTATGTGTGGCGCCGGAGTTGTGCACTCTTACAGGACGTAACTTCGGGATCAGCACTGGCCGGGCCCGGATGGCAGCTCTTGGCCTAGTCCATCGGTACCGTACCGTATCAAGTTCACATCGGTCTTCAACAACATACAGACTCTGAAGTACAGGTCGTGCCAATGAAGAGATATCTGCTTCGAATTCATGTTAACTCAGATCGTGATCAGTTACATCAGGTGGACAAGTCAAAAGTTTAGTCACGTAGATGTAGTGTGGGGTTCGCGTGTTGGTACAGTAAAGGTCAACTCTTTTTCGGGTTATACTTTCTTTCGTCAGTGAGTCTCTGGCAGTTATATACTTTGGCGCTGGTGACAGAATATCAATTGACGTCAGTGTGGCCGAGTGGTTAAGGCGATTGACTCGAACCTTAGTAGGTCCCATCCTTCTAAGGAGATATCAATTCCATTCGTGGGCGTAGGTTCGAATCCTACCGCTGACGATTGTCACATATTTTTGTGTCCGCTCTTTTGTGGACCACCTCAATCTGATCATGTCTCTAGTTCTTTCTGTCGAGCGAGAAGGAATGTTTTTAAGGTATAAACTTGTGGCCCAAGTTAAGAGTCTATAGCGCAAGTATTTGGACTCGTGACGTTGTATTGGTCTCATCGATATGACAGGCTAACTAACATGTACATATTCGTTCCATGGTTTGGTGTGAGGGACGCAGCCCGAAAATATATCAGCACGACTTCGATCTGCGAGTGACAAGGCAAGTCTCGGGGAACTTGCTGGAACATAACTGCAAAAAAAGAAATAACCGTACTAGAATCATCGAATACGAACCATCTTGATCAGATTTGCAGCAGTCGGCACATAACCACACAGCATCTGAGCCCCACCCCCGGCTTCTTACCCGGCCATCCTCCCCGGTACTTGCATTGGAGTATCATAGTCAGAATGACGCGGGAACAAGACGCCAGTAGCGCTGTAGATAGAAGGAACATGTAGCAGAATACCTCCAATCCTGCTTTATAACGAGCACACTGCAGAACACAATCGCTCTAAAATTGCTTGTCCTGTTTCGAAACCGTTTACCAATCATCGAAAGGCCATACAACTTACTCGTTTTACTTATAACCAGAAGCGTAGCACAACAGATGTAACACCCTTCATCAGAAGCATTAGGACCCGAGTAATGCAACTGACGCAAAAGGCCATCACCGAGGACCAGAAAACCATGATTTGAGTTAAACACCAATGTAGTGCTACTGGAGTATCGAAAGCCTCAAGAGCAAAAAAGAAATATTTCGTCAGCGACAGGATTCGAACCTGTGCACACGAATGTATCAGATTTCGAGTCTGACGCCTTAACCACTCGGCCACACTGACTTGTTGTTGAGTTTAGTCCCCGTCTACAAAATAGACCCCTTAGCTCTTACAGTCAGTGATGCCATGGCTGCTTGGTGTGGCGCTGTGGCTGAGTCAGTCGCATTGCGGGAACTCGCCTGTCCCAACTTGATGTACCGCAGCATCACATCATCCCAACATCAAACCAACCAAGCTTCACTTTCACTTGAACAGTGAAGGCAGAATTGCGTCGCACCCTAAACCTTGGCCGATGCGCAAACATTTCCCTCCATCCCGCCAGACAGGAACAGTTTATCAACCAAGTCCCCGCTTACAAGCATATTCCCGACACACCTCGACTGTTTCAAATGCCCGATGAACATGATACCTGAGTGAGAACACTGAAGGACGATAGAGTCGTCGCATCGAATTTGGCCGAAAAGATGGAGTTTGCCAACGAATCTCCCCGTGATTTTGCTGGCTCAGCACCTTTCCCGGATTTCATGAACGACCCAGCTTACGACACGAACCACAAAGGAAAAGAGAGGGAGTTTGACGAACCGGACACCTGTCGGATATGTCGTGGGGAGGGAACCCCGGAAGAGCCGCTCTTTTATCCCTGCAAATGTAGTGGGAGCATCAAGTTCGTCCACCAAGCTTGCTTGGTAGAATGGCTGTCCCATTCGCACAAAAAGCACTGCGAACTTTGCAAGACACCGTTTCGCTTTACCAAATTATACGATCCCAATATGCCACAGAACCTCCCAGCTCCGTTGTTCTTCAAACAAATCATGATTCATAGCTTCCGTACTGTCGTCACATGGCTCCGTTTTATTCTAGTCGCATTTGTCTGGCTGGGCTGGCTGCCATGGTCTATGAGAGCGATCTGGAGGGCCCTCTTCTGGCTTGCAGATGGTCGTTGGACTGGTGCTGACAACAACCATCCACCCGGCATAGACCTCGTTGTAGCGAATGGCACTACCACCACTATTATTCAAGCCGCTACAGGAATGCCCAGATCGACGACCTCACAACCCAGCACCGCCGACGTCTCGTCAGTGCAGTCTCCAGTATCTTCCCTGTTCGGTTTCGCTTCAGGTGAATCATTGCTCTTTATCCTCATCAAGAAAGCTTTCTCAGCACTTTTCTCCCCTGCAATGTCTGTCACTGGGTCTACTGGAGCCAAATCTAATGTGACTGTCGCAACATACAATCCAAGACGTCCCTCATGGTTATCCGACGTCAAGTTCCTGAATACTCTAACACCGTCTCCCACCATCAACAACATCATCATCGATACATTGGAGGGCCAGCTTATCACTTTACTTGTCGTTACTACATTCATCCTGATCTTTCTCATCCGGGAATGGGTCGTACAGCAGCAGCCCATGGCTAACTTTCCCGAGGGAGAGCGCGAAGCAGCTGTTCAGCTCATAGCGAATAACCGTCAGAATCAGCCGGTAGAGAATGTGGAGCCCGCGGAAGATGCTGCTTTGCAACCACATGATGCCGAGTTGGACGCCGAAGATCACGAACCTGCAGAAGATGACTTCGATCGTGCCTTTAATATGCCGGCAAGCCCCGCGGTTGACTTGGATCAATTCCCTAGATCATCGCCGTTCCACCCCGAGAGTCGTGGTGGCCTAGAATATTCTGAGTCCCAAGGCCTTGAACCTTCGCGATCGTTCCAAAACAACGTTGAAAGTGACGGCGAAGCGGAGTTGGACTTCTCACCCGAGCAGCCATACGCTCAGACTTGGCCTGGTGTGGATACCTTTAGAGACCTCTGGGACCGGGGCCAGGGCGATCCCGAACAGGTCTTGAGAATTGTACGCGATGAAGGTCGCCAGAATGACCTGGGTTGGATTGTCAATGCTATGAGCAAGGCCCAGCGTAACGAAGACCGCCAAGACCAATGGAGACGGGACCAGCCGCTTGAAGCATCTTCCAGCACTCACTTCGATACTGGTATGACTCAACCTGACGATGCTTCAGCCCCGGAACAATTTGACGATGATCGCGCCTTATCATCAGCAAGTACCCGGCCCTGGAGCTTCGCAGAGGCGGTTCAAGGCAATGCAGATATCGACAGACTAGAACGGCACCCGGACTTCGATGGCTTCCGATCCAATTCTTATCACGCCACCGAGCGTGAGCCTCCCCAAGAGACCACACTCCCAACCATTGATGCGCCGCAGATGGGTGATCAGACTAGTGCCACGAACTCTAACCAGGCTGATCCCGTCAATGATCACGAACAGTCAAGAAACCGCTCAAGTGCGACTGAAGCTGTTCGGCCTATCGATGCTCACCACAAAAGCTTTGTTGCTTGGCTGCTTGATTGGTTTTGGGCAGATGTTGGGACTAATGACCAAGACCATGACCAGGACCAGGCTCAAGATGACGACGAACAAGTAATAGTTGACCCTGAGTTGGAGGCACCATTTGTCCCTATTCAGAATAACAGACGTCTTGCTGAGGATGGTGCACAAGATAACCAAGGACCCATGCAGGACCTGGACGTCGATGGCAATGACCTCGATGCGGTGGAAGATGGCGAAGATCTAGAGGGAATCCTCGAGCTCATTGGTATGCAGGGCCCAATCTTCGGTCTTCTTCAGAACGGTGTATTCAGCGCCCTTCTGATCTCTTTCACGGTTGCAATTGGTATCTGGCTTCCCTATCTTTGGGGCAAAATCGCCCTTGTCCTCCTGGCGAACCCAGTGCACCTGATTGTCGGTGTACCTATGACTGCTATATCCGTCGTCGCAGATGTGGCGCTTGATACTCTTATCGGTAGTTTGGGCTACATATTGTGGCTGGGCAGCCTGATCTGCGAGACATTGCTTGGGCCATTCAGTGCATTTGCTCCAGTGGCCGATTGGATCCCCAAAGCCAAGTCCGTCACCAGCGCGTCGTTATCGCTCATTGATGCCAGTGAGTCCCGTCTACTGAACGCCCTCCAATCGTTTTTCGTGTTTCACGAATCCGACGTCCCTATGTTCTCCGTACTCTCGCACCACGCCCTCAAAATTCATCAGGCGCGCATCTCCTTTTTTATTGGAACAGTCTTCTCCGTCGGCAAATTCATTTTGCAGGACTTCCCCCTACGACTGTTGAATGACGGGCTTCCCGGAGCCTTGTCTTTTGGTCGCGAGACCCTCGACTTCAGTGTTCTGATGAAACAAGCACGCGACCAGATCTACAGTCTTGGGAGCCGGATTCTTTATACCTCAAATGGGACAAATCTCTTCATGGCTAGCGTAAACGGAACCTCGCCTAATGGCATCAGCATTTCCCACGAATTAGCCGTTTGGGATACCAAGGACCGGGCCATTGCCATTCTGCTGGGCTATGTACTAGCATCGGTCGTTGGATTACTCTACCTCCGTGTAACGAATCTTCTCTCGGGCGCGGAGCGTCGCCAGAGGGTTGAGGGCCTCATCGCGGACGTGATACATCAGGGTGGCGGGGTTTTGAAAGTGATTCTCATTATTGGGATCGAGATGATAGTGTTCCCATTGTATTGTGGCTCTCTACTCGATGTTGCGCTGTTGCCCTTGTTCGAGAATGCTACCATCGCATCGCGTCTTGAGTTCACGGCCTCCTCGCCCTTGACATCGCTTTTTGTGCATTGGTTCATCGGCACTTGCTATATGTTCCACTTTGCTCTTTTCGTTTCGATGTGCAGAAAGATCATGAGGAGTGGCGTCCTTTGTAAGTCTACTCCTACTTTTCGTTTTCTGGCCCTTACTGATCACCATGCAAGACTTTATCCGCGACCCTGATGATCCAACCTTCCACCCTGTGCGCGATGTCTTGGAAAGGAATATTACAACCCAGTTGCGCAAAATCGCATTCAGTGCCCTAGTGTATGGCGCGCTGGTCGTTATCTGCCTTGGAGGTGTGGTCTGGGGTTTGTATTATGGCCTAGATGGCGTTCTCCCAATCCACTGGTCTGCCACCGTCCCTGTACTGGAGTTTCCCGTCGACCTGTTGTTCTACAATTTCGTGATGCCATTCGCTATTCGATCTCTCAAGCCATCTGACGGGTTACATGGGCTTTACGATTGGTGGTTTCATAAGTGTGCTCGCTTCTTACGCTTGACCAACTTCTTTTTTGGAGACAGACAGCCGGATGAAGAAGGTCGCCATGTCGGACGGAGCTGGTGGGGACTGTTCTCACCCAATATGGAAAACCCCCCAGCCAGCGGAACCGAGGCTGCAGACAGTGATGAAAAGTCTGACAGCACATCAATTGTTCGTGACGGCAGATTTGTACGGGCTCCTGCTTCGGATCAGGTCCGCATTCCCAAGGGCAATAAGGTGTTCGTGGAGGTGACCGAGAACAATGAGAGGCTGGATGGAGTGCCAGACACGGATCAGGGATTGCACGGCCGGGCTAATGAGATGTTCACGAAAGTCTACGTGCCTCCAAACTTCAGAACCCGGATTGCGGCCTTCATTCTACTCATCTGGGTGTTTGCTGCAGCTACCGGTGTAGGCATCACTATTCTTCCCCTGATTATTGGTCGGAAAGTCATGAATTCGAGCTTCCCCCACCGGCCATTGAATGATATCTATGCCTTTTCAACTGGCTTGAGCATTGTCGGTACTGCTGCCTACATCGGCTTTTACAGTCGGACCTTCTTTGTTAGGGCCAAAGAGCGGTTGAGTCTCTATCTGCAATCTCCCCAGCAGGTCTTCTTCGGGATCAAGAATGCGCTTCATGATGTCATCCGACTGCTATACGTCTTCATTGCGTTCGCAGTCGTGTTACCATCTGCATTCGCTCTGGTCATGGAACTCTACCTTCTAGTGCCCGTGCACACCTATCTTGGAGGCCCACAGGCGCATGTGATCCATTTCGTTCAAGACTGGACACTTGGCGTCCTCTATGTCCAGATGGCCGTCAAATTTGTAGGGTGGAACCCTAGATCCCGGCAGGCTGCTGCGCTCAATGCCATTTTCAGGGATGGATGGCTGAAGCCTAACGCCAAAATCGCAACGCGGGGTGTCTTGCTCCCCGTCACTCTCTTCACCGTCATTGCTGTCTTGGTACCACTTTCCATGGGATTTGCAATGAACTCGACTATCCTCTCTGGTACACCGGAGGCGCAGTTCAAGGTGTACCGCTATGCGTATCCGGTGACCCTGATGTTGAGTTTGATTGCGTGGCTCGTCTATTTGGTACGCCGTCAAGTGGAGGTTTGGAGGGTGAATATCCGCGATGATGTTTACCTCATCGGCGAGCGGTTGCATAACTTCCGTGACAAGCGAGCTCGAGACGTTAGGGGTGTCTCTCGGAGAGTCATCACCGGGTGATCCTGATCAGGCATCAGCCATGCAAAAGTGATCTAGGCTCCCGTCCTTTCGAGCGCTGCGCACTCTTCTCTCGAGAATCATTCTCGTTCTGTTCGTTGTACATCAATTGCGTTTGATAAATAGATATTTTATGAAGAAGATCTTTCTAGGTATTTTGCTGGATGGCTAGAAAGTTGCGTACGATTGTAGGTACTGGTAGGGCCGCCTTCCAGGTGGACACAGATTGCTTCGAATCAGATACTTCAAGTGAAGATCACTGTGTAATTCCTAATTATTCTAAGTAGACTGTGATCGAAGCTGGCGATGTGGTCCTTGCACTGAGCATGCAATATTAGAAACCACTGCAACCTTACTACCTAGTATCATACCGAGTCCGGCTGCCGAAGTGTAAAGGCGGGATGATCCGCCATCGGAGCTGAGTCAGCCGGCTAAAGTGGGTGCGCACGTGCCTCTCAGCCCGCTCCGGTGGAGTTTGCGCGGGCAGGGAATGGCGGCTGCCTGTCGGCTTAGCGGCGGAGACTTACATTGAACAGGTAGATTTGGTAGATTTGGTGGGATCTTCAGGCCAAAAGAGAAAAGCAACTGGCGAAAACTGCAACTGTGGCTTGGCACCGATGAGGCTTTGCAAGCACTCGCCACTCCCTATTGGTTAGGCAACAGGATTCCCACTTGCCGCCTTCTGTTAGGCGTTTCTATTCTCTCTATTCTTTAATTCCTCTCTCTTAGTTCATTTACCACTCTGCACTCAGTCATTCACTCACGCAACTTCCTTCCTTTTCTTCTTCCTCTCAATCTTCATTCATCTCTTCCCCCTCCCCCTACGCACGATCTCTCACCCCCGCCGTATTACACTATACCCGCTGCAGACCATGCGTCGCCAATAGCAGCACATAGTTGCATTCGTCGCCCTCCCCGCTCTGCAATGCTGTGAGGCTATAGTTCCCGCTTACCGTCGTTCAACTTAATTCCGGACTCTGCGCGCCAAGATGTCCGTTCTTCGCCATCATGGAGGCGCCTACCTCCAACGGCGTCTTACCAAGATGTACACAGATACCAAGACCTCGTGTGAGAGTGTGACCACGGCCTCCAATGCAGTCGATGACCCCGAATTGATCAACCTGCATCGGGATTTTAAAACGCAGAGAGACAGGTTGCTGGCCTGGGGTCTGGACTGGAGCGATGCTAGTGCCGCCCAGCCCAACGACATCGACGAGTCATTAACCCAAGCGGGCTACAGTGATGTGGTAGCGAGTGTTATGTCTTCGATCCAGGAGCTGCTCAATGAGGCCGAACGTCTGCAGCATGGCGATGTTGCCTCCGATCTACTCCCCAAAGGCGGTAGCAAGGCCGATGCGACGAAGAGCCGTCTCAGCAACTTGCCAGTCAAATCGCATTGGACGAGCGAGGAGATCAGTCGCTCCAAGACTCTTCTCGCCGACCTGACCGGCTGTATCGATACTCTTTACGACCTGTCGCGCTCACGACGAGACATGAACGCCAACATGGCGGCTGGTGGCCAGGCTGCCGCTAAAGGCCGATCTCGGCCCGCGGCGCCTACCGACTACTCGCTTCTCGACACCAAAGCATATCACGGAGCATCCTTCGACAGTAAGCAGGCGTATTTATCCCCACAGGAGCCTTTTGACTATTCGCCATCGTCTACATTGCAAGGAAAGAAGTTCGACAAACTGCCGCTTGACAAGGCTTTTTCCTCCTTGAACAATTATGTCATTGATCGTACTAAGTTGCAGCTTGCCGGCGCCTCTCATGACAACAATCCTCCGCCGTATGAGCAGGTGGCTGCCACCACCAACTCCAGAGCCGTCGGGCGTATGCCAACATCAGCGTCACCATTTCTGCAAGGCACAAGAGACACCTCGGTGACCATTCTGGTCGAGTACACGCCCATGATGCTCGAAGCATCTGGACCAGGTACCTCTCCGGAGAAGAAACGGTTAGACCACGTACATCAGAGTCTTGAGCAGCTCGTTCAAAATGCTCGCGTCTCTCACCTAGGCTTGATGAAGTTTCTGGGCTATTATGTCGACATGCCCAATTCTCGTTACGCGTTTATTTACCAGATGCCAGTCGACTACTTCCCCTTTTTGCAAAACCCCACCGATCTCCTCAACGGCTTAAAGCCAAGGACTCTGGTTTCGATGTTCCAAGCGGGCGATGATTATCAGGTGCCCAATCTAGAGACCCGATTCCGCTTGGCTTACGATCTTTTGATGGCGGTCCTGCAGCTGCGGAGCCAGAATCTCGTTCACGGAAACATTAACAGCAGCAATGTCCTCATTTTCCCTGGATTGACAACTTCGAGTAGCAACGAAGTAGGACTGACCGAGAACCTTCGTCGCCCTTACCTGACCTCGTTTTCCCATTTCTCCAGAAATGGCCCGGCTTCGGAGCCCTTGTCCTCCAGCATGTATCGCCATCCTGATGACAAGAGATCAACCGATGACGATGCTGCCTGGGCATACGACCTCTACTCCCTCGGATTAGTCCTGCTGGAGATCGGACTGTGGAATCCGATCAGTCGCATCTGGAAGATGAAGTATAACAATTCCATTTTCAAACAACGGATAGAAAGTGTTTACTTGCAAAAGTTGGCACCAAAATGCGGTAGTGCATACCTCCATGTGGTCCAGCTTTGTCTAGATGCGCCAAACTTTCATCTCTCTACCCAGCCGTTCGACGACTTCGAGCTCCGAGTGCCCCAAACTTTTCATTACCCTGTCCTGGATCTGTCAGCCCCTGACGGCATTTTCTCCTTCTCTATGAACTTCCTCTACACGATGTGCAAGATCATGTGGTCCTGCTGCAGGGTAGACATGTTCTCGGCGCCTGACGCTGAGGAGTTGGATGATTACCTCCCACTCGCTCTGGTCCCTGGGTTAGGCCCAGCTGCAGCAGAAGCGCCCATGCGCGAGTATCACTCCACCCCGGACAACCTGGCAGCATACGGAACCCCATTTGTACCGCTTCCTACTTCAGAAATCAGACCTATGCGAGAACAATCAACTATAGATGATCGGAGGGTGCGGAAACGTACGTTCAAGAAGTTGTCCAATGTCGAGATTCCCCAGGATCATCTGAATAGTTGGAACTTTCACATGATGCCACGACTGAGGAAGCTTTTACAAAAGATCTTGAAAGAATCCACCGAATCTTGCAGTGTCACGCTCATGATGACCGGCGAGTCGGTGGACAATGCCAGGACGACTATCTGTATTACTTGTGCCAGCACTAAGAAAGTCAGGGCGGCCCTCAAAAAGTACTTTGTTCTCGACAGCGACGATTGGGATCTTATTGTACTCCGAGGTGATGTTCAGCGGTCCAAAGTACCCCGCAAGAAGCGTCGCAAGCCGGCAAGAACCGGACCTGACACTCCCAACTCGCCCGCATATGCCCAGCAAGATCCAAACCCTTGTTATCAAGAGCGGCCCCTTTGCGGGGCATCGATAGGCGCTTTCATGAATGAGGAGCATTTGCCGCCCGTCACCTACGGCGGGGCCATCATGGTCGATGGTATGCCATATGGCATGACGGTGCATCATATGCTCGAGTCGCCTAGCGATCAAGAGGAAGACGATGACGACCATGATGACAGTGGTCCCCTTCGGTCCGCGGGGAACTGGCCCCGAGAAGGGACGACGCAGCAAAGTACGCAGTTCATGTATTCTTGGCGTGACGACAGTCGATCAGATGTTGCCTCAGACCTCGAATTGGAGGTTTCCGAGGACGAGGATGACGATGATCAATCTGTTACGAACAGCCTCGACGAGAATTACGATGACTTCGACCTTTCTGAAGGCTACTCCACTGATGAGGATGACCCCAACGCAGATGACCCGTATGATGATGAGGACGCAGCATCAGTCGGAGACACATCGGGCGTGGAACCCGGGGACGAGCCCCTGCTGTTTGTTACGCAACCCGCAATTGATGATGTTGACGAGAACTTCTTCCCGTCTCTGGAAGATCGGGACGACGAACACCTGGCCTCTCACTCTTTTGGATTCGTCCATGCCTCATCGGGCGTTCGTCGCTGGACGCGCAAGGGGCTCAGACACGAGATCGACTGGGCGTTGATCAAGATCAACGATGATCGCATCGATGTCCGCAACGTGGTATTCGATCGGATCCCGCGCCAATACCCCTACCAGCAGAGACACGGCGCTTCCGGTCAGCTTGAAACCATCCACCTCAATAACATAGCTCGATTGGAAGACCTTGGTGGCCTCAAGGTCCATTGCTGCGGACGAACCAGCGGCCTCCAAACGGGCCAAATCTCCAAAGCAATGACGCTGGTCAAACTGCACGGGCGCCAGACCTTTTCCATCAGCTTCTGCGTGGATGGGAATTTCGGAGGTAAGTGAGTTTGTCGGCTGCCCATCTTCGCCCTGTTTCAGTCATTAACTTTTCTCCGTACCTTTAGTCCCCGGCGACTCAGGCGCATGGGTCTTCGAAAAACACACCGGGCGCGTCTGCGGGCACGTGCTCGCCTGGTCCGAAAAGAGCCACACAGCCTACATCGCCCCGATGGAGATCCTGCTCGAGGATATCGCGCGCACCCTCAACGCGACGTACATCTCTCTCCCCGGCAATAACCGTGACGGGGCGCTCTCGTACGCCTTGCCGCAACAGCCGATCCCGGCACCCGATCACTATCACCATCACCCCCAGCACCCGCACCCGCACCCGCACCAGCTGGCTCCGAATGCACGATACAACGCCCCCCTTCCCCTCCCCGACCAACTCCCCGTGGACTTCGGGCATCTGCGCCTCGACGACCGCCATCAAGGCCACCATCCGCCCGGAAGAGGCAGCGGCAGCGGCTCCGTCAACCCCAGCCGCGGTCTGCGTGAAGCAGCCGCAGCCAATCCGTACGGTGGGATGGGCGCCGCGCCTATCCTCTCTCCACCCCGCAGTCTTGAAAGACAACTTGCCTGACCTCGTCCTTCATCTTCAACCACCACCACAACCTGACCTTTCCACCCTAGTTTTTTTTCCCCCAAAGATACCCCACAAAACCACATGACACCCCTAACAAACTTCCCCTGATGACCCTCACGAGTGGCTTTTCAAAGAATAATACCCCATCTTGTACCTGCTATAACCCATGCTTTTTGCTTGCTTGCTTGCTTGCCTGCGAGCTAGCTGTCTGTCTGTGTGTGTCCAATCAATCAATCCAATCCATCTAATTCAATTTCAATACAACTATCTTACCGAATTGCCTGTCTTTCGGCCAAGCAATGCGGCCAGTCGGAACTCTCTCTAGTAGCGTAGTACGCACGTAAAGCAATCCCGCAAAATCGCGGGGAATATGGCCAGTGGCTCTCGAATACTTACTTACCAGTCAGTGCCAATCCCATCATCTACCTGCATCTGCATCTGCATCTGCACCTGCCTTCATCCAATCACCGTCATAGTTACAGTCACAGTCACAGTCGTAGTCACAGTCACAGTCGTAGTCACAGTCACAGTCACAGTCACAGTAAACAATAACCAATCTCCAAATCTATCCATCGAAGGATATCCTATCTCCATCCGCAGCAGGCCACTTGCTGGTGGTGCGTAGTGCTGTACCAGCAGTAGCAGTAGCAGTAGCAGTAGCAGTAGCAGTAGCAGTAGCAGTAGCAGTAGCAGTAGCAGTAGCAGTAGCAGTAGCAGTAGCAGTAGCAGTAGCAGTAGCAGTAGCACCAGCATAAACCATGAGCCAGTAAAGAGCGGTAGCCATTGCCAACTTACCCGGTATTAAGTACTGAGCGATAGCAAGGCTCGTTCGTCTCCACCAATCAGAGCCATTGATACAGACCAGAATATCCAGATTTGGGTGGTGGGGGGGGGGGCGCCGGTAGCGATATGGTTTTTAGTGAAGTATAATACAGTATATAAACTAGCATGTCCACAAGGGAAGGGAATGTCGATTGTCCTGGTGTAGTAAGTAACACGCCGCACCCTGGTTGCCTGGATTTTGGTTCAATTGTGGGTTTCGGAAATAGGGATCTGTCTGCCTGCTTCTGTCTGCCTGCTTCTGCCTGCTTGCTGGGACTGTGCGCATCCTCAAACGTGGATATCCTGAAATGATATAAGAGTAGGAAGTTTCTAGTCTGCGTCTGTCCATTCTGCGATCAAGTAATCAAGACTAACATTTTGCAGAAGAAATGTGTTTTCCAACGTGAGGACAAACTTTGTGTCGGCCCCGCTATAAAGGTAACACAGCAGCACTTGAATTTACACTAGCACTGCAATTTCAAAGCTTACACTACAAGAAAAGAACTGTTCAGAACAATGCATCTGCAAAGGAATATGCTCAAGGTAAAATACACAAAAACCAGATGCTGAACTGAGACCACAACAGACATAAAACATAACCGGGTGGTATAAGCACCATCGTCACCCATCATCGATGAAACAAGACCAAGCCACACCGTGCACCCTCTTGACCCTAACATGCAAATAAACCAAAGATCACAAACCCCTCCTTGTATGAGAATGGCCCAACCTTTATACCAAATGGTTCATGATAAGAACAAAACTAAAAAATGCGGTCTAACTGCATGGAAAGAGGCGCAAAAGAAACTTCGCGGCATCTTTCCCTTAGTTACCAGCCAAGAACTTGAGAACAGCCTCCTTCTCCTCGACAGGAAGCACGCTCAGAACTTGCTGAACACCCTTGAGACCACCCTCCTTGTTGTTGATCAACAGCTGCGCAACCTCGGTAGCGATATTCTCCGTCTTGAGAGTGTCGACCTTGGTCTGGATCGTCTTCTTGTTCTCCTCGTACCACATGGCCACGCGACGGTCGTCGTGCTCCAGCTCGTCGTCAAGGAGGCCGGTCCATCCGTGCAGAGTGCGGAGGTGCACCGCCCGAGCGGACTCGGTCTGAGCAGGAGCGCTGCCGTCGGCAGCAGCGGGGATGGCAACAGTGCCGTCGCGAGCAGCGGGAGAAGGAGCAGCAGTGACCATGCGCTTGACGATCAGCTCCTCGCTCAAACGGCGGCGGAGGCGCCAGTAGAAGAAGCGACGAGCGTTCTTCCAGGTGAGTGCCTGGCGGATGGTGTTCTTGGCTTGCATACGTCCAGCGCGGTCGTGGAGATCAGCGAACTGGAGGGCAATCTGCAGGTAAACAGGCAGAAGTTGCTCCTCGCGAACAGCCATCTTGGCCTTGATGTCCGAAAGCTGCTCCTTGCTGAGCGAAGTGTCCTCGAGAGAACGACGAAGCTCGCCATAAGTAGGGTCCAGACGAGCCATGGTGTCCAGCTGCTTGTCACGGCGGTACTTGATGTTGACGATACCCTCGGGCTCGAGGACACCACCACGGGCTTCCTCGTCGGCGTACATCTCCATCTGGTCAGGGTTGATGGTGGGATCGACGACGACCCAAGATCCACCACGAAGCTCACCGTAAGGCGGGATGTAGATGAAGATGGGCTGTTCGTACTTGACGAGGGCGTCGACAATGTAGGAACCGTACTTGAGAACCTCGTTGTACATGTCACGCTGACCACCAGAGAAACCTCTCCAATTAGCCAGGATCATAACAGGCAGCTGTTCACCGTTGTTGAAGTCACGCAGAGCCTGTGCGGTCTTAAAGGCCGAGTTAGGGTACCAGACACCACCGGCCTCAGTGCTGATCATCTCCATGGAGTCGGGGTTGGCAGGGTCGGCAGGAGTGACGTTCTCAACAGAGCGAGTCTCAACAGCGATGACACCCATGGGAATACCACCAAGTCTAGCACGACCAACAACCACAGTGCGAGCCCATCCACCGAGAGCTTCCTCGAAGGAGCCGGCGTCGAACAAACCAGGAAGGAAGCCCTCGTCGTCCTGCTTACCAGCAATGAGCCAGCGGGGATCATAGGGCTGCTTGTTGGGAGGGTAGTAGTCCACGTCACGGTCCCAAGTATCAAACCAGGGGCGGATGGGGATAGGAGCGCCCTTCCTGTCAGGGACAAATGACATCCACTCCACAATCTTCTGCACACCCTCAAAGTCATCAGTAGCAGTCATGTGAGACACACCGTTCTTGTACATGATCTGGGTACCACCCAGCTGCAAGTTGGAGGTGTAAACCTCTCTGCCCAGCAGCTTGTTGATGGCGGGGGCACCAGTAAGGATGATGGGTTGGCCTTCGACCTGGATAGCTCTCTGTCCGAGGCGGACAAGGTAGGCTCCAATACCGACGGAACGGCAGGTGACCAGGGTGATGGTGAAGATATCCTCGTAAGCCTTGGAAGTGGCACCAGCAATGAGACCAGAACCCTTCAGACACTCAACACCCAGGCCATCCTTGGCACCGATGATGGTGGTGATCTTGTGGCGTTCTTCACCCTCGTCGGTAATGAGCTCGGTGATGACCTCCTTCTTGCCGCTGGCATCCAGCTTGCTCTTGACCTCGGGTGTGAAGTAGAGGTACTTGAAGCCGGCCTCAGGCTTGCTTGCGTCATTCCAAGCAACGGAGAAGTAAGGAATGAGCTCATCAGCCATACCGATACGAGCACCAGAGTTGGCAGAAAGGTAGATGCGAGGAATGCCAAGCTTGCGGGCCAGCTCGGTACACTTGTGGAAGAACTTGTCCTCCTGGGGACCGAACGAACCGATCTGGAAGGTGATATCGTTGGCAACAATGATGAAGCGTCTGCCACGAGGGTACTCGGGAGTGCGAGCAGTGACGATCCAACCAACCATACCGTGAGTGTTGGTACCAGGACCGCGAGAGATCTCGACCAGGTTGTCGGTATCATCCAAGACAAGCTCGCTGTAGTCAATGCACTCACCGACAGGAGGGCGCTGCTCAGCCAGGGAGGGGATCTGCTCGACGGCCTTGGTCCAGCTGTTCTGGAAGGCCTGTCTGAAGAGCTCAGGGAAGTCATAGACATACTGAGTTCCCATGAGGTGGGCCTTGTAACGCTTGGGCTGAAGCCATTCCTTGGTAGGGTAAGGAGTGGACACAGGACGCAAGTGCATGGATCCGAGCTTGTTGCTGCCACCATCAATGCTGTGGAAGATCCATTCACCCTTCTCGGACTTCTTCTCGATGTAGAGCTCAACCTGGATGATGAAACCAAAGGTGTTGGTGATGATCACGCGCAGGGGGAAGGGAACACCAGTGGCGGGATCGGTGCAGAGGATGCGGATCTCAGCACCAGTGACACGCAGTCTCCAGAGGCGGCGACCGAAACGCTCCAAGAAACCGTTCAAAGCCTGCTCAACATCCTTGGGCTGGAGGTTGAAGACGGGCGAGAAGTTGATGAAGATGTGGTTCAGATCGGAGTTGTTGTTGCCAATAATCTCCAGGGCATCCAAGATGTCGTTCATCAGGCGGTCAGCCTCGGAGATCAGGTATTCCGCAGTAGGAATGTCATCACGCAGGCGGCCGGGACGCACGACAGCACGGACGAAGTAGCGCTTGTCAACAGCCTTGTCATTCTCCGGACCCTTGCCGTAAGCCTCGTAAATGTGAATGTTACGGTTCTCGGTGAAGACAGGCTTGATCTTGAACTTGGACAGACGTCCGAGTTCAAGCTGGAAGGCAAGGGCAGGCTCGTTATGGCGGATACTCTCGTCCTCCTCGTAGGCGGGACCACGGAAAGTGAAGTAGCCGGGGTAAAAACCGTTCCTGCCACAAATGAAAGTGACACGGCGGATACGGCGAGCAAGCAGCTCCTCCTTCAGGTCCGCAAGCAACTCGTTGACCTGGGTGACGATCTGGTTGTCGTCCAAGTCCTCGACATCACGGATGGCGATGTTGAGAACGTTGTTCAACTCGCCATCAGTCTCAACGCGGGGAGCAGGACGGCGCTTGCCCTCCAGGTTGGCGAGCAAGCCATTGTCACTAGGTCTCTTGGCCTTGGAACCAGCCCGAGGGAAGGCCTCCAAAGCACGAGGAAGATACTCGGCAGCGTCCTCCAAGTACTGAACCGGGAAGATGACACCCTTTCTCATTGGCTCGTTGCCATCGCCAACGAGGTAAGACATATCGCTAATGGAGTTGATACGCTTGAAGGGGTTCAACTCGGCAGTAGGAGTGCTGGGGGTCGAGGGGTCGGTGGTGGAAAGGGAGCCGAACTCAGGCTGACCAAGCTTGCCGAGGGTGAAGTCCCAAGCGAGAAGAGGAGGCTCACCAGCCTGGTTGTACTGAATACCCTTCAGGGTGTAGGCACGGTAAGCACGGCGCACGTACACCTCGAGGGCAGCGAGAGTAACCCAAGCGTCCTGGTGCACGAAGAAGCGGGGCAGCACGTCAAAGACGGTGTACTTGGAGTCGACCACCTCCTTCAGGATAGAGAAATCGGGCTCACGGTGATCCCAACCAGTCTCACCGTAGCGAGACTCAACAACAGAGGAGCGAAGAATGAGTTCCATCTGAGACAGACGCTCCTCCAAAGAGGGAAGGGCGCACTGAATGAGAAGCTCACGAGCCTTGAGAGTGACCTTGGCAGCAGAGCGAGACTCAAGCTCAGTAAGCTTCTTGAGGATAGGCTTGAAGTACTTGGCAACGTTGCCAACACCAGGCTGGTTGGGACGATACATGGCCAAAATGGCGAGGACCAGGTTGTTCTTGGTGCCAATGCGGCTGTGGGACAGCACAGTCTGAACGACGTTGGAGATGTCCTCCTTGTTCTCTTCACGGAGCTTCAGAATGGCATCCTCGTCACGGAAGTTGCGGCCGGCGAACAGCTTCTCAACCTCGTAGTATTGCTCCAGGAGTCCAATGAATACGTTGAACTCGTGAGCCTTGAGACCATCCATGTACTTGTTGATGACGTGCAGCAGAGGCGAAAGAGTAGTCCGGAGAATCTCGGCATCGGCAGGGTTGACGTTCTCCTCAATGAACTTCTGAATAGTCTTCTGCAGCTGCTTGGCAGGAAACTCGGCCTTGCGGGCGCGAGCACGGTCAACCACGTACTCCAGCTGGCCATCAAGCTTCTGAGGCATACGGGAGTGCAGGGCGGAAGACTGGGCGTTCCACTCTCCATAGGGAAGATCAGGGTTGCGAAGGACGTCGACCAACTCCTTAAGGGTGGAGTTCATGATGACCGAGTTGTCGTAACCCTTCAAGATGTTCTCGAGGATGCTGTGCAGCAAGAAGAAACGCTGAGGGGGCTTGTTACCGACAACCTGGGGAGGGCCGAGATCAGGCAGCTGGCCAGTGAAAGGCTGAGCGTGCTTGACGCGGGACGGGTCATCGAGGGCGAGGATACCCAGGATGTCACCAGCCTCCAGAGTGGCTCCGGGCTGCTTGATCAGCTGGACGATACCGTCCTCCTGGGCGATGAGGGGCATGTACATCTTCATGACCTCAACTTCAGCGAAAGCCTGGCCTGCCCGAACGTGATCGCCGTTCTCGACAGTAAACTTGACGAGCTTACCGGGAGAGGGGGTGCGGAGCTGAGTGGGATCGTTCTCCTGCTCGAGCAAGCACGTCTTTCCGTCCACGCTAAGACGGGTGGCGGCGGGCTCCTCCTTCCAGTAGACGTTGTGGCTGCGTCCGTTCAGGAGAACCAACAGACCGCCGTCGGCCAGCGCACGAACACCGACGGAGCACTTGGAGCCGTTGATGAAGAGGTGATAGCTGTCGACACCGGCGCGGGTGGCGGTGAACTTGTACCGCATACCCTCGTAGATGAAGTCCACGGGGAAAACGGTCTTCAGGACGTCCTTGGAAGGCACCTGACCCTTCTCCAAGCCCTTGCGGTACTCCTCCACACCAGCCTCGCTGGCCTGGTGGGCCTTGGTCACGGCACCACACAGAACGGCCACGATGGGGTCCGGACGCTCCGCAGTCAGTTTGTTGGAGATCAGCTGGTCAAGCCATCCGGTGGTGATGGTGTTGTCCTCGAACGCAGGAGTCTCCAGCAGCTTGATCAGGTATTCGACGGTCGTACGGAAATCACCACGGATGCTCAGTTCCTTCAAGGCGATAACCATGTGCTTCCGCGATGCCTGACGGTTCTCACCGTAGGCGAAGATGTGACCAAACTGACTGTCCGAGAAGCTGTGGATACCACCGGAGGTACCGACGGAGAAGTAACCCCAGACGTTGGACGAACTGCGGAAGTTCAACTCGTGCATGGTACCGCTGGAAGGCTTGAAACCCTCGCCAGGGTCCTCGGAGGTGATACGACAAGCAGTGGTGTGACCCTTGGGCTGGGGACGACGCTGAGTCTTGAAGCTCTCCTCGCTGGAGAAGTCAAAGTCAATCTCGCCGGAGGTGTTGGGGTCGACGCCGTAGAGCAGACGGATATCACGGATGCGGTGGAGCGGGATACCCATGGCAATCTGCAGCTGGGCGGCGGGCAGGTTGACACCGGAGACCATCTCAGTGGTCGGGTGCTCGACTTGGAGACGGGGGTTCAGCTCCAAGAAGTAGAACTTGTCGTCGGCGTGAGAGTACAAATACTCAACAGTACCAGCGGACACGTAACCGACCAGGCGACCCAGGCTGACGGCAGCGCGCTCCATGGCCTGGAAGGTGATGGGCTTGGCGATGGTGACGGGGGCCTCTTCGATAATCTTCTGGTGACGACGCTGAACGGAACAGTCACGACCGAAGAGGGAGATGTTGTTGCCATACTGATCAGCCAGCAGCTGGACTTCCAAGTGACGGGCGTTACCGGCGAGCTTCATGATGAAGATCGGGGAACCGGGGATCTCGTTGGCGGCAGCATTGTACAGGCTGACGAAATCGTCCTCGCTCTCGGCCTTACGGATACCCTTACCACCTCCACCTTCAGAGGCCTTGATCATGACGGGGAAGCCGATTTCCTTGGCCTTTTCCAGACCCTCTTCTGGCGAGAACGTGCAACCCTGCTTGTAGACCGCATCGTCGACGGTCACGATACCCTGGTCGTCGACTCTGACTTCGTCGACCCCGGTTCCAGACCATGGGATACAGGGGACACCTGCATGCTGTGCGACGATGGTCGAGGAGATCTTGTCACCCAGCGAGCGCATGGCCGAGGCAGGGGGACCAATGAAGATGATCTTTTTGGGGGAGGCGGCGAGGGATTCGGGAAGACGGGGGTTCTCGGAGGCGTGACCCCAACCGGCCCAGACGGCGTGCACGTCCATGCGCTCGGCCACATCGACAATTAAGTCGACGTTGGCATAGTTGTTGTTATTCGTACCACCGGGAACCTGATGTGGTCGAAATCTGTGAGTGACATGCGCGTGGTAAGCCCGTCGAACTGTCCGGGAGCACATACCTCGACGTATTGGTCCGCCATGCGGATGTAATCTGCGTTTGCTCGCAAATCTTCGGGGGTGGCCATGACTGTGAACTGAATGGCCCGCTCGTTGCCGAACGTCTCGTAGGCCCATTTCCGAACGGAACGGATCTCCTTGACGGCAGCGATACCGTTGTTGGCAATCAGAACCTGACCGTGGCTCGATGGTTAGTGACAAGAATCCCCAACCTCTCATCTCTCCGGACTTCTTCCGGGACAACTCACCGAGCTGATGACGGAGTGACCCTCATGCTTGGCCACGAAGTCCCTGACCGCACTGGGAGGAGCAGCGTCGAGGTGGTTACCACCAATGAAATGTGAGGGAAGGTTGGCGGCTTTGGAGCCAGCCTGGCCATTGACGGCACCGTTGGGGGCGCTCATGATGCAAGAGTTGGGAAGATTAGGTATTATAGAAATCCCATGCAATGGAATGCAAACAAATCACTCAAAGGAGAGGAATTAAAGGTCGCGGGAGAAGCGTAGGAAGCGGAAAGAAGAGGATGCAGGCGAGATCGGTAGGGACAGGGCGCAACGAATTGACCGGCCTGGGAGGAGAGATGGCGATGGAAGGGAGGCGCGACTGGCGGAGTTTGTGAAGAACGCCCTCACCGTTCTTAAAAGTGGAGAATTGGCGGGAGTGAAGAAGGGGAGGAGAGGGGGATTATTTGCAGTTTCCTGAGGCTGAGACAAGGTGAGCAAACCAAGTCAGCTGTCAGCAAGCAGTAAGAAGAAGAATTCAAAGGAGGGAAAGAATGCGCGATGCGCTAGGGAGGGGGAGAAAAGTAGATTGGAGGCAAAAAAAAAAAAAAAAAAAAAAAAAAAATAGAGGGCGAGTAGCGTAGCAGCTGGATGGGAGGGAATGGATTGGATGGGGAAAGAAGTGGGAGGAGGGAGGAAAGTCTGGGTCCGGAACGGAACTTACTGTAACTAAACACACCTGCGAGAGAGGATGTACAGTACTGTAGTTGGGAGAGAGGACAAGGGAGGGAGGTTAGGGAGAGGGTGAGGGGAGGATAGATAGATGGAGAAGAGGCCGGGCCGGCTTTCAATTGGGAAATACAGAGAGAAAGTGGAAGAAGAAGAAGAAGAAGAAGAAAGAGGAAGGAGAGGACGAGGAGAAGAATGGGGATGCGAAGAATTAAATTTAATTGCCAGAAGGAGTAGACAGAGTTGAGGCAGAGTGAGTTGTACTGAATGGAAGTATACAATGGTATACAATGGTATACAGTTACTCTCCGAAGTTGATCATCAAGAATTAGAAGTTGGTATTGTGTACGGAGTGGTACTGTTAATTACCGCGGAAGGGCGGGCAGTACCAGTCTTGGTGGATCGGGATCGGGAAAACTCACTCAGCTCTCTTTCACTACTAGAAGCACTCGAATAGCGGTGCGGCCTGGGCTGGCTTGGATCCATCCAGTTTGTGGTTGTTGGGCCCATGACGTCCCCGCCCTCCCTTTTCCTTTTCCCACCACTTTTTTCTGTCGACTGGCTTGCCAATTGCCCATTGCCAACAAACCCCAGCATTTGTCGAGTCAACAACTTTTTTTTTGGTCCTGCCGACCTCGACAGCCAATCCTCGCCCGGAATCTCTCATGTAAGGCACTCCTCGGTACTAGGTAGACTACAACTTCATCCATCCACCACCACTCTAACTCCTGTATCTTCCAATGCCTTCCATTCCGTCGATCAATGAACAATGTCTGTATTGTAGTCTGTATTACCTCCCGGTAATCTACTCTTCATTAACGGACGGTCTGTGTGTTGCGGTGTTGCGGGACAAATTCCCCGACAGTCCGGAGTTACAGATCGCGCCCACTTCCATTTCTGAACCATCTTTCCTACTCAGTCTGAACGCGACCAAGAAACCGACCGGACCATGGCATTATATATCATTCTTTCCCTCGAATCCAGCTGACTTCCTTTTTTTCTTGTTCGTGCACGGAGGTTTTTTTTTTTTTTTTTGGAATTGTTATAGTTCGGACTGAGGAATTACTCCGACCCTCGGAGCAGGTACAGTACAGTCAGTACTGAGTAGGTAGGGGTAGGAGTTCGGCAGACCCAAGCTTAGTGCTTAGTCTGGGTACTATACCGTCCGTGTGAGTTGGTATCCATGTAATAATTCTATTCTGGAGTAGGAATAGCCAGATCCGAATCCTGGGTCAACCTTCATGAATCAGTGAGACGGTAAGCCGTGCAAACGGCACATCCCCAAACTGCTTTGATTTATTATCATCATTCAAAAGCGGTGGTACCTGAGCACTGCAGCCGGTCAACAAGAGAGCCCGACTTTCATCTTGATGTTTTCTCCACAGAAACTCCCGAACGGGGCCATCCCTGCTTCTAACCTGTTTGGGAGTCTGTTGACGCCCCACCCGTCAGCGCCAATGGGATCGGCAGCAGTTGTCATCGCGTTGGGGATCGTGGGAAGTCACGGGACTGTCTTCTCACCAAATTCATCTTAACTCTTCTATGCAGTCGAATCTGAGGAATCGTGAGTATTCAGGACTGTATGCGTATGCCCCCACATCAAGACATCCAGTAGAAAACCGATACAAACCGAGATTCTTTGATCTGCAACTATGCCCACGACTCAATAATCCCAGCACATCAGCCCAGTCCCTCCCACAAAAACAATAACATCCATACCAACAAACAAAGCGGCACGTCAAAAACTGAACCTCCCCAAGCGAAAAAGGAGAAGCGGAAAATTCCCACGCGACGATCTCCTTCCGCCCAGGCGTTTAGCAACCCCAACCCTCGTGGATCCTGGCCGAGACCGACCGTCCCCGGCGGGGCCCGCGCGCCCAATCCCTCGGAGACATGGATGATGGAAGTGAAGGAAGACCCGTTTGCCGGTATTGAAGAACCGGAATTGCTGGAAATCTCTCTCTCCCTCAGAGCCACCACAGAGCCACCAAATATCCCAGTTCAAGTCGACTAAACCAAATATGGACCACAAGTTCTAAACGTGGGGCTGGGGTTTGCTGGCTGGGCTGTGATCGCGCATGGTGATTGGCGCAAGACCAAGAACCACCGTCCTGTGAAGAACACCTGCACAGGGCTACACAGCCCAAGCCTAACTTACCCTGAAGGTCAACGAAGATCTTCATAATGAACTGGATGGAACCGAAGGCAAGGTTCTCTGGGTCACACAGCAATCTGATAGGCTCGATGTCCGCCGCTTGAGGATACCCGATCGAGATGACGGCATTGAAAAACAATGGATGGTGGTTAAGACTGCGTTTGGCACAAAGCAGTTGCAGTTCCCATAGTTCCAGGTTCGTGGGCAAACTTCCTCCAAGTTCTCGGAGTCCGAATCCGGGCCTCATCGGAGACCCAGAAGGAGCCAGGCCCCCGTCACTCAGCACTGGCAACACCGAATCTCCCGTAAGATAACGAAGGTCGGTGAGATGGACCATTGGCTGAAGCTTCCTTCAATCCTTCAGGTGAGTAGTTCGTAATCTAGGTACTGTAGTTACAGCACGGAGTACATACTGAGTAGGTCAGTAACCTTTACCTTATTAGGTACTCCGTGGTCTGGGCAAAACCAGAGGCTCCTCAAATAAGGCTAAGCCAGATTCGATCCACGATGCATGGCCGTGGCCCGTCGGTTCTGCTGCCCGGACCAGCACGAGGACTCACCACCGCCGCACAAACGTACTTCTAATCCAACCGTCGGTTAATATACTTGGTGGGCTCTGTAGCTGTAGCTGTAGCTGTCGAAAATGGGAATTGATTGGCAAAAGACAATAATGTATGTGTTGTAGCACGACCTCATGAACATATGCGGGCGGCCATTAGCATTGAACTCAATATTCGGTGGTGGTGTAACAAGAAGCTGCGATCATACCTGAGTGACATTGTTTAGGTAGAATCGCCGAGCTTGAGCTATCTCCTCTGCCAATTAGAAGCAGATGCGGCGAACAAGAGGCAAGACACGAGGTGTGGACCGAAAGAGTAGTGGAGCAGAAACATTGAGAGCTGGGGATTGTTGGGTGGTGGAGGATGAGCCCACCCGGCGAAAATATATATGTACTGTACTGGATCCGAGGACACGCATTGACACGACACCCTTCTTCTTCTGTCCTTTCCATTTGTTATTTCGACAATTGCCTGCTAATAGTGGCCATTTGGAAAGGTCTCTTGATTTGTTGGAACCGTTTTTGAGAAACATGGCTTGACTGACCGATTCAGAGGGAAAGTGGAAGGCTACGCATCATGTGATTATATCACCAGAAACGCGACACATTCTCTCTCGCAGGACCTTCCCCGCATGATGAGGAAAATGTGGTGACGCAGACCTGAACCCAGCTGACCACTCCATTTTACCTACAAGCAGACAACAGCCGGTCTCAGTACCGTCGTGCACTACAGAATCAAATCTATCCGTCACTGGGTATTATTCTCTAACGCCAAAGGCGATTTACTCAATACACAGGGAGACAGATAGCAGACAGGCAAAGAAACAAAGAGTGCTGAGTGACAGCTTGGACGCCGCGAGACAGAGTTCAACCCTCTGCTCCGACAACAATCCTCAATCCATCCTTCCGTCCGTCAATGCGCCAGTCTAATCAAGTCACATTGCCCACCAACAGCTGTACAGGCCGGGTCTTTGTGTCCCCGCAATCGAATACAGGGCATTGCCACGGCAGTTGCATTGTAATAAGCCTGAATCATAGATCTATGAGCCGGCCCAAGCAATGTCTTCCAGAAGAAGATGTTCTCGAGAAACACACACACACACACACACACACAATATCTCAACTCAAAAAACGTCACTTGCCAAGGGGGTAGTCGCACGGAAAGCGAGGAAGAGCACAAGAGGGTAGTAGAGGGAAAAAAAAAGTACAAACGAGGGAAAGAATTTCTCAACTGGGAATAAGGAGAAGGGGATCAACACCTGCGTAGCGGCCGTGAACTTCGTAAAGCCCCTCTGGAATTGTCAATCGGGGTTAAGGAAAACAGGGTATTGCAAGAATAGAATAAGAAATTTATCAAAAGCCTAGAAGGTCTCGCCAAGATCACCAATATTGGTCTTCGGCTCATATCCGGTGCTAGTGCGGAAGCTCCGTGGTGGCGCCGGGATCCCGCTAGGCGTGCGTTTCTTGACCGTCTTCACTGAGCTGGTAGGGGTGTGGACGGGTGTAGAGAATGACGGAAAGCGTGCCTCCCGAGCCTCGCTAATCTTGGCTCGCACTGACATTCGGAACGCCAAGTCCTCATCTTCGTCAATGTTGGACATGCCGCTCGCATGGCCGTTCTGTACGGACGGGTTGCTGAGTGAGGACCGTGGGCGCCGACTTTCAGTAGTGGGATTGGTCGAATAGTGTCCCAGTGGCGTTTTGGTACGACTCTGTCGGCTTTCAGGACGTGCCGAATGCGTAGAAGGCGCAACACTGGGATGGGTGCTCTGGCTGAAGGAGCTGGAATAGCTGGTCCGACTGCTAGGCCGACTGTCGCCCTGAGTTCGAGCGCCAAACGAAGGTCGAGTGTTGTAAGATGAGGCCGTGTCGCCTTCACGCACAGACGAGCTGAAGCTGCTGCCGCTGATTCGTTTACGCGCCGAATTCTGGCGCATAGTGATCGTCGAAGAGACTGGGCTGTCACCGACAATAGATCCAGACCGCGACGAGATACGCGAGGGCGAATCAGAGGGGGCCGGGAGTTTGGACTTGGCAGAGTGAACACGCTCTTCCAACTGCTGCATCTTGCCGATCAGACCGCGGATCTGATAAAGGGATCCCGACTTGGGCAGTGTGGTGGACCGATCGTTGTTGATGCTGGCGGACGAGGTGGGGTCATTGGTGCTAATGCCTCCTGGCTGGAACGCGCTCGCAAATGGCAGGGTCGTTGTATTAGAACGACCAGTGTTGGAGGTGAAAGTGGAACCCCGAGACTTCTTTGGGGTCTTCTTTGAGTCATACATCGACCGGGAGCCCAGCTGAGCGCCGCCACCAGCCTTTTTGAACGGGAATCCGGGAGTGGCGCTGGCAGTCTTGCGCATGCTAGTCGGGACACTGATCGACGCCTCAGACATGGGTGGCGAGGGAGGAGTGGCGGTCACAGTCATGAGAGCATTCTTGATCGGCGGTGTCTGGAACATAGGAGTAGACACAGTCGAAGCGCTGAGAGTACGGTCGAAGATCTCGGGTGTCTGAGGTGTTGATGGGGTGCGGTAGATCAAGGACGCAGGCTTTCTGCGGCGACCACCATTCTGTTCGTGTCGAAGCTTCTCCGAGAGAATCTCGGCCTCGACTCTCTGCTCCGACAGTTCATCACGGAGACGTTGGTTCTCAATCCGCAGGCTCTCACGCTCCATTTCGCCATTCTTGACCTCTTCCTCGAGCAGAACACTGCGCTCGATCGCCATGTTGTACTTCTGCTCCAGATCCTCCAGGGATGAAGTGGTGTGGCGGGCCTGACGTTCATAATCATCGTTCGCGACTTCGATGTCGCGCAGTTTCAGTTGTAGGGTGCGGTTGCCATCGCGCAACTTGGTAATTTCTTTCTGCAGCGTATTCTGAGCCGCGCTGGCCTCCGACTTGGCCTGCTTGTATCTGGACTGCAAGGGGTGAAAGGTTAGTGCCGATGTTCACCCATGACCAAGCCGGCCCACGAGGGAGCGCCAGAAAGGTAAAAAGGAGAAGCAATCAGAACTCTAAAGGTGCTCACCTTCCAGTCGTCGATCTCGTATCTCAAGTTTTCCAGCCGTTCCTTCAGCTGCCGTTCTCGCTTCTCCGACGCCTCGATATCCTTTTCCAACTCGGCCTCCAGTTCGCGGCTGGAAGCCTGGAATTCCGACAGCTCCGCCTCCAGCTGTTCATATTGCGCTTTGTAGTACGCGAGCTGGTCCGACCTCGAGCTAGTACCGTTGGGCCGGGTGGCCGAAGAATCGTCGACGGATGGCATGGTTCCCGCACCAGCAGCTGAGGCCGGCGTAGGAGACGCACGTTCCAGGAGACCACGTCAAAATGAGACCCAGATCTGCAGGGGGGAGGGAGGTCACTCAACGGGGGGTTGTTGAGTGATTAGAGAAATGGAATAAAAGGCGAAAGTTGAGAGCATGCAACGGGAGAGCGAAGGAACCACCGTGCGTGAACTGGTGGTGCTGGTGGAGGGGCCGGGCGGTGTCGCAGGCACTCGGGGGAGAGATTGCGACGGTGTGGGAGGCGACGGAGGGATGGAAGGGTCAAAAGGAGACGGCCCAGAAGCGAGATAAGAGTGTCGAGATTTGAGACCAGCGCTGGCCTTGAATGAATTGACTTACCTTGGGGGACTACCCTCACAGAGGGAAGAATGGGAAGAGAAGGGGGGGGAAGGGGGGGGAAAGAAGAAAGTGGGGTTTGGAAGAAGAAGAGGAAGGATGTTTTCAGAGCAGATAGTTGGGTTGATGAGTGATGCTATCCAGAGCCAAAGCCGGGACGGGCGCCAGATTGAATTGATGATTCCGTCCACGGGACAACAACAACTAACCTTCTTGAACCACCCAAGCAGTAACTTATCGGTAGTGACGGGTAACTTACGGGGCGGTGTCGCCAACTAAACCGGGTCCGGACTAGTTCCGGTGACGTCGTGGCCTGAGGTGAGTATATCTGGGTTGTTTGGTTTGTTTTGGTGTTGTTTGGCTTATTATGATTGTTGTTTTTATTGACATTAAGATCTATGTGCCTGGCTGAAGACTGACGAGGTGTATATTGATGATTCCTAGGTCATAATGCTACTTCATTGCATGAATCCTATAAGAATACTGAAAATGCCGCTTGCGGAGGAGTTCTCGATCAGAAGACGCGCGCGCCCTCGATCATGTGAAAGTCATCAGGCAAATCCCTCTCCGATTACTGACACCATCACAGCTTTTGTATCCAGCAAAAGGCCACCCGATGCTAAAAATGCTAGAAGTATCATCCACGCGTGGAATGATGTCGCGACTGCCACTCAGTCACTTCGTTGATCCATGGCAGCCTGGCCCGCACCACTAGACTTTCCGTGCCAGGGCACCGGCACCAGTCAACCCTGTCTCGATTCGGTTATCGTGCCCACTGGACATAGCAGCCACAACCAGATGGGGCACCGAAACTGGTGCCTGGGGTTTAGGTCGCACAGCTACGCGGGCACTAGGCATCCTGCCGTCTTTCCGATATGTGGCCAGGTAGAACAACACGAACAAAACCAGGTACGAGCTGATCACAACGTCGCCGGTGGCTGTGGCCAACATGCTGCCCACACATGAGCCATACTGAGGGAAATATACAAAGAAAGAGCCGTAGGAGATAAAGCCTGCGGGGTCATGCTGGTCAGTACTATTGTCCTACTTAAACAGCGTTGAAGGGTACAGGACGAACCCAGTGCAATCACAAATTGGAGGATTTGGCCCCGAGTGATCCATGCTTTCCACCAAATGGGAATCCCTCGCGCGGCCTGAAAGTAGTACCAGTACATGATGATATGGACAGCCAGGTTCAATGTGATCACAACCCAAGAGATCGCCGTAGACCCAACCAATTGAGTGTAGCATAGGAAGACAGTTGCGCCGTGATGATAGCAATGCAGGAACGCTGAATAAGGCCAGGTCAGAGAGGACGTCTGGTTATGTGGAGTAGACGGCTATGCTCACTGAGAGGCTTCTTCCTCAGAAACAAGTAGACCGTGTCCAGGAGCTCGAAGTACTTCGTGAGGTAATTCAACTGTCGATGCATTAGCACACCGGGAAAGATGACGAACTGGGTCGGGCATACATAATATAGTACAACCATGGGCTGGGTCCAGCCACCCTCGAGATCACAGATGGCGCAGCGCAAGCCATTCCTCGCGATAGTCGGTACTATCTGTTCCAGGAAAAGTGCCAGAAGAATGGCACTGATGATGCTGAGAAAGAGGTTGTGCAAAAGAAAAAGCTTCTTCAATTGCAATGGTTTTCGATTGCTCAAAAAACTTCGTCCTCCCAGGACCACCGTATAATATAGGACAAGAATGGTTGAGGTTTCCTTCAGCGTAGAAAGAGGTGTCTTGCCTTCGATAAATCGGAAACTGTTGGCTGAATACCCCACAACAGCCTCGAAGGCTCTGTTGAACATGGGCCACAAATCAAAGCCAGAAGGGTGTTCAAGCGAAGGAATGGGCAAGGTATGAATGGAGGAGGTCGAGTCCATGCCTGCTGCTATCCTACTACCGGAGATTCGCCTCAACTCTGGCCGGGAGGGGGAAGGGTATGAAAGTTCTGATAAGGAGATGCGACTAAGATAAAAGAAGGGGATTTCCTGAGAGGAATATAAGCGAGCAACCTTTTCGAGAGATTATCAAGACATGGATGCTGGCTGGACTGCTGTGCGACGAGCAAATAATCCGATGGGGCGTGTAGTTGTTGTGATTCGAGGTTCATGTGACTTTGATGCCTTCCTAATTGAGGACCTTCTTTCTTGCTCTTGTCCAGAATCGAGCTTCAAAAAACCTTCTAAGTGGCTGACAGCGTCGGAGGGTACTCTGGAGAAGCCATGGTTTGTGTTCTGCTTTGAATTCGAAGGTCGTTCAATGATAGCAGCTTCCAACATCGAAGATGTTATTCTGCTTCCCTGCAGTACTCCATTCACCGACGAGACAGCTGAATTCTGGCGAAGTTCTGGTCCTTACTTGATTTTGACAAACAGTTCTTACTGGACAGAGAGTGCTATTGCTGATTTGACCGATCACTTCAATGAGAGATACTTGCGAGGTAAGAGTTGGTACACTAGTTGTCAGAAAACTTGCTCTACGCGTCTTTTGAAGTGAAGAATCATAGCACTGACTTGATTTCTGCAGACGACTTAGCATATCACACCGAGTATTGCAATTATCCAACAGTTAACCTTTTTCATCAAGTCACCTTCTCTGACCGCGGCCATTTCCCCAACCCCACAGCTGGCACCCTCTCTTTGCAATACCCTCGCTCTTTTCTCTTATCGCCATCCACTGTATCTGCTCTGCTACGATTCAGGACTTGCCCATGTCGATTTGAGCTCAAAATGTCGCTTACTGTGGCCGAGGCAAAACGCCGCTGGCAGAACGCAGAAAAAGGTCCACTTCTTCACCTACCGCCACTACTCGAATACTAATTCCACGAGGTAGAGATCCATCGGGCATTCGACGCAGAAGATACAGATGAGTACGATCGACAAGAGACTGCGGTACTGCTAGAATTGGTACGGCCCCTGGAGCCGGTGAACGCCCATGTCGTGACGACCCAGCAGGAAGATTGGCAAGACTACGTGGCGGACGACTACAACCGATGCTTTGCGGACGCTTCCATATTGTATCGCCGAGGCGTGGAAGTTGAACCTTGCGCTCAATGCTCGGTCTCAGCCACATTTCGCCGCTGTGTTATCGCGCCACCATATCGAGGACGTGCATTATTTGCTGCTGCTTGTGCTAATTGTATCATAGACGGCATAGGCGAACATTGCTGTCACTACAAGGCGTTCAAAGCTCAAAATGGCATAGAGTGGGGCGCACCTGTCTCCGAGTGAGTATCTGTCCTAAGTGTAGGAGTGCCGACTGACATATTCCAGGGAAGTTCGGGGGTTTGGCGGCCTGCGTGAAGCAATCCAAGCTACGGGATACGACGGTCTTTGGTTTGCTCACGGAGATGCCGGGGCAACAAACCTTCCACTAGCTGATCCATCTCTGCAATGCGGCCAGGATCGTGTCGTGCCGGACGAAGCGCAGAGTACCATGGCTCCCGTGTCCTCGAATGGCCAATTTGCATTATGGGCTGTTCCTAGCGAGCAATGGAATGATCTATCTGCGCTAAAGAAGACCCGCACTGACTTAAAGCAACATGTTCGGGCCGTCAAGGATCGGATTCGACAACTCAGATCCCTCCGAGCATCGAAACGCACAGACGTTCCGAACCACTAATCCGGGGCGATTCAGACGAATCATGCGGTGGAACAAAAGGCGCGAGATACGCGAGGACGTTGATGTATTAAAATGAACTTTCGAGGTGTGATTCTACGCCTCTTGTTTACGTGGTTGAAATATTTGGGATCCATGATCGGAGCCGATTGCTCATTGGCGAGATATTATTACACCGATACTCTTGTAGGGTGACGATAGTGAGATGAATGAATGCAATAGATACCTGCAGGAGTTTAATCGACAGGATGTGTTTGTTGTGTTGTGGAGATAAGTCAGCGGTGAGTGAGCGGACCACGTGACCGGACGTGGACACACACACAGTCCACACCTTCCCTTCCCCGGGTTTTGTTCACTCAGTCAGTGTCTCTTCATATGGAGCCAGCCGTGCTCCTAACAAGGCTGCTGAATGTGCTGATACCTCCGACCCAGAAAGCCTAATTCATTTCCCCAATCTTGGTTATCTCCAAAACTTGTTTTCGGCACAAGGGATAGTTTCCCACGTGCGACCCCAGATTCCAGTACGTTCCCGTCGCGGCCCCCCTTCTTTGGCCTGTTTTGTGTTGTCTTGCGTGTTCTTGGGTGGGTGAAGTAGTGTGCGGTGAATGTTGGGGGAGATCCCGCCCGAACATGAACCTTCCCCTTGATAATCCACCCCTGGGTACGCTATATCCACGCACAAAACACCCTCGGCTGCTCATCATCGTGGGGACATTCCTTCCACGCACTCGCTTCGGTCGATGAAGCGCATTACTTCAATTGTTCTCATGTTCCCCGACATCCCTTCACGGCTTCTATGAGGCCGTAGCCATATGAAAGCTTTGGATAGGACTGATGGGCGATGCCAGACATCCACCACCACCACCATCTCACCGGTCACCATGGCAGATCCCACTGATCTGAACCTGGATGCACCGAGCGATCTTCAAGATATTCCGGAGATGTCCATGCAATTGCTCCCGCCTCCCGAAGGGACGTATCCCGACAAGTAAGTACATGGCTTTCACTCTTTCACCCCCTCTGCTCTTTCTGCTTTCTGCCTTTCCCAGCCAACGGCAATCGCTCACATTGGTGCAACCCGCCTTCACCAGAGCGACGTTACTGGCAGCCGTGTCGGCCCACGGCAAGGCACATGGGTACAACATCGTAGTCAAGTCGTCGAGTACGCCCACGGAGAAGAAACCGGGGCGGACTGCCAAGGTCTGGCTGCGGTGTGATCGCGGCGGCCATTACCGTCCGCGGAATGGTCTCACGGAGGAGACCAGGAAGCGCCGGCGGACGTCGCGGCTGATGGATTGCCCGTTCATGCTAGTTGCAGCTGGAACTCCTGGCATCTGGACGTTGACGGTGCTGAACCCCACGCACAACCACGGCCCGATTGTCGAGAAGCCTCGACAGCTCCCTCACCACAAGGTCCGCAAGGGTCAGATCGCGGCGGTGCCGTACGATTGGCCGCACGATGCCACCTTGACCCCCTATACCACGGCGTTAGTAATCATCGACATGCAAAAGGACTGTGCGTATATTCTCTGGTCTGCGAGTGGGTCTTTTCGGAACTAATCTCCCTGTCACGCAGTCTGTTCGCCGGGTGGATACATGGAGTACCAGGGCTATGACATCTCCGCGAATCAGGCGCTGATCCCGAAACTTCAGCATCTGCTGAATGCGTTCCGGGCGGCGGGGTTTCCCATCTACCACACCCGAGAAGGTACGTACTGCTAAACGAACGCCCACCCCATCCTTGTCAATCATCCTCGTCCACTGACTTTCCAATCAGGCCATCGCCCTGATCTGTCGACGCTCTCCAGCAGAGAGACCTACCGGTCTCGGAATAATGCCTCCGGACTGGGGATCGGCTCGCCGGGTCCGCTGGGCCGGCTCCTGATCCGCGGCGAGGTCGGCCACGACACGGTGGACGAATTGTATCCGATTCCGGGGGAGCCCGTGATCGACAAGCCCGGGAAGGGAGCGTTCGCGCATACGGACTTCGAACTCATTCTTCGGAACCGCGGGATCAAGAACCTGGTGATTGCCGGGGTGACGACCGACGTGTGCGTGGCCACCACCATGCGCGAGGCCAACGACCGCGGCTTCGACTGTGTGGTCCTCGAGGACGGGACGGCGGCCAGCGAGCCGTCGCTGCATGTGAGCACGATCGAGTCGGTGAAGATGGAGGGGGGGATCTTTGGGGCCGTCACCAAGCTGGAGGATGTCGTGCATGCGGTGGAGAACTTCAAGGCTGTGACTGTGAAGAAGCTGGCTCCACAGATGGCCGTTTAGTTTTTCCGTTGTGCTCATGTTCTGGACTTCATCTGGTGGTTTTCTTTTTAGGCTGCATTGCCGAGTTCGGATTTAGAGGAGTTGTTTGGGTATTTAGGATGATTGATAGCAATAACGACGAATACGACCATGATTTATGATGCCATCGGTGGTCGATGACGAAGTCACCGTTCAGGGAGATTAATGAAAAGTTATATCTACATGGCAAATAAGCCCTGGTATCATCAAGCAGAAAAACAATAGAACCCAACGCCAACACCCGCAACCAACACATCTAATCCCTCCACCTCTTACCAACCCCCCCCTTGAACAACCGGAAAAAGAATCACAACCACTTCCGTCCCGCCGCCGTAACCCTCGACCGAAACACGGCACTCCGGATCTCCATCCCCTGCCGATAGAACGGATTCATGACCGTCTTGACGTAGTTCTCATAGACCTCGGTCATGAACTGGCGCACGGCCTCCTCGGTCTGGGGGCTGGTGGGGTTGGCGGCGATGGAGCTGGCCGAGGCGCGCGCCGACGACGAGCCCGCCGAGAACGAGCCGCCCAGGATCGAGCTTCCCGTGATGCCACTACCGGCGTTCGCGTTGGGGCCTGCGGCGTTGGGCGGCTGGTGCAGCAGCAGGAAGCGGGCGCCGGATGGGGTGAGGAAGGCGGAGATGTAGGCCGAGGCTGGGGGGTAGGTGTCGATGTGTTTGAGGTACCTGTCCATAACATAACGAGTCAGTAATTGGGGGGATGCGAGGGAGCGGGGAGGGGGGTGGTGAGGGTGAGGTTGGGGCCAAGGGCGGCTCACATATTCCCATTCATCCACTGCGCCTCCTCGACCATATCCAAGCTCGAGTGGATGATGAACTGGTTCATGTACTGGGCGGTGTCCGGGAAGCGGAAGCGGGCGATGCCATCGCCGCCGGATTTGGAGGTGCCGAAGGCGATGTTGAAGAGGGGGACGTCGGTGGGCGAGAGGATGGTGAAGTAGTAGGACATTTTGGATCTTGCAGCCAGAGAAGCTGCCGACGGTAAGTAAGACGGTGATGTTGTGGATTTCCGGGGAAGACGCAAGCAGCAGCAGCAGCAGCAGCAGCAGCAGCAGCACCGCGCCAGTCAGAGACGGGGACAGCAAGCGGAGGGGAAGGTCACGTGGCGATAAGATCTCCGCTCGAAGACAGTGAACCCACGTGACTCGCATCATCGTATCGATTATGAATGATCATCATCAACTGTTTCCTCTCCTCGACCCCCAACATCAGTTACCACAACCCACGCAAAACACAATGCCGCCATTCGGCATCAATCTCGCCAACAAATCCAAAGCCGGCGGCGGCATTCGCCCCCCACCAGGCCACCCACCGGCCAACAAACGCAAGAAAACCATCTTCGACGATTTGGACTCCGACGACAACGAGGACACGACCGCCCCGGCGAACAAGAAACCCAGCGCCATTGAAATCACCACCCTCGGCGGCCTCGACGATACTACCCCATCGCAACCCACCGACACAGACCCGCGTCCCCTCAAACGCAAACCCCAACTCACCGACCCCAAACCGCCAAAAACACTAAAACCCCTCTCCAAAACCTCCATCTTCGCCAACGACTCCGACTCCGACTCCTCCACCCCCCAGACCACCTACGGCCTCACCAAGCCCACCTCTCAACCACCCAAAGACCAAAACGAATACACCAACCTCGCCGCCCTGCACAGCAGCCGCCAACACCAAACCCACGCCGCATCCCTCGACCCAAGCATCTACTCCTACGACAGCATCTACGACACCCTACACGCCAAACCTACCCCCAAAAACCCCGAAAACCCCGATGATGCGTCCGCCGGGACCGTCCCCAAATACATGACGGCCCTCCTCCGCAGCGCCGAGATCCGCAAACGGGACCAGCTGCGCGCGCGGGACCGGCAGCTCGCCAAGGAGCGCGAGGCCGAGGGGGATGAGTTCGCCGACAAGGAGAAGTTCGTGACGGCCGCGTACAAGGCGCAGCAGGCGGAGATGCGGCGGATCGAGGCGGAGGAGGCCGCGCGCGAGGCGCGGGAGGAGGAGGACCGCCGGAAGAATGGCGGGAAGGGGATGGTGGGGTTCTATCGCGAGATGCTGGCGCGCGGGGAGGAGCAGCATGCTGCTGTTGTTAGGGCTGCGGAGGCGGCGGCTGAGAATGTTACCGGGGTGGAGGGGGCTGCAAGGGAGGGTGAGAAGAGTGGGGAGGAGAAGGACAAGGACAAGTCGGAGGCGCAGGTGGCGGCCGAGTTGAATGCCCGCGGCGCGCACATTGCCGTCAATGACGACGGGCAGGTCGTGGATAAGAGGCAGCTGTTGTCGGCGGGGTTGAATGTCGCGCCGAAGCCGAAGGTGGCGCCGCAGGGTGATCGGAAGGCTGGGGAGAGAGTGGCTGGAGCGTCGACGGCGAGGTTCGGCGCGAATAGAGGCGCGGATCGCGGCGGCCAGCGCGCCAGGCAGACGGAGATGATCGCCTCGCAGTTGGAGGAGCGGGCGCGGCAGGAAGAGGAGGCCGAGGCGGCGCGGCAGAAGGAGATCGCCGAACGCAGTCGGAGCCTGAAGACTCAGGGCGATGTCTCGAGTGCCAGGGAGAGATATCTGGCCCGGAAGAAGGAGCGCGAGGCGGCGGCTGCCGCCAAGGGGAAAGCTTCCTAGTACATTTGTACTGTACTATACTCCAGGCGCTGTCATAGAGTGGCTCGTGGCTCGCTGTAAACTGTACGATAACATGAAAACGAACTGCGATTCTACCGGTAACGCTATATATGTATTCCCAAGTAATCAGATACAATCAAGAAACAATCAATCAATCGGCCCCCGATATCGTCACGTCATTTCATAACATCACAAAAAGAGTCACTCCGCTCGAACCATGCTATCTGATGAGTAATTCTGTCTAGTAACAACTTTAAAAGAAAGGATGCAAGTTTTTTTTCACCCCTTATCATACCCGAGAATCAACGCCAACCGACGATGCACGAAATATCATGCCGTGAGCGCAAAGCTGAGACCCATCAGGACCATACCCCCAATCGCAAACCCCGTGCACATGCCCCGATGATGGGTCAGAGTCAACCCCTCACTGAACAGCTGCAGCGCCACCGAGGTCATGACGCCCGCGGTTGCGGCGAACATGCCCCCGTACACGCCCCACGACGGACCGGCCGTCCCATCGTCCCCGTTGGCGCGCCGGGCGCCCCAGATCCAGAGGGCGGCGAGACCCGCGCCCGCCGGCTGGCTGATGCCGCCCAGCAGACTGGACCAGAACATGGCCCAGCCGCGCGAGTGCAGGGCCAGGTAGAGGGGCAGGGCCATGGCGAAGCCCTCGCTGATGTTGTGGATGAAGAGCGCCAGGAAGACGGTCAGTCCTAGAGTCGGGCTCGCGTGGTTGGTCGCATACGTGATGAAGCCCTCGGGCAGCTTGTGCAGGGCGATGGCGACGGACGTCTGGAGCCCGATGGACAAGAATGCGTTCTGCGGGACGTGGTGGTGATGTTGCTGCGTCTCGGTCGCGGAGACGACCGGAGGCTTGTGGGGGGAGTCTTCCGACGGCTCGCACTGGTCATCCAACAGGCCCGTGTGCGACGAGGAGGAACTGGTCTCATGGTGGTGGTGATGGTGGTGGTGGTGCGACTCGTGCACGCGAGGTAGACCCGATTCGAGATCGTTGGGCTGGGTTGCATCTCCGTGGACGGTGATACTGCGGGGGGGTTGGAGGGATGGACGAACCAGGTCACTGCCTACATCCGAGATTGAGGGGGTCGGCAAGAGGGTCTTGGTACATTCATGGCCACACGCCTGCGAAAACCCGAAACAAGGTCCGTTCTCGTCGCACTGAGCTTTGACGCCCACCATCCGGCTGAAACGTCGTGTTAGGCGATCCCGCAATGAATCCCGCCGTTGGAGAGGCACTTGGGTGCGAGAGTTCGCCTCGGGGAGGGTCATGGTCGCCGGGGAGGATTTGAAGGACCGTGACAGAAGGGGGGTGCGCTCGTTCCACGTATTCGACTCATCATGATGGTGCCCGCTGGGCTCATGGTGGTGATCGTGTTTCGGATGCGGTTCGTGGGAATGAGCGCAATCGACGACATGAGAGGGGATATACCGGTGCAGCAAGGCGGATGCGAAGCGAATGACGACGACACCGGCAAGGAAGAGTCCAATGAGCACATACGCCGAGCTGGAGGGAGACCAGCCAGCGCGAATGAGGTAATTATGAGACGTAGGAAGCATGCTATAGAGAGACGTGAAAAGCTATGACCATTAGTCGACGACTGTGAGGAAAAGGGGCGAGGGCGGCAATACCATGACACCTGCACTCAGGCAGAGCGATGCTGACAAGAATGCATTGTTGTGGACTATTTGAAAGTCCTTCCGCCGTGTTAACTGCCGCAATACTATATCGATGCAGATGACGGACGACCCCAGGACGCAGGCTAAAGGCAATCAGCTTGGAAGGCAAATTTCGGAGAAAGGTTTTTGGAGAATAAACTTACCCGCGCCAGAGACGGCACTCATGACCCAGCCCCGGAGGTCATTGCTGGCAGCCATGATGCGGGGGGTGGGAAAAGGACTGATGGGAGGGAAGAATAGGGAAGGGAAGGGAGATCGACAGAGAGATGGGGACAGAAGTGGAGGAGCTTGGAAGAAATGAGGAGATCCCAGAACAGGGACCCGGGGGGAAAATTGGTAAAGCAAAGGAAATGAATGGGGGGGTTTTGGTTTGCGGAGGGCGGAGGGCGGAATGGAATGGCTAAATAATGCATGATATCATGTCACGCGCTGTCCCGATTAGATAAGGGTCTGGGGACCTTGGAAGCCCTACTTTTGACATCCCCCTTGCAATGCATTGCATTCAGAATAGAAATAGAATTCAGAAAGTTTTCTGATTTCCTGGAAGTAGCTTGCTGAGTAACACACCAGTACTTATCTATTTTGCATCCCAACCTGTGCAAGGTGGCATTGGTTTCCATACCTGGATACATTGACATTTGGTTCTTTGTGCATTGAATGTCATCTGTAGGTCAATTGGTTGTTCTTACAGAGGTATTGTGTTTCTACTACACTAGGATCATCTACAGTCAATCAAGAAGGGCTATATACTTGTTGAAGACTTACCATACTTATTAGTATAGTATTATTAAAATACTGATCCTCCTTAGAATGCCTTATAAGCTTACATCATACAATAAATACAAATATAAGTGTGCTTGCATTGACACAATTCTCATAATAATAGAACACTAGGTGACTTAGGAATAGGGAATTATAGATAATAGTAAGAGAATAATACATCCCTGAATAATGATCTGAGGATGAATAGAGACAAGAATAAGTATAAGCCTGAGAAGATGGTACCTGCCATGTCTATGGTTCTGAGGACGGACCAGTACTAAGTACTAGTCCGAGCTGTGGTAATCTTGCGGTTGCCTGTGGCGTTTAGGAGAAGGAACAGCCCAGAAAGGTACAAGAAATTGTTCATAACTCCACGGTGAGAAAGTTAGCAATGCTTGTGCTCAATGAAGGAGCTCTTAGTAGAAAAGACACTTATAAAGCTGATATCAAATTCAAGTCAGAGAGCCGTGCACAATGGTAAAAAAAGAGATAGTATTGAAAATTGGTAATCCTTGATATAGTGCTGCCAACTCCCTAAAAATGCAATTTGATATTGACAAAACCTTATGGTATCCTTATATCCACCAACTTGGTGTCTCTAGTCCACAAAAGCTCAAGAGAATCAATTCTCACCATCCAAGCCCTCCATTTGTCACAGCTTCGACTACTGCTCTGCTAGGTGGTTGTAGTTCTGCCCTGCAAGGCCATTGTGTTGCCTGCCTGCCTAGCCTCCCGCGGCTGCTCCACTTAGCCCGTTCAATCTGTCGCTGGCCTGCAACTCTCTCTTTAAGACCCTGATAAAACAAATCAGTCCGTGGAGCCACTATTTATTGTTATCGCAAATTATTGCTTCATTGTCACAGCGCATTTTGACGAACATATGACTTTTACATATACAATATCACGTGAGTCATTGTAGTTTTGCCTATATTTAAAGTACCCTCTGTATATTTACCTACTTAGGCGGTATTACAACCCCCTTACAATGATTATTATATGGGGAGAGAGCAGTAAAGAGACATAGCAATATTTCTATAGTGAAATCAAAGAAAAGGGTGTAAAATATTAGTATAGTGTGGAAATCGGCTAAGCGGGGATTGCTATAACAACGGTCTTCAGTATTCGCTCAGCGTCCGGCTTCACCTTGCAATCACTTCCTCAGCCACAAAGCTGCTATAAGGCTGATGGGAGATCTCACCCTTGTTTCACTTTGGGTAGGGCTGGTCGCAAGTTACCATGGTGGTATTTATTCTCTCTTTTTCTTCTTCAATTAGACAACGGTACGAGTACGAGTACGAAAGTGGGTCGGGACTGGACCACCCAAATAGAAACAGTATGATCACTGCCAGAGATACGCAATGGCATACCCATGCATTTCAGATGATCTCAAGCTCTAGAAATAATCCATTGAGAATCATTTCTATCGTAACGCCTCCAAAACATAGCTTTCATAAGTTCATACCGAAAAGGAAGCATCAAGCTAAAACAGATTGTTGTCGCTGTAAAAGAAATCAGCAAAAATCCTCAGAACCATCCACGAACCCTCGAAACATCACGATGACGACCCTCCGCGGTTCAGATGCATATAGCCGTTCCCAGGCGTGGCGGCGCCAGCACTAGGTGGCACCAACAACAGCGCCCCAGGGTGCTCGCTCGCCTTGTGGACGCGTTTCTTCTCCAACCACATAACCACCCCGGCGCCAGCGGCAACCAAACACGCCAGAGCCACGAAGAGGCCCGTCGTCCAGCTGGGCCGATGGAACCGGTCCATCGCCCACATGCACACGGCCAGACAGACCTGAAAGACGGAGTTGAGGAAATTGCCCCAGACCACCGCATCCATTTTCCACAGCGGGGTTGGGTTTCGTGGAGCCTCTGTTGCGGTCGTTGCTGCTGTTGCAGCTGCTGTTGCTGGAGCCGCCCTCCCCGCAATCGCCTTCTCCTCGTCTTCATTCTCCACGGGGTCCGCTGTTCCCGGGAAGAAGTAAAACCACTTGGAATGGACCTCCGCCAGCCGGACCAATCCCCCGTGACGAGTTGACAGCGAGCGACCGAGCCGCCAGAGACACCACAGGTACAGATCCCGAAGCCGCCAGGGCGCTAGGCCAAACCCCGTGATGCAGAACAGGGCGTTGAGGATCTGCGAGTCGATCTCGATCCAGACGCGGCGCGCCGAGTCCGGATCGTCGCAGCTGGGGTGGCACATCGCCGGCGCCGCATTGCACAACAGTAGGAAGAGCATCCCGCCCCAGGCGACCACGTTCAGGCCGTAGATCGTGATGCAGAAGCCCAGCGGGGTGACGGCCCAGCGCAGGAAGGCCTTGGTGGCGTGGATCCATGTTGTCTCGTTCAGTGGATGCGTTCTGTCGTCATTGTCGTCGACTTTGAGGGAGGTGGTCATTTGTTCTTCCACTCTCTTTCTGGTAGGCAAGGCAAAGTTGGGTGGTGGGTTGCAAGGGCGAAGTACGAGGGAGGTATGACGATAAGATAAATGGTCAAGGAGGAGAGGAGAAGTCGGGTAGACGAAACAAGGGACCACTGACTTAATGATAATCAGTCTCTGAGCATGAGAGAAGAGGCGGATTTAAATACGCAAGACGTGGGCCGGGTGCGACATTACGTCTGTGCTATGCGCAGTCAGCCAAGAAAGCATTAATGTATGTGTACTTTGCCCCCTCCTATCATCCATAATAGGCAATGAATGGGTGTTTGAGCCAAGGATGCCTGGCGGGGCCGGACGCTGCGCCGGGAGTACCTTATTCTACTAAGTACGACCCAGTGGCGATCACAGTGAAGGGAAATCAGATTCTGACTGGGACTGGGATTCTACCCCGTGCACCTATATTTAGGTGATTGATCGTTCCTTTGCGCGTTTGTTAACCTTTCTTTTTGTTTTTGTTTTTACCATACCATGACGAATATCCGTCGCTGAACGACACGTGTTTGACGCACTGATGGAAACGTTTTTTTCCGAAAGACAGTCGTCACTCTTACTCAGGAACCCTAAAGTCAACTTTGTTGGGCCCAGGAATATTACAAGTCGACTGCTCTAGCCAAGCCATGATTTGACCATTAATGATATGAGTCTAATCTAGGCAAACACAGTTGGATCTGGGGCTGCCGAGAGCAGTAGAATCTGACTAACTGCTTCGAGTAATCGGTACGAGACCCAGCACAAAAATGTTCACACGGATATCAGACAAAACCCTATCCAAAGGCACCCCCCAAAATCTCTACCTACAAAGGATAACAAAGCAGAGGCGCTACAACAAAATGTACCAATAACTAAGAGAATCCGAGCAATGAATGTGGGCGTGAAAACAACAAACTGAGACCCAAGAATGTAACCGTCGAAAACACGAATGACCACTTCAACAATCACATCCGCGGATCCAGCATCTCGATCTGGTCCGACTCCATCTTGCCGTACGGTTGGCGCTTGGAGAGGATCCGACTCGGGTGCAGGATGTTGAACAGAAGGCACACCAGCAACATCAGCACCGCGTCGAAGATATAGAGGTAAATCTCATGCTGCTGCAGCACGCCCGTGGTCCCTTGCACATATTCCACCACACGGTAAATCGATCGGACCATGATCAGGATGCTGGCGGCATATAGGACGCGCATGTAGGTGTACCAGGGGGGATTGCTGATGGAGAGGGAGGTCGGGGTCGGGGAGGCGGTCATGCGGCGATGGAAAACCATGGAGACGAGGATGAAGAAGCCAAAGAACACCAGCTGGACGATGAGACCGATCACGATGATCCGATTGCCCAGGGATACACTGCTGGCCGACTTCGCGCTCGCCATCATGCCGCCACCTCCGCTCTGTATGAAAAAAGAGAGCACGTCTCCCGTCACGAAGATCTTGGTCAACCAATTCGGCCGGATAAGCGAGTGCGAGTCCCCGTGAACCAGGCGGATTATGCGTCCCAGCAGCATGTAGATGGAGGCGGAGAAGAGGGAGGGGGCGAGGAGGAGCAGCAGCTCCTGTCCGACATATGGCATCACCGTCCAATTCGGGGTCTGTTTGGCACTGTACCATCGCGCAACATAGCCAAATGCTTCGACTAGAAAGACAGCGAAAGAGTCCAGCGTGTTAACCAAGGCCCGGCGATGGTGCTAGCAGAGAAAGGCGCAGAAGAACTCACAGAAGCCACCAATGATAAAGGGTGTAAAGTACCAGGTCCGCCTGCGGACCATCTGGAATAGATGCAGCACAGAGGTTGCGGCAAACACTCCCGCAAAGACAATGGCCACGCCCACGGATGGATTGTATTCATAGAGCTTGTAGCTACTCGACATGATGAGTGAGGAGAGGTGGTGTAGTGAAAGAATGTCAAATGCACGGAAGGAGCCCAGTAGGATATGTACTGTACTGCACCTGATTTAGCTGGGACTACATGGGAATGCTAGAGAGACCCCCTTGTAATAGCTGGCGATCTTTGATGGGCTATATTTCAAGATGTGATAGTGCAGGCGTCTCAAGGCTGGCGAACATCCATTCTGGGGCAAGGGTACGAATACGAGTGGATCGTGTCTAGATCGGGTACCAAGACAAGCAAACTCCACTGTAACGGCGTTACAAAAGCATTCACTATGCTATGTAACTCAAATAAGGTGGAGACTTACTTGATCACCATCCATGCATTCTTCCCTGGACTCTAAGCGGGCAAAGAATTACTGGCGATGATGATCAGTGATTATCCAGCGCTAGAACGGATAGTGAACGTTTTGCGGGGTATATGCCATCCTACGACTTTGTTGAGTGGCAATTCCCAGCAGTATTAACCTAGCATGGGCTGATTTCATTGCTAGCCATCCCTTTGGCTTTTGAAATGCCTTTCTTACCTGCGAGCACGTTGCCCTTTTCCCCTGCAATCCTCTTTCTCTTTGCCTTAAAATCCGCTATTTCCTCCTTAGCAAGTGTCTGTGGATACCGGCCAGCACAATGGTCAAGACTTGAAGCTTGTACCGTCGGCGGATAAAGAGCTTGAAAGCGCGCAACTACTGCTCAGGGAGATGTTAGCGCAGCATGAAGTTGAGAGAAAAAGACTACAGACAGAAAGACATTCTCTGAAAGCCTAGCTTAGGATGTCTTACCACAAACAGAGTCGAGACAAGGGTGTTGATCATGACTTCTTCATTCGCGGGGTGGTGCTTGACTAGACAAAGAGCTATTCATAGTGCCCATTGTTCTAGCCAGGTAAGACATTTCAATCTTGCCAGTCTCTGGAACACGTCTTCAACTTCTTCTAGAACCGTGTTAATGAGGTGTAAAGGTAACTTCTGACTTCGATCAATTTCGAGTATTTGACGCAGACTTGCCAATCCTCAGCAGGGGTTCTATGCTTTCGAAGGCCACAAGTTAGCATAATTCTGTGAAACTAGTTTCGCGCGTGACATCCCGAATGTGATGAGGGTAATGGGAAAGGATAAGTCACTACTGCAAGAATCATACAGCGAGAAAGCATTTATCAGCAGACGCAGGCTCAGAAACCCCGGCCTCAGGCTCATCTACTTGAGATGGCACAGCCATGGGTCATGACGAAGGCATTGATGTTTGACAGGTACATTATTGTACACGTTTTGGTGAGTAAGCTGACACCCACATGTGTAGCGGCTCAGGGGGTTTATCGGTATGAGGGATATGATTGGCTTTTGGACTTATCCTCCAATTCGCTCTCCAAGTTGCTGGTGGTGAGACGAGTGCACTGAGTCGGGGGGTGACCAGAGCTTATATCAACCCCGGCGAACAGAGGATATTCGGAGTCATCTAGCACCAAGTGACCTTGGATGAGTCGGATTCCTATTAGGTTCTCAGCTGCGAAGAGGTACAAGAGTGGTACAAATGCCAGAGATTCTTCGACATTGCAAACGGCCTTACCGATCCTAGAAGTAATGTAAAGACAACAATCTGAGAAACAAGCACCAGGATAAGCACATCGACGTCAAGGAAACTTGAAAGTACACCTTGAGGCGTCACAATGAAGATGGGGAAGTTGTACAGTGGAGGTCAAGGAGGGAGGGAGAGCAAACGGACACTGGCCGAGTGACGTATTACAGGCCCGTCACATGATGGAGGCTTTGAGGTAAACAGTAGCAGGAACTCCCCAACCTCGCCCTAGAAGTGCTACACAAGCACTTCCTGTCAGCAGAGCTTGAGTTGGGATCGTTGTACGTCTTATCTTGTTGTTCACATTTATAAAGCACCTCCCATTTGTCCGATCGAGCAGAAGAAAGGATCATCAAAATCCACTCTTCCTTGAGAACTACCGTGATTCGATTGAGGTACGCTCACAAAACAACCAACCAAGCAAGAAAGTCCACTTGGGAAACCTGCAATCATGCTTCCATCTACCCTTCATGTCAGAAGCCTTCTAATCCTCTTTCTCATCTCCATAAGCTCCGCCATGTCTCTCACCCGCTATTCCAAACCTGTACCCTCTGGGGCTATAGTGGCCGAGACCCGCGAGCAGCTCAACCAGATCACCTTCGAGAATCAGTACACGCTTCTGCACGAAGAAGACGGTGGCTACATACTGAAGCAGACCGAAGACGGAACTGTGGTGGCAGTAGCTGGCGACGCTCTCTGCGCGGAGCTCGACAAGGTCTTTGCCGACCTCGACGCCAGGGAGGCTGCAGAGAACAACCAAGAGGATCAGCAAGGTGGGGACTCCAGAACCGGCGGCTACGGCAACGGTGAATCGCGGCGAACTGCGAATGACATCCAGGCGGACAATAGGCTGAACGCTTGTGCTCATCGCAGATGCTTCAACTCGGTGATCTGTATAACCTATAGAGACTGTCATATCTGCTCATCTCGGAATGTGTGTATTTGAGGGGTCAAGCGATAGGTACGATGTGCTTGATGTGTTGTTATTCGAGTGGTGGGTGATGGTACAGTTTCTTGTTAAGGACTTGAAAAAAAAAATGACAGGGTTGGGGACATGTTGGTCTCTTGTTGTTGGTGCTCTCGTGCCACTGAGTGTTTCAGTAATTTGGACCGGGCAGGGTATCTCCGAAGCAATCAGCCAGAACAGTTTTTACAAGCAATTGGAAATTATGACAACCTTGGTTTCTGGCCGTGATAACATTTCGTAACGTTGTCCATAGATAATAGGAAGATCGATTCTGGCCCTGACAACAAGAAGCAGCCATATGGCTGCCAAATGTATTTGGTTTATACTTGGCCATTGTTACTGGAAGCGTTTAGGAAGGCTTGTTATTTCTGGAGAGTCCGTGCTTCAAAAGAGCGTTGTAACAAGATTCAGATATGTTATTGGAACCGGAAAGATTTTGAATTGGCTCAAATCGATACAACGCTCAAATTAAAGGCATCCTGTGTATGCGCAACGTATGTAGATCTAGCCCCTGGTATTATGTCTAATCTTATAGCTGCTCATCACGACAGCCTTCGTTGTTTGCCCACACGCTTCCAGGTCCAATAAGTGCTCCGGGGAAGCTCTTCAACATGCTCACAGAACAAGTTAAAAGTCTCCTCGGTCATATTTGTAGGACGTTCACCAGCCAACTCAAAGCTATGGATGGTGTCACTGTATTTGGCATACGGCAGTGTGAAGAAATTCTCCATATTCATGAGGTGCTGGTGCAAGATGAAGAACGCCTGATAAGGTGTGATGACTCCGACCAAAATGGCTTGCTCCGCCAAATCTCTGAATGCGGCAAAGAATCCGTCAAAGGATCTATAATCAAAAGGATCCATGTGAGTTATTGACCACCAGAGATGAGTGGCTGTCTCCAGACTAACACGGATCACAACGTCTCTGACAGTATTGATAAAGTCTTCTGGGAGTCGTGGCTGGCGGCGAACGAACATAGGGTCTTCGCAGATGGTAGGCGAGGTGTGAAGGTGCAGCCAGGAGAAGATCACGTTTGCCTGTTGTTCCCAGTATATGTAGTCATACTCATCGGGAGCAGGCCTTGGAGCGCGGGGATCGATGTAGTTTTCCAGCTGCCATGCCTCTAGTTCTCTATGGACATCGTCGAGCCATTGACCAAAGTTGCTATAGTCGCGGAGTTTGTCGATGGGTGGAAGCAGTTGATACTCCCGGTTTTCGTGAGCTGAAGCTACTTCCTTGGAGAGTTTAAGTCTCTTTGGTGGGGGTAACAAGTCGGTCATATTGTGTACTGCGAATAATCAATTATAGCTGGCACTGCGGGAGGATGTTGTCACGTTGAAGTTGGGTTGAGATGCAACGACGGAAAGCGTCGCATTCTGTAACCTTTATATCACAATAAATCGATTGCGCTCGGCCATAATGTCTATATGTGACAAAGATAGTCACAGTGCTGAACGAATGTCTTTGTTAATGTTACTTGAAACCAACTGCATTTGTTTCGGACCATTTGTGCGAAAGAGGGTGTGTCATCTGCGTGCTGCTGTCACCCGACCTGACCCTGCAGTGCTGGCAAGTGGCCATTGCTCTCTTTGAGCTTGTTTAGGTGGACTTTCTCCCACATTCAAGAAAGATCGAAGCAATGAAACTGTTGCTGAAAGGGAGGTTGAAATCCTTTCAATGAATGTTGATTGTTGTTTCTTTCCAAGTTATACTTCGGATCATCTGATCGCCGCGCTCTGATTGGCCAACCGCGGACGGTACTGCGATCGCGACTGTTTTTGGAGATCCGATTTTTGTCCGACTTTCTTCACCTTCTTCCATCCTCCAGGCTAACCTCAACCCCTTCCGCTTCCTCTCTCCGCGTCTTCACCCCTTCTTTCACCCCTCTCTCCCTCCCACCCTCCTACCGGACACCATGTCCAAGGCCACTTTCGCCGCCATCGCCGCGGCCAGTGCAGCCACCGGTGCCGGTTTGACGGCTCTCTTCTACTCATCCTCCGCTCCGCGACCCCAGCAACCTCAGCAGCAACAGCAACAACAAGTCCCACCACCTCCCTCTCCCATCGCCGCGCCCTCCCCCACCGCCATCCGCCCTCCTGCTCCTCCCTCCCTCACCCCTAAGCCCGCCACCGCCGGCGGCCTCTCCCCCGTCGACCCGACAGGCATCTACCAATATGGCTTCCCCGGCCCCGTAGCGGACACGCTGATCTCGGCGCCGCTGGCGGGCGCCTACGACCGGCGCACGCGCAACCCGTCGTGGGTGGCGGAACACATCACGCCGCAGTCCCTGGCGACGAAGAACGCGGACCGCAAGAACAGCACGTTCTTCGAGGACCCGACGATCCCGCCGATGTTCCGGGCGAAGCTGTCGGACTACTTCCGGTCCGGGTACGACCGGGGCCACCAGGTGCCGGCGGCGGACTGCAAGTGGTCGCAGGAGGCGATGGACGGGACCTTTGCGCTGAGCAACATGTGCCCGCAGGTGGGCGAGGGCTTCAACCGGGACTACTGGGCGCACTTCGAGGACTTCTGCCGCGGCCTGACCAAGAAGTACCCGTCGGTGCGCGTCGTCACGGGCCCCCTGTACCTGCCCACCCGCGACCCCGCCGACGGCAAGTGGCGCGTCTCCTACGAGGTCATCGGCAACCCGCCCAACGTCGCCGTGCCCACCCACTTCTACAAGGTCATCTACGCCGAGGAGGGCCCCGCGGCGGCTGGTAAGGTCGCCCTCGGCGCGTTTGTCCTGCCCAATGCCCGCATCCCCAACGACAAGCGTCTGGCTGACTTCGAGGTGCCCCTCGAGGCTGTGGAGCGCGCCAGTGGCCTGGAGTTTGCTGCCAAGCTGGAGGCCGGTCGTCGGAAGCGTCTGTGCCAGGAGACTAAGTGTGATATCGTTGTGCGCGAGTTCAACAACGCCTCCAAGCGTTCTTAGTGTGGGATGCAATCAGGTCTAGTTACCTGAAAGGTTGCAAGAAGGTAGAAGGGTGCCGGGTTTCATGTACTCTAGATGTATTTGGGTATCATATCAGCATTATTCCCTCGTCCGCGCGGCTTTTCCAATGTCGGACATGTATATGATTTTGGTTTGTCAAAAAACAGCTCCCTTTATCCAAGAGGTGTATGCCCGGTGCTCCACTCCAAATCTATAATGTACAGTACGCTCGGAGAAACCCGACTTCTCGCTCTCGTGCAATGAACTTCAGCGAGCTTCAGCATTGGAAAGCGACCCCCTCTTTCGTTGCCACATTCCCGCCCCGCCCAGCAAAGCCCGTCCCATCCGAACCAATCTCGACCAACCCGGGCGAAATCACCTCCTTATCCTTCTTCTTTTTCTTGCTCGCGCTCGCAGACCCTTTCGTCTCGGGAGTGATGTCCGTCTCGCAGACATAGCAAAGGATCCGGCCGTGTAGCGCCGCGGTCTGGTCCTGTTCCTCCTTGGTGGCGTGCGGATCTGGCGCATCGTGGGGGGTCATGAATTTGTTGACGCAGGGTTGACAGATAACATGTCCACAGGGTTTAGTCACTACCCAAAGGAAATTAACACAGTCAGTATACGTCCAAGCACAGGGCGAGGGGGGGGGGCATACACATAGCTTTCAGCCCGTTCGTGAAGGTCTTCTTGCAACTAGGACACACTCTCGTAGTTTCACCCCCGGAGCCCTTCTCCTCGGTAAAATGCACACTCACCAACGCCTTGAGCGAGTACCCATGCTTATTCGTCTCCGTGGAAGCGGGACAGATGGGCGTCAACTTGACCATCTTATTCGCAGCGATCTCATCCGGATCGGTCGAGGGCGTCAAACTCGGGACCCAGAACGAAGGCAAGGCGGATTTCGCGTCCTAATGCAGCAGAAGGAGATTAGCAAGCCTAGACCATCAAGATGCAGAATAAAAGAAGAGAGGAAAAAAACGAACCTTTTCCCTCCTCAACTCCTCCCTCAACCTCTCCTGCTCCTCCCTCGCAACCTTGGCAACCACCTTCTCATCCAACGCAAACACCTTCTTCCTCTTCCCCTCCCCATCGACAGCATCCCCGGTAGCCTCCTCAACCTTCCTCTTATTCCCACCACTCCCCCCGGTGGCCACCAAAGCAGCAGAAGAAAGCGTCCCCGACCCCCCACCCACAGCCACCGCCTTTTGGACCTTCCCCGCCCCCACCGACGAAGCACCCGCGGCCTCGAGCCCCATACTGACCCGCTCAAACTCCCGCAACTCCCGGCCCTTCACCTCCTCCAGCGCGCGCGCCTCCTCCTCCGCCAGCCGCTTCCGCGCCTCCTCGCGCGACTTCTCCAGCCGCTTGATCTCCTGCCGCTGCGCCAGCAGGTCGTTGATGGCGCACTCGCGGCAGAACAGGTCGCCCGCCGTGGCGCAGGCGACGACGGGGGCGCGCGCCGGGCGGAGGCACAGCCGGCACGACCCGAACGGCAGGAAGGAGTCGCGGCCGATCACGCTGCGCTTGGTGCCCCAGGCGGAGCGGAGGAGGGAGCGCTCGTAGGCCGTGAAGTGCGGGAGGGAGGTGTTGCGTTTGGAGTGGGCCATTTTCTTTGCCTCCAGTGGTTGGCGCTTAGATAATTAGGGAAAATACTCGGAGGGTTGGCGAGGGAAAAGATTGTGGACGGTGGTGGATGGGTTGTTGGTTTGGGTTTGCATGCGCCGAGTCCGACTGCCTGTGGGTTGAGGGTAATGGGTTGGGTAGTGGATTGGTGGTATGGTGGTAGTGAGGACCAATGACAGAGGAAGTGGAGAACTGAAAGTTACTCTTCCGAGTTCGAGTAGAGTCGAATTGATTCACTGATCAGGGTGGGTAGAGCTTCGAAGCTCATGAAGCGATACTATCGCGGAGAGAGGTGACGCTGCGGCGAGCGAGCGGGCGGGCGGCGGCAGCAGAAAAGCGCGCTCTCGGAGACTGCGGTGCGGTGATTATGTCATGCTGTCACATGCAAGGTATAGTATGCAATTTTTTATGGGGAACTAGAAGCGCTCAATGGGAAGATGACATGAATTTATACTGCTGCTCATTGCCCAAGGAAGTATACACCAGGTTAAGAGAGCCACAAAGCTCTGTTGCCAAGCAATATGTGGTGATTCAATCTTGTACTCGAGTAGTTGAAGCATCTCGGGATTATATACCCAGGCATTATTCATCCAGCCTGATTGGTTCAGCGTCTTCCTCCGTTTCGACGTCTCCATGTCATTATTTCCGCTGCTTTGTGAGAGTAATAAAGGTGTTGATTGTCTCACTAGACCACTAGATGCCAGTATCTGATCCTTCATCCCCAAGGCCCTGCTTATTCTTTACATGGACCTTACATGCCCTACAACTGCATCGTATACTACCCGGATGGTAAATCACCAAGTACTGTATATACATATATGGTATATAAATCTGTTTTATATGTTATTCTGCATTTAATCACCTCCTTCCGCTTAATATTGAAAAAAAAAGGATCTATGCTCTTGTAGACTGACTAAGACTTCTGCTGTTATTTATATAATTCATTCCCCTACCTACCCTGGGTCGTCTTTACCACCTTACTCATTTCTCCTCCTTCTCCCTCACTCCCTCTTCTCCCCTTATCTCACCACTCTTCCAAGTTTCATATAGTCAACAGATACTAATATCACCGCCCCTCTCCCCCTCTCGCAGTGTCCATCTCTCTCTCAGAATCCTCAAGATGACTACAACTCTAGGCGGCACCGCCGTCTCGTCCCCAATGAAATCACCCTCTCGGGCCCCAACAACGATGAGAAGCTCCCTCTATCGGTGCTCAAAATCCTCAACGAGAGCCCTCACGAGATGGATAAAGCCAAGGCCGACCAAGAGGGCGTTCCGCCCTCCGTTATCATCGAACTTCTCTGCTGTGATCCCCCGCGCGAGACGCCCGTGATCGTCCGAATGTACTGCCAAATCCCGCACACCGGCACGGAGCGGAAGCCAGCAAGCCAACGGGCTACTTAAGCCACAGACGCAGTATGCCCCCAAGCGACTGAATGCCTCGCGACGTATGAGAAGCTCGCCGAGGTCAAGTGCGAGCACGCCCCGGTTCTGATCGGCTTTGCTCAGACCAAGCAGGGACCCGAGGGGTGGGTACCCGGTGGCTATATCTTCTATATCGGACTTACCACTGTTATTGAGGGAGGAGACATTATTCAGCTGGCAAGTCCTGTTGTTGGTGAGGGTGCTTGCTGCGAGATGGCGCCTTAGGAGAGAGAGAGGGTTAGGGTGGCTTTCAGGATTGCGTTCAAGTGAGTTTACTCTTCCGAGCAAGGAAGAAAACACCACACTAACTCGAGACTAAAAGAGATTGATAGCTCCTTAGCCCCACACGGAATCACACCGTCAGATATGTGCGGGCTAGAACGGCTGTATTGGGATCCCGTTAGGGAACTTATGTAAGCCTTCTTCCACCTCCTTCTCCACCTCTTCATCTTGTTCTTGTCCCCGGCAGCTTTCTGATTATATGGCCTCGCTGGCTTCTCAGCTTCGTGGAAGGAGACTTCGAGACAACGGAGACAAATTGGGAATGGAATGATAAGGAGTTTGATTGTTGGTATCTCGGAGGAATGTTATGAGGAGGAAATTCGCTATTGGGACAAAGATGACCGTGGTCGTGAGAATCCTAGCACAGGCTGCTCATCGACCGCCGCGGGCATGTTAGAACTTCCACTCAGATAGCCTCACGTAGCTGAGTATCACTTATCCACGTTCCCGAGATGGTCAAAATCATAAATTACCTTAAACTGAGCATCAAGACTGAGAGGTTTTCTGTATGTTATCTCGACAAGATGAACCGTGGCAGAAGGACCTCTGCTTCCTAGTCATTTTAGGACTTACGTGCAAACAGAAAAAAGCAGGGATGAAGAATGAAGGAAACCATCTCTCTATACCTGTTGGATGCCAAGTACCATGGATGAAGAAGAGTCCGAACAGAAATGATTGTCACGGAAGCAAGATGATTGATTTCATGTATTGCTTTTATCAGATTAGTAGATAAATCAACCTTCAAACCAACTAAGAGGAAACAATCCCAACTCTTGCCGTTCTACAAACCGGTATACCACAGATACTCCGACTTCCGATAGAGCCGAATCACCCGGAGCAGCTGCGGATGCTGAGGCAAGACCTGCATATCACCCTCGGTGCGGTGGAAGTGGTCCACATCCGTCGGGGGCAGCCAGGGACTGCACACCGTGGGGCATTTCCGTCCGTGCGGGCATGGCCGCAGCCCCGCCGCCCGCAGCGCCCAGATGGCGCGGTCGATCTCGTGGTCAGGGATGATCCACCCCGGGGGCGTGTAGCTGCAGGAGACGGACGGCACGGGGCCGAATTCCATGCCGAACTCATGGGCCGACGGCCAGCCAAACAGCCGGTGGGGGATCTCCGCCTTCGCGAAGATACGGTCCACGAAGTTGTAGCTTTCGCTCTGGAAGTTGTCGGTCACGGCCATCTTGGGACACACTCGATTGGTTTCTTGTGTCAATCGGAATTACCTTTGCGATGGAATGGGTTGGTTCGAAGGTTAATTGGAGGCACTTGGGTTTGAAGTTCTATCCTTTTTTATATTGGAAGCCATGAGGCTCAGATGTTTCAATATTCCAGGAAATTGCCAGCTGGAGTGATGATCACCGGGGGATGTTCCGAGAGTCAAAGCTCGACATGAATTTAGGTGGATGTTGTGCTGGTTAGTCCTCCTGTCAATCTGGTGCAGTGTCTTATGATTCGAATTGTTCATCGCGGCGATCTTTCTGTCCTGCTCGACGGTGCTAGTGTATGCTTGCATCGGAGATAGTATCCAAGAGGGAGCGAAGATTGTCAACAGTGACGCTGAAACGGCTATATTGGCTGTCTTCTTTATCGCGGCAAGTCAGATCGCATAGTCATGTCGCACTGCATTGAAAACCTCCGAGAGAGTCAGGGGAATCGTTCACTGCCAAGCTTGCGTAGGGTATCCACTCTGACTCCGGATTCCGAGTCGGAAAACCACGCGGGGTGGAGAAGGAAGGCGTTCACGGACGCGCCGGCCCGCTTTCCCACCGCTCTCTGTTTCACCCCTCAGGCTCTCTTGGCCAACTTCAGCCTCCCAATATGCCTGATCCCTCCATAACTCCAGCTAAGCGACAAAAAGCATATGCTAAGAGATGTACCTCAACAGGGAGACAATGTGACGGCTACGATCTGCCCCCAGTTTCTCACAAGCCCTTCTTTGCTACAAGGACTAGCATTCCTCAGCTCACAGCACCTGGCATTCTGGCTGCTTTGGCTCCGAAGGGCCAATCCTGGTCATAGATGACGATGTCACACTCTATTCCGACTTGCATTCGTGCAGCAACGTCGAGAATGGCCGCTGGACTGTTTCGAAAGTCCGTCAGATCATGGAACCGCTCGCCGGTGCTGTGGTTCGGGTTTGCCGGCGGCAGGCTACCACGAGCTACCACGAGTCTGAGTCAGTAGCGAGTGAGCAAGCTTGCATTATCCATCGCTTGAGCTTATTCCTGCTGTTCCACAACCAATCTCAACAAGCAACCGGGCCGGGTGCTTACTGCCAGAGAAAAACGAGGCTTGAAGCTTCTCCGGCTTGAAGCGCACGCGCTTAGGAACGCGCTTCTCAGCCTCCCGGTAACGACTCTGCTGATCTTGTTTCATGAACAGTTGACGGAAGGAAGCCATGCAAGCGACGATGTTGGCTGTGAGAAATGTCAATAACGGGCTTGTATTAGCTATACGCCACTAGATAGAATTTTGGAGAAGCGGAAGGATGACACCGATAGTAAAGATCCTCCCCCTATTGTGTAGACGTCAAGGGGAAATTGAAAAGGTGGGGGGCTGGGGTAGGGTGGTATATACCAACGGTGGCCTCAATAAAACTCCACATCCAGAGCCAGGAGATATCTGAATTTTGGTTCCGACGGGCTACCACGGCTACTCGGACCACCGCCACGATGATGATGACGACGGCTACCGAGAGAATAACCATCAGAATTGCTTTGCGACGGAGCGGAATACGGACATTCCAGAGAAGAGTTATCGGCAAGCTGATTACTATTTGGTCAAACAACGTGTTATGCGCGTTAGTCTGCTTGTTTTTGTTCTCGAAAAGATCTCAGATTTCGGACAATTGGGCTCTTACTGCAAAGATCTGTCACCACATCTAAGACTAGATTCGTGACTAGGGTTCGGAATTCGAATTGCACAGCGGCTTTCTGTGAGCAGTTGGTCTGTAGGGGCGAAAAAAGAGAGTAGAATAGCCCATCCTGGATCTAGAAGCTCTATTATTATAGCTGTATTTATGAAATGCTTGCCAATATATCCTGTACCTTTACCCCCCAACGCTTGCTTGAAAGGTGGGGGCAGTGTCCGACTGTTTGGTTACTTGCAGGGTGACATTTTACTCACCTGTAAAAACACTGTAGATAGTCCTCTACCGGATTCGGGCTAACGGAGCGGGGTTAGAAATTGTTTGCTATGTAAAAAGGGTACTAGATCTGAGCGGGTCAGAAATTAGTGCAAGGGGGCCTCAGAAATACCTATAATCCTTCTGATACCCCCAGAGCTTTTTTTAATTATATCTACCTTTTTTAGATAACGTATGTTCAAAGAGAAATGATCAATTCCCCTCTTATACCAGTGTTAAGGTTGTTTTTTTTAGGACCGAAATCCTTATACTAGGATTCTATATTTGAGAACACCTTGGACTATTTCTCTTGATTATGGGTGTCGGATATATATTAAGATTAAGAGTAGCTGTATAAAAAGTAAAAAAATATTGGGAAATCTAAGTTATTCTAACCTCCTCCGAAGTCTCATATATTTCTAACCCCCTCGGACTAAATTCTTACCCCCTCAGAGCTCGTAGCCCTACGCGAAAAAAAAGAAAAAAAAAAGATTGAGGCTTGTGCTTAGACCACACTACCAGCAAGACCCATGCAAAGCAGAGACAAGATGAGAATAGGGGCGGGCCGAGCCTAGTGACTCCTTCAACCCAAGATGGGGAATTTTAAATTGTCTCAGAAACCCAGCGGCTTATTAGCCGCTAAGCTATGGGCTTATTTTCTTTCTTGGCCCCTTGCAGCAAAAGGAATCATATACCGGTTGCACAATGCAGAATGCACCCTCCATCTTATACTCCTCTTTCTTTCTCCTATCCCACCAATGACAGGACGTGTGCTATTATCTAAGTGGTGGCAAAACACATAGATTGACTGTTGCTTATGCATGTCAGACATAATATGCCGGGAATCCATGCATATGGTCTGACAGTTGCCGCGTCATATTTTAGGGCTTGTTCCTATTTGCTGTGCTTACCCCGTTTTCTTTCTTGTCTACCGCCTGTTCTCTCTGCTCTGCCACCTGTTTGGCATTGAGCGGCTCCATCCCGCAAGTGCATAGCACAGAGATGCAGACACAGCCTACTGCAAAAAGCATCACATGCGATATAAAGGTGCACCAGACTTTTCAAAGTTTATGTAACGTATCGGCCGATGGAGCAAGGGCAGCAAGATTTGCCGCACCCCAGGATATTACTTGCTTAGGAAAAAGCTCAGGAACTTGAAGAGGTACCTTATGAAGTATGTTGTTTAGTGCAATGGTCTGGCCAATGGCAATCGCTAGGGCCCTAGTGCAGAAGGTGAGTAAGTACGCTGCAGAGGTTATTGGAAACGCCGCAGTAGCTGTTGCTCACCCGCCCAGTTACTATAAAAAGACTGCAATAGCTATAAAAGACCGCTCGCCAGTATTGCCTTAATCCAGTTATATAATGTGTAGAATATACCATTGCCTGTGGGTATGTCGTCATTACTAAACTCTGATGGTAAGGTTTTGTTCTTCTAGTGGAGGCTGAGAATTTGGAGGAAGATACAGGGGAAGAGAGGAAGGAGGGAAGAAGTAGAGTTCTGACTGAGCAAGAATATAGCGGACATGGAGACTCACTGCAGGACCAGATTAACAGCTGTATATGGCAGCTGCATAGCCACCCCCATGCCCAGTCTATAGACCACGAGTGCTGCTGCCCAAAATATGCGCGGGGAGTCGGTTTGGACAATGCATCTTCTCCACGCCAGATTTAAATTAAGACGAATAGGATCAACAGCAGGCCGGCTTTTGTAAAGAGTCTAATCACAGTTGCTGAACGCCAAGGCTTTATTTGGCCTCCCTACTGCAGGGCTAGCAACAAACAGCAGACGGCCGCTATAAATACCAGGCAGCTAATTAGATCCAGACGCCGAAGCGTTTCGCTGACCGCCAGGGATCTATTTTTGTTTTTGCTGCCTTGTATCCGCAGTACAAAAATCAAAAGAACGAATGTTATCGCCCCAATGGGCATGTTTCTGCAAATTTATTGGTCAGTTAGCTTTGCACTCTCTTGCAGTTGTGTTGGAAGGTGAGGGTTATAGCGCAGGACACCCTATTGGGAAAAACTATACGTCCAAAAGCACCAGCGCCAAATGCCGTGAGTGATGAAGACACCGCCAATAATCGGCCCAATGTACACAGAGATGAAGCCATGCTAGGAGGGGCGGGGCAGTTCTGTGTTGAGTGAAAGTGAAAGAAAGACAAGCGCTGACGGACATGGAGAGAGAATCGTGAGGACTAAAAGAGGGCTAAATATTTAAATCGCCCTTTCATGATGGGTTAGCACTCTACTTTAGCTTTCCGGACAATCCCTGTGAATTGCGACTGCAGGTACCCCTGTCCGACAACAGAACAAATAACTCGGTTGGCTACTGGACAAGGCTGGATCCTTCCGTTTTAGTGCCAACAGTCAGATTGAAAGAGGTTGAGAAGGATCTTTCGGTAGAATGACGGTTCTTGGTCGGATTTCTGTGTCGTCCTGCATGGCAACGGAGCCCACAGAGTCATGAACAATGGAGTTGGTTACGAGTCCCTCAAGCAGGCCATCGACAGCCTGCCTACGAAGCGGCCTACTAGGTAGGTCCATATATGCCGCAATCTAATTGTAGGCTGTGCATCGACACCCCTGCTGGCCTGTATAGAAAACATGGCAATGTAGCTATTGACGCATCGCAATTCATTGTATTCAAACGGTCCAAGGCAAAGAGATCGCCGACTGCGCCTTCTTTGTGAGGGCTCTACCCAAGGCTCTATCCAATTGTGCGCCATGTAAGACATTGGACCTTATGGGGGCCGTTGTATTCTCTCCATGCGTAATGAAGCTCACAGCAGGTATTGCATTTAGTAGACTTTCGTCGCAATGCGGCTAAATATCGTATTTGAGAAGGCTTATGACATCCCAACACCGTATATAAGCCTTCAATGTCTGCATGTTGTGAGTGTTCGAATATTGAACTCGTAGACAAAGAAAAAACTCAACAGCCTAGTCAGCAAGCTTCATACACACATTGATTTGATTTGACTCAAAATGCTTCTCAGGTTGACGTCCGCTGTGAATCATGCGTTTGATCCAGTACGGGAACTGAGTCCTAATTACGTTCGAGGGGCAATTATTTGGTTGGCGACTTTACTCAGTACCTGGGGTCTGTGGGAGACTCTGGAGATTCACCATCCACCCACTTTTTCGGCCTAACGAGCCACTTGAACTCCCCTATTGGGTTCCTTGTCAGTACCAAAGCCCTTGAACTATGAAGAATATTGTTCCTGACTTTTGCAGACTTTGGTAATATGGCTGACCGCAAAGGCACTTGGATGGATGCTGAGATCTCAATTGCTTAGGGCATGCGGGTGCTTTTTTCGAAGATTGCCACCAGCTAATGAGAAGAGCTGTGTAAGTGACAGCCCCATGGCCATATCTCAGTGCTTCTTGAAGCATGTAATCAACCCGCTTCAGAAAACAACTCGGGACACGCGAACCTTTTGCGTTAAGCCTGGCCGGTGACCGACATTCTGTAGTAACATCGCCGGCTGACATTCGCCCTTTTTTCGCCGATATCAACGCTCTGAGCCTGGATGGCTTCCTCAACCAGGGATTGATTGGCTTCGGCTGTGGGGAAGACCGACTTCATACCCTCTGGCAGCGCAACCAGCCCGGCCCAATCAACCGCAAGGGTAAGAGCCTTATTGACTTGACGGAAGATCTCTTCAAACAACATCTCCTCCCTGGACCGACATTTGACACTTTGTTGAGCCGATACCGTGGCGCCATCCAGGAGCTACTGTCCTGGAGTCAATTAGAGGCCACATATCCCACAATGACTGGTAAGGAGACGGAGGCTATATCGCTTTACGATCTGTGCTCCGATTTCTTGATCAATGCCACACAGATGACATTGTTTGACCCTGCTTTATTTGCCATTGATCCTGAAATGACGACCGAGCTGCGGACTTCACCGATGAGTTCTGGCAGCTCATTTACCGATCCAAGTTCATTGACAGCACACAAGTTCGCCGCATTCTGGCCCAATACACAAAGGCGTTCAATGCCTACCTGCGACTACCGCCTCAGGCACGCGCCCGTGAGGCATAGGTGATCCGCACCTTGATCCAAACCTATACCGATCTAGGAATCCACGAAGATGACCAGGCAGCCATGATGGTGATGATTTACTGGACGTGAGTGCGCACCCCTCTCTTTCACGATTGTGTGATGATGAGGGTCCTGATGAGCAATACCTCTGCAGTGGCGATGCCAACGCATACAAGGCAGCGTCCTGGGTCCTGGCTCACATTCTATACGAGCCGACACTACGAGAACTGATCCAGGAGGAGACAGTCCCAGCAGTGGGCCCGAATGGCAAGGTGGACATGGCCTATCTGCGTCAAAACTGCCCCCGGCTGTCATAAATCTATCACGAGGTGCTCAGGCTTACCAAGCGCGATGCAGTGCTTCGGCGAGTCGTCCAAGATACGGAGCTAGGCGGAAAGCAGTTTCGCAAAGGAAGTTTTGCAATTATTCCCTCTTGTCAGTTACACGACAGTCTAGAGATGTACGGGCATGATTCGTTGTTGTTCAACCCCGAACGCTTTCTGAAGCGACCGGAGCTGACGCAAGACCCGGCTTACTTCCCTTACGGCGGTGGAGTCTACTATTGTCCGGGTCGTCATTTTGCAACTTTGGAGATCTTCGCCTTTGTGGCGGTGATGCTGAACCGATTCGATGTCAATTTGGCGTGGCCGAAGCAGGAATTTCCACGTAAGGACGATAGTGTGCTTACCTTTGGGATCTCAAGGCCATTGCCAGGAGATGATCTGTATGTTGTCCTCAAAAAGACTGAAGATGTAGATGTCTAGTGTCGGTTGAAGTCCACGAGGAGAGATGTCAGCACAACGGTGAATGATTTTATTCGGTATTTCCTTTCCTTTCTTTTTTGTTTAGCTAGCTTATGTTACATCGTCCTGTTTTGTCTTCTTTTTCCGAAAAAAGAAAAAAGAATTCACTTTACTCTCTCTCTAGGAGGGGGGGCGGCACAAGGCGCCTGCAGGCGTTGGGCTTAGGGCGGATGGAACCATTATTAGTTGCCAATGGCCATCAACTTGACAACATCCCTGCTAGCTACATTAGCCGTTGCTTAGATCACTCGCAATTTTTGAATCTCTTTTTCTTTCTTTCTCCTTTATTTTTCTTTCGATTGGAACGTTGCTCTTACACCTGGTTTCTTTCTCCCTCTCATTTTGCCGCTCCTGACCTTTCGGATTTTCCCACGCGTCACCGTCTGAGTTACATCGCATCCCTCTGGCTGCTCCTCTTTCGTTCACCCTCTGTCCCTGCTCCTTTCTTCGCTACACCATGTTCTATCTGCTTCTAGGCACCACTCTCTTTGCATGGACTCTCTACAGTCTCAAGGGCTTGATCCAAAATATCAAAAGTGTCCGGAAACTGAACATCCCTTACCATGTTCTCCCTGCCAGTCCCGTCAACCCGCTCTGGATCGTCCTCGAGCCGGTAATTTACTTCATTTTGGATCGTCTTCCATTTGAATTTGGTCGAGTCAGACATTATGGCCGACGCAGCTGGCAGTTTGGCGACCGAGCACAGTCGCATCTGCGCATGGGCGACGCGTGGGCGCTGGCCACCTCATCCGAGGTCTTCGTCTATGTGTGCGATGCGGAGGCAATCACCCAAATCATAAATCGCCGTGCAGTATTCACACGCCCAGTCGAGCTCTATAGTATGTCTTATGCTGCAGTTCCTCTAAAGAAACCTACAGTTTCTGACGCGGCTTACACAGAGACGTTGGACGTATTTGGTCCAAATGTGGCAACGGTCAGTTTCTCTCTGCTCCGATCGACTTTTCATATTCTGTTGAGCCTCGCTCACCGCTAGCACAGTCCGTAGACCCTCGGGGCCGACTGGCAGCGTCACCGCAAGATCGTGGCCGCACCGTTCAATGAAGGCATCAACAGTCTTGTCTGGGACGAGGCTGCCTCGCAAGCCCAGGCTCTGCTTGCATCGGCCGGATCGGCCCCAGCCGGCGGGCTGGGCACCAACATCCGCACCTTGGCTCTCAACGTCCTTGCAGCCACGGGGTTCAAGCGCCCGCAATCCTCCCACGGCTCCCAGGAGGACCGATCCCAGGAAGCTCGCTCGTATGGCGAGTCGCTTAATCTCGTGATGGAAAATTCTTTCTCGATCATGCTAATCCCCCCGTGGATCCTGAAACTCCCTGTGCTGCCCAGCTGGTGTCGACGGGTCGGAGAGGCGGTCGAGATTTTCAAGCAGCATATGCTGACCATGTTTAACGTGGAGAAATCGCTGCTGGAAAAAGGGGAGCCCGGCACGGGGACCCTGATGTCCTCCCTTATCCGCGAGTCTGAGGTCACCCGTCACAGCAACCGCAAGCCGCTTACCATCCATGAGATCCTCGGGAACATCTACGTGATCAACTTCGCCGGACATGACACCACTGCCAACACGATGACATACCTGATGTTCTTGCTAGCTGCGTACCCGGACATCCAGGAGTGGATAGCCGAGGAGATCCGGACGGCCATACCCCGCAGCGACCAGGACTCCGTGGGCTATAAAGCAGCGTATCCCCGACTGAAACGCTGCCTCGCCGTATTAGTATGTTCTTTCTCGCTTTACCATTGGCCTTGAACCCATAGTCGAGTTCAACTCGTTGACAATCATGCTACATGGCGGGGGAAACAGCTCGAAACTGTCCGCCTGTACCCGGCGATCTTGGCCCTTCCCAAATCCGTCGCACCAGCGCAAGCGACCCTCCACCTCCCCGAGAGTAATCGCACCCTCGTCCTCCCGCATGGAGCCGTCATCCTACCTAGTCTGCTAGCTGTGCAGACCCACCCGCGCTATTGGCCTGATGAGCCAAATGCCTGGCGTCCCCGCCGCTGGATCAGAATCTCCTGCGGTGGACACCACTACGAACCAGAGTATGGAGGGTATCCCTGCCAGCCAGGCGGAGCAACTCGCACGCGAAGAGATTATCGAGCCGCGACCGGGGACCTATATCCCTTGGTCCGCTGGAGCGCAGGTGTGCGCGGGCCAGAAGTTCGCGCAGGTCGAGACTGTGGCGGTCTTGGCTTCCCTCTTCCGCGAGCATCGGCTCCGGGTTGTGCTTGAAGACGGAGAGGAATTTGAGGCGGCTCAGGCGCGGCTGGTGGCCAAGACGCTGGATACGCATCAGCTGCTGGTGATTCAGATGCGGGATCCAGATAGTGTCAAGTTTGTCTGGGAGCATGTGGGGTGAAAAGCGGTCACGAAATGAGTTTCTATCCGTGAAGATCGTGTATCAACGGCCCTACTTGTACATGAGAGTCATTATGGCGACGTGTAGAATTAAATCGCGCCGGATATACTTGAGTGGCATGTTGATGTAAGTGTCCTGCTGGAAAGGCCAGGGATTATTGGGTGACAGAGGGAGCAACAGGCGGAGAGCAGCTCCGAGGGTACCGGGAATTAGCATGCTGTAGACCCAAGCTTTCCATACGGAGTATCGTGCGGAGGGATCCCTGCCTTTTCTTGTTTGCCCCTCTCCAACTCTTCTGTTCCTGGCTCCCGCCTCTGCACTCCGCAGCACAGGCCCGTTACGATCTTATCCGCGAGAACCTTGCTGAGATCTTGAACCCTGAGATTATTCAAGGCATTCTTGCTAAGGGCCGCAACCCCCGCATCTACTGGGGTAAGTCAGAACAAACCGAAGCGAAGGCCGCGCGCTGTTTATGTAAACCTAACTAACATAACGTAATCGGACACCGAACCGGCGCGACACCCAACCGTCGTTTCTCAGTATAGCTACCACTAAATAAATCAAACTTCAACAATGTATCTAAAAATTCTGTATTAGGTAGTACTAACATAATAAAAAAGAGTGTTTTATACTATATTTACATGTTATCTAAAACACTTACATATATAAAAGAACATTTTTATAATATTTATATAGTTCTGTAAAGAATATTATTTTAATAAATCTTAATCCTTTTTTGTTACATTTATATAATAATTATAGGTATTTTATATTCTTTCTATATAGTAGAATTATTTTATTATAGATATTTATTTCAATTCAGAGAAATAGTTGATGTTCTAGCTTTTAGTAGTAGCTATAGAGAAGAACGACGGTTTGCTGTCGCGACGGTTCGGTGTCCGATTACATTAATGTAATCGGACACCGAGCCGGCGCCCGCCGCACCGCATCTTGCACCCTCAATATCTTAAAAGTGGAAAAACTCGCCCAAATCGCCCTATTTGTAATATATTGTGATTTCTTTGGTATTTCTTTTCATATATTAATATAGCTAATATAAATAAACATTTAAATCTTACTGTTAAGATCTTTAAAAGTAGAAAGGTTTTTATAAACTTCTCTATATCTTGATAGCTACACCGCAAAAGAAGCAGGATTCATTCATCTAGCTCCAGGGCAAATCAAGTCCGAACGCCCTAGCCGTGCCGAGTTCATAGAGGCGCGGAACTCCGAGATCATACCCTCTGATAAGAGTTCATTCTGGACGGAGGATGTGTATCAGATAGTTTGGGATGGGACGCGGCCAAAATGGCTCATAACACTTCGAGACCCCACCGCGCCAGTCTATACAGCGCCAATTGATTGTCAATTTTGGAGCTAGTCAACGCAAGCTAATTACTCCTAGCAAAGAACCGACAGAGGGGTATACGACTGGGTCAAGCTGCCTTGAGCATGCAATTCGACAACCGCCCCCATTGGTTCTCGGTGACTGTTATCTCAACACGAGGAGTCATAAAGACATCACATAGCTCAACCCATGCGAATACATCGAATATTGATTTGGACGGATAATTGATGGGGTTTGTTGCATAGGAGTACCCGAGTACCTTCATTTTGTACATACTAAGGAGACCAATTAGGCTGACTTTCAAGACGAATGGTTCGGACGCTCCTTAGCTGCGAAGTATGGTATAGATCTCGCGTGACTCAGACTTGATGTCTCATTTGACAAGATAAAGACCTGTATCGAGGCTGTTACAACCTCTGCTTGCATGTATGTTTCCCTCTCCTCGTCCCCGGACATGATCAAGGAAGATCGAATCTTTGCTGACATGCAGAGACCCGGGTTGTGGATCCGCGAAAAAAAAATCTCAAGCTATAGATCGGAAATTTAGTTGATGTCCGTCCAGGGTCACTAAGTAAATGAAGACACAAAGAGCTTCGATTGGACGATTGATGGGTCGCCTCACCGTCCGGAATCGTCGGTCGGCGGAGTGCCCCGAAGTCGGGCCCACCAGCCGACTTTGACGTAAATTGCAACTGCCAGGGAAAATATTATTTGATCGGGGGAAGGCTCCGACGAGTCGGGACCAAAGGTCCGGTTGACTCATCACTGGGCAGTGTGACGAAGGGCGCACCCCATTCTTAGTCCCGATCTTACTCTTAAGCTTAATAGTTCTACTTCAACCGTCTCGAATTTGTGTATATTCTTGAAAGACACTGACCTCTATTGATTCCTTCTATCACCACACCATGGTCCACATTCCTCCATTCGAAGTCACTATTGTAAGTTCCTCTCACCTTGTTGCCAATACAGTCTTTCTATGATACGGAGTGACCCTTCGTGATCCGAATAATTCTAACTCGTCATGCATTGCGACCGCAGTGGATCGAACAATTAGAAGATGGATGTAAATATGACCTGGCGACCACCTGCGCATCGAGCATCTCCCTCGATGAGCTGGAAGAGCTGTCCGTCGACCCAGCCACGACCTCTGCCATGCTCTCGCCGCGCTCCCTCAAATTGAGCTATGGCCCCATGCGCGGATCGGACCGGCTGCGCCAGAACATCGCGGCCCTGTACCGCTCGCCCACCGTGACGCAGGAGAGCATCCTCACGACCAACGGCGGGATTGTCGCCAACCAGATCGTCCTGCAGGCACTGCTCTCGGCCGACGACCACGTCGTCGTCATGTATCCGACCTACGAGCAACTGTACCAGACGCCGCGGATGCTCGGGGCCGAGGTTACTCTGTGGAAGCTGACACCTTCATCTTCCCCAGAGGACAAATGGGAATGGACGCTAGACCTCGCCTTCCTGCGCTCCGCGATCAAACCCAACACCAAGATGCTGGTGCTGAACAGCCCCAACAACCCAACAGGAGCGCACCTATCCGCCGACATGCAGAAACAGATCCTCGCCATCGCCGCGGAACACGATCTGATCGTCTTCTGCGACGAGGTATTCTACCCGCTCTTCCGCATGGAAGACCCCCCCTCATCCTTCCTCGACCTGAACTACGACAAAGCCATCGTCATCGGCTCGCTCAGCAAAGCCTACAGCCTCGCCGGCACCCGCACCGGGTGGATCGCCTCCGCCAACTCCGAGCTCCTCGACCGCTGTGCCGCCATGCGTCACTACACGACCATCAGCGTCTCGCAGATCGACGAGGCCATCGCCGCCGAGGCCCTGGCGGACCGATGTCGGCTGCCGCTGCTAGCCCGCGCGAACCGCCTGGCCACGACCAATATCCACGCTTTGGAGACATTCGTCGAGGAGCATCGCGGGCGGTGCTCGTGGAGCAAGCCGGTGGCTGGGACGACTGCCATGCTGCTGTTTATGCGTGATGGGCGGCCCGTGGACGATAAGGAGTTCTGTTTGCGGTTGCTGCGGACCACCGGCGTCCTGCTGTGTCCGGCCAGTGTCTGTTTCGGTGACGGGAAGGAGAGTGCCGATTTCCGGGGGTTCGTGCGCGTCGGGGCCGCGATCGATACCGCGGAGATGGCGGGGGCGCTGCGGGAGATGCGGCGGTTTATGGCGGAGGGGTTTGCGGAGGTTCCGTTGGCGCCGGCTTGATTTTCTTCTTGTTCTGTTTTTTTTCTATAACAAAAAAGTGAATCCCAGGATAATTCTCCCGTCTTTCAGATTTCTGACGGATAGTTCAGCTGAGTTTAGAGAGTAGCCATGTAGCCCTTCATGCTGACGCAGTGCGTACCAAACTTGGTCTAGGTCATTGTAAGGAGGAGTGGTTGCTATCCACACCCGAGTTATCGTCTACCTTGATAAGGGGGTGGCGCATGGAGAGACGGGCCTCGGGTGCTGCTTCCCTCTAACTCTGCGAATGCGACAATCCAATGGGCAGGCCCAGCAACGAAGAACATTACAATCCGAATCAACCGAATGCACAGTACAGACATCGATCGTGAATTCGTCCTGCGTTCGGAAGATGTCTGTCTACCAGGCCGTAGTCGAAGACCTTTCTTTTATTTTCTTTCCTTCTTTTGGTTCTCTAATAAACAGTGCTTGGTGAAAACTCAACCACAGCTGGCCTGGTCTAATTTGAGGTTGGTTCTCTGTGTTTTAAGTATATGTCGGGTTACATTATTGGAAGGGACGACCGATGCTCTGCTCGGTTAGATGCGGCCTCGGGGGGCAGACCCCCGAGCCCATGGCGGCGATCCAGTCCGCTCGGGGCCTATTGTCCGAAGGGTGCTGACGAATTTAAGCCGACAGCAGCCCTAACTTATTCGGCTGCCGCAGGAGACAAGCTTAATTTTTTGAGGACGTAGTATTACAGTTTTGATCTCTTAGCGCTTTTCGACACGGTCTAAATAGTTCAGATTATCATACTATATGAGCTACCTCTGCCTTTTCTCTTCTTTTCTTTTTGCGTCCTAAAGGCAATCACAGCATGGTAAATTATAAGTGTCTCCTAAGCCTTTGTATCTGGAGTTTATAAATCTATAAGGCGCAGGTAGTAACTTTCTCAAACATAAACGATAAATGCAGACTGTCACACCAACACAGTTCATGAGATATATGGAATCGATCATGAAATGCTGGAGAGCCGATGTACTGATCTCGTCCAACGGACTCGGCTATGGTTCCTAAATCTGTCAGCCGTACGAGGAGCGCTCTCCGAGAGAGCTTATATAATCGAGATGTGGTGGGGCCTGCCTTCCTCACAGACCACAAGCACTGCGTACTTGACATACTCCGTAGGGCGCAATGCATATGGGATCATCAGTTCCAATTGCTCACTCCCTTTGGCCGTTCACTTCATAATTGCCACCCAGCGCTACATGTCTCGAGCATCACCAAGCAGCAATTGAGTTTCATGACTAATTTTGGCCAGTATGAGTTCCCTCGCGAGCAGCTCATTACGCCAGAGTACATGCATTCTTGATTCTAACCATCTGGCAAGTAGTGGCACCCTTAGCAAGTTAAATACGCGCAGCAGAACATGCGTCGTCTCCTGCAAGAAAGACATGCGCGCCTTGACCGGCGTCGAGTTCTTTTCTCGACCAACCATTCCGCGATTTAGACCTACAGCACCAGCGAGGAACTCAGGGAGGGGTGATCTTCAAGACTGAGTATGAATACTACTGCATACTCTTCAGATCACCTTCGATGGTCCGGACACCCTCGCAACTCTAACTCGAAGACCCCTTACAACATCAAGTTGACTAACCTTTTTTCTCTTTGTCAGGATGTGCCAGAGCAAGCATCAAGGCACTCATTGCTAGTCGATGGACATCACACATAATCATCAACAAGGAGTTCTTGCACCTCACGGAGACCACGTGCGGATCGATCTTCCTCACCGACAAAGACAAAGTGACCCTGACAACGGGAAGTGAATATCCGCCCCCCTCCCTGTTTGTGGTCCCCGCGGAACTCCTGACGTCCACCTGCGAGCATGAAACCCTGCATCCCAACTGCTGTGAGTCAATTTTACTATAAAAATATCTATCAGCAGCCCTGAAGCCTTGAAGGCCAGGCAGCTACTCACCGCCCGCCACGCCAGGCTGATAGCCCCGCACTCAGATAGTCTGCTGCCTCACGTAGCCTAGATTTATTTCTCCACATCTCCATCACAATCCTTGATCCCCCGTATTAATCTGTCAGCCAAGTTGGTGCTTTGGAACAGAATCAATACACCCAGTACTCAACCAAATCAACTACGTCTTCCAAACGCTCTAAAGCCATTAACCTTGTACTTCTTGATCTTTACAACTGTCTAAAGCCGTTTCCAATCTTTCGTTCCCATATCTCAGCTCTACGATCTGTAGACTCTTTCGACTATCCTTTGGTGCTTGGAAAGCAATCCTCGATCTCTCCGACCCAATCTATCTTGCCCTTGGAGAATACCTTTACACAGAAGACCCCACGCCAAGAACTCAATCTAACCTAACTACATCCATCAAACCGGAACTATGTCTCCACAGCCTGCGTCTAGCAATAACATCACGCGTGATGTCCCTAACAACACAGCTGGTGACAATCACGATGCCTCCACCCAGATGATGAACGAAGAACAACAAAACACCAACCCACACAGCCCTGAAGGAAAGAACGCTGTTCCTGAGAACACCGTGGACGGACATCAGACCCCCAAGCCGAATATGACACAGGCCAATTCAGATGAGGCAATCCACCCTGCTTCTCCCAGCCCCGACCCAACTCTCCCCGAGGAGATAGAGAACGGCATCAACGCAGCACGACTTACAATAGAGCAGTTCGACCAACGCCTCACCAACCTCGAAGCCAGAGTCGAACATCTACAGCAGCAGCTCCAGAACCAAGCTGCGCGCACCCAACAGCTGGAGGCCGAGGTTTCCCGCCTGATTCGTACCGCGGACAGTCAGAACATGAGCATTCTTCAGATCTTCCAGCGCATCGAAGGGTGGTATTGGTTTCGCTAGTTCTGCTTAGGTTGAAGTCGAAATGGAAGGAGAGACTTTCTAAGCCCCCAGGTGGCATTTAACGACGGAAGTTAAACACGGATTCCCAGGCTTAGTTGGGGCTTTCTTGTACTTCTTGCTTATTGCCCAGCTCGATTGGATCATTCTCGTCCCTAGATCAAGATATGTATTGTTGAGTACGAAGGGCTGCCAGGAGCTACAGGAATACTACATTTTCTGCATGAATAATGGGCAAAAGGGACTGTAGATAGGCTGCTTCGTAATCGCGCTTCAAATTATAGGTTGTCGGCGTGCCTCGGGAATCCGGCTACGTGATTAAGCAATTCAGCTAGCTACTTCACATGTTGAAAAACTTAGTTCGCTACACCTAAACCAGCGAGAACTCAAGATATGGTTTCATGGAGCCCATCAGCGTCATCATTCTATCACCATCTACATATGTACAATTCCATTGCTATGGACTCTCGAAGCAAAACTCGAAGTTTTATAATGTACAAATCAAAGAATCACCGGTCATGACCCTCATCTTGACTCCCGTAGAGGATCCCCAGAATGAAACACCTACGTCAGGCTTTCTGAGAACCCTCGTCATCGGCGACAGCACCCTCAGCACCCATCGGCCTCTTCAACCCCGGGTCCCCCTTCTCCATCGCCACCACGAGCGCCCTTCGCTCCACGATCCGCCCCAAATAGCTGACAATATGCGGGTACGCCTCCAGACTATACGGCATGAAGATCCGGAACGTCGTAAGCGGGAACAGCAGCATGCAGTCCGCCGCCGTGAAGGTTTCGCCCGCGATGTACGGGTACCTGGCAAGCTGGGCCTCCATGGCCGCCAGGCTGCGGTCCAGCCGGCCCTGCATGACCTGAGTGGCCGGGGTGTCCTCGGGCAGAGCGGCCATGCGCGCGAACATAAGATCGTAAAGGGCGGGCTGGATCCCGCCGTTGGTGTGGTGGAGCCAGAAGACGTAGTCCGGGTAGTTGGGGTGGGTAGGCGGAAGACGTAATTTGCCTTGGGGGTCATATTTGGCCAGCAGGTACTCAAAGATGGCGTTGGTCTCGCCGAGGGTGACGGTGCTACCGTCCTGGATGATGGGGGCGGTGCCGATGGGGTGCAGAGCCCGGTAGGCGGCCGGGGCGAAGGACGTCACGGGATCCCGGTCGTAGCATTTGAGCTGGTAGGGGAGACCCAGTTCTTCGCAGAGCCAGATCACCCGGTCGGACTGGGAGAGGCGGAGGTGGTGCACGGTGAGTTCCGGAGATTCAGCCATTTTCAGAGACCCAGAGAATAAGATGCTTGTAACAGGGATGTATAGATGGAGCGAAGTTGCGGGAGGCGGCTAGTAAGTTAGTCTTAAATCTAAAGCTTCAAAGTCACCTGCGGCACACGGAGACTTGCGCCGGATTCGGCAATTGAGTCTTCCGAGATTCTAGAAACGCGGAACCCGGGAATTCTGAGTAAAGATACGTGCGGAAACCGTGGGCTGATTTCTGGGACCCGCTTGTGGATCCGAGGAGCTTGAAACATAGGCGTTTGAAGTCTGGGACGGGCGTATACTTCCGGCTACCAACCACCTATATGATATCATGGAATGCCCCATTGAGCTGCCGCATTTCCCGGTCCCAGTAAGCCTGCTCATAAATCAGCATAGATCCAGATCGACCTGTGCTCGGATTGCATTAAGGTTCAAAGTCTAACCCAAGGAAGTCAGAAAGGCAGAAATTGTCGAAGGACTCACCCAGTCGAACATCTCAAACGGAGGATCACCATGAACCAAGTCATCGAAGACGAGCCAAGGAGAGGAAAACAGGCCACTCGGGGGCGTGGTCTCTTGACCTTGAGAGTCAGATGTCTTAGGGTCACTGGGGTCATCAGCAGGCCGAGTTTCGTCTGAATCACTGTTCCACGTCAGGGGATGACCCATCTGACCGAGCATTGTGGCCAGAATCTCAGCTGCCTTGGTTATTTCTACGGGTGGCTTGGGAGTCTGTTTGAGGTTTAAGTATGTCCGATGGAGGATATGGATTAGCTCCGTGGATGCGTCGCAGGTCAACGAAGGCTGAGATAAGACGTTTGTCCTGTTGATTACCTCTAGACATATCACCATAGCCGCAGTGAGGCAATCAGACACCGAGCGGGAGGCACCAAACCACACACGCTTTCTATTACGGGGACCGTGCAGGGCCTCTTGAAACAGGAGACACTGCTGCTCGAGAACGCAACGGGCTGCATCCACGCATGCCCCTCGAAAAGCGTCGAAGCTTGGATTTGACTCCGACGAAATAAGATACTGACGGTGCAAGATGCAGCGCGAGCGTTGGTAAACTATCTCCAGGGTGCGTTGCATAATCAATTTGTCATATTCCATAGTGGGAGCGACTGAAAAACGCATACGCAGAGAACACGGGAGGCCGTTTTTCAGAGCGTCTAGTTGCTGACCTAGGCGAGCAGTGCTGTCGGGGGAGATTGGACCTTTTGCAGCAAGGTCTGCGATCTCATTGGCTACTGAGTAGAGATCGTCGATAGCCAGCATATATACAACGTGGCTAAGTGTTTCGGTTGCGGATTGGGATGAGGGCAGGACTGACATAGTGGAGTTGAAATCGTCGTCGAGTAAGTTGCGTGGGCGAGCTGAGTTTGTGAGGCCTTGGTAGATAACTCTTGGAAGTCCTGTTTGCGAAGCAACGACGTTGTCAATAACGGATAGCAACAGCCAAGCTCTGCATCGCATCTCTGCTTCGAAGGCAAGTAGAGGGGGGTGGCAGAGATGGGCGCTCTGATGATAACCCATCATGATCGCCAATCGCGAAACAACCCCTAGAAGAATCGACACACCGGTCTTCGATTCGTTGCTTTGCAGGTACTCCACTCCCAGGTATATCAACGCTGCTTCGACCTTGAACCTGCCGGGGACAGTGAGATCTGATTTCGACAAGGCGGCAGCGGAATTCTCTCGAAGGACATAGAAAGACTGCGGTACTTCGGAGTAGGCCATGATGGGGTCCAGAAAATGCTCGATCCACACCCCGCAGGCTAGCACCCCATACAGTAGAGCTAGCCAGGCGGGGCTCACTGTCGCAGGTGATTGCCAAAATTGAAGACACTACAGCTTTTAGACGCACTTCTCACGGATCCATGAACGGGATTTAGAGGCATACCTGAGATTGGAAAGTTGGAACATGTATGATCACTGTAGTGGAAAAGTCAGTCAGATTCTTGTAGACACATACAGGAACGTACTCAAGGATGGCTCTGAGGATTCGAGGCATGAGGCCACGAGCCTATCCGCCACTGTGCGGGAAGGCAGCGAGGCTATCAATTCGTCGATGCTCACGTTCTGCGAGAGACCCGAAAACAAGTGCACGGAATTGCCGCTTAATCTAATTTGAGCATGGTTGGGCTTAATCTCCAGTTTCCTTGTCTGTGTTCAATATTAGCTCAAGATTGGGGAATGAGAACCCAGGTAACCACACATACAGCGTCATCCATGAGAGCCCTCCAGTGGCTTGGATGGACAAATCGAGTCCCACTCGATTCGGACGGAAGAAGTCGGGTCCCAAGACTTGAGTGCCCATCCTTGCCTATCTCAGAATTCGGCCATATGCACTCACTATGCGGTGCATGGTGTTCTCGTGTGACAGGGGCAGCACGCGCGTGCGCTTGAATGTAGTGACAGGAGGTGCCATGATTTCGGTTGCGGCAATTCGAACAAGGACGAGCGCGATCACATCGAAGCCTGTAATCAACTGAGTCAGGCTACTGCTGACACTGCAGGTGTGTATGAATTGCATGCAGCCTTACTTTTTCTCACGACATGAGGTACAGGACAGAAGCACTCGAGGCTTCTGGTCCCGTCGCTTCCGATCTGGCAGCGGCGACGAGGAAACTCGATTGGTCACAGTCAGGGGCCGAGACTCCATCAGGGTGCAGATTTCAGTGGAGAGCCAATTCTGGGGGGGGCTTCTTGGTTGTGATGGAAAGGAGTGTGCCTGAAGAGGAGAAAGTCAGAACTTCCTCAATGGAAGGCGAAGGCGGACGATTCGTAGATTGACATCACGGATTTCTCGGGTTTCACGGATTTCTCGGATTACTGGTAAAATAATCAAATTTGCCGCCATTCCAAGTTTCGATAACTTACCAATACAGCTGCAGTGGGTCGCCGGGAGACTCCACACGTCAATCACCCTTTGGGCGAATAACCAACTTGCAACTCTCACCTAATACTCAGGTGTACACAGTGGCACTGGCTAGAACACCCCACTATACTCGCTTCTCTGATTCCCCCTCTTATCTGGCTGTGAAAATGGCTCCCTTGTGCCGAATGGTTCGATTGTTATCGAGATCGAGATGAACAATTCAACAGTCTATATAAGGGGAAAGTAGGCCCATAGCACACTCCCTTCCCCAGATAACATACTATTCACATACTGACTCGGCCTCTTGGAACGATGACAGACTTGCAGCTCTCGAAACCACGATTCCGCGTGGTGATAGTCGGCGGATCAATCGCAGGCCTGACCCTCGCCCACTGCCTGCTTCGACAACAGGTGGAATTCGTCGTCTTGGAGGCCCACGAGGAGATTGCACCCCAGGTTGGGGCTTCTATCGGAATCATACCGAACGGTGCGCGCATATTAGATCAGCTGGGAGTTTTCGACGGCATCATAGAGGCCACAGAGCCCCTTCGCGACGCCTACTTCTGGAAAGAAAATGGCACGCTTATCACCAAGAACAACGCCCCGAAAATCATCCATGACCGGTACGTATCCTTCGTGCATATCACTACCTCAAGAGTCGCTGACCACGACTAAGACATGGCTACCCCATTGCGTTTGTGGATCGTCAAGTCGCACTCGATGCTCTCCACAAGCATCTTGGACAATCGCAAGCTCATGTATTCACTGGGAAAAAAGTCGTCCAAGTAGAACATCTTGCCGATGGAGTCAGGGTTCACTGCGCCGACCAGTCGGTCTATGAGGGTGATCTCGTTGTCGGGGCCGACGGGGTAAGAAGCACAGTGCGACGGCAGATGTGGGACTACATGGAGTCAATCGGGCTGAAGAAGGAGGCACTGAAGGAAAGAGAAGGTGGGTCGCTTTCTTTCATATTCCATATCAACGCAGTGCTGTTATACTGACTCTTCTCATTTCTTGGTCACAGCAATGACGTCCGAGTACAGCTGTGTGTTTGGCATCTCGACATCGACTCCAGGGTTAATCCCGGGGACCAGTCATCGAACTTTCGGTGAGGGGTGGTCGGCCCTGACTATCATTGGAAAGGAGGGTCGAGTGTTCTGGTTCTTTTTCAAGAAGTTGGACCAGAAATACTCTGCCTCACACATCCCACGCTTTGATCAAACTATGATTGACCAATATGTCGACCCCTACCTACAGAAGCCGATCACTAATAATGTACCTTTTGCCGAGGTATACAAGAGGGCAATAACTCGGACTTTGTTGCCATTGGAAGAGGCCTCCTATAGCCGCTGGGCCATCGACCGGTGGGTTTGTATCGGAGATGCAGCGCATAAGGTATGCTCGTGGACAGAGTAAAGGAGAGAAAGCCCTAACTGCGCGTGACTGACATGCCCTAACAGATGACCCCGAACTTGGGCCAGGGTGGTAACAGCGCAATTGAAAGTGCAGCCGCGCTTGCGAATAGTCTTGCTAGCTTGCTCCAAGCCTCCCATGAGTCGAGTCCTGCTATAGAGAAGCTGAATTACTGCTTGCAATCCTGGCAAGAAAAGCGGCGACCTCGCGTGCAAGCCATCTTCAAATCAGCCCACAGCCTCACGCGGTTGGAGGCGCTCAATACACTCAAGGACAAGGCTATAGCACACTACCTCATGCCATATCTTGAGTACTACTTAGTTGACAAATCATCTCGAACCTTCGTTGGGGCGACGAAGATTGACTACCTACCGCCACCGGCTAAGTCACTGTCGGGTACGATGCCATTTACTGACTGTCGATCCTTGCCGGACTCCACAGTACGGGAACGGGCGCTTTGGACGCTGCCACTTTTGGGCATCTTCGCCATCAGTAAGACAGCCGGGGAATCAATGCTCTCGCCAGTTAGATCCCATCTGGTTCCGATATTGAATAATGGAACCTGGGCTGCAGCGAGTGGCGAAGTTCTGGATCTAAACACGTCTCTTTATCGTAACCGCTTCTTTGACAAGATAATGAGGCCACTGATTACTTGTTTCCTACCTTCAATCACCGGATCAGACCCGAGCTCACGCATCCAGATGCTATCGTTTATGACGGACCTGGGACCAGTCTACGGAGTCTGGTTGCTGGAGAGTTACCGCAATGCACACTCGTGGCACCAAGTGATTCTGTGAGTTCTCTGCATACCAAACAATGTTAAAACCTGACTCATTTTGGCCAACGCAAACAGGCCCATGGCAGCAGGTAGCATATTTCAGCTGGTGGGCATCTGGAAGGTTGCCCCTCTCTATCTCGCAGCGGAGTACTTCCGCACGCCCTTGTCCACAATGCTCGCGGGCGAGAACAGAAAGATAACCTGTGGCCTCACCGGATCTCTGGTTCTCTCCACCCTGGCAGGATACCACTCGATCACATATGCGAATTTCTTTGCCCCAACCCTCAAGTTGCGCCAGTGGTACAATGCTCTTTGGCAGGCTTTCCCGTTGACCACCCCCCTCCTTCAGAGCGCCATCCTGCTTGCAGCCCGCGTGCTCAGCAGACCGTCCCCGGAGTCACGGGATGTCCAGCATAAGCCACAGAGAAACGAACTGCAATACATCCGGTGGGCATATGGTACCTTCGCCCTGGTTTCCGGCCTCACCTTCATTTACGGCCGGATGACTGCCCCATGGGATGTTTCCTTCAGTAGCATCTTCATACCTGGTCTGCGAGATGCCTCGGTCTCAGCGACGTCGTTCAGTGCCTGCATTGCGCGCTTCCTGAAGTATGACGAGCTCATCTCAATGACGAGTGGTTTTGTATGGCTGGCGCTGCGCTTCCGCGAGTTGAGGCAGGCCGGAGCTCACTTTTCCTGGTGGAGAGCCGGTGGGGCGTTCGCAGGGTCACTGCTTACTCTTGGACCTGGAGCGACATTCGCACTGGGTTGGGGTTGGCGCGAGGAGCTTTTGTATCAAGCGGCTGGAGAGTTGTAAAGTCGGTCACTGAAGAAAAGAGGACCAGTTCATTAGGGTTTATCGGACTGTACGCCATGTCTTGCATACCTGTCAAAGAACTTATCCATACTTCGTCTTCCCTTGTTGAAGAAACATGTGATGCCGTAATGATTCACCTTTGATACCAAGACAGTGAGCAGAGATAGCTTCACCTGGCCTGACTTCGACCACGACTTATCCAAGCTCCTGATACAATATGAGCTTCTCCATCTTGCCTGTCCTCACCTAGCGCGTAACTTCGACAATAGCATGGAACAACATTCAGCGCTGGCAGTCGTCTTGTGCTTCAACGCGAACATCATCTACCAGAGTTGAAGGCTGTAGTGGAAATTCAACTATGATCCTGCGGGATTACCTGACGTGTTAACATCATGCTAAGGACATTAGATAGTTTCTCCTTCCTTCACTTACATTTCTCTTCCTCGAATTCATAACCCAAGATCATCCAGCCTGCTTCTGCTTCTGCTTCTCCCTCTCTCCTTTTCTAGTGACCTATTTATCTGTCTATCTATCTGTCTCTCTCAAATTTGACATGACACCACCCAAGTCTTGGATGCTGCCCTCGCTCGTGCCCGAGGATGTCACTCTCGATGGCTTAGAGGGGCCAACCCACCTTGAAATAGTGGAGGTACTCGATGAGACCGCTGCTGAGATGGATCAGGAAGAGAGCAACCGAGTGGGTGTTAGGCCCAATGTGCTCATCGAGCTGCTCTGCAGGGACACTGCCTCCGGAAAGCCAGCAATGGTGCATATGTACGTCCAGATTCCACTGACGGGCACAGAGTGGCTGCCACCAAGCCAAAGAGCTCCTCAGGCCGTCGATGTCGTTCCTCCCCGTGCCAGGAGATGCGTGGACACGCACGGCAAACTCCGCGATATACATTGCGACCACGCCCCAGCGCTTATCGGATCCGTTCAGACCAAGCAGGGCCCCGGGGGCTGGGTGCCCGGAGGGTACGTGCTTTACATCACCCTAACAACTGGCCGTGAAGAAAGAGGAGGCATGGTTTCGCTGTCCACCGGTGTGGTTGGCAAGGGGGCGTTTTACGAAATGCTGCCGCGCGAGAGAGAGCAAGTTCGTTTGAGTTTCAAGGCCGCCTTCAAGAGGAACGAGACAGAATGGGAGTGGGACGATGGAGAATTTCGACGATGGAGAATCTCCAGAGGAATCTTACGAAGGCGCCATGCGCTGGCGGCAGAGATACACCCGCTAGTTGGGCTCGCACGAGCGCCTTCGATCAACGCCCTGACAAGAATACTATCTCAGCAATCACAACTGCTACCAACTTTCCAATTCCCATTTGCCTGTAGGCCTACTTAGGGATTCCTCGCTTTCCCCAGTGCCCTTCGGGGCTACGCCGACGTGGTTCATGTGCCCGAGTAAGCGTGTATTGAGCATGGATTCGACAACGTAGCGGGCTGCCTGCGCGTGTGCCACCGATGTATCGTACGGGCGTGTTCGCACGTACTGTACACCTCCCCTGTCTTGTGTGCCTTTGATCTTTTGCAGGAGGTGAGTAAGCCCAATCCTCTCACTCCGCAACTGTAGAATCACCGCGTCGTACGCCTTGGGTGACGCCTTGTGCGTACAGTGCAAATGGTGCTCGCATCCAAGCAGATAAAAATAGCCAGCGCCGGATCTCCTTCCATGTTATTCTGAAGTTACGCACCTATATGAGGAAGAACAAGATGCAAGAACCACTATTGTGTTCGAGGGGCCCGGATAGGCGTGTCAAAGACGTGGATTGAAGGTGGATCCTGACTATCTGAGGCTATCTGCAGAACTAGCTAAGAACAACAAGGTGATCAAAATCGGCTACTTGAGGCTATCTGCGGAACTAGCTAAGGCCACCGTCAGATACTCAGGATCGGAGGCTCCAGATGTTCAGTGTTGTAATTAAAGCGGTTCCATTCTTTCTGGCACTCCTCACGCCACCAGACATCCTCATGATCATGCCAGTTCTTCTTGAATGATGGTATTGAGCTGATTTCACTCAGCTCATCAAGCTGTTTAATTATTCTCTGCCCATTCGTCATAAGAGGAATCAGTGATTGACCTCTGGTCATCCGAACTCGATAGTGCTCCGTATCGTAGTTGAAATTGTTCCACCCCCTCTGGCATACCTTCCGCCACCAGACATCCTCCTCCTAATGCCAATTCTCTTCGATCGCCGGAATCGAGCTAATTTCGCTCAGGTTATCAAGTTCCTTGATTCTCTGATGCTATTCATCTGATGACGATTCTGTCCCAGAAACAGAGCAAGGCATTGTTTCCCTCTTCAAATCCTTCTTCTGAGATACTTGGTCCCATAGATTCGCAGTCCAGTCTGCCTAAAGCAGTTGCAGCGGCGTTCCGCTGGTTCCAGATGTTCGGTGTTGTAATTGAACTGATTCCATTCCCTTTAGCAGGCTTCTCGCCACCAGACACCTTCGTTGTCATGCCAGTTCTCGGTAGTGAACTGATTTCGTTCATCCACTTTATTTCGGATATCAACATAGCCAAATTCGGATGGGGTCCTGTTCCCTTGTTGAAATTATCATTGAGCTTGCGAGATCATTGAGAGCGATTACCCGTTGTAAAAGGTATGACCGCCTGGGATACTCATCCCATCAACTCTTTATCTGCATCCGGAATGGATCCGATGAGAATAGGAGCGTGATTGCAGCTGGAGCGTAAGGTAGAGGTAAAAACGAGGTTTGAGGGTGGTTTGAGATCGAGAAAAGGGTTTCTGATAGTGCTCATACAGCACGAACTGGGGTTTTGCAAAAATTTGAGAGAGTTTGAAGTCTGAAAGTGCTTGTAATGTGCAAAATGAGTTTTGAAAATGGGGGTAGAGAGGATGGTTGGGGATGAGAGAAGTCGAGGTTGGACTTTTGCGGAATTCGGCGTGCGTATTTCAACATCCAGTATCACGGGGAAATAAGACTCGACGACCTAGTTATTGAAGTCAATAAACCAACCAAGAGGGTGGAATGGGAGGATGGCGGTATCTCCATACCACTGAAATGATGGCCTCAAGGTGATACAACTTCAGCAAAGGTAGACGTGCGTTCAAGATGTATGGTCAAGGTTCAAGGAAGCCCGGAAGGAAGGGGCTGAAGAGCAAAGACAACAACATCACTTACTTACTCGGACCTCCTCGTTCCTTCCACCTCGGTATGCAGTAAGTATACAGTAATCCCCGATGGCTTGGTGGCTGCCACTCCGTGCCAGCCAGGGGAAAGCATACGCACCACTGCTGGCAGAGCACCTCAGCTTTTGAAGGGGGTCCGGGAAGGCTCCAAATGATCCTTGTTGGAATGGAAAACTCTCGGTTGGCAAATTTCCTGCCAGCGAGTGCCAGTCTTCAACGCACGGTTCAATGAAGCTGCATGCGCGCATCTGATCGACGGCTTTGATCCTATTGTACCATTGATCCAAGTCCGAGTCCGAGTCCTAGTCTGCTTACCTCTTATAATCTGGAGAGAAATCGAATCATCAAATTCTCCCCAACGTACATAGGCCACTCATTGACCCTGCGCTTTTGTGCGCAGCCATAGTTGGGCCGTTGAGAATCGGCCTTGGGATTTTCCAAAGCAACGTCTTTGCGTAAGATATCACTCAAAGTTTGCGAAATGAAGCTAGAAAATGCCTCCAGCTTGTTCCGCTCCCCAGAATGTAGAAGTTTCAAGGACGATTGAAATTGCCACCGAAATAAGCAAAAGGCAAATTTGTTCAACGTATACAGCGGGCACACGAGCTCATAGCCAGAAGAGGATTGTGGTGATGGTTGATCCCATGCTTGTATGAAATCTTTCAAGCATACAATGTGCTCTTTGATCAATGGATTTGGTTCGCTGTACAATCCGAGTACAAACTTCAATGATGATAGAATGATAAGGCATGTTGAAGAGATAATGGAAGTTCAAAAAGGACAGACTTCTCTTACTGCAGGAGATGGTTGAAAGAAAAAGTTTGGAAGAGGAAGGCTGAGAGAGAAAGACTGAGATAGCGAAGTTGAGTTGTGAGAGACCGGATGTGAAGATACTGGATGGAATCAGCACCAGTGAACATACCTAGCATTGACTACTTCACTATTGATGGATTGTCAATATGTCTATTGTAGAATTGCAAATTCACCATTCATAGCGGTGCTCTCGATTCCTGTTCTCTTTCTTGTTCACTCGAAGGCCATCGAATGCGCCTTTTGCAACTCATCCACGGTGGAACAGAAAGAGGGTGATAGACGAGCTATACGGGGTCCTGGCCCTTTATGCAAAAGATTCCGCAAGCAAGGCCCTTCGTGGGAGGGCCTTACAGCTTTAGAAGCAGTACGTGCTTCGCAATTACAGTCACAAAACGAATCAATTCATCTAAGAATAAGTTTTTCATTGACTACAAAAATAAACAAACTACTTGAGTCGTCTATCGACAAAGTCTCGACGGCACTCCGGAGGCTCCAGATGCTCGGTATCGTAATTAAAACGATTCCATTCTCTCTGGCAGATCTCGCGCCACCACACATCCTCCTCATCATGCCAGTTTTCGTGGAAGGATGGTAGCGAGCTTATCTCACTCATTTCGTCAAGCTGCTTAATTTTCTCGGCCCATTCGTCATACGATGAATCGGTGAGTGACTTTTGAGTATTCGAATTCTTAGCTTGCGATACTTGTCGCCATAAGTACGCCGTCCACTCAGTTTCGCAATCGTGGTGTATCAGGCTCGAGCTGCCTTCTGAGGCATAGCCTGTCTGCATGTCCGCCTGCATGTCCTGAGCCTGTACCGGTGCCCTCATCTTCTGGACGTTGATCTTCGTGTCCTGGATTTCCGCCTGCATGTCCTGAGCCTGTTCGTCTACCTTCATCTTCTGAATGTCGGCCTGCATTTCCTGAATGTCCGCCTGCATGTCCTGAATGTCCACCTGCATGTCCTGAGCCTGTTCCTGTGCCTTCATCTTCTGAATATCGGCCTGCATGTCCTGGACGTTGGTCTGAATATCAAAGACGACTTCCTGCAACCCAAAGACAACTGCCTGCATGTCCTGAACCTGTTCGTGTGCCTTCATCTTCTGAGTTTCCGCCTGCACCTTCATCTTCTGAATCTCCACCTGCATATCCTGGGCGTGTTCCTGTGCCTTTATCTTCTGAATATCGGCCTGCATATCCTGGACGTTGGTCTGAACATCAAAGACGACTTCCTGCAATCCAGAGACGACTGTCTGCATGTCCTGAACCTGTTTCTGTGCCAAAATCTTCTGAATGTCCGCCTGCACCTTCATCTTCTGAATGTCCACCTGCATATCCTGGGCGTGTTCCTGTGCCTTCATCTGCTGGATTTCCGCCTGTGTCTGCATCTTTTCTATCTCGGCCTGCATGTCCTGCGCCTGTTCATGTGCCTTCATCTTCTGAATGTCTGCCTGTGCCTTCATCTTCTGCAGCTCTGCCTGCGTCTCCCGAAGGTTGGCCTGGAAGCCCTGCATCTGTTCCTTGAGCTTCTGAGTGTCGCTCTGCAGGTTCTGAGTGTGTGCGTTGGTCATTTGAACGTCGGTATGAATGTCCTGGACGTTGCTCTGCATACCATGAACATATGCCTTGAGCTGCTGAGCGTCGGTCTGCAGGCTCTGAGTGTGTTCCTTGGCCATGTGAACGTCGGCCTGGATGTCCTGGACGTTGGTCTGCATGTCCTGGACGTTGGCCTGGATGTCTTGGATGTTGATCTGCATATCCTGAGTGTGTGCCTTGGCCATGTGAACGTCGGCCTGCATGTCCTGAGCGTTCGCCTCGATCATCTGGACGTGCGCCTGGGTGTCGTGGACAATAGCCTGTATCTCCTGCATCATGTCTGCGAGACTACTGCGAATCATGTCCTTTAATTCATCGCGCAAGATGTCCTGAATGTCTTGCCGAACGGTTGTTTTCATCACATCGTGGATGAGTCCTTTGAGTTCGTGGACCTCCGACTCGATGATGTCGGTAGGCACTTTCAGCTTCCAGCTGTCGAGGGCTGGTTTTCCGGTTTTGAGTCCTAGGGACCCGATGGGGTTGACCATGAACATGGTGTCGTGATCGAGGATCTGTGATCCGAGGAGGGGGTATTCGGTCGAGGGTAAGATGGGGTGTGAAGACGAGTATGAGGGCGAATATGATGAGGAGTGTAAGGTGGAGTGTAAGATAAACTTTGAGACAGGGTATGAAGACGAGTATGAGAACGAATATGAAGATGAGTGTAACGTGTTGAAGTGGAGTGTAAGGTGAAGAGTGAGAGCAGTGTGAGGATGGTTGAAGATGAGAAGTCGACGTTGGAAATCGACGGGGGGGTATGGTCTTCGACCTGCTCCATGGCTGCGTTGACACTGAAGGAAGGAGCACGGCGGGTGAGTATATAGTTAGGGCAAGTACGCGTAGGAGGAGGACGAGGATGAAGAAGGTGGAGGAAGGCGAAGGAGGACGGCGAAGGGAAATACAGCAACAGAGGGAAGGCGCCGGGAAACCGCCGGTACAGTACGCGGTACACCATACTGAAAGAGAAAATGACTGTCCCTTGAGAAGATTAAGAAGGAGTAGTTGTCAAGAAGGACAAATTACCTGGGAGGATGAGTCCTCAAGGAGGACGAGCGAAGACGGAGAAAGAATTAGGGCTGAGATCCCTTGTAGAGTGGAGTAGAGCGGAAGTGGAGGTGACAAGTGGAGCACTGTCCTACGGAGAATCATCGAGGGCGTTGACTTGAGGTCTATTGAGGATGAGCCACTATTGATCAATGCAGAGCAGCAAAGGGATAGGCAGGTTATAGTGGGTAAGCTGTAATAGTCCGAAGTCGATGGGAGGGTAGTTGAACAAGTTTAGCCGCCCCTTGTAGCCAATTTATCTTTCTCGATGACTATTTTATGATCTCTTCGCAAGACAGATGTATCAAACGACACAGCATGAATCTATCACCCAAAACCAACCAAACCACGATGGACAACCAGAGTGCCTCATGCGACAACCCTGCCCCCCCCCCCAGCAAGAGACCAAACCCTAGCTGCTAGAGAACCGTGCGCAACAGCCCTCTCAGTACCTCAAACCAGTTTTGGTACTGCCTACACCCTCACTACCTCACATACAGCAAGTCCAACTGCAATCCTCTCCGGCTCGCATTTCCCTGGCCCAGCGACACAACCAGTACCTCAACCCATCTCAAGGCACGCAGTCTTTCACTTCCACTGCTACTAACTTCACACTAGGCATATGCATTACCTCGTTCCCACAGTCCCTTCCTCCGCTCCTACAAATACCCGCTTGCCCTTCGCTCAACCCGCACAGCACGCGCAGCAAATCGCCCACCCCACCCTCGACCGACATCCCCATCTGACCCAGATATGCCCGACACTACACCTCCGTCACTCAGTCGCAGAAAACGCCCCTCCCCATCCAGAAGCTCTACATCGCATGCACGAGCAGTTCTCCGTGATTTACACTTTTTTCTTCGGTAAACTGATAGCCAATGCTAGCCGGTATCACCGTCCGACCTGCCCGCGTGAATGTCGGATACATACTGGTTTGCGGACTCTGGGTGGATTTCTTCTCAATGAACTTTTGTCTTACAGCATCTGGATACTTTCTGGCGACAAGCTATTTTCCTATCGCTCCTCTGTTTTCTTGATTTTTTGCTTGGCTATAAAGGCTGGTGCTGGCGTCCACCAACTACAGTACATCTACGCAGTCTGGCTCTGCCACAATGTTCCGCCCTCCGGCGTGGCGCGTCGTCGAAGGTACTGTACGCGTCCTTTCGGCATCGGTCAATCCAACAATCACATTATGCCACAGTATTCCTTCATCATACGTGACAATGGTAGCTATTGACATCAAATAAAAAGGGTCTATTGACAAAAAGTCCTCATATTTTGTATTATCCAAGATCATGCCACCACATGCTAGGTATGAATGCTAGGTACGGTATATCAACTCAAACTTTCCACAAAGTCGATCAAACTGTCCACCCAACCAACTCAAATGCATACATACTCAGGGCTTCGAATCAAGACCCAGAAACAAAATCATGGTATCAGTATCATAACCGCGCGGGGAGGGAGCCCCACGCATGCTCTATCAGATTGAGTTGAGGAGGCCGTCGGCATCTCCACGCACACAAGGAAAGTCAAAGAGAAAGAAGTTGAATAGGGGTATAAAGTCGTAAGAAACAAGAAAAAAAAAAAGAGCCTAGACAAGGGTGGGTTTCTTTTTTATGCGTGGACGGCTTGCTCGGGAGAGCTAGGAGGTAGTTTAGGAGGTGGTGGTTGCTCGTCAATGGCAGTGCTACTACCGGCTTTTGGAGATATGGGCTCGTCGATAACACTCATAGGCGCTTCTTGAGTAGCGGTGGAAATAGAAACCTCCGACATCTTGGCACTCGAATTGGCAACATCATCGCTCTCACCCTTCTGTTCTTCAGGGGAAAGAGTCTCAGAGGCCTCCTTGAACTCCTCCGTCTCGTCATAGAAGTGAACACTTTCGCGCGCTCCAGGGCTGGTACTCCGCAAAGAGTGCGGGTAGCGTGGATGTAGGTTGGTTTCGGAGGTAATGGACTCGCCACCGCTGCCGATAGCTGGGTCTGATGCTCGCGGCTCGTCCGATGGGGTGGGTTTTCGCAACTTCAAGCGCTCCTCCGGCGGCATATTCTGCCATTCGCTCCCGAAGGTGACGATCGAGGCCTTCTTACCGTGTACTGTAAAGCTGGCGGACTTTCGCGACAACCCTTCACCATCATGCGTACCTTGCACATCCTCGAGCGCGGCCAAGCTGGATGCTGAGTCGCGGGCTTTCTTGCTTCGTGGATGGTTTCCGTGTACGCTCGGCGCATCGCGAAGGGTGCGGTGAAGACTGCGTCGGATCCGACTTGCGCGATCGATCGAGGGTCTAGGTTGCGCGTCCTCGTGCTTCGATTCGGTTTCGGTATCCTTAGAGGCAAGGGACGGCCTTCGCGAGGCTTCTAGAAGACCAGTTTCTCGTAGGATGCGCTCTTCCCCTTCGTCGAAGCTATTGGGCACGGTGAGCTTGGATGCGTGGGATCCGAGGCTCGCAACATCCATTCTGCTGGCGGCGCTAAGAACAGAAGCCTCCCGAGTGAGTCGGCTCGCACGATCAGGGGAACTTGACATGGCACGCTCCTTGGCAGCGTCGACAGAAAGACGCCTACTAGCGCGGTCAGGCTGATCAAACGAAGCGAAAGATGCCGGAATACTCGGCCTTCTCACATCCGCCGAGGCAGGGTGCGACGGTGGCTGGGAGATGGAAGGTGGTTTTGCAGAGCTTGGATGTGGAGAAGCTTCCCGAATGGGGGAGGTAACTTTGATGGTCTCGGCTTCTTCGTACGGTCCCTCCACGGTACTGCTAGCGCTCGGGGCAGGGATCTGCAGCTGAAGGCCTTTTGGTTCAGTGGTGGGCGGGGCCTCTTTCACTTCCTCACCCAAGTCTCGAACAAGCACCTCCCTGTAGCACCGGGTGCGCCATATGTCCTGTCTCACCCATTTAAGCTTAGCGGCCATGCGACCAGCGGCCATGATGACCTGCTCGCGGGCCCTTGGGTTCACGGGAGTCAGCACCTGTAAATGCCTCGCGTTCCGCAGTAAATCATCGAGTTGCCTCTGGCTGACGAATAATTTCTCATTTGCCTCTCGAATTTTGTGATGCATTAACTGAGCCTGTGATGCGAGCAAGTCCTCCCCCATATCGGCCGCAGGATTTGGGGATGGTGGTTCCTTCTCTGTCAAAGACGCAGTAGATCCCCTGCGACTCATGCGATTGCGCTGTGCCTCGTAGTTAGTTGCTATCATCCCTTTGCTTGGGACACCAGTGGTCTTGAACGCGGCCGCATAGTTAAGTTTCGCCAGCCAATCATTCATATCAGCTTCCGAGTTGGCCAGAAAGACCTCTTCGACAGCGTTCGAGCGGACATAGACGAACGCATTCTTGTGCTTTTTGTAACTAGAGTCAAGCAGAGCGACAGCATCTTCTGTTGGCATCATGCCATCAGGTTTAAAGTCGGTCAGAGGGGGCTTGAAGGTAACGGCCCGACGGCGACCTTCCTTGATATGTGACTCGTGTTGATGAATCAAAGATTTAACCCAGTTGACGTCCCGGAAAAAGTACAATTTCGAGAAGGTAAGAAGAGCGCCCCATTCCTGCCACGGAGAACGGGCTTTTTTCTTCTTCGGGTCTTTGCGCCACAGCAAACCGACCTTTGCCACTTTGATGTCGACTAGACCTGGGCTCGAGTCAATCGGGTTCTCCATACTAGAAGGCATAAAAGCGTCGGGGCGGGATCGGGCGGAGACAATCTGCAGGACCGCAGATTTTGAAAATGCTCGATGGAGGCCTTCAATGTCAGGGGGTCCTTCCGTGCCATCACAATGGTAAGTATCGTCGAGGTTCATGACATCCTTCAGGCTTGGGCGTAGGGAATCGAGCTTATTGTCCATGATTAAAGTATAAGGATCTACTGGTTCTTTACCCAGGTGATCTGAGCTGGCGGTCTTGAACAGAGTTCGTCGGGGCTTTGCAAGTTGACGTCCATTGGGGTTGGTGTCCTCGATATGGATGAAGGGGGTATAAGAGATGTTCTCATAGAAACATTCAAGGATGTCTTCTGATATACCTTCCCCTCGAGTGTTCCTCACATAATCCGGCTTCTGCATTTTGCGCTTGTTGTTCTTGTTGAAGACATCGGTGTGCAGAATTAGGATCGAGAACGCGATGAAGTATGCCTGGTCTACAGTTTTCTGAAGTCAGCTCAGTCCAAAGTAGGGCGTCAAAGATAGTACCTGGATTTGCGAAGATACCGGGATTGCATTCGTGGTATCGATCCGCAAAGCTTTGGAGGAATCGGTCAATCTGCTGCGTCTCCTTCGGCAATTCCACCTCCATCAATAGCTTTCGAATGGCCATGTCAATTGGGTCGCCGAAAAACGAAAATCCTCGCATGTACTTGCGCAATGCGGTTTTGTGAAAGTCGTCATTTGCTTGTGAGAGCACACTGGCAATGGCGCTTTTCGAAATAGCAGCTTCCAGACGCTCTATGTACGTGGCTGGCGTGTCATCCTCCTGTCTGGCCGGGTAGGATGGCGTCTTCGAGACAGGAGTGTCTGCGCCTCGGGCAGCAGGCGACCCGCTGCGAGGATAAGGTGGTTCGGAATTCTGTCGGAGTCGTTGGGGGATGTTGAAAATATCACCAAAGCTTTTGCGCCCGCTGGTCGAGGTCGACGTACGTCCGGAAGGGGTGAGATGAGGCGATGCCTGCTGCTCACTGGAACGTATGTTCGCCAAGGAGTCCAACGTTGACGAACGCGCGCGTGTAGTCAAAGGGTTTCGGTTCCTGGTCGAGGGCGTTGAGCGCGCGGAGTGGGTCGAATTGGCGGAGTCATTCCTCAGAAGAGGCGGTCGGGGGGACGCGACGCCTGTGGAGCGAGAAGGAGACGGTAACGGGGAGATGTTGTCTTGGTCTTGCGCATCTGGTGTAGTTGGCTTGGGGCCTGTTTGACCATTCAAGGATTTGGGAGTGCGTCCGTTCATCGATTGTGACGCAGTGGGTCTGGGCGGTAGGGGGAACAGAGGATTGCGATTTCTTTTCAAGCGTGGCATACGGAATCGTTTCGCGCTGGATATTGAGCCCTCATTGGAGGGTACTGGGCGGGCAGCTCCGTGATCACCAGAGCTCTGGTCCGAACGAGAAGACTCGGAGAACCGCACGTCAACCACCGAAGACCGATTAGACTCAGCCAGATGATCCCGCCCGTTACTTCTAATAGATGTAGTCGATAAACGACCCGGCTCCTCACCGCTCACACGATAAATCGAGCGACTGGTCTCCGCAGTGTGTGATCCTGTCGAAGACTGGGCGACATATCGAGGTCTTCCATGGAGGCTACCTTGCTCAAGAGGGAGTTCATCCGTCGAGGCCTTCTTGTTATCCGGGAAGAACTTGAACTTCGTTTTGCGCTTCACCGGCTCATCAATTTCATGGCCCGTCGGAGCAGTCGTGATAATAGTGGGAGCTAAACAAAAAAGACACCGACAAGCGGTTAGAGGGAGCTCGCAGTCAGAGCGATAGCAAGAATGACTCACGCGGAAGTTCAGGCACAGGAGGTATATCTTTTTCTCCTTTGGCATAAGACTTGGACAGCTGAGGATCCGACGCATGGCGGAGTCTCATGAAGCTAAACCGGTTTATGCGCCAATTAGGACCGCTTCCCGGCAAAGGTGGATGACCCGTATTTCTCGGTCTCGGGCTTGCGTCATCGGTGCGACTGCGTGTTCCTGTAAGACCATTGTTGCCCTGTCCTTCATTCGCCTGTTCGTCGAATTCTGGGCCGGCCAGAGAGGGTGAGCGAGGGGCCGACTCGGAGCGTCTTGGGTTGAGTGCGGTCGTGGAGAGTGTGGGACGTGGTATTTGCTCGCTATGGCGGGATTGTGCGTTTGGCTCGAACAAGTAGCTCCGTCGCTTGGCTTCATTGCTATCCGACGAACCGATCCGTAACCCCTTCCAGTGCATGGTGAGCGTGTTTCCGGCGGAGGTTTTTTTGGGTAATCCTGCAGCGCAACCTATCCAAGAGACCCATTCGATTGTGTATGAAGCTCTGGTCACTGACTTCACCGCGCAGGATGTACGAGACCCTATGAGACTGGGGCTGCAGGAACCTGTCGATGGTAGGGATACTGTGCGAAGACGTCACTGCGGATCAGGCCGATTTGCATTGCGATCGCCTCGAAAGGGGAAAATAGATGCGACAGTGCAAGGACTAGGGGGGAGTCGTTGGGCAGCGGATAGCGAGGCCGTAAAAAGGGGGGAGGGGAGAGAGAGGGAAGAAAGGAGGCAGCGGGCAAAGTCGATCACCGATGCAGAAATTCCCGTTTCAAAGTCAAAACCGTCGAAGCTCCCGGTAGGAGCTGTTACATCGCCAGGTGGGTGTGCGATTTCACAGTGTATCGAGGAATCGGGACGAGGAATTGAAGTAACGCAGCGAGCGATCGGCCAGAGACGGAGACAGAGGTGTGATGGTCGTCGTTGTTGTCGGATCGGGGCTTGTGCTGACGCTGGTGCTGATGCTGGTGCTGGTGGTAAAGAAAGTTTGGCAGGCAAACAGGAGGGGTAAAGAAAAGAAAGTAAACTTTTTGAGGGGTGTTTGAGGGGAAGTGTTCAACAGAGACTGTTGGTGTGAGAATTAAGAGGAAAGGAAAAAGGTATTAAGCAAGGAATGATAAGAAAGAGAAAAGCGACTAAGAGACGGTGTGGGGGGGAGGAATATGAGAAAAGGCCGAGACGAAGGGGGGGAAGAGGGTGGTTGGCGAGGTAAGGATAAGCTGGCGATGCTGACGACGGGCGGCGGATGTAGTGGAGGACTGGATGGATGGATGGCCTAGGAGCCTGAGGAGGAGGCCCGCCGAGAGCAGGACCGCCGAGAGCAGGATTCCAGAGGAGTGACCAGTCTTGTTGGTTGGCTGTTCCTAAAGGACTAGTTAACCGGGCCGAGATTCACACGTGCGGGTAGGTACGGTAAGATGGTAAGGTGGTAAGGTGGTAAGTAGTACAGTAGTAGCTACATAATTAATCTACTAGCACACCACAGGGCTGGCTCGTTCAGCTAGCTGTTTAGCTCCCATTCTCAGCCCCTGTATGATTTTTCTTCCCTGATCCGGCACTTGTCTGCTTCTGCATCTGCCTTTTTCCATACCGTGTAGATATTGTGCTGTGTACTGAGACTGTGTATAGTGTTGATAATATGTCTCATCTGAAGCACGGGTGAAACTGCCCGTGGTCCCAAGATTGTTTCTATCTTTATCAATGAGCCAGCGACCCTGACAGTTCTGGCGTGCATTATTCTTATAAAGTGCTTGTCTATCACCCATCCAAATATAGAGAAACGCGGGTGCATGGATGGATCTGGTAGATATTGCACACTGCCCTAGTTTCTCCCCTAGCCAGGATGATACCCTTGGCCCCTTTTCTTCCCTCGAAATAGCCCGTTTCTACCTAGGGACTCAACCATGCCAAATATATCTTAAGACAGATTATTTATCTTACCTTTCAATCAATTGCTGACTAAATATAGACAACGAATGGGTAACCAGCTAAACATACACTTCGTTACTAGTATCTGTATAGTTGTCACCGCGCATTGTGCACAAAACCGCAATGTAGAGTATGTACATGGGGTACGAGTAACATCCGTCCAGTACGTACACGCAACCCGCAAGGCCCAAGCCTATGCCCACTCACGTGATCAATGTTCTGGCCACGTCAGGCGCCCCAACTGTCGTCATCTGTCCCTTTCCCCCTTGTGGCCCCTTCACTCATTTGTTCATGGCTTGTATGTATCCATCTCCCTTCCACCCCTGCCCATGCCCACCAAGTGACCTTGTTCTCTGGTGAAGTCTTGGGAAAAAGTCTCTTACCCACAGTCTCCGCTCACTCTCCCCACCATCCACTCATGTCAAGAAACAGTGTGGTCATTAGAGCCTTGGAGAGACGTTGTACCGGCACATGCCAATTGGGCAATTGCGGGCCCCCTTCCCTTCTCCCTCCCAACCGCAAATGGATGGAGGATAATCGGGGAAGTTGAATGACTGCGGGCTAAGTAGGTAGGGCCTGGCCAGCCGCCCCTTCCTCGCGAACCAAGGGCCACAAAAGGAACCAAACCACCACACCAAGTTCGTCCCCTCATATCGGTTTTGAAGGGTTAGCTATGCAATGTAAGTTATATCAAGTCAACCCGGTCATCTGTTCGGCCTCCTCCGGCTTCCGCATGCGAGATGGTGTCAAGCATTAGGCTTGGCAAGAACTCATCTCGGGGTTTTGGTTTGTCATTGACGGGGATACCGATACGTAAGACGTAACTACCGCTCAGCTGTCAGGATCAGTGTTTCGTGGGGTGGGGGCTAGACCCAAGCTGCTTTCGGAATGCGGCCATCCTATCCTATTTCATTCACATTTCACTAACGTGCATCTCAAAGATGTAAGATAAAGAAAGCGACGGTCGCATTTCGAAGGAAGAGATATTATGCGATTTTGGGGGTATCTGATGTACGATCGATGCCGGCCGCTGCCGTTACAGCGATATATAAATTCGAGAGATTAGCAAGAAACGAAGAGCAACAATCCAAGTATAGAATGATTGAACCGTCAAATTTAAGCCACCAACGAAATATTTGATGTGCCCGGGCGTCGAGCGACCGTCTTTTGATAAGGTGTTCTACACCCTGTTCTAGAAGAAACGACTTGATTTCTCCATGGGTGGTGCATGCAGGCGGCGACCGGCCGCAGAGAACCTGCAGGGTCCGGGGAAACTCCATGAAAATGCCCTCCACCGCCATTAGGATGCTTCTATCTTCTTTCACCGGAGGCAAGGGACTTCTGGATTTCTTTGGTTTGCTTTTGTAGTTGATCGCACAGGAAGGGCACGGCAAACAAGAACGAGACCACGTTACTCCATGATATGAGTGTTGCAGGGTAGGACGAACCCATATAACAATAGTCTGTCATGCATGCCATCGGACCACCTGGGTTTGTTGCTCGCATGCAGCCTGTCTTTGTTTATTTGCTCATTTGTTGTTCCACCCGATAAAGATAAGGATGAACCGGATGGTGCTGAGTCCTGCGATGACTTTGTGGTATGTCAAGCGGGAAGCTTAGCAAGGAAAATGCGAGGTACAGTACGTGATATTTCAAGTTTCGGTTCGTGTCAAGAGGAAACGACTGTAATAGAGGAAATGTGGTGCTGGCCATCAGTGACGAAGCCCTGTTCTCGACCAGACGCGCTGGAGTCAGAGCTAGATGGCGTCTCTCTTCGTACTGTACGTCTGCAAGTTGGAAGTATGAGAGCAAGAACCGTGGACAAGAGGGCCTTTCTGTAAACGGCTAGCTCGATGTGACCTTCCGGATCGCTCTAGTCTAGTCAAGTTGGGATTAGTGGCCGGTCCTGCCAGTCAGCGAATTCGGTAGAGAATCTGGCAGATGATGAGGATCCAGGCGTACTAATCTGCTGTTTGCTAATGGGCAGCTCGACACAATGGCTCAATTGACACGCTTGGGTGTTGCTGAATGGCCCACTTCAGTATCTATGTTCTTATACCTCATTATTTGACCCTTAAAATGCCAAAAGAACAATTGTCTTGTAATCAAATAACAGTACTTGAGGCTGCCTATTGTCAGGAAGGCGGGCTTATATTTCCTCCCAAGGTATGTGAGTGAAACAACCGGAATGAAAACCAGAGACGCACGAGTCTCAGATCGTGAATGGAAGTCAACCTTAAAAGTGACATTTCGATATCGATGCTTATCACAGTAAGATTGACCGGCTAGACCCACGGTGCGAACTCGTGTGCTAGATGCCTGAGGCAGCAAGCTCAGCCTCGCCGTTGCCGTCATTCTCACACCCTCGGCTCTTCAACCTTCTTTTCTTCTCACTTCACTGCAATCAACCTTGCTATCACTCGAGTATTCCGCCAGACATTTGTCTGGGGAATTGATGTGCAATCAAGGCCACTCTTACAGTTTTTGTGATGCACCTAGCATTCGCCATGCGCTACTTTTTATCTCTAGTCCTCCTGCTGGTCGCAACGGTCGCCCTGGTCTCCGCCGTCCCCGCAGGCTCCAGCATCACTCCACCGCCGCCGATCGAGCCCGTTCAAATTCTATCCTTCCAGCCACCTGATACCCGAAGACCATGGACTCGGTTTCGAGACTGGGTCATTGAGTCTATATGGAGTATACCGAAGTCCGCCAGCAGTCCACTGCGCGGACACTCCCCGCCTCCCCAGGCTCTGGCGCGATACGGCAGCGATGTGGTTCTACGGTTTACTCTGCGCAACGAAGATCAAGCGGAAGCACTGGCTCAAGCGGCCGACATATTGTTCCTTGACGTCTGGGCATCGACTCCTCAATTCGTCGATATCCGTTTGGCCCAGGAAGTGGTAAGTCTTCGACTGATTGATTACTGATCACGTGCACCGACGCTGATAACGCTTGCGGCGTCTAGATCCCCTCACTTCTCGGCTTATTACCCGCCTCCCTCCACACTGCCTACACCCCCTTGATCGATGATTTAGCACACAGGATTTATGCCTCTTACCCGAGTCGCAGACCGGTGGGGTTGAATGGACAGTCGGGTTATATCTCCTCAGGTCGGCAAGCCACGCAACTCGGCGACGTCTTTTTCCACGAATACCAACCCCTCGGCGTCATTGTGCCCTGGATGCGCCTGATGGCTTCGATGTTTCCTTCTCATGCGCAGATGACCAACGTGGGAATATCTTATGAGGGTCGAGAAATCCTCGCACTCCGACTGGGTGTAGGCAACAATCGTGGCCAGAGTCCCACGCCGCGCAAGACCATACTCCTCGTCGGAGGGAGCCATGCTCGTGAATGGATTAGTACCTCGACAGTGAACTACGTTGCCTACAACCTGATAACCAAGTACGGTAAGTCCAAGGCGGTCACCCGGCTGCTGGAGGACTTTGACTGGGTGCTGGTGCCCACGCTCAACCCCGACGGCTACGTTTACACCTGGGAGACGGACCGTCTCTGGCGCAAGAATCGACAACAGACCAGTCTGCGATTCTGTCCTGGGCTGGATCTCGACCGGACGTGGGATTTCCAATGGGACGGCGAGCGAACGCGCTCCAACCCCTGCTCCGAGAATTATGCGGGAGACGAGCCATTCGAGGGGTTGGAAGCACAGCAGCTGGCTCAATGGGCTCTCAATGAAACGCAGCATAACAACGCCGAAATTGTCAGCTTTGTGGATCTGCATTCCTATTCGCAGCAGATTCTGTATCCCTTTTCGTACTCATGTTCGTCTGTCCCACCTACCCTGGAAAGCTTGGAAGAGCTTGGCCTCGGGCTGGCCAAGGTGATTCGGTATGCAACGCATGAGATCTATGATGTCTCATCGGCGTGTGAAGGAACGGTCACCACGCGAGCGCCGGATAGCGGTCGCTTTTTCCCAATCGGTGGATCCTCGGGTGGCAGCGCTCTTGACTGGTTCTACCACCAGCTGCACGCGACCTATTCTTATCAGATCAAGCTCCGCGACCGTGGTAGTTACGGTTTCTTGCTTCCCGCGGAGCATATCATTCCCACCGGGAAAGAAATCTACAATGTGGCCTTGAAGTTGGGATCCTTCCTTCTCAAGGGGAATGCCTTCGAAGTTGACTGGGAGGCCGAGATGGAAGACATCGGAGTGGTTGCTATATCGGGGGATGACTCTAAGCTGGTTACTGGAGACCTCCTGTCTGTAGTCGATGAACAGGCCACGGCCCACGACACCGACCTAGACGAGCCAGAGGAATGGGAGGTGATGGACTGGGCGGAGCAACATTCGTTCGAGTTCCGTCGCTGATTGAGTTGTTTTTCCGGCGGAAAAGTCTGCACTTGCGATTTGATTCTTTCTCCACCCGTGACGATACCTGGCTGATGGCTTGGACGATGATTCTACGACTATGACTAATGAAGTTTGTTTGGCAACATGGAATGAACCAGGAACCGGTGTATATTTGTTTCTCTTTTGGTGCAATCTATGACTGTTGATATTTGACTTTTATCACTGTGTTCCACTGAAAACTTCACTTAAGTAATGCGATGGGTAGATGCGGTCGTGAAGATCGCCTACTGTTTTAGGCACCGAATCCGTGCGAAGTTTTTGCCCTCGTGTCTTGGCTGTGATATGGTTTCTTGGGTGCCAAGCTGGCTATCGCTCCAATTTACCAGGAAATCCGAGAGTTTGGTCAGGTTACACTGATAGAGGGGAAGGGGGCGAAATTGGGAGAGCATTAGTGGGTGAGATGAGTAATGGGCAGTGTGGGCGGGATATTTAGTGATGGGTGCCATGATAAGCGGCGGCGGCGGATGGTGATAAGCGGTGCTTGGCGGGATAAGCAGAGGCAATGCATTGGGTAATGCCAAGCCTGCCAAGCCTGTTCCCCGCGGGGTGTGATTAAAGTCTGAGCGAGAGCCGTGGTTGACGGGAGGAGAGAAGCCTTCCACATGAATCGATCAACAAATACCCTCATTCTTTTGCGAAGCTGGCACAGGCAGTAAGTCAATTCATCCCAATGCAGCCCGCATGCAAAATGCCAAGGGATCCGCCTCGGGTCCAGACCCCATCCACCGGTGAATGGTTGCAAGAATGCAAAGACAGGAAGTGCAGTGCCTCGTGGATGAGATGAGATCAGCCGCGGAAAGAACCGAACAGGGGCCGACGCCTATCATCGGCGGTCCAATACGGGCTACCAGTCAGATGTCATATCTTACCTACCTTCCTGGCAAGGTATCCCACCTTCCAATGTTACCTCCTCCAGCCTGAAGATCAGCCTAGTTCTTAACAGTCGCCGCTTTATTTTCTTTTTCTCATCCTTCCCCCCCACCACCCCTGCCTGCCTGCTCGACTTTCTTCATCTCTCTTATTCCTTTCCTCTTCTTTCTCAACCTTTCTCTCCTCCCTCCTGTTGAAGACTATCACGCAGACAAGTCTACCTACGCTTCAGTTGTCTACCCAGATGGGCTACAGAGAGGAGCCCCTCTTCAAAGAGGGCTATGCGACCGATGTACTGACGGCGGAGGAGAGCACAGTCCAAGCTCCTCCTGGTGACAATGAGCTCCATCGTGCGCTCAAGGCCCGCCACATCACCATGATCGGTGCGACCCCGTTCTGTCCGGCTGCACATGCCATTCCATTGTGAAACTAATCTGACATCACTAGCGATCGGCGGGGCCATTGGAACAGGTCTCATCATCGGAACCGGATCTGCTCTTGCCAAGTAAGTACTGTTTCGAGAGCTGTGTGCGGATAGAGTGACCTAACGTTTCCTTAGAGCTGGTGTAGGTGACTGCTTGCTCCGAGTGCAATAGACCAAGTTCTGACGCAAATCTAGCCGGCCTCTATCCTCATCTCTTACTCTATTGTCGGTCTCGTTGTCTACATGGTTATGTGCGGTCTGGGAGAGATGGCTGCCTGGCTACCGTTGTCTTCGGGCTTTACTGGTTATGCTGTTCGATTCTGTGACCCGGCATTGGGCTTTGCCATGGGCTATACGTACGTTGAGCTTGGATGCTACCTGTGTCCGTTTCACTAACTGCGAAAAGGTACTGGTTCAAATACATCATCGTCACTCCCAATCAACTTACCGCGGGCGCACTCGTCATATCCTACTGGATCGACAAAGAACGAGTCAATCCGGGCGTATGGATCACCATATTCCTCGTTTTGATCGTCTCTATCAACTACTTCGGAGTGCGCTTCTTTGGCGAGTTCGAGTTCTGGCTTTCGTCTTTTAAGGTCGTTGTGATTCTCGGATTGATACTGCTATCTTTCATCCTCATGCTCGGCGGCGGTCCGGACCACGACCGAAAAGGGTTCCGCTACTGGAAGAATCCCGGTGCGTTCAATACCTACATTGACGACGGGCCAGCCGGTCGGTTTTACGCTTTCTGGGCGACCATGGTCTCTGCCACGTTCGCGTACCTGGGCACTGAACTGGTGGGTGTGACGGTCGGCGAGGCGGAGAACCCGCGCAAGACGATCCCCAAGGCCATCAAACTGACCTTCTACCGCATCGTGGTGTTCTACATTCTCAGTGTGCTGCTCGTCGGCACTTTGGTCCCGTACGACTCGGACGAGCTCATCTTCGCCACGAAGCAATCCTCCTCGGCCGCCGCGTCGCCGTTTGTGGTTGCCATTGTGCTCGCCGGTATTCCTGTTCTCCCGCACATCCTCAACGCCTGTATCTTGCTGTTTGTATTCTCCGCTGCCAACTCGGATCTCTACATCGCTACCCGTACCATCTACGGGCTGGCCAAGGAGAACAAGGCTCCTAAGTTTCTGGCCAAGACCGATCGGCGCGGCGTGCCGATCTACGCATTGGGGGTGTGCGCGGCGATCGCTTGCATCGCGTACATGAACGTCTCCTCCGACTCCAAACTGGTGTTTGGCTACTTCGTCGACCTCGTGACGATTTTCGGGCTGCTGACCTGGGTCTCGCTGCTGATCACGCACATCTACTTTGTGCGGGCGCGCAAGGCCCAGAACGTGCCCGTCAGCGACCTGGCGTACCGCGCTCCGTTCGGGGTGTACGGGTCGTACGCCGCGTTGGCGTTCTGTATCCTGATCTGCCTGACGAAGAGCTTCGATGTGTTCACCCACAACAAAAAGTGGGGCAACTTCAACTACAAGACCTTCATCACGGCGTACCTGGGCATCCCGCTGTATCTGTGCCTGATCGGCGGGTACAAGCTAGTGACGCGATGCTCCGGGGTGGATCCGTACCAGGCGGATCTGTGGACCGGGAAGGATCAGGTGGATGCGGAGGAGCGGGAATATCTGAGGCGGAAGGCGATAATGGAGGAGCAGCACCAGGGGGCGAGCTGGTTCTATCGGACCTTTGTGGCGTGGTTGTTTTAGGTGGGGGCAGTGGTCGGTCATATGTGGAGGATAGGCAAACATGGGGTAATGAGCTATGACATCTGTTTCTCCTGAGGATTAGGAATCGTGATGCGTTGAGTTGATTAAAGCACAGTAATTGCTGGCATATGTAGTGGGAGTGAATCGTTATCCCCGTCTACCTCCGTGTGGTCAAGTCTCCTTGGCCGACAGATTGGCAATGCAAGACATAGTCCAGGCTGTTTGTGGGACCGACGGGAATAACTCCGACCCGGGGGCTGCAGACTCCGACGGGGAGGTGTGGTAGGCGTGCCAATCCCGCTGCCGTTTCAGACCCGGCCCCCCGTGGGCAGCAACATCCGACGGTGGTTTGCTCCTTCTAATCGCCGGCTAAACCCCGCTAGTCAATGATCTCCACTGCTCCTCCACTGCCGTGTCCACCACTCCACCACTCCACCACTGCGCCACTATTCACGAAGTATAACAGCTGTGTGACTGAGGTATATAAGCCTCTGCCTCTTCCAGAGAATCTGCAGTCACTTCAATCATCCATTCCACCTAGGAACACAACCACCAATCCTCAAACACCACACAACGCAACAACACCACAGAGTACACCAACCCCAAAATGTCTCCTCCCCACACAAAAACTCTCTTCATCCTCGGCGGCAGCGGCTACATCGGCACCCAGCTCCTACACCAAGCCACCCAACCGCCCCACAACTTCACGACCATCCGGGCCCTCTCGCGCACCCCGCAAACCGACGCGCACCTGACCTCCCACAACGCCATCCCAGTCCGCGGCGACCTCAGCTCCCACGCCACCATAACCACCGAATCCCGGTCCGCCGACGCCGTAATCTGCCTCGCGACCGCCTACACCTTCGGCCAGACCGCCCCCTACGACACGCACGGACTGCCCGAGGACATGGCCGCGCTCGACGCCATCGCCGCCGGGCTCGCGGGGTCCAACAAACCGCTCGCCCTAGCCTCAGGCACGCTACTCTACGCGCCGCACCCCGAAGGCCTCGAGACCGACGAGTCCTCGCCCGTGGATCCGAACCCGATCAACACGCGCTCGAAAACCGACGCGTATGTGCTATCCCTCGGCGCGAGGCACGGGTTTCGAGCATTGAGTGTCCGGCTGGCGCCGTTTGTGTACGGGCGGGGTGGGAGTGGGTTGGGGATGTTTATGCGGCAGGCGCAGACGACGGGGTCGCTGGTGACGGTTGGGGGCGGGCGGAAGTGTACGACGACTGTGCATGTCGACGACGCGGCGGGGTTGTTTCTGTTGGCGGTGGGCAGGGGTGGCGCCGGGGAGACGTTTAATGCGAGTGCGGAGACGAGGGTCACCTACGCTGAGATCTTTGGGGCGTTGGCAGAGGTGTTGGGGGTGGAGGTGGTGGATTTCTCAGAGGTGGAGGCGAGGGAGAGGTTGGGCGAGATGGTGGCTAGGTTTTTCTCGACGGAGAATCGCGCGTCCGGGGAGAAGGCGAAGAGGGTGTTGGGGTGGGTGCCTTCTGGTCCTGGGGTGTTGGAGGATATAAGGGAAGGTTCGTATAAGGTGTTGGCCGGGGAGTTGAAGGGGGGGAATTAGGAATTGGTATATCTATGGTATCTTGATTGATCTATATGACATTTGCAAATCTATTTCCCTGAGCAGCGAAACATCACACGGCTGCTCGCTCAGCAGCCTGCCTCGCCAGGAACATCAACCGCTTGACTAGACACATGGTGAAATAGAACGGCGGGAATCGTCCCCTCATGTCTGACGATTCGTTCCTGTCCAAATCGGCAAAAATGTCCACCACGGTTTGCAGCAGTTGTATATCGTTGGTGTAAGACGGCGCCGTGGGGTAGGTGATGAGGAATTTGAAGAGGGAGAAGACGCCGGTCAGGAGGAACTGAGCGTAGATCCTTATCACTCGACGTCAGTAAAAGTGCATACACAGGAGCGAGGTTGAAGCACGCAGCTCACCAGAAAGTGTGCCAATTGAGAAACTCCCGCGTCCGACAAATGTAGATGAGAATCGACCGGGATTCTTGGTGGAAGAGCTCGGCGCTGGACGGAAGGATGGACCAGCTGGAGTTGCTCCTGCTGCGGCCGACAGCGCCACTCGCCCCGTGGATCTTGCCCACAAGAAAATAGAACTCCAGGTGGAGGCATACGCCCCGCAGACTCAGGTCGTGGAAGGTATAGTTGGGTGCCGTCTCTGTGGCGAAGAGGTCCGGCCAGCAGCTGACCGGGAATGTGGCCTTGAGGTCGGTGAGCTCCTGGTCTAATTCGCGGATGTGTTGCAGCCGACGCGCCTCGGGCTGTTTTCGAGCGCTGTCAGAGTAGAGCAGATGGTAGACTTTGGACTTGAGGAGGGAGAGTCGGACGTCAGAGGGGAAGAGGAGTTCGTCATTTGAAAGTGGCCTCGAAAAGAATTGGTGGTCGGAGGACGATAAGACATAGTTGTCCGGGATTTGAAGCTCGCAATCAACGTCTATGAAATGCGGCGAGCAGTTGTAGCGAATGACCATGTTCTTATCTGCGCCGTAGCAGAACCAGAAGAGAGCTCGGAGGTGTCTCCCTTCTGGCTCGTGGATGGCGGAATATCGATGGCCGCCGAGGCTCAGCACCATTCGAGTAGCTAGAGATAGTAGCATTTGACCTTGTTCAACTTGAGCACCCGGCATCACGTAAGTCATCTGTGCAAGTCAGCTGCACTGCCGTCTGGTGACTCTGAGTGACATACAATCAAGACAATAGCTTCCAGGCCCCTGATTGTGGGCTTCTCCATCAGAGCCCTGGGCACAAGGCACAAGGCAGCCTGAATGTAAGCATCAGGCTCAGCATCGAGGAAAGCCGGATCGAGTCGATGCATCACGCTCATCATTGCTGTGAATGCAAAAAGACATGCCAGCTTAGCTGCGGGAATGGTGCCATCTTGGTGGTCCATTACACCCTCCTCAACCAATTCGGTCAACGCATTAGCATTCGCAACTGGGAAGATAGAATAGAGCCCGCTCCTGGAATAGTGATTTATTGAGTGCTGGACCAGAGGCGTGGGGGGCCATTTAGGTGACAGCGACCGCTTCGGACCTGTCCGTTCGGGGAGACCCTGAAACTTGAGTGACTGTGCCGCCTGGGTCAGGAAATGGTCGAGATCTATCGGAGAACCGGTTTTCTCATACACCGTAGAGAAAAACGACGATCGCTGAATGGAGCCTGCTTTTCCCACTCCGCAGTGAGCAATCTCCCCTTGAAACGTTGCCAGAGAAGTGTCTAGATTATAACTGTCTGGAAGGTGGTCCAGAGTCATCAAGTGAAGCCAAGGACTCGTCGAGGTGTCGGAGTTACTTCGCTCGCTGGGGTCTGCGCTAGGCGAAGAACGGGGAACGACCAATTGCGCTTCTAGCTCTTGTATTCGCGCTCTGGCATCCTGGAGCTGACTGCCGTATCGATTAGTGCTGGAGTATGAGTAAGCGATACTACTTACTCTCGAAGGCTTTTTCGGGGCAGCTCAGGTTGATCTGTGAAGGTGCACGGCACGCAGGCAAGACGACATGTTTCACAGACAGGCTGGACGTTATCGCAGCGAATCTAAAACACCCTTGGTTCAGCACCTTGGTTGCGCTAATGCCACATCCCCTTGATGCAGAGTAACCACAAAATGCAAGCAATTACTGACCTTTCTCTGCCTGCACAAATCACAAGCACTTCGGACACGGCCACCAGCACGTTGAGACGAAGATTGACCACTCATGCTAGCGGGATATCTCTACCTAGCAAATCAGGGATCCGATAGATCCACTGCAACGTTCTTGATCCTGGCGACACAGATTCCCTGAATGACTTCGGGCTGCTCAGTCATCGGCTTCTCAATTCCGACAGCAGTTGGGTGTTGCCTGGACCGCGGGGAGGGACGAAGGTATACTAAAACCGGTCGACTTGACTAAATTGGGATGCGGATCAGTCAGCGGCATTGCTCGCGCCGACATTTGCAAGGGTTTGAAGCTGGGATCGACGCGGGCCCAGTTCCAGAGGGAAGGCGGAAGTGTCGATCGTGGAGAAAAAGGGCCCGAGACGCGGAAGCTGCCAAGAGCCAAGTCCGACACCGGATCCACATCCCGTCCAGATGCTTCATCTTGAATCCGCGACTGCACATGCCTCCATCAATCATAGTCCTCCATTTCGTCAGCCAGGGCCTCTCTGACCTGCAATTGATCTCGTCCTTCTCCAGTCCGCTGTTCTGGTGCATCTTGATGAGGACCTACCCCGAACAACTAGCCAAGATTGCTCACGACGACGATGACGCGTTTACAGGGGCCTTGGAGCGGCTTTGAGTACCGCATCAACAAGATGAACAGTAGAGTGCATTGCGTGGACAATAAGACTAATGTGTGCAGGAGACCTGGGCCACGGAGTGTGAGGATATATAAAGGTCACGTTCATGGTCTTCGAGGGATTCAATTCCAGCAACCATTCCACACTCTGATCGTCCTTCGAACTCTTTCCTCCCAATCAAGTCAAAATGCAGCTTCTTCAGCTTAAGCAAGCCATCGCACTCTCGCTGGCCGGATTCGCCATGGCGCATCCTGGTGCCCATGAGCCTAGCTCTTTGACCGATGTTTCCAAGCGTGCGTTCCTGCACAATGCTCACCGGAGTCTAAGCCAATGCGCTGGACAGCTCGAGAAGAGAGGCGTCCATGAAAGAGCCGCTTCCCGCCGCGCAGCCTTGTTCGAAAAGTACAAGAAGCGCTCCCTAGGCCTCCGTGACACGGAGAAGGTGGTGAACACTTCGCATTACTCCTCCCTCCATGTGACGCCAAACACTTCTGAGTTGGAGCTGTTCTCGAAAGACCCAGTCTGCATCCTTGCTCCGGAGGGTGAAGTCGGTCCTTTCTGGGTGAAGGGGGAGCTTATCCGCCACGACATCTCCGATGGAGAAGCCGGAGTTCCTATCATCCTGGACGGCCAATTCATCGACATCAACACCTGCGAGCCCATCCAGGAGCTCTACTGGGACGTCTGGAACTGCAACTCCACCGGTGTCTACTCTGGAGTCCAGAGCAGCATGAACGGCAACGGCAACGACGCCTCGAACCTCGACAAGACTTTCCTCCGCGGTATTCAGAAAACTGACGCGGACGGTGTTGCCGGATTCAAGACTGTTTTTCCCGGCCACTATTCAGGCCGCGCGACTCACGTCCATGTCATCGCTCACGTCGGCGCTCAGCTCCTTCCCAACAACACGCTGACTGGGGGACACATTCCGCACATCGGGCAGTTGTTCTTTGACCAGGATCTGATCTCGCAAGTTGAGGCCACCTATCCCTACAACACCAGCACGGTGGCCATCACCGAGAATGCGGATGATCATGTGGTCATAGTTGAAACCGAGGATAGCGACTCCGACCCGTTCTTTGAGTATGCTTTGTTGGGCGATTCGATCGAGGATGGTATCTTGGCCTGGATTACCCTCGGGATTAATGTCACCGCAAGCCATGACTCCAGTGCTACTTGGGCTTCGACCTTGACCTCATCTGGTGGTGTCATCAACGAGGACTCTTCCAGTGGCGTGAACATGTAATTTTCGGGCAGACCTCGGAACAGCGCCTTGACGGTTGCAAGCCTCCTGGATTGAACTAAAGACACTGACGTTAGCCTTCAAGTGATATGGGGATGAGCTCTTATGCTTTGATCAATGTACTTCTTACCTACCTATTTAGTTAGCACAGAAGCCAAAATTGTTTCTTCGATGTTGATCATCCTACCGGAGCTTTCTGGAAGACTTCATTTAGTAATCCCACATGAAGCTTAGTGTGTAGGGTAATGTACACGGGCTGGGTTTTGAGCAGGCTATCGTTCTTAGCGGAGTGCGTCTATTCGCGTGCCAGGTGGGGCAGCATGCTAAGTATCCATTCTTGGAGAAAGATAAACCGAGTCTCAGCCTTCTTGAAGCGGGGCTTAGCTACGATAGGTATGTGCTGGCGATTCATCTCGACAGATTGGACTGCGGACGCGTCGGCTCGTTGCATTGCAGGTCATGACCGATTGGCCATTGGGAGGGCAGCCGTGGAAGCTCCTTGCTTGGCTGTAGAAGAGGTATCGCCGTCCCGGTATTGGGTTGAACAGCAGGCTACAAGATTAGGAAAGGCTGATATGAATTGAATATAGTCGCGTGCCAGTATTTGTGCGTGACAGAGAATGGATTTGTGTGAGGAACTGCCCATGCATAAAGCGATGGACCGGCACTAGCCCTATTCGGGAAAGGCGTTATATGGCTGACATCAGCCATGGTCTGGCCGCCGCTTCTTCAGACCTCGTCTGACAATTTCACGACCGGCGCCCTGCGGTCTCCGCTGATATTCTCGCTTTCAAGGACCGCCCCTGATTAATGACAATACGCTATGCCGATGCAGACCCGGGGTTCCACAGAGCCCAGTGACAGTACCGGAAGTGCAAAACGGAAGCCCGTCCGCCGCGACCCAGAGAAGAGGAGGCAACAGAACATTCAAGCCCAGAAAAAGTACAGTAAGTGCATGTCACTGCTGGCTTTGCTGTCTGGTGTCTCATTATACACAAGTGCTTGATCTTGTCAGTACTAATTCTCGGTTTTTCTTTTAGGAGAGAAGCTTCGCAAACGCCTAGAGAACCTCGAGGCACTTGCAGCATCGGCTGCGCAGAACCATGCGGTTGAAAGAACAGCAGCTGTGGAGAATGACCCCTCGGAAGCGGCCGTAGCGCAAGGGCCTTCGACTTTTCTGCCCCACATCGCTACAAATGGCATACCGGCCTCTGAAGTCTCGGGGATATCAGTCCCCTTTCCATCTGCGGGCATTCCTGGAGATCCATGCACATCACTGGACGAGTTTTCAGCAGCCCTTCCACTGTGGGAACCTTCAACATGTGCCACTAACCTCGATTGTACCTCATCATCCCTCGCGATGTTCGACTCCACAGTTTATGCACCCCCGCCGGATGATCTGTCGGTACCTAGTATTTGGGATGCTTCTGTAGAGGCTTCGCTTTCCGACAATATCTCTTCTGTTTCAAGCTTAAGAGATTTCACCACCAGTGACCCGCAGTCAGATCAGCCGTTATCAGCATCGAGCATAGTGCGCTCTCAATCTCAATCCAAGCCGTCCTTTCTCATTCCAGACGACCATGGCGACAACAATGGTGGCTCACACGTCATTGCCATCAAATGCGGCTGCCTCAAGCCTCACATCCGCGTCCAGACCCACAGTCCTTACCCGTTCCGCTCAGGTGAAATTCGCATCATCATGCGCGAACCCGGTGCGCCAGCTGCGGATCCATATGCTAACCACATCCGCGTTGACCCGGTCTGCACCATGGCAGCACTGTATACCCTCGGAACACACATCGGGGTCAACGAATCGATGCTCTGTGCCGACGAGTCTTTTTCGCCGTTCTACCGGCCCAGCGCGGCCTGCGCGGATGAGCTGGTTAAGGCAAACATGGTCGGCACTGTACAAAGAATATTCAAGACCCTGAAACCGGACCTGCGGCCAAACCGTGAACAGATCATGATTGAGCACCACCCTTACATTGACATTTTGCCTTTCCCAACACTGCGAAGAAATCTACTGACCCATCAGATTGAGCTGGATGAAGATGAGTTCATGGATGATGTAATTTCCGGCCTGGTCTGCTGGGGAGGGGCTGGTATGGGGAAACGGGACAGACAAGACTCGGTTGGACGTCATCCAACAGGCACACCGTGGGATGTCCGCAGTTGGGAGGCCAAAGTCTGGTTTTTGAAGAAGTATTGGGCACTGCTGGGCGGCGAAGATGGAGAACTTGTGCGGCAAAGTGAGTGGTGGCGAGGACTCAGGGGGGAGGACGAGGAGGTGTTTGATCAGACTGATCCGACGCCAGCAGACTCTCCGCTATTCTACTCAACCCTAGGAATCTGATCATAGAATTTGGAAGGCAGCTTGGACTGAGGAATAAACATCGTGAGTTGACACTGTAAAGGGCCAACAGGGGACGATAGCTTGATATCATTTGGATATTGTTGCCTGTAGCGAACTCGTGCAACGTCGAAGTGATCATCCTCAGCTTGTGGGCACAAGCATCAAAGATCGCTTCCTTGATAGGTTCGCGGTCAACTGTACTTTCTACCCGGTCGCGCAAGGTCAGATTCGGAAACAACAAGATATACGGGATCAGGGATGCTTCTCAACTTATATATGCTCCGATGCGTCACCACTATCCTGGCACTCCATGAAGACGCTACACAGACCGATGCAGATTTGCGCCCGGGTACCTGCGGCTGCCCTGCCAATTTTAGACACTAGGTGAGGACTCACTCAGGTCGTTTAGTATAAGATAGTTTTAAACAGCTGGCATGACCTGGTACGTATCGACAGCGAGCCTCTCTTGCCTGATAGACCTCTACGTCCTTCTCCTCCCAGTCCCGCTTATCATCCGCCTCAAACTAAGTCTCCGTCGCCGCCTCCTCGTCCTCATTACCTTCTTCATGGCCTTTTCGGTTGTTGTGATGTCTATTATACGTCTCATCGTGATAGCCCAGGGCGATCCTTGTGGATCCGCCAAGCTGTTCTGTGCAACGATGGAGTACGCTCAATGGGCCGTCCTCGAAAGTTCTATATCCGTGATCTCAATCAATGTACCGAGCGGCATTGCTGTCGCGAAGGCTATACTCAAGAAGCCAGGACGCATGCGCGACAGTCCTAGGATCCCCATCGACCCACCCCGGCAGGTACAAAAGCCGGTCTGCAATGGAACGTTGTGTGTCGGCCTTGGCCATGAGGAAGACATGAGCAAGGCAGGTACAGAGGTAGAGGACTTCCAAGGTGTGGAAATCAACACAACAATCTGTCTCTGGGAGATCAGGCTGCCAAAACCAAATGTTCCAACTTGAAATGATGAACACTCATCCATCAGAGCAGAGCTGTTGTCAAAAGCTTCATTTGGTCAACATCAATATGCCATTGCCTCCTAGATAAAACACAAGGGATTCCAAAAGAAGTAACCAAAAAAAAAAAAAAGCTCGCCCGCCATTGTGGGCTACGAACCCCCGCATCCACCGGCAGAAACTCGCTCTATACCGCCTTCGTGATATCAGAATTCGGGAGGGTAATTCGACTTGCCCAATGCACTTAGCAGTTGTTGAAAACGACATTCTCGATGCTATCATAGCAAGGTTTATGCCGCTTGCAAGTGAGGCAGCCCGTTTCTTTTTATCGTTGGCAATAATCTCTTGAATTGTCTACACTGAATGGCCACCAAAGCGACAAAATATATCTGTTCAGTGGGTTGGGTATCCGATCTTACCTGCGCAGCGTGTTGTTGATTGCCCGCTTCGACACACGAGAGTCGAAATGCGCACCCCGACCGTGATCTTCCAACTGGCTCTCACGCGCATACTAGGTGCCGGTCGGGGGAACAGGATTGATACCACGCGCTTCGCTCGTGCAGTGAAGACATGATGGAGCCAAGCATGCAGCGCCAAGAAGGCTTATCGTTCAAGATCAACTCAAACTCCACTGCTTCGCTGACCGCACAGTATGCTGATGACTGGATTATCGTTCCATCGGTTAGCCGCTTCGAGTCTCCGCTGCTCCAGGGCAATTTGACTTTGGGGAAAGGTTTCAGTGGTTGGTTCACATCCGCATCCTTTCAATCACTGTATCAATACAAGGGAGCTTTTTTCGTCTGGGATTGAGCTAGTTCGCTAAAAGCTGCGAGCGGTCGGTAGGGACCAATATCTTTACCAGCGAAATAATACTCGAGAGTCTATCCGGCTTGGTGCTCAGCAACCGATCATTACAACTCGGTTCACACTATCACGACTCAACCTCTCGGAATTCCTACAATCAGTGTTCTGCGCTTGAGTATACAAGCGAACAGCTTGTCATCTGTGTCTCTCTCTCCATCTAGGTTCTCTCGTCTTAGACGACGCCGTCAGAAGTAGATCTATTGGTTCGATTTGACAGAGTCCGACAAACCGCCGGGTAGCATGAAAGACCCACTCGAAGCTATACAAAGCATGTACTATAGGGGGGTCAGCTTACTACATCTTACGGTTTACCTGAACGTGTCAGCACCGCCTCGACTATATAAGCCGCCTGTAGCCGTCTCACCTGGTCTTCTCCAATTCCCACTTTCTTTGCCTTTTTCTCTGACCCAACTTCCTCAATCATGTCCGCTCAGGTCTTATCCCAGCTTCCAGCTCTTCAGGCAACAGTTGGCCCCAACTGCAAAATTCTGCAAGACCCTGGGAGCCCGGAATTCAGTCAACGCCTGAGGCGTTGGACTAATATCGACCACCAAACCCCGGCTGCGATCATCCTGCCGAGCAACGAAGAAGACTGTCTCAAAATTGTGAGCCCCTGGTAGCAAGAAGCCCGAGTATCGGGGCATATGTGCTGATGTTGGTGCAGGTTCAATGGGCACTTCGGTCCTCTATCCCGTTTGTCCCTACTTGCGGAGGCCACAGTGCTTGGTCCACGATCGGCGAGGGCGGCGTCATCATCGATCTGAGTAACTACACTCATATTTCGGTAGATGAAGCAGCAAGAACGGCCACCCTAGTCGGTGGGGTCTTGTCCAAACAGGTAGGCCTGCGCCTCGCGGAAGCAGGGCTATTTACAGGTAGTTCACTCGCCCCCAACGCTGTTTCTTTCTCTCATTGCTAATACTCATCCTCTAGCTCTCGGAAATGGCAACACTGTTGGTGCAATCCCGTACTTTCTCGGCGGAGGCGCGTCCATCACCTCCTCCATCACCGGGTTTGGGTCTGACCAAATTATCTCCGCGCGGGTCATCACCGCCACGAACGGCGGAACACTTGTGGAAGTGACGGAATCTGAGAATCCAGATCTTTTGTGGGCGATACGCGGTGCTGGCCAGTTCTTCGGGCTTGTCACCCAGCTGACCGTTCGTGCTCATTCGCTCTCTTTGCTGCGAAAGCAGGCGGGCCTTATCTGGGTTGGGGCGTTCGTCTTCCCGCTGCATCGTGCGGCGGAGGTCGCTCGCGTGATGAAGCCGCTCATGGCAGACGGGCAGCATGCGACGGCTGGCTTGATGATGACCATGGCCCCTCCGCCGGCTCGCGTCCCCTCGCTGGTTATCTCGGCGCGGTACACGGGCGACGAGGATCCACATGTACCCTTTGGGCCACTATACGAGCTGAAGCCGTTGATGGTGACTGGAGGGGAGGTACCAGTGCAGAATGCAAGTGATGCGCGGGAGGTCCTGTGCGCTAAGGGTGACTTTAAGCAGTTCGGTGTGGTAGGGCTGCATGAGTACAATGAGGATGCGTTTGTGCAGACGGTCGATCTGTGGGAGAAAATGGTCAAGGAATGTCCTGATGCAATCAATACTGCGTTCAATTTCCAGTGGGATGCAAGGCCTGTCAGGGCGCCTGACGTGGACTCGGCTCAATCGCTGCATGACATTCGCTACTGGCAGTATGTGTCTCCTTCTGCTGATTGATGACTAAGAATGCTAACTCTGCCGGGTTGATACTAGGAACAACTTGATCTGGCATACAGACGTAGCCAGCCGGGGCAAGGTGGACAGCTATAATGAACAGTGCATTGCCATCATGCGTGGGCCGGACGAGTCGCGTTTTGTGGACTTCCAAAACGGAACCCGCACTGGGCCTATCCATAGACGATACCGCGGGGAAGCGCGACTTGAGAAGCTGCGTCGGTTGAAACGAGAGTGGGATCCTGAAGGGGTGTTCACTCGGCAGTTGCTCGATTGAGCATTCATATAAGGCTCTTGTTGTGATAAGCGCCTGGGGACCGTGAAGATGACGGATCGTGCACTATCTAGAAGGAACCTAGTCAGAAGTATACTATAGCATAGACAAATTGCATTCATGATTTCTGAATTGACATTGGACGAATAGTGGCTTAACCTGGGAAATGCGAAGTTGAGGTTTTTGACATGAATAGGTACTGTTGGAGCAGGCCCTTGGGCAAAACGCCACGTGACTATCATCGCGCCTTTACCTCCACCATCTTGAATGCCTTTCCTCCATCAATTAATCAAACATATCCCCCCACTGCTTCCAGGCATCATGGTTAGAGGCTGACGATTACTTCGTATGAGCTAAGATGCTCTTTCCACGGACTCCGTGTTCATACTCGATGCTTTACGCCTTCCGTGTCAGAAGAGGACTGATCTACAGACTGCCTCGTCCACGAAACACTCCACGTACGTCATAGTCGGCATCAGGCACAACCATGACAGGCATCGGCTATTGAGTCCTTCAAGTGCAAAATAATAATCATACGCCGACAATGCGGGGAATCAAGCATTGGAATCCATAATGTGTTGCGGCTTGTGCTTGCAGCTGGAAAAGGGGTGTTATTGGAGGAAAAACTGCCGGCTGAGAGAACGACTGGGGTTCGCACTTGGGACGAGATCAACCGAGTGAGTGCAGGCTCACCACACGCAGATACACAAATACGCAGATGCATGCGATGCTTCGTCGGGACAAAAATGCTGTCTTCTGCAGTGTGTTCCTTACCGCCAATCTACAATCTTCACTATGAACGCCTCTGTATATCTGTTCCTCGCACTGTGTAACCTTCTCCAACTAGGAAGCTGGGCAATCGCTGCTACGGTGTACAATGTGACCAGTACAGTTTCGCTGGCCCCTGCCTCATCACCTCGCCCTGAGAAACCTGTGCATGATGCTGACTACCACTCCTTCTCCATCGAATTCTGCTATATTGTGGACTACGCTGGGAATGATACGTAAGCTTCTTTTCTCCCCTGAAACTCCGAGAAGTGGAGCGGAAAAGTATGGGACTAATTGTAGCTGGATCGTTTCCACAGACATCCCAACCTCTTCTCGCGCCAGGTCATCCAGAACCTCAAGGATATCGCTGGCAAGGCCCCCATCTTCCGGGTGGGCGGGAGTACGCAGAACTCGGCGGTCTACTATCCTGACCAGACAGAGGCGTTGATTGATCCATTTGATTCAATTGCCTCCAGCCAACCGCGTCACTCGTACTTTGGCCCGGCGTTTCTGCAGTCCTTCCGGCAATTCCCTGCTGGTTCTCAATATATCTTTGGTAGAAAAAAAAAGCCCCCAAAATGCGGATGAAAGGCGCAGAAGGCTGATGTGGATGACTTTAAGGTCTGAACTTTTTTAATTCTGAGAACGAAACTCTGTTCGATGTGGGGAATGGATTGGCGCAGTGTGTTCTCGAGGCTCATGCTGCCTATCATGCCATCGGGGATGCGCTCTACGGGTTTGAGATTGGAAATGAGGTCGATTGTGCGTTTGAACTCCTTTCCCTATCCCCAACTCATCATAACCGTATTCTTTCTGCGGTCCTCAGATCACACGATTCACTTCATTGGTTGATTGACGTGGGCATGCAGCGTGGGCCGGAGGCCAACGACGACCGGCGAACTGGACGATCCAAGAATACGTCGATCAGTGGAACGAGTATGCGTCGGTCGTCAGCAAAAACCTCACTCAACATGATGCGGATCAGCTGTTTCAGGGATGTGCTTTTGAAGCTCCGCGCCACGTCACGACAGCGACGGACTGGAACGTGGCGAATGCCGAAGCGGACGGAATGCGCGTGAACAAGGCGAAGAGCGTGGCTGACCATGAGGTAGGTTGCTCCTGATTTGTCCTTTGTTTTTCTTGTTACTTCGAGGCTGTGCTTGGGTTGAAGATGATAACTGACCATCAGGGCTTTAGTACATGGGTGCCGCCTGTGACTACACCGGGGTGGGTCCCACGCTCGCGACGACGATCTTTGACCGTACAAATGTGCTGTCGCGGGTGTGGTATCATGACTACCTGGGCAACGCTACCGCGGCCTCGGGCATCCCTTACGTCTTGGGCGAGACCAACTCGATCTCGTGTCAGGGCGCGCGAGGCATCTCGGACGTCATGGCGGCGGCAATCTGGGCGGTCGATTACGTGCTGTACCTGTCGTCGCTACGGGTGGAACGCGTGCATTTCCACATGGGGACGCGGTACCCCTACTCCAGCTGGCTTCCTGTGACCTTCAACGAAACGGCGCCCACCGTGTTCCCCATTTACTATGCCGCCCTGTTCAATGCTCACGTCTTCTCAGGCGGCAACAAGCAAACTGAGGTGCTTGTCAACACTACAGACTTTGGTGCGTACGCCGTCTACAGCCTGGGCAAGCTGGAGTCACTCGTCGCCGTCAGCCTGTCAGTGTGGAATTCCACCTTCACTGCAACCAAGCGGCCTTACACGGCTCTCGAGCTGCCGGAGACCGGCTGGGAAAATGCCAAGGTGATGAGATTGACCAACCCGGGAGTAGACGTGGCCGCGAACATCACGCTGGCGGGCCAGTCTGTGAATGCACAGGGCGATATCGTTGGCACCGCGGTGTATCATGCACCCATATCGCCTTGGACGACGTCGCCCTCTGGACTGATAGCGGCGTTGATGTTACCTGGTCCTGCGAGAATGCTTATGGCAGTCAACCTTGTCCAGATATTAATAGTAATGCCATCAAGTGATAACATCAGCGTTAGTGGTGTAGCGGTTAGCATTGTTGCCTTCCAAGCAATAGATCGGGGTTCGACTCCCCGCTGACGCAATTTCTTTTTCGTTTTTTATTTTTTCGGTGGCACACGATCCAAACATGAGATCACAAAGGGTTGTTATTGTCCCTTATCTTAGACACAACGGTGGTGGAGCTATACGTCGCCATCGGCTTGAGCAGAGCTTCGGAATCTTCGTTTACGAGACAGCTACATTCGAGAATAAGGGACCGATCCAGTCCATTCCAATCCAGACCGCTGCCAGTAATAGCCGACTAGCGCGTTTGCGTGCCCTCGGCGTGGACGTCCTCAATGCGGTTACGAGCGACAAGTACGGCCCCAGCATATTCACCTGGGCCCCCGTCATTGAGCCAGAAACCAGGTTCCTGACGCAAACGCTGAGCGAGGCCGTCCAGAGCCAGCGCTTCAATGGCGAAGCCTTTATCTCCACCAGTTGTAAGGAGGATACGTGCTTCCTACCCTCCGCCCTCAACCGCTCCACATCGTCGGGCGACCCGCCGCTCAATGACACGATCGGGAGTTCTTCTCTAGCCTCAGTACTAGCCGGCGCTGCCGGAGCTGGGCACAAGGTATGAGGAGTTTGTTGTCACCCTCGAGGGTTTTGAGTAGGTCGCCCTCGATCACTCTCCGGGGTGCTGTGACTTGTGGCTGGATGTTGCGCCGTCTATTCCTGTCTAGTTCTACACCCTGCTAAGCGAGAATAAACATCATGAGCTTTTACCAGAACGCTGAGTGGAGGAACATCATATTATCCCGACCATGTGCACGATGAAAAGTCACTGCGAGTAGCCTAGATAGGGGCTACTTCATATTTACTGCAGTGCAATACTTCCGGGTTACCCTGCAGGCACTGGTTCTGATCAAAACAAACGGCGGATGGCCCGAAACAGTCTCACCACGACAATCTATTGCTTCCAGATTATATTACTGCAGTTAGCTAGGGTCAAGGACGAAGTTGGTGTGACTTCAGACCTAGCAAATCCAATTCTACTCGAGATGCTCATGGCCCCTGCACATGCTATCACGTGCTCCTCATCGCGCCTTCAACTTTCACCTTCCCAATCGCGTCTCGATCCCTTCACCAGACACTCATCGCTTCATCCATCATTGTTGCTTTCACATACGCTCAAGAGCCCTCTCATTTCTTTGGTTGAGAGCAGATCGACTCCTCCTTCCCTGCTGCATGGGCTTGTACTGCATTGAGCAATATCATGCATAATACCTGTTGGAAAGAGATAAGTCATAATAATGGCATGTTTCTCGCTTGCTAAATTCTCATTATGTAGCGAAAGGCCAGGGTCTCAAATCACTATTGCCCACCGCGTATTCTATTGGTCTCGAACAACACAATCTTCGTTCTAGAACGCAAATTCCAACTGTACGCTCGGAACAGCTGTAGAATTCGCCGGCAAGGAGAATGTCACATTCCAGAACTCAAAATCGCTGGTGAACGGTTAATAAGTTCCGATTGACCATGGGATACAAAAGGAGAAGGCGATGTGGCGGAAGAGACTCACTGAATAACTTCACACGTGCCGCCCAAGAGCCCGCAAAACGAGATCTCGGGAACGGGATCAATAGTACCGCCTACCACCTTGATCCTGAGCCCGTCTACATCCTCGAACCCAGCGATATCACGCTTCGCGCCGAGAGGGTTCGAAGCCAGCACGAACGTAAAGGTGCTCGACGCGTTGCCCAGCGGGTAGGTCAGATTCAACGCGTAGGGGGCGACGTCGGCCACCAGGGCAGTCTCTTCAGGATAGAGGTTGAAGTACCCGATCGAGGCGTCAGGGCGGAGCCACTGCACGACTGCGGGGCTGAACGAGGTTGAATCCTCCGAGAATCCACCTACAACAGACTGATCGAAGGAGGCGGTTCCGATGGTCAGGTTGCGTGACAGCCAGGTGGTGATGTTGCGCGGTTCGAGATCCGCCGGCGGCGCAAAGGCGTGCCCGGTGTAGGTACGCTGCTCGTCTTCCGCGAACTCCTGTAGACGCGCGCGGGCAGCGGCCGGAACGAGAGTCTGATGGAACTCCGACAGAATGGCGACGAGCGGCGCGATCTCGAAGTCGTCGGCGTGGGCCATCGTCCAGATCGGCGAGGTCGCATTGGGAAAGACGTGCTCCTTGTCGACCAGCGACCACACCCACAGCGACATGATGGCCACGTACTTGTTCATGTCGTAACCGTACGATCGATCCCACGGCCCAGCGAAATTGCGCAGGTTGGCGTTCCACAGCTGCGACTCGTAGCCCCAGATGGTCTCGATCACGCGGGGCGCCTGCTGGCCGATGGCGGCGTTCGTCGCGCCGAGGTACTTGGCCGCGATGGTGAGGGCATACAGCGAGACGCCGGCATAGGTCGGCCCATTAAACTCAGAGAGCGTGCCGTTGCGGTCGAACAAGTCCAAAAACGCACGGGCGTCGCTGTCGCCTGCGGCCGTCATATTGGCATTGCCGAACTTGCGTCCCGTCCAGGACCCCACCACCGTGCGCATCAGCCAGGCGTTCGAGTACGCGGGGTACAGATTGTCGCCATCCACGCCACCGACGCGGTAGGTATCCCCGATGGTGTTGTTGTACAGGCTGTCGAGGATCAGCTCCTGCAAAGTGCCGGGCAGTCGGTCGCCGAATTCCTCGTAAATGACAATCAATGCCGTTCCGATGAACCCACGCCAGTTGGGGTCCCACGAGTTATAAATCTTGCCACAATCAACACTATTCTCTGATATCCCGTCAACTGGTTGTCGATAGAGTATGTACTTACAACAGGAGGATAAGCCGGTGTCCCCACCGTCGGTTGCTCCGGGTACTTGGTGTAATCGCCGTACCACTGCACCGACACATTCTTCTCTTGACCTCCGATGACATTCTGCAAAATTCTCACCGCCTCATTGCGGTCCTCTCCACGATCCCGATGCAGCAATCCGGCCGCGTACCATACGCTGGACCGGGTCTCATGCGGCCCAGCCGCGAGCGGGAAGTAGAAGTATCGGAGATACGCGGCGGCCGGATCGTATATGGCGTCTTGGATGACCATCGACTCATCGAAGAGGCTCTGTGCAGCGGTGCTGAGGCTCACAGCCTGCACGGCGGTTGCGCCCAGCAAGCCCAGCCCGAGGAGTTGGGGCCAATTGGTTTTCCAGCGCATGGTCGACAATCCTTTGGTGGGTGGTACTCTACTCTGATTGGGATTCGGGAAATGATTCCTGGGTGGAAGTGCACCCCTGTCAATGACGGCATCTTATAACCTTTTCACTCGCCGGAGAAATTTCACCGGATTGCACCGCAATGGCCGGAAATTCTGCATGAGTACGATGATCTTGATTGTCCTTGGACCAATGATGCCTTTCGGTGGATCAGTATGCGGGGCGAAGGACCAACCCTCAGCGGGGCGCGATAAGATAAGATACCCAGCCGAGGTTGTGGTCTGTTTGTACCCCCGCATCGGTTGCTCCCGGTGGTACCAACCAGCCACCACCTTGTGTTCCCAGCCATCCCAAATGAACATGGTGTTCTTACAGGGTAGAGTGGTTTGATCGCGGTGATGATGTCCCTGTATGTGCGCTTCTTTTGATTCCTTTGCTCGGATAATGGAGATCTGTCCTCCAGCGAGGTTGTTGATGGTTTGTTGCCGCGTGACGTGAGTTTGCATTCAAGAGATGTGGCGTTGCATGATCTTATCCGGATAATTGTTTTTGTCGGTCAGTAGCACACTCTAAGACTCGTCCCACATCAGAGACCATAACAGACGGAAGATGAAAAGTCAGTGTTGAAACTTCTCGTTCGAAGGTGACGGCGGCCGGAGGCCTTGCCTTCGGCTGCCAGCTCACCGCCCACCTCGGCGGCCTTGGATACTGGCAGTTCTTACAGTTGGCCTGATGTAGTTAGAATCCAAGCATCTTCCACACCTCGCAGAAGCATCATCTGAAGGATCAATAAATGTTCCCCATTGATCTGTTCGACTACTGACGACGAGGATTCATCACTCGCGACTGCGGCAGATCCCTCGACCCGGGAGCCAGGGACACGAGTGTGGTACAGTTACACCGTCCCGCGCATGATCTGTGCTTCCTACCAGCTGTTGTAGCCCAGTACCTCGTCTGTTGCAAGATACCTTGTACAGATGACTTCCATCGCGGAAGCAGTTGATTAATGCTATAGCACGACACAACCCGGAACAGCCGATTCCCCTGCCCCCCAAGCCCCCCTACTGCCTTAACCTCCACTTCACATACGACTTGGAAGGGTAGCGCCGCTCACTCACCCGCGCCAGATCCCCCACACACCCGGGGATATCCTCATCGAACTCGTAGAAATTATAGACCACGGCATCATCGTCTGGAATCAACCTGTCCCGCAGATCGAAGAACAACTGATAGAGGGCAGACACCTTGCCCCGGGTTCCCCGCAGCGCCCGCACAACATCCAGAATGAACGACCCAAACGGCGCATACGACAGAATATGCCCGTAGACATCACCGTCGCCGGTGCGACCAGGCTCCCGCGCTCTGCCATGAATACTCTCCGTCACGTCTTCAATCACCCGATCGATATCCGATATCACTCCATAGTTGGGCGCAGTGCTGTGCGCGCGGATAGCCAGCAACACCCACCGCAGCGCCAGATCGCCCAACACATGGTTGGGCTCGATGACTTTGCTCGCAAACCCAAACCACCGACTGGCTAGCAGGGACTCGAGCCATCCACCGCCAAATTCGCGCAGAAACCGGAAGCGCTGCCGGCCGAGATCGTAGTGACACCCCGGCAGCCACTCCTGCCGCGTCACCCCAAACCGCTCCCAGTCCCGCTCACAATGCCTCGTGAAATCGCGACTCACCAGACACGGCTGGAAGACAAACAACCGATCATGCAGTGACACCGCATGGTGCACATTCGCCACGACCGTCGAGACATGCTGATCGTAGAACACGGGCCAGTCCAGCCCCACCCCGCCGGTGTACTCGGGAATGCCCAAGCTGCCGACCGTGTCGAGCAGGCCCATGAAGCGGATGGGCGGGTGGAAGCGCGGCGCGGTGAGGTGGTCTCTGTCCTCATCGCCGATCAGCGGCCAGGATTTCGTCTGCCGGAAGCGCAGGGACTGCGGGGCGTGCGGGGCGTTGCTTGCGTACGGCGAGCGGTAGAGGTTGTAGACTGTCTCGCAGAGGAGGCGGGTTTGGGCCATGTCGATCTCGTTGGTGCCGGGAACCCGGAGCGGGCGCACGATGCCGCAGTTGTTGATCATCCCGGCCACTGCGCGCGCGAGGTAGGCGCCTCGTGAGAGGCCGAAGAGCCAGATCTCGTGCGTCGGGTAGGTGTAGTTGTGTACGAGGTATTCGTAGATCGTGATACATTGCTGCGCGATGTCTTGGCCGGTTATGCCGTTGAAGAGGTAGCTGGGTGGGGTGTGTCAGTGGTGGTTGGGCTGGGGGATTGAGGTTTGGAATGTGGGATGGATGGGATGTGGTTGTGATTCAGAGCGGCTGGCGTCCGATCAAGGGGCCATACTCGAGGAACGAACTACCCAGTCCTACACCTTCAAGATAGAAAACCCCGTCCGGAGACTGGATCCGGGCGCCGATTTGTACGCCAAACAGCTCGGCGAGCTTGTAGATGTTGCTTCGGGTGTTGGTCTCGCGACCGCACCAGGTGCCGTCGCAGAGGATGATGAGGGGTTTGGTCGGGTTGTCCGTTGGGGCTGGACGGGTTAGCGTGAGCGATGGTGTCGGTACACTGGACATGATTGCTCTTGAACAGGCAGTGGGAGATATGGTTGGATCCATGTATGCATTGAGTGAGAGGTGGCAGAGAGAAAGAGAAAGGGAGAGAGAGAGATCAGCGCGGAGGAGGGGGTGAAAGAGGCAGCTACTGCAGCCTTGACAGGCCAGCGGCACGGGACGGACTATCCATGGGTCTCCGCCTGTGCACACGAGCTTCTCTCCGCTTGGCCATGCCCTGCCATTGATCGACGCCACGCTAAACACGAGTACGATCGGCAGAGTGTCAGATGGGGAGTGGGTTTGGCTGGGTAACTTTTTTATGATCTAGCGTCTGGGGAGGGGAGGGTGTATTTGTCTTTGGGGGGTCCGACTGTAGAGAGTAGGTTGTTTGCGGCTTGCCACTGGATGGCGGTAAGTCCACCTGGGTACCTTGTGCTAAATCGAACCTCGTGGTACTTCTAGTTCTGCCATTAGTAGGTTTCGTACTTCTTATTTTTCACTTTGATCTCGCTCACTGGACCCTGCAATCAGTACAATCGTTGTTAGGGTGAGAAGTATTGGACGCGGAACGTACTCCTCCAACCCCTCAAGCACCGAACATCGGATCACCCACATATAGATAGATGATACCGATCTCACTGAGTCCGTATGATTTTCTTTCACAGATATGTGAGAGACGTCCCACAGCGTTTTGTCGATTCAGTCCTGTTGGGAATCCAGCCCTGTCAAGGTTATATGAGCAAGGGCCCTCATGCCTGAGGCATCAATAAGGCTGACGGGTCTCGGCGTGGACGGCTTGAAACAAGGCAGTGGCTATCAGAACTTGACCTATATGTACTCCCTCCCAGTATTTCCAGACGAAGCAACATATGGACATTGTGACTGAGCGTGTACCGTTCGATCTTGGAAGTTCATGTATGTACCAATATCAATCTACACCACATCATGATAAAGATGAACTGAGAGATGCCGATTGCCAACTGGTGCAGTCCGGCGGTCTCGGTTCCGGGTACTGGACAATTCCGTCTGTAATTCCGACGATCGCTCGGTCAACGATGCCGATTCAACCGAATACTCGAATTACAACCTACCACCTCATCTCCTCCCATCGGACCACTATTCTATGCCAGCAATCTCGATCCATTCCAATAAATCTCAATCCGCCATCATCAAGTTAAACCGGAGGCACCTTTCAGGTGGCTCCTTCCACCCTTGTACATAGCCACCAGATGCCGCGAAAACAAAGTGGGACTTCTTTCTCTACACCAACAAACATTCGAAAAGCTCGGGCTGATCCGATACAGCAGCTGCAAAGAAGCGCCATGCAGTCGAAGACCGCAGCAGTGGCTCTGAGTTGAATTCGACCAGCTCGAAACGACCGAAACGGGGCAAATATGTCTCCCAGGCGTGGTGCGTTGCTCGTTTCGTCTCCCCATCCCGATCCCAGCATGCGCCGTAGGCACTAAGACCCCAGCAGTGGCCAGTGCCAACAAAGGAAGATCAAAGTAAGACACAAATTCAATTCCAGGGATCATTGAAAATTTTGTTACGAGTCGGATGCAATAACAAAGATAATGATTTAGTGTGACGGGCTGCTCCTCTGCACACCTTGTGCCGTGTACGGGCGCACCTGCGGCAAGCGAAGCACCGATATGCGGCGTCGATCGGCCAGGAACCCGACGGAAGTTACTCAAGATCGTGGTTCGACCAGGAGCCGCGACAGTCTTGAAACAGCGGAGACAGTTCGTTCTCACAGTATTATGCCCCTGAACAACCCATTTAGGAATCGTGATCACGGGGGTAGCCCAACCACCACAGAGCTGGCAGTCCGCTTGGAGCATCTGGAGCAACTGATTCATCCCAACCTCGGTGTTCTGGCATCCCATTCGAGCGAAAATGTACATGGCGAGCGAGATCCTGACGCTGTGGCTGCGCCACACCAGGATTTGCGCTCGGGAGGGACTCGTTCAGGTACTATCCCAAGGCAGAAATATTTGGCACGTGTTCAGCCACCCAGCTTCTCCGGGGAGATATCCATTCAATATACCCTTAATCAGGTGGAGGGTGACTTGGTGAAATCGGACCGCACATTCGAGACTGCGATTGCTCACAGTCCAACTCGACGGTCGACACCGGCCTTAACCCCTGTCCCGTCTTCCCCAGATGGCGAAGCCACATCTCGCGTGGCCTCCGATCTCGATAAGCTTCTACACAAGCATGGCATTGCGGCAGATAGAGTTCGCTGGGATGAATTCCTGCATACCTTTTGCAACGAGATTCACACCATGTATCCACTCCTTCATCTCCCGACCCTGTGGCACCGATACACACAAACATGGACCACATGGTCTTTGGGTGATACGGAGCCAAGTATGCCGACCGAACGGCACAAACAATTTGTGGTCGCTCAACTACTGCTTTGTCTCGCCACGGGACGTTGTACTGCGTCGCCTCGCGTTGCTGGTGCAGAGGATCGACACTCTGCGGGGTGGAGTCTGTATCGAGCTGCTGCAGAGCTCGTCGGCGATATATTCGATTGCTTCGAAGAATGCTCCGATCAGATCTTGGTCTTGCAGACGCTAGCTTTGATGGTATGATATATTGTTTCGCCAACTTCCTGTTACTCCTCTGGTTAGGGGGAATGCTGTGAGCTGACCATGTGACACCCAGGTCATTTATCTGTTTCGCTTGGACATGATTAACAAAGCAGAAAAGCTTCTCGCGATTGCCATTTCGCACGCTCATTATCTGGGGCTTCATCGGTCCCAGCCTGTTATGGAAGGGCTGACACCATCTGAGATTGAAATCAATCGGCGGCTTTGGTGGTGTCTCTATACCATGGATCGCCGACTCGCCATCGACACAGGACGCCCATTTCTGATCCAGGACATCAACGTAAATACACCTTTACCGCAGGGCCTACATGATGATTATCTTTTTTATCGTCAAGTGGACTCGGCTTTGAGTCTAATCTCCGCTCCGCAAACACCCAACAGAGCCACCGGCGCAGTGACCCCGATCCCGTACCTCACTGCAATGGTGACATATTCTCGGGTGCTGGGAAAGGTTTGGGAGGGGATGTACGGTGCTGATCCAGTTTTGCAACCCTCTCCTCGGAACAGTCCCCTGCTCCGCGAACACTTCGAGCACTTGATTTCTCGGGCGCAAAAGGAGATCCCACCAGAGTTTGTCTACCACCTTTGGCAGCGAGAATCCCATCCCAAGCAGCCAGTAGAATGGCTAGCCAAGCAGCAAACGCTCATGCGGGTCGTATGTTCATCGCAACCTCTTACAACTCGAACTGGTGGAATGATATACTGACATTGTGCAGCGATGGCTCTCGCTGCGTCTACTCATCCGTAGGCCCATGCTTCAAGAGAACACTTCTTCCCCCGCCGACATTATTACCGGACTCGACAATGAACAGATTTGCGCACAAATTGCCGGTGACGTGATCCAAAGGTGCAACGAAATCTCCGAGGAGCAGACGATCTTCACGTATCCTTTCTTTCATTATCTACTCAGCGCGGCAATCATCTCAATCGGACTCATTATCAAGCAGCCGTCATACAAGGATGCGTTTGGCTACATAACCGTGAAGGCAATTCAGGTTCTGGAAGCCTACCCTCGTCGAACATGGGTTTCGGGGAAGTTAATCCGGAACTTGTCAAAGCTGGGTCACATCGTACGGCGAGTCATGGCTAGAGGTGCTCGCTCTTCTCCAGTGGTTCCCGACCATCATGGCCCTCCGAAAGGATTGGCACCTGTCTTGCACAAATCTTCGGCACCACATACCGATAAGCTTCCACCATCACCTGTACCCAGAAACCCAATACCTAGTTCGTACCTTCGATTGAAAACGCCAGCCCACCGGCATCATCGCGTGCCAGTACAATATAGCAGTGTGACTAGTGGGTCTGAGGTAACAATAGCGCCGTCATACATACAAGCCCCTTTCGACGCGTTGCCGAACCCTGGTATGACGGATTGTGATTACGAGGACCAATACTTCGCGTACGACAGAAACCCAAGTGGTAACGGAGGGCATGTTCGATCGAATGCCAGGTGCTGCGCACATGGGCCGCCTCTACGGTCGCACGAAGTTACTACCACCGTCCCGGAAGAGGATGATGCCTGCTGGATGTCGCTAGGTAGTAGGCTGAGACAATCCCCGCCTACGGAACGATCGTTCGAGTGTGCAGATCGGGGAGAAACCGTGGTACAAGAGATGCAGTGGCTCGAAGCGCTTTTTGGGAGTTACCTCGACTCGAACCTCATCATTCGGCCTGGTGAGTGATTATGTGGAGGCTGGATTACTGGGATTTGCAAAGATATTGACCATGATTGATAAGGGCATATTCTGCCACTTCATTCCAGATGCTCCTTTAATTACTCTGTCTCTCTCCTTTATTCCTTGTCCCACTATCAATACCAGATGTTAAGTCCGAATTCTTCGATCACAGCACTATCTTCGGTGATCGGATCATTCTGCTCGGTAGCAGAGCGAATGGCGACCGATCGTCCAAGACAACAGATTCCACTAACTAGTCAATCATCCCGAGAAATGCACAGCAGGGAATGGCAGTAGTTCCTCACATTTTTCCAGTTCCTCGATCATAAATGATCTTGTCTGGGTCACCCTCCGTATACTCCTGCCCGTGTAGGCGCAGCGCTCTGTAGAAAGAAAAGTCAGCGTTCAAGGCACAGAGGTAGAGGCGATAGGTCCTTTCTCACTCAACCAGCTCCACAACTCGTGCCTTGATCGGTTTGATGCGCGATGGCTCGCGGAGGTCGTCGGTGTAAAACGATAGGGGAAAGCCCGGCAGCCGCGTCATGGCGATGAGATTCATCCGGCCGCCCGGGTTCTCGAACTCGGTGCTCTGGACGGTGCTTTCCCAGTTCAGGAGCTGGGGGAAGCCGTTCAGTCCGCGTGCTGCCTCTAACGCTTGTACTTCCCACTCGAATGCGGGTTGGGCGATATCGCCGAAGAGCCTACTGGCCTCGCAGCCACGCTTAAGGACTGGGTGCTGACTATTCATTTACCGCAGGGTAAAGGTTTTGGTTAGTGATCTTGCTAAAGATGGATTGATTTGAAGAGCATGAGGCAAGCAAGCACTCACTGGATGAAGAATTTGACCACAACTTGTTGCTGCTGCTGATCATTGAGCTTTGTGGCGTGGAAGACGGCGCGTCGCTCGGTGTATGGGCGATAGACCTTCTCTGACACCAGCCGGTCCAGTCGATACCTGCCTGTCCCGACTTGGAACTCTCTTCCCTCGAGTCTGATCAGGGTGGCTTCTTCGAGGAAGGGGTAGCCCTCAGGCTCAGGGGTGAAAGAGATTGAGTCAGTCATGACAGAGAAGAAGTCAGGGGAATTGAGGTCGCTAAGGTCGATGGAGCAGATGTAAAAATGAGATGGAGGAAGAACAGAGAGGCGAGAATGATGAGGATGGGGTAGATTCCTCTTGGAACCGGAGTGAGGGGAAAATAAGGTAGAGGGCGGGAGGATTTGAAAAATGTCGACACTATTGAGTCATGACACGGCTGGGTGGGAGATGAGTAACACCAGAACATTCCCCGGTAAACCGTGCTATTATAGAGATCAGACTTGCATACGAATCATCTGTACTGCGCTGGGAACAAGTCACAATGTGTGATAGGGCCGATGGTGGATGAACCCCGTAATCTCAATAGATTGGTGTCCCTCAGTTCAGGCTATGTCAGCTATCATCGTGCCAGTGTCAACTGCGCTTCTTTGGTTCACATCATTGAAGGAACCTATCGATCAAGGATTGCCAACGGGGCACCAGCATCGAGAGCCTACTCCGTAGATGGTAAGCATACATGATAAATCACATTATAGACTTTACCGTGACTTGGACAGGTGTGGCAGGCTGTGAGCACTCTGGTTACCTATCGAGGCCTCAGGACTACCGATAAGAGTTAAGCTCGGTCTACAAATCCCTGAACGATCTCGTTCACAGTTGGATGGGAATTTGATAAGAATATGAACCTTTGACCACAACAGTCTAACTGAATTGAACTAAAATCGTTCACTTTTCATATGCAGGAAACAGGACAACACCGCCCCCTCCCTTCTCTCTCTCTCTGTACCCTCTGGGGCCCACTTACCGCCTTCGCTTTCTCTCACGAATATCATGGCCCAGGTTGAAAGAACCATTAATCTGGCAACTGTTGTCAGCAAACAGATATATCCACGTACGATGATATACAGTGGTGTTATGGGTTTGTGCGTGCTTACCAGAGCAGCCCTATCGGCTGGACGCCAGGTCCACTTCCAATCCACTGAGTACCGGGCCTGCATAGCAAGGTACCACAACGCTTCTCGCGTGCTAATCTGAGGGGCTTCGACCGTTCCTGCCGAAACCTGGGAGGCTTCAAAAACGTCCGAAACAAGGAAACGATACTTCCCCGCCCGCTTTATGAGGATTGTTTGATCATATGTCGACACGAATCCGAAACGACATGAGTATGCATTCATGTATGCGGCAATTTGAGCTTTAGCCCACCCGGAGTCCATCAAGGCGTCTAGTGATTAGCGACACAAGGCCTTGCCTCAATAGTCAATAGCCGCCCGGGAGACTTACCGAGGAGTTGCCGCCTCTTTTTCGATGTAAACTTGCCAAGGTTGGTCGTCCAAGGAGTTTTAAACTCCGCAACTATTCGGCAGGTCCCGTCCGCCATGGTGCCTTGGACCATCCCGTCCGGGTCATCGCCAGGCACAGCATGGGAGCCCGTCGCCCGGTCAGCGAATCTGACATGGACCTTTTCCTTGGCGAACACCCGCCCAATCTCGTCAAGGGCGTTGCCTATAATTCGCGCGGAAACGCCGGCCTCCGTGGCGACGATGTACTCCTCGGGCCTCCGAGGTGGCGCAACGCCCGAGGGCTCCCCCAACTTCGAGACGGCTAAGCGTCGAATCTCCTGTGGGAGGCCGACCCAAGGCGCGATCTGGTGCTCTGATAGAATCCCGGGGCGTCTGGCACGGCGTGTGCGGGTCCCTTCGCGCCGGAGAAGAGGAGCGAGCGGGTTGTAGATGCTGGTAGTCGACATGGTGTATGCTGATCTTAGGCGTGGAGGAGGTATAGAGTGGACGAGTAGTTGGAACATTAAATTCGGTGTCTCGGAAAGACCGACCAACCGCAATATCACTCACACCACTAGTTTACAGAATCCAGCGCAAAAACAACAACCTATTAGCATATCCTTTCAACTCGTTTATGATGCCAAGCAGAGAATGCTACTCTTTTCTTGCCTTAAATCATAGGTCACGCCGTTATTGTTGTCATGTGGTGAGATTGTTGGGTTCCTAAGTTGGGGGTATGTCTAACGGAGGCAGTATGAATGTTGCATATAGTACCATGTGCTTTTAGACCGCTGCAGACGTATTAGTTGGGGACGTGGAAAGCTGATGAGGTTTGCTAGTCGAATGGGGGTAGGGACTCTGGCGTCTTTGTGATGGGCATAGCGGGAAGTTCGAGTAAGAACGGCTCGAAGCGGTTGCATGATTGAAGGGAAGCGATGTGCATAGATAGGGCGACTGTAGTTGCTGATGGCTGGATCTACAACTGTCTAACGTCCTACCGATTCTCGTTTTAATCATGAGCCGCAACATGGATGTCCGAGAGATTCAGGGCTTCGGCACTTCAAAGGACCGACTGGTAGCCTCGGATGATTGGCTGCGCTACTTTCATTAGCCGCAAATTGGCACTGCATTGGGTTATGATCCAGTTATGCTGCTTATATAATAACCAGCGTTCGTCTTCACCAGAATAAGTCCCAGCTTGATGAACATCAAAAGAGAGACTATGTCGGCGGAGGATGCAGGTCCCCATCGTTTTGGAGGCTTGAACGAATATGAGGATAGTACTATCACAGGGCTGGGGAAAGCGGAGAAATTCCGCTCCTGTGACTCGTATTCGAGCCGCAAAATGCGAATGTCTTGAGGCCAGCCTTATGCACCTGCAGGATTAGCTCATGTTAGTTTCCGGCTAGTGTTCCATGTTAAACTCGATTCGTACTAAGTGTCTCTCATGCCCAGAACCTTATTGGCCCTCTAATCTTCCTGATGACTCCCGTGCATGCGAGACTGACTCATCGGCACCTAACACGTCTTGTAAGCCCTCACTCTGTTCCGGAGCTCATAAATTCGCCCTTCACCCCCAACTACCCCCTCATTACCGCGCGCAACTAGAATATCTCAGTGTCAATGTCGCCGCAACCAGATTCTAAAGCCCCCATCCGACCAAGCCCTTATAGCTATACCGACGAGCAATGGAAAGTGCACACCGTCCACCCACAGCGCCTTTATTCCCGCAGTAAAGAAGATGGAAGGCTTCGCCCCACTCGCCCAGCGCCGTGTCTCTTAATAGGCAATCCAGACATTGGGCCGAGAACGGTAGCCGCGAAGGCCCGCGAAGCTGACACGGCGCTGTGGGCGAGCTGCAAGACCGTGGAGGAGTATGAGGCGAAGCGGCGGGAGACGGACGCCGCCGCCGCACGCCGCGCCGTGGAAGCAGAACGGGTGACCTTCCATCCGTTTTCGCGCCTGCCGGCCGAGCTGCGCTGTCAGATTTGGGCAATGGCCATGGCGGACCACCCCACCCGAGTCTCGATCACCTGCTCGGGGTATACGCCGGCGCGACGGCCGCAGGGAAGATCTTGTTTCTTGATGCTGCAGGGCCGTCCGAGGATCTATGCGGCCACCGCGTTCATGCCGCCGCTAATGCTGGTCAACGGGGAGGCGCACGCCCTGGCCTCCCGCCACTACCGGCGGGCCTTTCGGGGCGTGCTGGGCGGCGGAGGCGTCCTCGCCGCCTATCCGAGTATTCTCACGATCGAAAAGGCCATGATCCTCCTCCTGCCCATGGATCGTGCCGAGGACCTCAGACTGCTCACGGAGATTGTGGTGATTGTTTGCCCAGGTGCTGGGGAGCGGGTGGCGTTTTCCAGGAGGTGGTGGGAACGATTCGAGATTCTGCTGAGGATGGCACCCCTGCGTCGCCTGGAACTTCGGCTGACAAGTTCGATTCCACGCTACCGGGTGCGCGGGGTTAACGAGTACTTTGCATCGCTATTCTCTGAGATACAAGCGGCGGATACAGAGTGGGTTGCACCGGACCTGCAGGTGGGGCCTGTGCATGATGAAGAGAAGGCTAGAAATGATTCCGATTCGTCTTCAGAGGACCTGTATACCGATGACGATTAACGGACCGACGACTGACTTGCCCTAGCATTAGCAGTAATATGATGCACTCACTTAACGATCCGATGGAGATGACGTCGTTCCCTTCGGCCGATTTGCATACCACTTGCACAAATCTCAAGATAAACACGCACCGATTATGTAGTTCTAGATTGTGGAATTGATCTACTATCTGCCCTCACAGTAAAAGCAAGCATTCATACAGACAAGAGTCATAAGAGCATGATAACTCCTGCGACTGAGGTCAATTTCTATAGCGCAAAGAATAAGTTATGTATATGTAGTCCATGACCCATGATAGGAGTTAGTAACTGGCAGCAGAAGCAAAGACAGATCACATAACCTGTGAACCGAGGAACCAATCAACTACGGTCGCAGTGGATTACCCCTGACCGCACACCGCTGTGCTGCGCGGTAGCGAACAATTCAATACTGTTCACCAAGCGGCGCCGCTGGCGACCAGTATGAATGTATAAACATCTTTCACCTGAGAGCAACATCTTGCTTGAAGTCTCTACTCTTGCAAAAGGTGTTTTTTAATGCTACCAAGAGTAAAACCGGGAACACTGCGCGTAAAATCATGCAGACACAACATCAGCAACCTCGGGTTCACAGTGATGGGACGGGACCTGCTCCACATATAGGGCTTGTCACCAGAAGAAGGCCGGACACTGACTTCCAGGACAGGTTAGATCATGACCCTACTGTACCTTGAGGTAGCTGGCATTGTCATTGTGCACAAGACAAAATGTGATGGTCAGCGTCCAGCTTGCAGCGCATGCCGGCAAATAGAGGAAAGATCGCGATTCCTTTTTTTTTTGCCGATGAGATGATCTTTGGTCTCTTTACGAAGGAATTGGTATTTTCCTCATGTGATCAGATATCATGTAGGCTGTCCTAGTAATACGTTGACTCTATGGCTTTCTAACCACGCGGCCGTACTTGAGCCACAGACCAAGAGGTCAAAATTCTGGGTAAATTACCGTCCGCCCGGCGAATTTCTTCTGCACTTCGTACTCAGAATCCGTGGGATCAATTCCGACAGCATGATCTACATGGGATGAGATAGGTAGCGGGTGTGAATCCACTGATTGTCAATGTCAACCTATGGCCCCGGAAAGCAGTCTTATTAGAAGAATGTTCCAGTGGCGGAAATGAAGCCGGGGCCCTGCAGATCTAAATTCACTAGATCATGGTAGCTGTCCAGATCTGCGGTCAATGAGTTGCTCCTACCTACGCATACGCATAAGTAATAAATATTAGTCCAAAAGCGAGCTATAAAGGAACGACATTTGCCCGCCTCTCAACCGCCATCCTCGAGCAATCGCATCCTCACTACCAGAATCGATTACCCATCTGAATCCCACTTGCCCAGTCAAACCATTGTATTCCAAGAGTGTAAGTGACCTTACAATCCATGCATAATGAAACGGCCTTCAAACATACTCATACCTTAACCCAATAGTAAAGATCCGCAACCCATAGATCTTTGATGGATCTGCGATCATGAGAAATTTTAGCGATTCGACACGTTTCTTCCACAAGCCAAACAGGGAAGTGACTGTAGCATTGACCCAAGGAGATCGATCAGCCACTGGCGATCACTGCAGCGTCGGGACATAGCAGATCTCTTCGCATTTCACTGCACACCCACCACTCGGAAACAAAATGCGATAAAACATGGTACCGTGCAAGTTTTTTTTTTTTTTTTTTTTTTTTTTTTGACTTCTCTCTTCAATGCTCGTCGCTTGCTTAGGGGAAGGTTGTATTAAAACGCTCGTCTTGCCCGCTTTAATGAGTTCCTAGCAGCTCTCTCGGAAGACGATCCAAGCACAAGCAGGCAGACGGTGAATAATGGTGTGGATCGAGATCAAACCCGGTCTCCATTGTTTAGAGTTCAATAGCCGCCAGCCAAACCATAGGTGTATGATAAGCGTAGGGGTGACTTTTCATCCGATCTTCCTATCGGGATTTGACTTGTTCGCTTTACAAAGCCAAAAGAAGAAGGGATCGTAGGGAAAGCAGATGATCGATCTACCGGCAATCATTGCAGCAGTGGGACGTGTCAATTCCTTGGCGCTGCACACCGACGCAGAGAGGAATTATAGGCAGATGGTACGGAGTCCAGTATACTACTAGACAGCCGAACGTGTTGCCATAGCCCTGGGTCACGGAAGTTCAAAAGATTGACAACCCCGTGCTCCTGTCAATCTCTCTGAGCCAGCCCTTTGGAACCCCCATTTGCCTGGCAATGAAGCCGTCCGCCAAAACGAAACTCGACAATATGCAGCCACCAGCCGCTGATACGCTCCCGCTCACCAACATGAATGACCGTCGAGTTCTGGTCTTCTGGCTTCTGGAGATCGTGGCCGTCCTTCAATTCATTGTCTGGCTTGTTGTGGTCAGCCATGTGGCAGCTATACCCGTTGGCTTCCGTCCCTCGGCGGCAAAGTTCACCCTGAAGTCGTATCTGAGTCCATCTTCAAATGCGACTATACTCCACCATTCTGACCGCGAAGGGAGGGTCCATCCTGTAAGGCCTGCGCAACAAGCTGCGATCGATCTCTGGTTTGGCCTTTGTTTCCCCGTGGTCGTGGACGCCTTCGCGGTCGTCTTGACGTTCAACCGCGCGCTCATCCGGAAGTTCCACAACGCCGTATCGCAGCGCTTGGTCTTTCTCGCTTCCATGATCCTCTGGGCCGTGTGGTCGTGGAATGCAGAGCCAGGAGCCTTTGCGGCGCGGCACCCAGTTCTGTCCCTGGCGGGCGGCTTTCTTCTCTACGGGCTCCTGGGCTCGATCCTCGATACGCTCGAAACACACACCACCCCCCCGGCCCGTTGGGCCACGTTTGCAGAATACAGCAAGACTCTGGGCCGAACGGAAACATCTTGGGCGCACGCGGCCACTCTCGCAGCGGTGGTCGGCGGACTCGGGTTGCTCTTGACCTGGCTCATCCCCGCCCCCTGGTCGGCCGGTCTTCCGGTCATACACATCCTGTCAGAGGTTCGTGGAGACATACCCCAAGCCCCATCAATCCTTCGGTGACACTGACTGCTGGGGGTCCAGTCGCTGATCGTATCGACGATGGGCGCAGGGAGGACGCCTCGCTATATCTCGCTGTGCAGTCCTCTGTTCTTCGCCACGGTTTGCATGCATTGGGGGGTGGTGCCGGTATCGCACAACCCGCGTCTTTCGATCACACCCCTATGCTTTCTGGGGCTGGTTCTTCTCAGTCGGCTGCTGCTCGACGCGCATCTGTCGACGGTGTTGCGGTCGCGTCCGGAGCTCGAATGGTCTCGGCAGAAGGTTTTGATATCCACCCCGCGCCTCCTGGCCATGTGCATTGTGATGCTCGTTTGCGAATATGGCGGGCTGAGGGTCATCACCTATATAAAACCCATCTCGGTGTTGGTTTTCTTTGGCTTGGGAATTGCTGGGTATATGGGGGCGGCTGTATACAATATCGTGCTGAAGCTGAGTGAACTACCTAATTCCCCTGGAGACAAGTTGTAGTTTGGGGCGTTCCTTACTCGGACGCGGGCGTCTCAATGATTGCCTTCCGTTGAGGGCGTTCGGAAAGTGCCAAGTGTTGGTACTGGATTCTGAGTAGTGTTGCTATGTTTATTGGTTCAATAATTCCGGATTTATATTCGACGTAAAATCTGCTCATCTAAGAAAGTGATTAGGATTTTTGTAAAGTCCATACTGGGTCGGGGGTGGCAGGGATGGAGCCTTCAGCATAAGGAGAGGTTCTTCTGTGGCCAACAGCTAGCGTGGGAAACGCCCAGGTGAGACGCTTTTGAAAGAGGGAAAATGCCGGGCTATTAGGGTAAAGTAGCCTGGTACAAGCTCTACTGATACAATGCTCCACAAATCTCCACTCCATCATTTTTGATCCTGTGAGATTTGCGCGCGATGATAATGCCTGGTGAACCGCATGTTGGATAGAATCGACCGAGGCCTGGTGGTGCCTGAGGCCAGCCAGTGGGAGGTGCTAAGCAGGGAAGATTCAGACCTCGTAGCCGCTACGGCCTTATTGTAACTAGAAAACAACTGAATGAACACCAAGGGCTCTCCCATTCTTGATAACTGAAGCTTCACGTACCTTGTATTTCAATATGGCATCCCTCTTACGTGGGGGGTTGTTGCATTGCGCCACATCGCCTCCCGCCTCCCGTTTTTCCATTCAAGCATTAGTGCACAGTACATCCTGACCCGCCTGAAGACCAAAGTGAGACCGGAGTTCAAAGGCAAATGGAAGATCTGGGAACCTTGGATAGCGATTCGCAACTCAAAATCGGAACGGAGCAGCATCGAGCTGCTTTTCCAGCATCGGCACAAATGCTCCGGAGACCCGCTGCGTCGGCTGGAGTCGTGCTGGGAGCCTCGCAGGCGTCGCCCTGGAGCCCCAGCTCCTCAGCACCACAGCATTGTGCATTGCTATCAGTTCCAGGCGGACATGGAGCATTGGTGCTGAGGCTACCGCCTCCGTTGTTGCTGGGGTTGCCGCCAGGGTTGTTGCCGGCTAGGCTATTTCCGCCGTGGAGAATGCCGCCGAGGATATTCCCACCGTTGTTGCTAGGGCTGCCTCCCGGATTGTTGCCGGCAGGGATGAGGTCGTCGAGGATGCTTCCATCGTTGTCGCTGGGGTTATCGGAGTCCTGGGCTCATGCGATCCCTAGCAGGAACGTTACAACGTGAATGATCTTCATTTCAGCTGAATTCGAAGCAGAGATTCAGTTAAACTGAACGAGCACCTGAATAATCACTCTTAACCGAGCTCAATAATTCTGGCTGTGAGGATTTCATGGGGAGAAGTATCTGATTATCAAAAGAAGCGGGGTCCATCAAGATATCCCCTTGGAGGGTCAAGCCCGGTGTGGAATGTGGAACTAAGGAACAAAGTGCAATCGTAAGTTCCAGAGTGGAAATGATTGTGGAGACAAACGCAGAGAATGCGAGTGATTGACCGTTTTTAGATCTGTTCCATCACAGTGCCGGATAAGGAAGGGCTCATCAGGCAAACAGATCAGTCACTGGCGATCATCATGTTGAGACAATGTCCAAATGCTTGGCACTGCACCCTTAGTCACAAACTAAAAGTAAAAGGATCGTATAATGCAGAACAGTACGGAGTACAGGTAGCATGCTTCTCACTATGCCGAAGTCATATCGTATGCGGCTGATTGAACAGGAGGTGCCTAGCCTACTCACTTTCAGCAGGTCATTTTAGCAACATTGACAGAAAAGCATCGAAGCACATGGAAAGACTCCGAACTCCATTGTTAGGATTCAATAGCGCCGGCGAATAAAGATGGTCGACCCGGAGGTTATTTTGCCCATAAGACACGAACTTGATTTATACTATACGAAAGACTGCCATGTCCACATCACCAATGCACCCAACCCCTCTCCCCGGCACCACCCGAGCCCTCATTAATTACTTGTAAAATAATTCACCGCCACCATCGACCCCAGCTTAAACTCCGTCTCCGCGGCATCAAGATCATAACGCATCCGATGCATATTCCCCAACTTCTGGCCCCCAGGCGGGGCGTACCTCTTCCCCTCAAAGCTCGCCGGCTGCTCGTACAGGAAGAAGATATACCGATGCGGCGAGCTCCCCGGCGGCGGGGCGGGACCGATATAGTTCGCCACAAACGGGGCCGTAACTTTCAGGACATAGACATTCGAATCGGTCTCTGATGCAGTGGGCTGTAGGCCGGGCTGAATCCAGTGCAGGATGGGGCCGAGGACGCCGAAAGAAGGGAAGGGGGCGTCGATGTCGAGGCCGATGACCATGTAGGTCTTGCTTGGCGAGAGGTTGCCGAAGGATAGTTCCGGGGGAGATTGCGCATCTGTCACACAGCATGAGGCTTGTCAGTCTTGGTTGTACATTGCCCCGCATTTTGTGGGTTACGGACCCGCTCGGGGGATGTACTGGCCCGGTTGCACATCCCTATGTTGGCCGACATTCAGGCCGAGCACTTTGGTGGCGTCGGCCTCGATTAGCGAGAGGGCTTTCTTGACACTGTTGTTTGTGGGCATCGTGTATGAGGATAGAGAGTCTTGGCTGGTTTGCTTGTGTGCTTTACATGAGTAATGTCGAGAGCATGGTTCATAGTCTCTTCATCAGTTTGCTGAGTTGACGATCGGCTTTAAGGGTCGGAGATTGGGCAGCTCCGGCGGAGATAAGATCCACGTGTTGAAGTCAACAATCCATACAGTTCTCTAATAGATGGTACAGAGAATGTTTCCGGAGATAATAATGCATCTTCTATCTCCGTCTCGTTCTTACTGGCTCCAATTGACACAACAATAGAATGACAGAATGATTGCTGGAGAATGACCTGCACTGTTATTATCCCGAATTACCTTGACTACCCTAGAACTTGACTCTTCGAATATATTTTGTGATTCACTCCAAGCTATATTAAAGCTAGTCAGGCGGATCTAAAGCACACCATGATACACCCACATCCTACCCCACTTCCCTAATCACTCATCCGAACACGCTCGTCGGAACCGCCTTCCGTGCCACTGGAGTCTCCATCCGACCCCCAGCCGAATGGGTGTGGCACCACGTGTCGGGCTTCGATGAAGATCTTCCAGATAATCGTGATGATATCGCGACCGAACCCTGCGCCCTTGTAGGGTCTGGTTGTGCATTGGTACTAGGAAAAGAACTATTAGCAACCGCTCTCTGCATGCCCGAGACTCTTCAAGCGAGGTTGCTTGCCTTCTCCGTTTTTTCCAATCGGTAAAAGGCCATTGTGTTCCCGTCGGTGGCCAGGCCGTAGACGACAGGCTCCAGCTCGCTCGCGTCTCGCCGGCCTTGGACAGCCATGCCTAATATAACAGGACATGGAGCGATTAGTGGCATGCCCTAGAGTTGCCAAAAGCCTGCAAGAGGAGATCTAAGAAGCACATACGCAGGTAAGCTAGGAGCTCCGTGTCCGGGTTCGAAGTCATTGGTTTGTCCCTCTCCAGGACCACGAGTTGTACCCGGGGGCGACGGTTGCGTCTGCGGGAGATCACAGTGAAGTCCGGCTTTCCTGAAAGCCTGGCACGTCTCCCTTCCAAGTTGTAGTTCAGTGTGGCTCTAGACTGCACGTACGTCATGCAGGCGCTGATGCCGTTGACGACGTTCACCTCATAGGCGATGCGGTGGAGCGTCCACTCGAGCGCGCTACTGAGCATCCTGTCGCTTCGCTTGGGCTCGACGAAAGAGGTTTGCGTCATCGAGGTGAGGAATTCAGCTACCTCACTATCAATTACCCGCGAGCTTGACGCATCAATCACAACCGATGTGGCAACCGACTCACCGGAAATTGGAACACTAGCTGAAGGGGCGTCCCAGTCGTAGCCTTCGTCGCTTGGTGAGACACCGAAGGTGCGGGTGAGGAAGTCGTGTTGGAGGGTCCAAGTCCAGAGGGTAGACGTCGGATGCACGGGTCGAAATCTCAGGCGTTGGATGCGATACTCGGGGTCGACCAAATACTTCCTCTCCTCTTCGATCCGTTCGATTTCCATCTTGGCGCACTCCAATGCTTCGCATAGGTCTTCCATGCAGTACTCGATCGTGGTGATGGCTGACTCATGGGACTCGAGCAAGTGCTTCAGCTCTTCAGGTGGGCCATCCATGTTGAATGAGTGTTCCTGGCGTGGGAGCAGAGCCCCCTCCTGCCATCGATCCGGTATTCTTGACATCGTGTCACAGGCCAGGGAAGATGAGATGTCTTTTCGTCTAGATGAGAATAGAAAATGTTGTTGAGTTGGGCGTGTGAAGTGTTGTGTGTGGTTGTTGGTAGGAGCCGTGTTTGCGAGGCCAGAGAATGAGAACAGGAGTCATGGGATGGGACGGGTTGCCAATTTCGATCCGGATGTTGTCATGATGATTGCCACGCTCAGCATAGATGCGGTAGGAGTAGCCCTGATGATGTACCCACAGCTAGGTAATGAAGGAGGTTTCTTCCCTAGGACAAATCTTTCCCGTGTCATCCATCTAACAAAACACCATCTGGCTCATTTGAGACCCAAGACAGATCTATCAGCTCATTCCTAAATCTCCACATCGAATCACCAACCATGCCGTGCTGCCTTTCCATTAGAGTGGGTGCATGGATGGATGCAAAGAAAGAGACCTTCCACGAGAATCGCGGGAACTTCCTAGAGGCGCAGGGCGCGCGCCTGCGACTGTTCGCCTGGGACCTAGCAGCCCGCAGATTTGAAACTGCATCGGAACTGCAGCAGGCAGTCCATCTCTGGCGCAGCATGAGATCCCTCATCCAGAACGACAACGACCTCAATTTCGCGATCCAATACGAGGCAGCCCTGCAGCACAAACATAAAGCTCTGGACACAAGGCTCCAGCATCTCGTCGACACCAGCCACGTCGGTCCCGAGCCCATTTTCTCGGCCATGTCCCAGCTGCAAGCCGTCGAGATCCAGCTGCGCACGGTTCACGAGGATATCTGGCAGCTCGAGCGGACGGCGCACCAGATCCTGCGCAATTTCCCCGTCGGCTTCGGGCCGGTCAAACGTGGGGTGTGCGCCAACCGGGCCAGGGCGGACTGGCATATGACGGAGTCTCGGCAGGAGGACTGCGCGGGCCGCGGCGGGTGCTGCGGGCGCGGGTGTGGCTGTTGCGCGAGACCACGGAGTGCGCAGCGGGCGAAGAAAGGTCATTGCACTGCAGCCTGTGCGTGTTGTGAGCAGGCCCGTGGCTTTGCGGTAGGCAGGCATGTCCGCTGGGAGCCGGTTCGTCTCCCAGCTTTGGGAGATGCTGAATGGATCACGGGAGACATGCTGCAGCTGTTCGTCGCCTATGCGTTTGGGCTGACAGTGGAGGATGAATGGCTTTGATGGGTGGTGTGAGGTTATGCTATAGAAGGATGGCGGTGGACTTGCTAGCTTTTGATGTTAAATGCCTATTGTTTAAAGAAGAGCCTGTCTGGATTAATCTTATGCGCGTTTGCTTCAGTTCTTGCCGTCCGATCACCTACAGTTCTATGCTTCCGGGTTTTTCGAGTTTCGATGTTCACTGTGCTCGGTTTATTGTACAGTACCTTTTTATATGACTGTGGAACCCCTGTAACATGCAGCCACCAGAGACCCTACGGAAAGCTAAGGCCGCTTCCACAGCAACACCACCTGAGAAAGAAAACCTTGGTGAGTTGAAGTATATCACAGGTGATAGAAGAACTGATTATCAGCAATTTGACAATTGCAAGGTGATTGTATAATGAGTAATATGATGACGATATGCAGGGAGCTCGAGATATACCAATGATGTCACTCCCAGTGTGGGGTGTGGGCCAGTCTCCAGACTGCCACCAATCAATGCAGGTCCAAGTGACGGACATACGCTTAAACCCGCGTCAGCTGTCAGCATTTAGCCTGCTGTGCGTGCGGGCATCCAATGCATGAAGCGAACACGAATAGGAAAAGGCACCGAGCTCCCGAGCTCCCGAATCCGGCGCTTCTCTGTCATCATTGCAACCTTAACTCAGCCGAGCGATGCGCCGATCGGACCCCGGAATTAGCAATGCGTGCTCGATTTTACTGTCGCCTATTCACTTCTCTCTGACTTATATATACCCTGTCCCGGGTGAGCGAAAGCTCAGAGAAGACTACAGCATACGACTACAATTACCACTTCATCACTTTAACCCAATTCACCATGGTCAAATTCCTCCCTTTTGGCGATCTCCAAGTCCCCTCGCCCGGTTTCGGCGCCATGGGCCTCAGCTTCGGGCTGGGCAGCAACCTGAGCTATGAGGAGGCCGAGCCCGTGCTTCTGAAGGCGATCGAGCTGGGTTGTACTTTCTGGGATACTGCCGTGCGTTAACCCTCTCACTATCTTCATAGCAGCATTTTGGACCTGTCTAACCCTCAATTCACAGGTTGTCTACCAAGCCGGTGTCAACGAGAAACTTTTGGGTGACTTCATCCGCAAGCACAATGTCCGCGACAAGGTCTTCAGTACGCTCCCCTTGCCTTCACCACAAACAATCCGACCACTAACCCGAATTGATGAATGATCGCAGTCGCCTCCAAATGCGGCTTCGACGTCTTCGGCAACAAAGGCGTCACCAACTCCGCCGCCCACATCAAGCAGTACATCGAGGGAACGATCGAGCGTCTCGGCTTTGCCCCGGATCTATACTATCTACACCGCATCGATCCTAGTACGTTGCGGCCCCCAAGCACAAGATTCCCCAGAACTAACGAATCCTGAAATTGATAGACACCCCCCTCGAAGAATCCATCCCCGCACTAGACGAGATCCGCAAGGCCGGAAAGACCAAGTTTATCGGTCTGTCGGAGTGCTCTGCGGCGACGCTACGCAAGGCGAACTCCAGTAGGCCTCCCCGTCCCTCCCGGAAATAATTATAATGAGGAATCAATATATTAATGGTGTTGTCTACAGTCGCCAAGATCGACGCCGTGCAAGCGGAGTACTCCGCCTTCGAGACCATCCACGAGACGGACGGGCTGATCGAGACTGTCAAAGAGCTGGGTATCGCCTACGTGGCGTACAGCCCGCTGGGCCACGGGTGGCTGGTCGACAACTTCGACTACCAGTCACCCGAGGACTTCAAGCCGGATGATTTCCGGCGGACGTGTACGCACCCCTTTCCCATCCCCATACCCTGCTCCATCAATCTGGACCCCGTGGCTAATGATTTGTTTGCCCGGCAGCCCCCAAATTCCAAGGCGAGAACTTCTACAAGAACAAGGCGATCGTGGAGGAAATCAAAAAGCTGGCCGCACGCAAGGGCTGCTCGGTCAGCCAGATCGCGCTCGCCTGGGTCGCCGCCCAGGGGATGATTGCTATCCCCGGGACGACCAAGGTGCACCGGCTGGAGGCGAACTGGGCGTCGCGCGAGGTGGAGCTGACCGAGGAGGAGCGCGCGGAGATGCGTCGGATCGTGGACAGCGCCAAGCCACATGGAGAGCGGTATGGGGCTGCGAATAAGGCGCTTGTTGGCAATTAGGGCGGTGAAATTGGGATGAGGCGGGGGAGAGGGGTGGGTCGGTGGGGATTTGATGATCGAATCGGAATATGAAAGATTCTGGATCGATAGACTGTTGCTCAGAATTCACTTATATCATAGTCGAGCGATGTCTGTTTCGAACATGTACTATCCGGCTGTGTTGGTGTTTAGGGCAATCCGGCATTAGGGGCTGGTCCGCTTCTGTGGTCTGCGCCGAGACTGGTCACACAATGGGGAGGTTTGTTCTTAGCCTCAGCGATCGCGATGTAATATATCAGGCACAACGCGTCGCCCATCTACTCATACAACATTAGGGTAGCTGCTTCCACATCAGATCAATGGTCACATCTTCGACAGACCAACTGCCACCACCCTTAGCACAAAACACTGACAAGCATTATTAACATATATGGGGAAGGAAAGCTAACTCTATCCCCCCCCTCGCTACGATGTTTATCTCAAAAGACATAGAAAATTGTCAAATCTCATTAACCTAGAATGCCATAATATATTCTGACCAAACCAACCACTGAAACAAATAGTCAAACAAAAACACCACACCCCCAAAACCTTCCGAGGTAGGGCTAGCAGACTAGCAAGTATTCACCAGAATCTTATCGAAAGCCATAGTCGGCCCGCCAGTGTAGCAGTTGGGCGACCAGCCGGCGGACACGTCGGGGTTGTTGTAGCAGCTGGAGCCGTACTGGCAGAAGGCGACGCCGCAGGCGGAAGCCCCGCCGGCGATCGAGCCGCTGGCCCAGGTGTAGCCGTACTGGTAGACCTGGTTGCCGTTCCCGGTGTCGTAGGCGATGGTCTCCTGGTGAAAGGTACCGGTGCAGTCGTCGCCGGTCCACAGGTTGACGGTCACGTACTGGGAGCTGGCCAGGGCACCGGTGGCGGCGAGGAGGGCGGTGGTGAGGGTCTTGGTGAGCATTTTGAGTTCGGTGGTTGGGGTGGAGGAGAGAGGAACGGAAGATTCTGTACGGGGTTAGATTGGCTTTGATAGTTGGGAAGGGAGATGGGTATGCTTACTGCGAGGGATTGGATAGGAGATGAGGGTGATGATTGAGATTGATGCTGATGAGGTATACCATAGAAGGGGTGTCTCGACCTAATTATATTGTCAAGAGCTTCTCCTGGATGGTATCAATTGCTGGACAAACATCTATCCCATCGGGTGTCGGAATTAATCCACCCACTGGGCCACCCGTGAGTCCGTCGGAGATGAATTCAACCCTCGTATTCATCTATACTCTAGTCTGACAACCTGAGACCCTCGTATTCCAATAGACTCTAAGCTCAGCACGGCTGGCGGGCCGCACCGGTGGGGCGAGAAGTTCCTTATCTCTATCAATCAGGAGCCGCACCTTTTCCTGCCAAGATCACAGGGTCCACTGACGACCCTGATCACTAACCAGAATCAGAATATGGAGTTGAAGACTTCATCTACGCTGAAGAATTTTTCCAGTGTGAATCATTGGTGCCGCTCGGTCGGACTGTATAGAGTAACTCGACTACGCTGCAGTCGTCTTGGCGGAACGTAACGACGAATCTCGTCGCCTCACGGGGGACATATCCTTCCGTAGGCTATATTTAAGGTCTTAAGGCGCTAAGGCGCTAGGGTAATGGTGTCAGAAGATATGATGCCCTAGATGAAAGGCGCAGCTGTGATTGTGGTATCGCAGAGAGTCATATTCCAGGTTGCACCAGGCTCTTGAACCCCTTATTCCCTACATTTCAGATCCCACGCGAACTCGGATACTGCAGAATTCAGGAACAACAAGGGTCTCTTCTTCAGCGATGCAGCCGGCAGCACGAGCGGGGAAACCCGCTGCCAGGCCTAAGTGGGTCGGGTCATGCGGTGACTAGACCGCATAAACTATAGCACCATTGACCCGTCGTTTGCAACTATTGGCTCTTTCGGTTGGAAACAATTCACTAGGTGAGACTGAGCAATCGCATAGTGGTGAGTGTGGATCCTTGTCAGAATGAATTATTGATGGCACGGCCAGACCGGTCTGTTATAGCAAGCGAACTAGCTACCGCTCGACTGTCCTTGTGTCTCTTGCACCACCTCTTAGGCAGGAGTGAGCCGAGGCTCATCATTTGATGACAATTGAAGCCCAAAGAATACCATGAGATCGTAGATCTGGGAATTTTCTAGTCAAGACTTTGGCTCCTCCGAGAACCAGCCACATGACCTCTTCAGACCTTATCTTGCCTCCCCAGGTATAGTTGATTCTTTGGTCATGTAGGTTAAGTCCTTCCTACATACAACAATATAATGAACCGAGATTGTCTTCGCGTCGACACTGAAATACGTCTCGAGAAACAACGATGTTGGTATGGGAGGGAGGTTCCCAGCCCTAAAAAGTTTGTTATACTAGATGTGTATCCAGGGATTTGTTATAGGAGGACTCATTCAGGTATAACAAGAGATCCACCAGAGCGGTAACAAGTAACCCGCCGTAGCCACCCACCCATCTCAACCCTTTACCCCTACAATCCCACCCCGAAAAAGCCACCCTACGCACCCCCTTCCTCCCCCTTCGCTTGCGCACTCGCATTAATCTGCACATCCGTCAAATACTTATCAAACTTCCGCAAATTGACCCTCTTCTCGAACCTACACCCCAATTAGCACGATCGCATCACCCGACCCGTAAGCCACAAAACCATAACCAGGGAATGACATACAATTCATCAATCTCCGCCGGCGTGCGGCGCGTGACCTCCGGCAGAATGAACCAAGCAATAACCACAGCGACGGCGCCGGTGCCAGCGAAACTAGATGTCCCCCTGTTAGCTAGCGATCCCAGCCCGACGATGATACAAAGTTGACATACAAGAATCCCGTCTTGGGCCCCCAGTGCGTCGTCACCCCGTTGATCATCAGCGGCGTGCAGAAGCTGAACATGATAGCCACCAGATTCGACGATGCCAGGGACCAGGCGGCGGTTTGGGCGCGGAGGCGCTGCGAGGGGATCTCGGCAGCGTATGCGTAACCGATGGCTGAGGCCCCGGTGGTGGAGAAGGTGGCGAGGCAGGCGAAGAAGATCTGTGCGTGGTTACTAGGGGAGTACAGAGGGGAAGGGGAGGGGAGGGTGTGGTAGGCTTACGAGGAGAGAGCTCAAGCTCGACTTCGTGTAGTCGAAGCAGCCGACGATCCCTAATGCTAACACGGAAAGGACGGTCACCCCGTACGGATAGACGGTCAAGGGCCGCCGGCCGACGCGGTCGGTGAGCACGCAGGTGACGATCATGGCGATGATCTGCACGCAGGAGAGGATCAGCGTGACGAGGAAGGGGTCGTCGTTGCCGGCGTACTGGACTGTATCAATGTATTAGTATCGTTCATCGGAGTGGTGTTGTGGAGGAGGGAGAGGAGGTGGTGGACATACAGAAGTAGGTCGCGTAGGTGTTGAACACGGAGAGCCCCACGAACTGCTGGGCAATCTTGGGCCAGCCTGCGATCAAAAAGCGGAGGAGGTTGCGCCCCTGAAACACGGCCCAGGCCCCTTGGCTGCGGTTGCGTTCTGCGAGGCGGCGTTCTTCCGTGATTGTCGCGGTCATGATGCCGATCTGCTGGTCCACGCTGTAGCCCTGGACGCGGCCGCAGCAGAGGCGCAGCACTCGGGCCGCCTGCTCCGGGCGGTCCTTGCCTACCAGCCACCATGGTGACTCCGGCAGGAGCACGAAGATGATGCCTGCAACCCCCACCATCGCCCACTGTTTACGGTCAGCGCAGTCGCCCCGCTGCAGTTATCAGTACGAACCTGGGAGTAGATCGGCGTTCGGAAATCATAGGGATCCGTAGAGTGCAGGCGGTTGAGGGCAACCGAGGCGAAGAGTTGCCCGATGACAAACCAACTTTGCATGGATTAGCCAAGCGCTGAATGAAAATACGTAGGTACAGCCCAGCACCGTACAAGCTATATGCGTTGATGAGGAACCCTCGCAGCTGGGTCGGCGCAATCTCGGACAGATAAAGAGGCATGGTCGACTGCAGCATCCCCACCCCCATGCCGGAGAAGAGCTTGGCCACGAGCCAGTGGTCCCAATGCGTAGCGAACGATTCGATCATCACGCTCTACACCAATATCGTTCAGCAGGAGGTCCGCGGACGCGAGGGGGGGGGCGGCATACAATCACGAAGGTAAGGAAGATAATGTACAAGGCGATCTTACGGCCGTAGCCGTCGGTCACGTACTGGAGAAGCTGTATCGCCGGTCGTCAGTCTCATAGATAAGTCAAGCGAACCGGAAGACTGACAATTTGACCGACAGTTTGGCCGGCAGACTGAATCCCACCCCACGCGGAGATATACTTGCCCGCGATGATCGACGTTCCCGGGCTAGCCATCTGCTGGATAAATCCGGTGTTGGACACCACGCCGCCGTTGAGGTTGATCTCTGGATTAATTAGTGACTTTCTCCTTCGTTACATGTTGTCCCCAGGACAAACTTACGATATCCATCCAGCGATGCACTGAAAGCGGCGGCCATTGCGATCATCGTGACGAACCGGTACCGGCCCAGACTCTCCCAGACACTAAGATCATCGAGTTCCGACCGCATCAGCGGCTGGCCCTTTTCGGTGGAGGCATGGTGTTGCTCGGTGGGGAGGTGTTCCACCCTCTCAATCTCGACTTTCTCGTGTTCCATGGCGAAACCTGTCTAAAGAATTCGAGTACCAAAAAGGCTGAAAGGAGCCTTCTGCGGGGCCCCGCATTTGGATTTATACGGGAGAGGCGCACGGGGCGTGTCGGCTAAATGGAGTCGCGGGGAAAATGGGGTATTCTCCCGCTCAACAATATTCCCCCAATCAGGGTGTATACCAGCGCACTCCAGCGTTGGCAAGCTTTTGCCAATAATCAGCCCAGTTGTAGCGATGCTTGCATTCACCGCACACACCCCGCAACTCGCTGCTTTTTGGCCCGAGGAGGCAAAATGAGCCTATTAGCCGTGCTTGTGGTAGTAGCTCGCCAAGGTTCTACCTCACTGAACTCATGAGTAGTCAGTCAGAGGGGACGCTAGGGTCTTTGTGTCCAGTTAGCGCATTTCTATATCTGGCCATACATACGTCCCTCTCACAAACATGACAATAGTCTGTTCACAGAAACCGAAGTCGAAAGCCTTTCCCTTTCTTGCCATGCATTCATATTCCTTTCCCCACTTCCTTGATAGGGTGACTGAGAGCATCAGGTATCTGATCGGGCTGATTTCATTTGACAACGAGTTGTTGCGATGCAAAGTCCTTCTGGAGTTCATCCTTGGTGAACATATGAGCCGAGTCGTTAGGGTTTCGGTAACTTGCACATTGCTGCAATTCAAGATTACGGTCGGCGCAGGGCGAGTCCTGCCTAGCCAGGGTAGAAGCAAGGCACTTCAGTAAACCTACCCTCAAACAGTCAAAGCTTGCTGGGAGGGCAGCTCGCTCAGAATTTGACCCTTTGAGCGAGGGTGTCAATGAACCCGGACCCGGACCAGGGTTTCGAGCGACGCGAGACATCGGTCGGTCGGACTGTTCCCCCTTGGACATGACCAACTAAAATTGGTGAGCTCTGATCGAATCGGAACCTTATGGTAGTGAACAAGTCTGGAAACTTCAAGTCGTAGTTTGAAGCTCTCCTTGCGTGTAGGGCACCCCACATGGTGTTCTCGGCTGTTTCTTGTCCGAGCACACCGGGGGCGGGGGAAGTATCCACTCCCGGTACGCGGCTGCAGCTCGACCCGCAACCCCGCAATAACTCACGGAGTAAACCGTATGATACTTCAAGTAGAGCAATCATCGCTCCTGAGGCTGTGAGTTGCCCCCTGAGACATGATGTAAAGTTCAATCCAAATCATCTGCCATGTCTCCACAATATCATCTGAAAGACGAAGCCAGGACCCCATTCAAAGAAAATCAGAATACAGGGTCAACTCCCCTAGATCGAGATACTCGGGACTATATTCCCCGCCCAACGTAGACGATGTCAGCGCTCCTGAATACCCACAACAGCGATTCAAGGATGGAAAGATCTCGAAACTTACAACATCTGCTGCGTCGCCGAGAAGGCTGCCGCCGCCGCACCATACTCCAGCTCCGCCGAAGGAGGCCGATTCCCGTGCCCCAGGCCAACAACGTCCGACCCCCTATCCAAGTCCACCACACCACTACAAAGACTCCTCACGATGCGCCCCTGCAGCGTCGCAGACTCCAATACCTCCGCCGCGGAATCCATCACCTCGAGGGCCTGGTGGATCCGATCGCGCCATGCCGCCGCCCCCTCCGCCTCGGACGACTCGTTCCGCACGCACATCACCGGGATCAGGACGGCGGGGAACAGGAATTGGAGGGCATACCACGCCTCCCACGCGGTGCGCTGCTGGTTTCGGAAATACCAGAATTCGGCAATCGCCCGGATGGAGTCGTCCGCCGCGCGCCGGCAGCGTTGGATGGCCGCCTGGACGCTGTCGGGGTCCGCGGGGAGTTTCGGGGGGCTGACGCTGTGTCGCGTGGTGTAGTGCCACACGATGAAGGGTCGGTACATGAGGATCTGGAAGTTGAGGCGGCGCCAGAAGAGCAGGGCGTGGGCGAGGCTGTATTGAGCGTCCTGAGGTGCGGCGCGGCGGTAGAATGCGGGGAGGGAGGCCTCCCATCCGTGGATGAGGGTATCGTCGTAGTGAAGTAGCTCGCGGGCGCGCGGGTACGGGACGGTCGTGATGCTGCTGTAGACCTTGCTGATGGTGGAGTAGAAGGCGGCCGCGAATTTGAGGCCGGAGTACAGGATGGTTTGGTTGGCTTCGGCGTGGATCGCCGGGGTGCTTGGGGTTAGGTCCTGGATAGGGTCAATTCTGTTGCAATGGGGTGATTTGGTGCAGAGAGACGCACTAGGTCGTGAATATTCAGGGGCAAATTGACTTCGACCCCGGCTTGGGGGAAATCCTGCGGTCGGGAAAATGCGACCGCATCTTCCAGGTTCAGCGTGTACAGGCTCCACCACACGCGTCGGCGGACTTCCTGGTAGAACGGGTTGCTCTCCGGCGCCGGGAACTCTTTGTACAGCCCGATCCCGATCGCGGTCCGATTCGCCAGCCCCAGGTAGTTGTAGCTGGCGTTGAGCTTGTTCCGCATGCGCAGATATCGCGACATCAGGGTCAGGGCCTGGACAAGGGTCTTGTTGCCCATCTCCATCATGTCGGTGGAGAAGCGTGCCTTGGCGGCTTCGAAGAATCCCCGGTCGATGGTGTCGTCCGTCGGGGAGGAGACGGCAAAGGCGCCCAGCGCAGCCACCGCATAGAGGAGCATTTCCCACAGTGGCTGTGATGGTCGTGGGTACAGATCCATCATCTGGGCGCGGAATGCTGTCTCGTGCAGGAATGGATGCAACGGGTGACAGTGGGTGAAGTAGGCGTCCACATATTGCCCGATTGAGGATAAGGCAATGGATGCGTTCGAAGTAGTCCTGGAAGGGCATGCTATGGCCATCGGGGGGTAGGCTTCATCTTGATGCCCGGTCGTGCGCAGGAAAGCTCTAGTCGAGGCGATGCCTGTAGGTCCTATTAGCATCTGAGCTCTCGCAGGTGGGAGGGCGGAGCAGACCAAAATAACCGCCAACAGAATGCTTGAAGGGCGCGTCGGAGGCATTTTGTAGGCTACTATCTCGTTCGTCCCATTCGAAACTGGCGACTGGAGGTGCAACCTCGGGGGGAAGCAGGGCGCATCGCTCCGTCTGCCGCGTCTTGAGTAGGGATGAGCCCGGATCGACTGCAGCGCTTGTGTCGGGTGGCTGTGAGCCGAGGTCATCACTCTCGGGATTCGGGGGCGCAGGCAGTTGATCCCCCCGTCGGGTGTCTCGCAAAAGTGTCCGCGCTTGACTGAGCTCGTTCTCCAATTGCGTTAAATACCGTCGGGTCAAAGGGGTTCGGTTGGGCCGTTGATAGTCGCATAGGCTGCGAGAGCGCTCACACGTCGAGCACACGGGCTTGGCACGGTCACACTAGACACGTCAGTATGAATCGACCGACTAAGAGCCTTGTCGCGTCAGACCTTCAATTTCCGCCGCCTACACTCTCGACAGGCTCTTCCGGGAGTCGGGGATGTCATTGTACTGTCAATGGGCAAAGTGGGGTTAGGGTTGGTTATGGCTACAGAGAAGTAGAAACGAGGAGGGGAAAGAGATTTCCGATCCCGCTCGGACAGCTCGGACTCTTCTTTCCGCCTTCCCGCCTAGGCCTCGGCATTCGTCATCTGTCATTCTAGAGAATAGAACAATTAGAGGATTACGGTTCCTACATAGCCCTCGGTAAATTCACATTATCAATTTGTGACAACCAAAAAAGAAAAAAAAGTCCACTATTTAGACGCAATACACTCCATCTCCACCAGCGCACCCAGGGGCAACTCCTTCACCGCCACGCAAGTCCGCGCCTGGAAACATGTTCTGTCAGCCCTAGTCCTCACTGTCCCAAACTGTGCCGGGGACCTACCGGCATGGGTGCAGAGAAGTGTTGTGCATAGACGCGGTTCATCGCAGCAAAGTCGTCCATGGTGGTGATGTAGACGGTCATCTTGAGGATGCCCTGCAGCCCGGATTCGGCTGCCTGGAGGACCAGGTCCAGGTTGCGCAGTAATTGCTCCTGAGGCCCTGTTAATATGTATCAGTGCCGAAGCGGGATGGCATAACCTACTGTCTGCTCTTCCACTCCACCGGTTACTAAAGTGTTGGTTTTAGCATCCAGGCCAACCATGCCGGAGCAGTAGACTGTGTCTTTGTGAACGATCGCCTGCGAGAAGATCGGGAATGGTGCAGGGGCTTGATCAGTGAAGATGGGGATTTTGGCTGCCATGGCGGATTCGAATAATCTTAAGAAGAGGTGTAGGGAACGACGAATTGAGCAGAAATAATCTGGCTATTGAATATAGGGACTGGATCCATGTCCCTTCACGTTATATATATATATACGTGCATAGTAGATAGAGGCGGGGCCTCGGCAAACTGTCTCCGAGCGGTAAGCAGCGGGAGTCAAAATGGGTCGGCAACAAAACCCCGAGCCCACCAATCTTAAATCGACCAGCACCCTCAACCTCCGCACCTTCTCCAACCACACTTGAGCTCACATCACCCTCCTCAATCGGACACACTCAATCCAAAATGTCTCTCACATACGCCCTGGTAGATGTCTTCACCACCACCCGATTCCAGGGCAACCCGCTCGCCATCGTGCGCGTGCCCGCCCAGCAGCGCGACACTCTGAGCCAAGAGACCAAGCAAAAGATCGCCACCGAGTTCAACCTCTCCGAGACGGTCTTCCTGCATGAATCCGACTCACCCACCGACCTGCACATCGACATCTTCACCCCGAAATGCGAGATTCCCTTCGCAGGACACCCGACCATCGGCACCGCATGCTACGTGCACCAGCAACAGGCCTCTGCCACAGGGACCCGCAGCCTCCAACAACTAACCACGAAGGCGGGGCCCATCCCCATCACCGCATCCGACGAGCTGGTGGGCGCTTCCATCCCGTTCGCCTACCACCAACACCAGCAGCCCGTGCAATCCGCACCCGTCATCTCCATCGTCAACGGGCTGTCATTTGCGCTCAAACAGCTCCCCGATCTAGAGTCCCTAGCCACAGTGACCGAAGCGCTGCTGCCGGACTGCTTCACCACGGCGCATTTAGACGCGGGGTGGAATTCCGGCCCCACCGGGAGCAAGTACTATGTCGATCTGGGGCGGGATGAGAGCGGGTGTCGCACGCTGCGCACGCGCATGTTCATCGGCTGGGAGGACCCGGGCACGGGCAGTGCCTCCAGCGCGCTGGCGGCGTATCTTACGTTGCAGGAGCCCAGCGAGCGCGGCGCTGGCCCGTTCGACTACCACATCGTTCAGGGGGTCGAGATGGGTCGGCGGAATGATATCTATGTCACCGTGGAGCGGGACGGGGCCGGGCAGAAGATCGCGAAGATTTCACTGCGGGGGACGGCGGTTCAGGTGGGTGAGGGTCGTCTGATGTTGTGATCGCAGGAAAGTTAGGGATTCTAGCGAGAGTGGTTGTAGTGGAAAGGACGGAGTTGAATGCATTTCTTTTATGGTGAAGGGGCTTACAATCATGTCAAATGGTACAACAGTAAATAGATTTCTATTCCGCGGACAGCGGACTCGGTGGAGCCTCAGGTATTCTCTGACCTGCTGGTGGATTCACTCCAGTGTATGGCTGTTCCCCAAACTAGTGGAAGATAGGTTTCTTCTAGTCCACAGTCCTTTCTCCGGATTATCGCAATATATCCTTGATTGTTTAGAAGTACAACCTGTCTAAGGTTTGACTCGAGACGGGCCATAGTAAGGTACAAGCTTTACAGAGATAGCCCATTTGACTGTGTACAGAGACAGTGTTTTCTGTCTTCTGCACAAGCCTGAGGCTTCTGTCTCAGGCTTGGCATCGAATATGGGCCTGCACCGGGAAAAGATACACCCACTTCTATTCTCGGCTTTTTGCCGCTCGGAAATGCTCTTCTTTTGGGACTTCTGGGTAGTCCCTTGATGACTGACATACGTATTGCGCAATGAGGTGTTATAATGCATCGAGATCGCGCTGGCGGGAATCCTCGCAGTGGTATAGAGTAGTTAGGAGGCATGTTCTTAGTCCAAGTGTCTCTCTCTAAGAGCTTAGTGCTAAGCCTTAGAATAATCTACTTGAATGGATACCACGTGCGCGCAGCAATAGGATCAATAGCTAGTTTATAGGGCTGATTCAGGGGTGGGATCGGGACTGTGGGCAATGCTGGCTGTGGCTACTGTTTTGGATGAATCGTGTTGCCCCATCCTCAAGATCGAGGTTGTGAGCATGCGTCTGCAGATCAAGGGGTTTGTCATCATGGTACTACGCGGGGCGCTTTGAGTTAAGTTCTCCGTGTGTAAACAGGAGGCAAAGGCCTTTGGACCACGTGGCGGGGTTACTCAGAACGTCGACAGCTTCACTCTATTAAAGTCCGTTCAAGAATGCTTCCTCTTTCCGAGACCGATGGAGATATTACGCTTCGATTTGATGCCGGGTTCAGAATGCACTAGATCGGATCACGAAATCCCCACCACCAGCTCGGGATCTTCGATGAGATATACGACAGGTGATGAGATAACTTTTGAAAGCAGAATATGTATAAAATCCGATATAATTCATCGAATACAGAGAAGGCTTTGTCTTCCGATCTTCCAGGCAAGGAGGATCCAGTGATTTGTGTTTGAGGGCCCGCTTGAGGGCGCCACCGTCAGCTCCCATCTCAGTTGTACTTTCTCTCGCTACCCCCACCTGATCTCATCACAATAAACCATGTTGTGAAGGCTGATTTCACTAACTGGGTAAGGGCATAATGATAAAGGAAGGATCCAAAAAACATACAACAGAAGGGATTCGCTGGTGGTCACCCACCCAACTACTAACCTCCCGGCGTGTGGCTTAAGTACGGCTGAGCGGACGGGAAGCCCTGTTTTCCACACCCTGTGGTCGTATGTGCTCATTTAACAAATTAAACTGTATATGAATCATGTAGAATAAAACCCGTAACAATCATTTGTGAGAAGCCGCAGCGAAGAGCACGTATAATGCGGTAGGTCAGATAAGCATCAATCCGGGATCGGATTGCGGTTTCGGGTTTATTAGCCGCGGAGGAGAAGGCCAGGATGGTTTATCTGGAACTTATACCGCAGCTAGAAAAGTCCTATACTATTGTTGGATATAATCGAGGTTCAACCTGCCCAGTGGCCCACGTTGTTAATATCAGCAGCCCTGTAAAATCATTTTGTGTGTCATGAAAGTGGTAAGTATGTATTAGCTTCTTGCTTATCGAGATCGAAGTATGATGATCGTGGATCGTCCGAGTTCGATCCCCCTGACCGCGAAGTCAATCTCTTCGTTTCCGAGTCTACCGCATACCGTCAATTAGAATCCCAGGGCTTGTGCAAGAAGGCGTGATCCCGAATTTTTACGGGACAATTCGAAACATCCAACCAGCTGCTTGGCCAGATCTCCACATGTTCATCAACGACAGACTGCAGCCCAAAGCCATCCTTATCAAGTATATCCCATACCTGCAGCTTATAGACCTGCCTAACTTCTCAGAACAACGCCTGGGTAAACTCCGCGAGATTCTCGACATTATCCACCGGACCAAAATTCTCTATGGTGATCTGAAGCCCCGCAATATAATGGTCTCTTCAGGGGAATGCGAGAGGGTACTCGGGATAGACTTGGACTCGGCCCAAACATTTCCAGAGCATGATCCTCCCCCCGACAAGGAAAGTGGGTCAAAGAAGAGGTTGAGATGGTGGACTATTTTCTTGATGCCTTGGTAGGTTCCAGTGTTCTAGCTCCGACTTTGGCTGACTGTCCAATATGCTCGGGACTTCGAAGCAGGCAGGTTCAATCGGACAATTCCATACTATTACAACTGGTTCCAGTAGGCAAACGAAAAAAAAAGCGTGGGCGGATTACAGTACTCTGTACGCAATGTCAAAACTTGTTGCTTGGAATATCCTTAGTGTATACTGGGAGTGATTTTAAGTCGTTGCTTCTTATACTCTGTTGGTAGTCTTGTATCTCTTTCCCCGGAGCGGGAATTTATGCTCAGGCGCGATGCTTTGCGACAAGGAGCTAGCTATGTTTGGGGACAATTGTCTCGCGGCAGTGTCTCTTCTTCTCATTAGGGTGTGTCCTCGGAGATCTGCTTGCAGGTCTATTGAATGACTTTGAGGCATCTTGCATCTTCCGGGTAGTCGTGGCATCCAACTCCAGGCTGAGCACTGGGACATACTCGTTACCCCAGTGATCGTCATCGGCAACTCCGACATCCCCCCAACTAGACCCTGTCGGCAATCCCGAGCACGTGCGCATGGCCCCCAGAAAAAAAAAGGGCTACGATTATTTGGAAGAATTTCCCCGCAGCCGAGCAAGAAATGTCTCAGAGCATAATTCAAGCTTATCTTTCTTTGCCTGCAGATTACTATACTACATGAAGCCATGCATGATTATCCCATCCGAGTGACCAATCTTTCCTCCGGTCACCCGCCCTTCGAGTTTTTCAATCGATATCCCCATACCACTAATGTCCGACCATATTGAGGCCCACACCCTGCGATGAGACCCCTTTTCTTGCTAACACAGCTACCCCACCAAAACACACAGCAAGGCACACCCCCAAGCATCAGGCTCACTTCTTCGACCCCGATCCCCACAGCCGCAGCAGATCGGAACATGCAGCCATGCTGCTGAACCGACCGGGCAAGGGCTGCCCCAGTCTCGTCGACCGGTGCTCCGGCAGCTGCAGCTGATTGAGCCACGCCGCCAACCCCACCTCCGCCTGCGTCGCATCGTATGCCAACGCCACGGCTGCACTCACCCGACGAGACAGCTTCTTCCCGCTGAGGGCCCGCATTCCATCCTCGATGCGCAGCACGTGTCCGCGGTATGCCATGTCCTTCATCTCGAGCGCTCGCAGTCCGGGGAGATCATCGCGGAGGCCGTCGCAGAACTGGCGCCAGAGGTTGCTGACGGCGTCGTAGAAGGGGTTCGAGCGGGTGGGGAGGTCGATGCGGTCGATGAGGCTGACGCTGACGAGCGAGAGGGTCTGCAGGGTCGGGGCGGCGGTGCGGAGGAAGGCCCGGAAGCTGGGCTGGGTGACTTCGATCCAGTGGAGGGAGAGCGTGGACAGGCGCGTGAAGTGGATGTTCTGCGATAATTGGGTGAAGTGGTCGGCGGGGAGTTCGTCTTTCGTGCTCCATTGGGAGACTTTGAGGGTGGTGAGGGTCGGGGCGGCGGCGAGGAGGAGGCGCAGGAGGGGGGATTCGGTCGTGTCAGAGTGGGGGTCTGCGTATTGGAGGCATAGATCGAGGGTCTGAAGGGCTTGGAGATGGGGTTGGAGGGTTGTGTATTGGGTGTCTGTTAAGGTGAGTTGTTCGGGTGGAATTCCGCAGTGTTCGCCTTCGCTGCAGGTGCGCAGCTGTTGGATCTGCGCGGTGGAGGTCGGGATGGCTTGCAGAAGGGCGGAGAAGACGGGTGCACGGATGCTGCGAGTCTCTTCACTCCAAAGGTAATCTGGGCTTCTTTCCCAGGTATGAGCGATGTGTGGACTGCTGAATGGATGGTGGTTGAGTCTGCGGCGTAAGGCCATACGGCCAAGACAGGGTGGGTGTTTGTGTCCCGCTGCGGAGGGAGGGTAGGTTTCGAGGCCGACGGTAGAGAGGTTTGTGAGTTGTGTCATGCAGGTTGCGAGCGTGTGAGGGAGGGAGTCGGCTTGGATGAGTTGGAGGTGGTTTGCCACCGCCGATTGATACGCTTCGTAGTCGGTTCGCAGATTCTCGATCGCCCATCGCACCAGCTCGGTGATGGAACTGTGTGTGCCGTGCGCCCCAGCAGGCTGGTCGGAGTACCCCGCAGCCATGAGCTTGGCTTGCACAAAGGTGTTGTAGTCGACATCGTAGTGGCCTCGAAACACCTCGGCAACCAGCCAGAGCTCCTGCACATGCGTTCGAAATATCTCGTGGGCGGCGATGGCTTCCAGTTCTCGCAGCCCGTCAGATGTGATGAGAACACTGATGCGCTTGACATGACGGCTCACAAACGTCGCCAGCGACTTGGAATAGAGCACCCGGCATGACAGTCGCAGAGCGCACCAGTCCGGGAGGTTCAAATAGCACCATACAGCATCCAGGATCTCGTTAGGAAGGTCAAGGATCGACATGTTGGGTGAGTCTCTCAGAGACTTCGGTGATTTGAAGAGAAGTGGAGGGAGAAGTGAAGTATGCAAGGGGGCAGGCGCCAACCGCCGTTCTTATTTGCTTTTTCATTCCAGTCACCTTTCACTTGACCGACAGGGGAGGGGGGAAGGAAAGAACATTAGGTTGGCTGGGGGCTAAAAGGGCACATGAGCCACATGAGCCTCATCGCGTGGGATTTCCCCAATCTAACACTGAATGTCATACTGACCCCCGGCCCGGCTAATGTAGCACTGTCCAAGAGATGATCCTCACAATCCACCGCTGACGCTTACATAGCCTTCCCCCCACTTCCACACGTGCGAAAAGACTCCGTATTGACTGATTTAGAGTTCTCTTACATATTCCAGACGGATTAAGCCAGAGGTCCCATTTCCGGACCAATTTCCGCAGACGAAACTAACCCCCAAAGTAATATAAGGTAAGCCTTTCCGACAAGGCTGCAACTTATAGTCCCCACCGCGTATAGCTCTTAGCGCCGATGATCGCAATCGTTTGGGGTAATTTCCTCGTCTAATCAATCTACTTATGTCGGAGATGCACTGTGCTCGCCCCGGCTTCGGAGTGTCTTGGGGGTTCTTGACCAACATGCAGAGCCATGCCAGTGATCTCGGGAATGGAGGATTCGACGAGGCGCAGGTCGTTGATGGGGCTGGTGCGGATGGCGTGATTCTTCTGGCGGGCCATTTTAAGAGAAGACTGTTGAAGGACAGGTGATCTAACCTGAATCTTCCTGATATAAGGGGGCTCTGGATTGGTATGTTATCGTTTTAGGTGCTGTAGAAGGCTGCCGGGATGCCTGCACAAGGGGAAATGCTTTGGTTCCCGCTCGGACATGGCTCCGGACCAGTGGGGCTCCACCTTTCTGATGCTGCCCTAATCTTCTTGTGACAGCTGGGCGGATCGAAGTAGAGAAGTATTTAAATCTGTCTTGACTATCTTTTCAATTAGAGTGATATCGCTGAGGTAAAGCACCGGGGCTGATACTTGCACATTACTCACTTGCTGAACACTGAGGTGGAGGAGATTTCCTCCCCAAAATGGATCCATGCTGGCGGTTGCCCATACTGGCAATAGCAAGCAACCCACAGCAGTCCAATGGTCGTGAGTCACTCTTTTCGGGTTCCATTTCAATTACATCGAATAAATTCAGCAGCCCCAGTGCGGGGGCCCATCGGTCTATGAAATGTCCTACTCAGTCCATGGGGCTAGCCGGCGTTACCAAGCACATGTAAATTATTGCTCATACAACCCAAACCTATATACATCCCATGATAGACCATTTCCATCCTAACTCCTGCTGTCCCAAAATATTCAAGAGAAAACAATCAAAAGGTGAAACAGGTGAAACAGGTGAAACCTCCGAGTCCGATGCCGTCTGCGCACAACGACGGCCGCGGGGCTCTCGACGCAGCAAATGGTTGAGATCATTCCGCGATAGCAAACCCATGGATAACATCCTAAGCCTGAGGCAAAATCTTTGCGCGCCTCCTGTTCCGCCTCTTCCACACATAGATCAACAGATCATTGGGTGATGCTAAGCACCATTGGCCCGAGCCTGCCGCTTCGCTTGCACTTCAGACAAAAGCTTCTCCGCTTCCGCATGGTGCTGCTGGGCCATATACTCGATTGCAGCCTCGTCCTGCTCGAGAGCCAATAATTCATAGGAGCCCTTTCCCCCCAGATTCCACTCAGGCAACGTTTCTTCCTTGAGGGTATAGAAGAATTCCTTGCCCACCAATTGGCGGCTGTACTGCTTCTCTGTCAGGCCCATGGGCAAGTAGCCCTCTTTGTGCTGCACGCGGTAGTTCACCACCGGGTGGATGTAGGCGCAGGTGGCACCGCGGATTCCCTTCTCCTTTTTGTCGTCAATGTACGAGTTCGAACTGGGCGCGCGTGGCTTTTGGCCGTTGGCGATATACATGGTGGAGAAGCTGTCGGGCATGTCGCCCAATCCCCAGGTATAGTGGCGCGTTTCGGTGCACGGGGCGGGGGTGAGGGGATGCATGACGGCCGACCCGAGCCACCTCGCCCCGCGACCCAGGTACTCCCCCCAGGACTCAGTCTTGGCCATCTCCTTCTGCTTCTCCAGGGCCGCATTCAGGGTAGCGATTGTCGCCTGTCGGTCCTTGTAATGATCCTTGATGGTCGTTTCGCGGATGCCCACAAATGGCGCGATCTGGTCCAGCATCCAGGCGAACACGATGTTCGACATCTCCTCCATGTCGCCGTAGTTGTTCAGTGTGTCGCTCGAGCCGCCGCCGACGTTGATGTGGTAGCCCGGAAACCACACCTGCGTGAGCTGCGGCGTGCCGAGATGGAGATTGTCATGGCTGACCATGTAGTCGCGTCGGGCTTCCCCGACCTTCTTGCTGGCCTTGTTGATCCCATTGGCCAGCCGGTCCAGGGTCTCGTAGTCCGTTGGATGGAGCCTGCCATGCTCCTCCGCCTCCTTGATCAATTGTCTTTGCCGTGCGCCGGCCTTGTTCAAAACCTCCCGCTTGCTCTTGACTTCCTCCTCGAGTTGGGCTCGGACTTCCGGAAGTGCCGCATTGGGGTAACCGGAGGGTAAACACCAGACCTCCGGATAGAAGGCCTTGCGGTATTCATCGAGAGCCAGCGCCTGAAAGGCGTGTTTGATCTGCCGCGAGAGGGTCACGTTGTGCCAACCGGGGGGGTCCTTCCACCACATCAGATTCGCGGGCAACTGCACTCCCGCCACCTCGGGGATCCCCAGCGCCTGGACGGTGTCGTACACGGCGACGACCTCCACCTCCCGGGAGTCCGTCTGCGCCCAGCCAGGATTGGCATGCATCTCCCAGGCCAACCCGGTGGCCGTGCCGGGATGCTTCCGGTGGTGCTCGCTGACCTTCCCATCCACGAATTGGAAGTAGTCGTCACTGTTGTAGAAGGCACCCTTCCGCTTCAAATTCTTGTACTGCTTCCACAGGTCCGGGAAGCGGTGCAGCTTGTGCGGCTCGCAGATGCCGGCGTCGGCGATGAGGCCAGCGACCGCGCGCGCCGTGTACGCGCCGCGCGAGAAGCCAAAGCACAGGATCTTGTCGCCGCGGTTCCAGTTCATCGAGACGAAGTTGTAGGCCTCGACGATGTTGCCGTCCAGCCCGTCGCCCACGGCGCCCTCCAGCATCTTGCTGACGGCCAGTGAGGTCGTGCCCACCCCGGAGTCGTACCAGACCACCTGCTGCCAGTCCTGGTCGCCGATGCGGGCGACGGGCTTGATGGCCCGGCACAGGCGCGTGATGTTGGAGGGCGAGTTCTGCTGCCCGGACACGGCCGTCTGCCATGTCCCGTCGAAGCAGAGGATGATCCGCTTGGGAGCGTATGCGGACGACGTAGTACGAGCCATCCTGTCGGTTGAAATATGGAAATAAAACGTTACTGCCAGAATACACTGACTGCAGAGTCTCCAGCCAGATTTATATTCCTTGTGGTGAGGGGTGGTGAATTACCCCTGAGAAGCGTGGTCGGCAGGATTGCCCTACTTTGGTGTCTTCGTATACTCAGCTGGTGGCCATCCGCCACGCTATCGGGGTCTAGCCCTCTCCACATTTCTTCAGCCGCCACCAACCTGCCAACCACAGATAACCAAGGGTCCCACTTGCTTTCAGCTGGGGCTTGACGGGCGATCCGATCGCGTGGCGAGTGTAGGGTTCTGGCCGCGGCGGATCGGCTATTTTTGCCCGCTGGTTTTGGCACGGGCCGGCACCTGATGCGGGCTTATCGGACTATCGATCTGTCACTTGAGCTAATGCGTGGCCATCGTCGCCACTGTCTCGGAGAGCTGTGTTTATGCATGCTGGAGGTGTGTTTATGTACGCATTGTGGCGTTGCGTGGTCTGATCCTTCCGTTCTTGCTGTGGCTGGCTGCCATCTCCTGGCTCGTGTGACCCGGGGTAGAGCACATTCTCTCCAAGTCTATACCTCGTATCTCGCTTACAGACCTGTCTTCATACGACACAGGTCAATTTTCTACAGCTTAATCGATTCGGATTGAAGTACGTGTTCTAAGCACGGACGACACAAATGCCACCTCCACCGCAACACGGAGCCGGGGGGTTGAGCGGAACCTGCACTGACTGCGCTTTCCACAAGAACATGGTTAATACATCCTCACATAGCTCCGAGGCTGGTGGGCATACATCATTGAGTCTCCGCCTGGATTTCGTAGTTGTCCTCACTTTATTTATTGCAGATAGAATAGAAGGCAGGAATAAGCACATGTCCCCATACTCGCACAGCCTACATCACCCATCACCCATCACCCATCACGCACCGTGCCCGCTCCTCCCTCCCCTGCCGAGAAAACCACAAGATCGCCCACGGTACACCTCCTGCCCTATGCTACCGCGCTGCTCCGCTGGTACTTGGCTATAAATGGGTTCTCCTGCTCCATACGGGGAAATGCACCGGCCCGTCCCTAGGGACATAGCCCTATCCAGCGGGCGCGTTCACCTACTTCTCATCCCTTTCATCTCCATGGCTAACTTGTAACTTTTAAGATCAGGGGAGTGTCCTTAGATTGAAGCTTGTACAAGCAACACTACAGAAACTCACCCATGGTTTAGAACGGGTGCAATGGCTGGAGGGCGGAAAGGGGCTACGGCTGGTTGACTACCGTGCTGCCTTGCTGCCTGGCGCCATGGTCGGTGCCTGATAGCCTGGACTTATTTTAGCGCCTTCGTCTTTGGGGCACGACTGCGTGCGCACTGAACTCAATACCTCGGTACTGTACCTTGTCAACTGAGGGGCCTGTCAGGGGGAGGATGTGAGGATGTTCAAAGTATGGGCCAGTGTGCAATCTCATCAGGTCAGATGGCGAAGCAAAATGAGAGGAGGCAAAAACATACAACAGAAGGGATTCGCTGGTGGTCACCCACCCAACTACTAACCTCCCGGCGTGTGGCTTGAGTACGGCTGAGCGGACGGGAAGCCCTATTTTCCACACCCTGTGGTCGTATGTGCTAGATGATGTCTCACAGTAGCTCATAGCATGCATAAATCACATGCACAGCTGAAGTTTCGATTTTGGGATAGTTTGGAAGTCAACCTTTGCTATAGCGAACCAATTGAGACCGCTATTTTAGTTCAGAGTGCCAGGGGCCTCGATCTATCAAGCATGATTTACATAGAAGTAAAATATTCGACATGTCGCAGAATTCGCTATAGCGAAGTTCGTTGTGACGAGTAACAAGGGTTGACTGTAGCTCAGCGCGGACTTGTCGCCGAGATAGCGATCCGGAGCTCGGATCTGTTCCGACCAGTTGCTTCCACCTGAAGACGGTGTCGTCTCTAGGGCGCAGCGTTTACTGCTTCCATAATCCAGATATTACTGTCCACTGTATCGACTAGTTGTTTGCTTTCATATTGCCATCTTTCGTACGGTAAGGTGTTCCATCTGTGGTGGTGTGGCAGAAAGTATACCCGGCTATGGTGAGTCACACTACAACATGTGTGTGCACTCACTCGACTGATTGTTACCTGATAGTCAGCTCATCTATAGTGCGATAGATGAAGTCTCTTAATGACTGCATCGTACCCAGCAAGTGAAGCTTGACACAATCCCTGGAATGAACTGGGGATGAAGTGTGGGGAGAACCGAATCTCGGAATTAGGGCCGGATAAGCAAAGCCGGGGTAGACATAGGGCGACGCTTATTCGCTTCCCCGAGCGGCTGAAG